TGCCTGCCTGCCTGCCTGCCTGCCTGCCTGCCTGCCGCCTGCCTGCCTGCCTGCCTGCCTGCCTGCCTGCCTGCCTGCCTGCCTGCCTGCCTGCCTGCCTGCCTGCCTGCCTGCCTGCCTGCCTGCCTGCCTGCCTGCCTGCCTGCCTGCCTGCCTGCCTGTCTGCCTTCCTTCCTGTTGAAACCTAGTAAGCTCGGACAGTGTTGGACCAAGCGACCAAATACAACACGGAGGAAAATACCGCAAGGGGTGATGACAATCGCTTGAACGGGCATGAACCCGCCGGTGCAAGTCGGTCAATGTATAAGTAGGGGAAGCTTGGGCTAACAAACACTCTGATCCATTTCGACTGTACCGTATATGACCCGAGTACCCAGACTGGGCCCCTGTCTCCGCCATACTTTCGAACGTGTCCAAAGAGCACCACTCGGTACGGGAACCACAAAATTGTGGTGCATGTCCAGAAAAGTATTACGGAACCGCGTAGCGAGTGGAGCCCTGTCCGCGCTCAAATTTTCGAGTCTTTGCTTTCCTGTCGGCATTATTCCTCCACATGGAGCGCTCATGTGGGAAGGCGAGGTAAAGCAGATCAATCCAAGAGATGTGAAGACCAGTAGCTGTGCAAGCCCAACTTACATCTCGATTATGGCAAGCTCATCGGCATCTCCTTTGATCCACTACCGAACGAGCAGAGACGAGGCGAAAATGAGGCCGGATAATTGGCTCTTGGGTTTCAACTGATCGCGCGGTCGCAAGAGTTTATGGAACTCTATGGTGGATGCTGCGCCTTGGAAATAGCTCTGAAATGTCACTCCAAGGACAGAGATGGTTCCAACGTTAGCCAGCTGTCCTCCGGCATTCTCCATGGGCTGAAGTTGCAACGTCGGTGTCTGTCGGTTTAGAGAGAAAGAAGGCCGCCAAGCGTAGGAACCCGCAAAGCAGACCGAGCGACGCAGCAAAGGCGGATCTCGAGAGCTTGTTGTGAGAAAAGCATCGGAGTGAGAAAAGCAGGTGGAAGCAAAGACTCAGCTTTCAATCACGGGGCATAGTAGGCATTCATACATGCATGCCGGCTATACCAGTGATAGCCTACATTGCTATTATAATGAAGCGGTTCGTGGGCACACTCTCCGCACTTGATGCCCGTTATATGGTCGTGCCAATTCGTCTCCATCCCAGCATGGCGCACAGTACAGTCATAGGGGGAGCTTGAGGTGTGCCTTAGCAGGTCCTGACGCTTTCTGAACTATTCTTAAAAGCGAGTCGGCTGACGCAAGATCGTCGCGGTCTCGGAGACGTTGGTTCTGAGTGTCTCCTGCTTTTAATTGATCAGCATTGATGTACATGCCGGCCCGGATGCAAGAAACTGTCTGCACATGAGGAGTGTGAGGTCGAGATCACGGCCCGTGCAGCTTGTGCGGGATGCGTTGGGCGCCACAATATTGAGGACCGGACCAATGAAAGGAACCGCCCTTCAGCCGTATCCCATATCTCATGGCTGTCGATGTGTGAGAGCTGTCGACAGTCACGACCGCAACGTGAAACCGTGCGGGTGTACGTGTTACTCATACATACTTTTGTCCTGCTTTCCATTATGCAGTACCCTGAGAGAAGGCTGGCGCTCTCCGTTTTCTCCCTCTTCGCATACATTTCCAGCAGCCATGCCGGTTATTGCTACTTCCGCAACGGCAACATCGCAGTAATCAACTCCCAGGCATACGTCCAATGCCCAGGACTAGACTCCTGCTGCCTGCAATCAGACATTTGCGTATCGAATGGCTTGTGTCAGGACATCAACAATCACGCCAACGGTTCACTGACGAATGAAGGCGGCACGTACTACAACTTCACAGGCCTCTACCAATCTCCGGCTTGCTCGAACGCGAACTTCGAAGGCTGCGACACTGAATGCACCGCGTGTAAGTGCAATCCGCGACATATAACTTCGTCTATTATACACGAGGTCATCGCTGATGCAGACCTGACTGTCAGCGAACTCATCCGGTCGGACATACATATGGTCCTGTAACAACCAGTTGACAAGTTATTGCTGCGCAAGCGTTCTAGCACAGTCCGAATGTTGTTCAGGGACCTCCAACTTCGTCCTTCCCTCTCCAAGTGTCATCGCCTGGGGTACCAGCTCAACCACAAGCACTGCATCGAGCACGAGAATGAGCGCAAGCACAAGCACGTCCATAACTTCCTCGAGTAGCAGCTTTAGTACGCCGGCATCACTACTGCCATCCAGTACCGCGGCGGCACCTAGCGCGGCGTCAAGCCAGAGCGGCTCAGCCTCCTTATCCACAGCGGCGAAAGCAGGCATTGGCGTTGCAGTTGCGGTAAGCTCTGAGTGCTCTTGAACATCGGCTTTATCTCGCTGAACATAGCTTGCGCCACTGCAGGTTTTCGTACTCCTGCTAGCTGGCATTGCAGGTCTGCTTGCCCACATTCGCAAGCTCAGAGCAAGGCAGCAGCCACAGGCCGAGACTCTTATGCAGGAGTATCACGATCAATCTCCGGGCCCCCACGGAGGTGCCATGCAGCAGAAGTTGGCAGTGGACGATATATTGCCAGTCGAAGTAGACTCCAGCCGGCCTCTGGTGGAAGCACCTGGTAGGGAACCTGCAGAGCTTGACACCGGCCATCCTGTACGAGATGCGAAGAGATAGGCGATTGTTGTATCAGTGTTCGTGTCTTGTGATGCTTGTATCAGACCTCACAACGGACGTGGTTCGTGTACGAAACAGTGTCAACAAGAGAGAGTACGATAAATTAACCATACACATTGTTCAGTCATCTGCAGACCGTCCCGAGTCTCTTACCAACCAGTCCGACCCGCGGCTGGTGGACTCGAGCAATACCCTCGACATTGGACATAGCGGCCGGTCTATGGTACGACGACCATGTGGTAAGCAAACGTATGTTGAGCAACTCGATACCAGATCTTATCCTTACTTATGGTACACATGTCTATCTGATCAGCGCAGCAACGCATAAGAGCTGACCAGCCGCCCTTGCATACAGACATTTACTGGCTAGACCTTTTCCTCAGGTTTTTCGGTCACCGCTTCCGCCTTTGGTGGCTGGATCTCCGGCTTACTGACAAGTGGCGGATCCCGCTGCCAGATGAACAGGCTGACAACCACGCTTACAGCAGCGATATATGCGCAGACCTTGAGACTCTTGTCGTAGGATACACTGTACGCTATTCTGACTGCGTGCCTCTTTGTCTCGTCAAGGCTATTGATAATGGCGGTATTGGTGCGCAGGTCGGTGATCTCTTGAGGCGTCAGTATCCCGACCAGCTGGTATGCGCAGACTGCATTGAACATCGCGTTGCTTGCAGCGACTCCGATGGCACCTCCGAAGATGCGCATCTGAGCAACGACTCCTTGGCCTATGGCATGTGTTCTAGCGTTCGTGTGAAGCGACGCCATGACGGACATGGAGGAGAAGGTCATGCCAACGCCCAGTCCTACGACGACTTGGAAACCGTAGCACTTGTGCTCGATGGCAATGCCAGACCCTAAGGTCGACAAAAGTCCGGCTCCGAGTAAGATGAGGCAGCTAGCGACAGCCATGGTGGAGAACGTCCGGTTTCTTTTGCTGGAGAGTGCACCTCCAACAAATGATCCAATGCCGGTTGCGACAAGCAATGGTAGCAGATGTATTCCAGCCCCTGACGGTGATTTGAGGTTCACGATTTGGAATCGCAGCGGCGTCGAGATGAGAACTAGAAAATATGTAAAGCCGGTCAAGGTGGTCGAAATGATACCAGCGAGCATCGGTACATTAGAAATCAACTCGAAAGGCAAGATCGATGCAACGGAGTCGTTGCGCTTCCGAGAAGCGTAGAACTGCCATAGGAGCAAGAGGATCCAGCAACATACGCCTACGACGATAGTCGCAATTACTACTCCACTGGCCCATTGGTATTCACCAGATCCGCCTTGTTGGAGGCCGAAGACGACCAAAACGGAGGCAGCGATCAGCAGGAGGACGCCAGGGTAGTCAAACTCTTGCCATTTGCGAGCGCTCTCATTGTAAGCCTTCGTTTTCAACGGCCATCCAAGGAGGAAGCAAAAAGCGGCGACTGCTCCGCACGGTCCGTTAAGCCAAAAGATCCATCTCCAACTGACATATTGTGTGAATAAGCCGCCGATGATGGGACCCATGACTCCAGATATAGATACGGTGGCGCCGATGAAGCTTGAGGTGAAGGCCAGCATATTGACATTGCTGGTTTCGATCAGCAGGATGAGAGCTAAAGCATACAGTCCTGCGCCTCCGATGCCCTGGAACGTCCTGAAGACGATCAGCTGCTCGATGTTTTGTGACCAGCCACATGCTAGCGAGAAGCCGACGAAGATGGCAAATGCGCCAATTACGGCGTTCCTACGGCCAACGAAGTCGCTGATGCGGGCGAAGATTGCACAACAGCCAAGGTATGCGAGCTGGTAGGCGAGGATAGCCCAAAAGGTCTTGCTCAAGGAGTCAAACTCCAGGGAGATCGTATACACGGCGGTCGCCATGATCGAGGTGTCCATCAGCGAGAGGAAGAGGCCAAAGCAAAGACCGAAAAAGATCAAGCCCCTGCGCCATGAGGGTAGGTTGGGAAATTTGTCGAAAGCTCGATCGTGTGAGGCGATAGGCTCGTCGTGGGCGTCCGACAGTATTGCTGCTGTTCTGTCATTCATGATGTGCTTGTTGCCTCGCACTAATCCAGTCGATGTAGCGCCTTCGTGTGCGATTGACATATTGCAAGCGAGTAATCAAGGTGTACGGCGGACCGCACGAAACCACTGCGTCGGAGCTGCGTTGTATATGTGGTACTACGAGGGTATGATCTGCTGTACGCAGAGGGTTCCTTGGCGACCTGCATTTATGTATGACTGCAACGAGACAAGCCGTAGACAGTCCCACAGCGGCGCACGCATTGTATGTTCCTTTGAGCTGTTACGGCCGCAGATGAGGCGGCCGAACAAAGAGATGATCCGTGATATCGCATGTATTATTACGGCCGAAAACCCCGGACGAATTTGATCAAGCCTAGTTCCCGCCGTCCCGCTGGCGACTCCAGCCGGGCCATCTTTCATACTCTCTAATTCAACATCTTCCAGCGGTGGTGCATTGGTAGCGGTACGGGTGTCGCGGGCTGCGCAGACGCCACTGCTATTCACCTGCCGGCGTCCAAAAACTCTGGAGGGATCTGCCACAATACGCGCCTGCATTGTCTTCTCCAGAGAGCCCGTTACGCACGATAGACGTGCAGACTAATACCCAACGCTGCATTAGTCTTTTCGAAGTCTAATGTTCACAGCAATCGACGCAAGGATGCGGGCCTTCACGGGTGCGTATGAAGGCCGAGTAGCAACTCTGCAGCCATGTAAATGCCTCAATCATAGTCGTCTAACAGTTGATAAATCGCTATTCTGTGTGTTCACGGCTGAGAAGCTACCGTATCGACACCGTCGCACCGGAGACAGATTTTCGAGCGGACTCGCCCAGGAAGCCCACTTAGCATAGAAGACAATCTGAAAATAGGGCCGATCTGTTGACGTACCACAAGCAGCTCGGCCCAGGCGACAGCGGTGGTAAGGTTAGCTACCTACTGCCGAGGTGGCTATGCAGATGGTACGGGAGCTGATGGGCCGGACAGAAAAACGCTCGGCAGTCGGGGTAAGGGTGCCACCTCTACTTCCCTCTATGGTCATTGATCTTCACTCAGAACTGGCTACACCTTCGCGCCCTTCTCCAAACTCGCTGCTCGTTAGGAATCAGGAGTCCATCTCCCGATCACAAGAAGATTGGCAATGCTGTCGCCCTTCTAGGTGCGTATGAGAAGCCTTATCCTGTGGAGATGGGTGTTTGATGGCCGCTAGCGTCTAAGAGCGCTTGTTTTACGGCGGCGCCTCGACCTTCCCAGATTTATGATATTTGACAATCAGTCCACAACAACTCGTATAGGAGTGTCAACACTGATCCAATCGCCATGAGATAGAATAATGAACTCTGTCTTTAGCACTTCCTTTTGGCAGCGGCAGTCCTCACCGGCTGTTGCAGGTACAGCACTCTCAGGCAAGAGCACATCAACTTGCGCCGCGATCCCGGCTGAAAGATTGTGAAGTACCTGCACATCTGCTCAAGATGTGAGGCGGTAGATGTCGCGCATTGTGAGAAAGGTGGTCCAAACTCACAGCCGTCGAACCCGACAAGTGCGGCTACAGTGCCCCCAAAACTAACGCTGCGACGACGCCAGGCATGCGTTTGCCAAATCTGGGACGTCTCATGAAGGCCTGCTTGCTGCGCCCGTCTAGCCACCGATGGCTTTGTCCAGCAAAGCCCCGAAAAGGGCCGATTCTGTATGCCTATGTAGTCCGGCTGCCCGGCTTCCTAGTAAGAGGCCAGCCATGCGGTGGCAAGCCGATCTTTCAGTGCAGCCCATATCGTTCGCCTTCCGGCTTCCGCACACTATAGGCAGCTCCAGGGTGTCCGCATGCTACTATCGAAGCCTTCCACATAGTGAAGACGAGCCAATATCTTGTCGTTTATTCGATGCTACTAAGCTTCGTCTTCCCGTAAGCTCCGCCCATCTTCTTCCGCTCCTCTAACGCTTTTCGGTATGGAGGAGCGGTGGGGGGTTGTATAGGATCGAGGCTGACATGGCCTTCCGGCAGCTTATGGCTCGCATCTGCGTCAAATGCGCTCAGATCACCGCATGCTAAGAACGGCGCGATCCAGCGGATTTCGCTGTCCTCTGCGTCTGAGTCAGACCCTAGGTCAAGCTCGGTGATGCCATCTTCACGGATTGTACGCGATGGACCAGTCTGGCTATACGGAAGCTTTTGGGAAGTCCGGATACTGCGGCCAGCACCCAGGGGCTTCTCAAGGCTAGCTTTGAACCCCTTCGGAGGGCGGAAATTGGTGCAGACAACAAATGCTTCAACACTGCTGGCCCTACTACTTCTCGGCTTGGCGACTGCGACAGTCTCGAAGACGACCTTCAGCTGAGCATAGAGCAAGTCGACATCCTTGCTCCGGAAAATCTTGGCCACAAACCTGCCGCCGGGTTTCAGTACACACAAGGCCAGGTTCAGCGCAGCCCAGAGTAGTTGTGATTGGACGTATATATCCAAGTCATGCAAGCCTGTGACGTCCGGTGCACCGTCCGATATCACAAGATCGACCGCATGAGCGGTCTCGATAGAGGTTGAGGCCGGGTCATAGTCAGGGTCGAGCGCCTTGAGTAGTAAAGGAATGGTGGAGGGGTGGGTAATGTCTGCCTTAAGACATATGATGCCCTCGAGCGGCGACATGGGTTGCAGATCAATAGCTACAATCTTGACATCGTTCCTTGGACTGACTGTTCGCGCGGGGGCCAGAGCATCTGAATCTTGCATGGATTCGTCACCAGTCTGGCGCAGTTGCAGAAGCTCTTTGTACCGCTTGTCCTCCCATGCCGCCCTACCGATCCTTTGACCTTGGATCAGCACGCGGGACAGAACCTGCGACCAGCTACCAGGCGCAGCACAGAGATCGACAACGCGGGACACATCTTCGAAGAGATTGAACTCTTCGTCAAGCTGGAGGAGTTTGAACGCGGATCGCGCTCGCCAGCCCTGTTCCTTCGCTAGACGGTAGTAGGCGTCTCGCTTGTCCTTTGACGACTTGCCCATCGTTGCGCGCCGTGCGCAAAGGGTTCTACATGCAGCCACTGCTGACAGGGTTGACTATTGTGAAAGATGTGAACATATCCAGCCGCGTTTTGTGCAGGGTTCTATGTCTGTGCATGAACGACTTCCTTAAACGGCAATGACAATGGGGCTAGATCCGCTCCGGCCGAAGATGCCGAGAACGTTTGCTTGGTTATTGCGCACGCCGAGAGCTGCCTGTATGGAAGTGCTCGCTCTCTAACTCGCACTCATACTCCACAAAACCTCGAGTATTACATCCAGCAATGTCTCAATACGATGGTAGGAAGACTATGTGCGAATATGTCTGTTGCGGCTGGCTGTTGACGCATTATAGTGGAGCACAACGTTCCCAGAGAGCAACATGACACCTCGCAACCCCGCCGTCGCCCAGATCTCTCCACATTCTTCAGCACCTTAGACTTCGTCGACACGTCTGGCTCCCGACAACCGCAGAATGCGAACTCCGTGCCCTTGCCTCGCGATATCGCGGCGGCGTTTCGCAATCTTGCAAATGCGTTCGGGATGATGCTTGTAGGTGGCGAAACGGCCCAGGATGCTGGCCGCAACGAGCTTCTCTCGAACCTGGTTGAGAGCCTCATGCACTCTGCCGAGCATCCGCCGTCAGAAGTGCAAGGCGTGAGCGACGAGTTCATCGAACAGTTGGATCGGGTGCCAAAGAAGAAACTCAAGGCCGAGATGAGCTGTCCCATTTGTTCCAATCCGTTTCTGGAAGGTACGTAGTCAACCAGTCTTTCGCCTGGAGAACAAGAATACGTCGGTGCTGACTTTGTCAGACACGCATCCACTCGTCGTTCAACTACCGTGCCACAAGGACCATCTTTTCGACCTTGAGTGCATCCAGCCATGGCTCAAGCTAAATCCCACCTGCCCACTTGACCGGCAAGTACTGATCAAGAAAAAACCTCCACCTCCTCCGAAGGATGACGAGGATGGCGAGTATGATGACATGTATGCATGATCCGTAATGATTGCGACGAAGATTTGCAGCATAGCAACGGCGTCCGGAGCAATTAACGACATACGATCTACGTCGGCCTGTCTCGGCCCCTCCCACATACGAGTCGTACACTGTTCGGGTCCTTTGTATGCAGCCCTTGAGCGCTGCCGTTGGGATTTGGAAAACGCGTGGGAGACTTTCATCCGTTGCGTTTAATGTACATATCAAGACGGACCGAGATTCGCTTGGTTGTGGTCTCGAGATACACACAATACTGACGACTTTTGCCGACAAGATTGTGCTCGTCACACACGACGCCGTGGTCGAATGCTACGAGAACCTGGAAGCCCCATGAAGCACGCAAGGATGCCTCGAAACACCAGACCATGCTTTTATCCGGAGTTTCCCCATGATTTTTAGCGTGGCGCTTCGTCTCCGCCAATCACAGGCGGCAATCGCACCTCATCTCATCACGAAGCGCCCATCCCACCCAAGCATTTGACCCTTCGACTCCAGCTGCATGGAGATGGTGACAACAGGTGCAATTGGTGCTCATCAATGGCTTGTTCTTCCCGGCGCGTAGTGAACGGTTGAGATTACCGACAAGGCGAGTATCTTCCTGTGCAATCTGTACTGCTCGTACCAACGTTACCACTCCTTATCAATCCTCCTACCTCGTCGTCTTCTTGCACTTCTCTGTCAAACTCGCGCGCCGGGAAGATTTGCAGGCAGGCCTGTGTCATCTCCACGAGCGACGCATTCTAACGACAATGCTCCCTGCGCGGTTCCTTCTCGCCTGCATCGCAGCAGCGCCAGTGCTTTGCCAAACAACAAGCATTGTAGACTCTGTGGCCAGTCCCAGCACCACGCTATCGACCGCACCACTCAGCCTGCTCCAAAAGCGGCAGTCCCAGTCCACATCAATACAGGTCGGCGCAACCCAAACCCAACCAACTCTCGCGACCGGCACGAGCAGCGCCTCCGCCTTGGACGCCACCTCATCGACGACCGCAAGCACGACGTCCACAGCGTCTCCACCCGCAACATCGGACTACAACGGCTCAGATCCCAGCACCAATAATGGCGGCGCCACAGTCGACACAGACGGCGGCGCTTCCGGGTCCGGGCAGTCATTCGGGATAAGTCAAGGTGGGATGATCGCCATCATTGTCGTAGTCGTGATCGTGGCGGTGTTCGGCAGTAAGTCGCCATTCCACCTTTTCCACTTCTTCGCTGCAAAATGCTGACAAGATATCAATAGTTGCCTCGACCATCCTCTTCGTTCTTGCTAAACGCAGGCAATGGAACATCCGCGCCTCCATCGCACGCGCGGCCGAACGCCTTGCCACGCCACTGACTCCCCGCTTTCCACGCACGGCGCGAACGCCGGCACTGCAGATGTCGAAGCGTGGCGGCGGCAGTAATCGGCGTGTCACTGTGCATGCGGGCAGATTCGCTGGGTCCAAGCCTACTCGAGACGAGGATGCGACACCGTTGAAGCCGTATGGGCATAAGCGAGGACCGAGGGTCGAGGAGACAGATATCGAGAAGAATTCAACGGCGAGCTCTAAGCTTGAGGAAAGGAGCTGGACTGCACGGCTGATGGGGAATGACTGGAAATCGTGAGCTCTGGCGATTGTTCTTTTGCAGGCGAACGGGTCTGTACGCTCGTAGAGGGTGGCTCGTGTTTGCTTGAGCATGCTTGTAACAATAACGGCCGCACTGGAGAACAGCTCGAATGTCATGATTGGCTGATGCACAACGACCACCTTGAACCTTCATCGAGCTCACTCCACCACAGTGTCCTCCTCAGCCTCTCCACTGCTCTGACTCAGCCTCGCGGTTCCGTCCACCTCGCCTTTCACCTTCCCCTGCGTCTGTCGCTCCACGATTGCATCTATATCCTCCCCATCATCATCGTCGATTACGGTCGTATTCCGCTGACTCTCGCCACCGCGAGAGTTAGACGGCCTCCCATCCTCCTCCTCAAGCTGTTTAGCGTGCTGTAAGCGCTTGATCTTGCGGGTGAGCACCTTATCACGGTGCAAATCGTCCCTGGCCAGCATTTGCTGACACCCGCCACATGGGCATTGCACGCTTTGCTTGCCGCGTAAGAGTTCTGTGATCGCGCTGGCCTCGAAGCTGTGGTTGCACTTTCTGGAAGTCAGAGGATCGCGGAACTCTTGCAGTGTCAGCGGACATTTGGTGCTGATCGTAGCGCGTGAGATTGCAATATCATCGTCGTCTTCTTCTTCGTCTTGTGCATGTGTCGTAACGCCTGGCGGTGGAGCTTCAAACTCCTGAAACCAGGTGCGCTTTTCGGGGACGGGAACTTTGTCGTCACCTCCTTGTTGCGCGTCGTGCACTAACCGCTTGAAATCGACGTAGTCGTTGTTCTCCGCGTAGCGGTTGTACAGGCTGTGACTCTGATAACGCGTCTTCGCATCTTCTAGTTTGTTTCTGAAACTCTCACTGGGAGCGCTTGGCCGCTGGGTGCCGCTCGTTGGATCAGTAGGCGTGATCTCTGGGTACTCTTCATCTTCGTGGTTGTCTCCTTCGTCGTCCGAGCCCGCAATCCTTCGCGATCGGCGTTGTGAAGGCAGCTGCTGCGTGCTAGCCTGCGTATTTGCATTGGCTCTGGCCTCACTCATTGCTTCATTCAGGCTGTCTTTGATCTGCTCCACGCCGTACTTGCCGTCGATCATCTTGCGCATGCTCTCCTCCATCCGCTGCGTCATCCGAACCACCTTATCCTCCAGCTCAGCCAGGCTGCGCAGATGCTCGTCGTCGCTGCCCTGGCCGCTCTCCGGCGTGCTGGCTTCGGCAGCATCGCGTCGACGCTTCCTCGGCCGTTGGTCACGCTTCGCGCGTAGCCGGTCATTGATCTCTGCCGCGCAGTTACCGATTGCCGACTGCGCCTCGTCAATGTGCTTGTCAAGCTTGGTCAGGTGTTGGTTGCGCGCGGCCAAGTCAGCAAGAGCACGTTGTGCGGCAGGGTTTAGGGAGAAAGTGGGCAGCTCGTAGGATGGCAGCTGATTGTTCGAACTGGTGCGACTTTGTGTGGACGGAGCGATCGTTGAGCGTCGAGTTGCTGGTGTGCCTGACACCACCGAAGCACGAGAGCTGCGAACCGATGGTGTTGCCCGGATGCTCGCTGTAGTCATTGTTGGTATGATGTGCAGTGATGACGGAATGTCCAAATGTAAAGAAATCGGTGGAGGACGCGATTGAGCGAAGAACGCGTTCACTTGCCTCAGGCACAGCATCGGCTCGGTCGCTCACGAGAAACTGAACCCCGGGCATCAGAGAAACCAAAAGGGAAGCGGTTCAACGGCATCAACGTGATCACGCTGTAACAAGCCGTCTGGCATTGACATGGTATCTTCCCCCACTATCTACCATACTAACACCGACGCCGGAATACTTCCCATCCCCAATTTGTCCTATGTGGCCCAAGATCAAAATCTAATCTGCACCAACTCCTACGCGAACTCGACACGCGCTCACTTCGTGATGAAGTTTAGGTAGTCTGCAACAATCAAGGTGACCATGGCGTGTGGCGCGATGCTAAATCGATATGTCAGCTTGGTTCCGGCAAGCCGTGTTGGCATGATTGATGCTCACCGAACATAGTACGTCGAAAAGCCACGGTAGAACCTTAGCGGACCTTCTTCGCGGATGACCTTCTGGAAGCAGTCGAACATGCCCTTGTACGGTAAAGTCCCGTCTGGTCCCTTACTCTGCTTCTGCAACCGCGTCTTCACAAAGTCGAATGGCAGCGAGAAGAAACTGGCAAAGAAACCTGCGATAGCACTCGCAGTCAACGTCTGCGCCCGCGGCCCCATGGAGGTACTCTTCAGCTGCGCTTTTGCCTCGGAGAAGAAAGCGAGCTGGCCGAAGTTCAGTGCCATGGCGCGGACGACAGTGGGGTATGCACCAGCCCAGAGTCTTAGTACGCCTTCGTTCCGTGCAATTCGCATGAGCGCGTCGCCGACACCTCGGTAGTTCGCTCGCTGACCCGCTGGTTTCAGGCCGTCGGATTGCATGCGAATGAGAGCCAAATCTGCCGGGTTGCCTAACATGGCCGCCAGACCGCCTGCCGCCAGACCAGCCGTAGCACGTTCGCCAAACCCTACCTTCTTCCCTTGGCTCTTCGCCCGCTCACCCAGACTCTTCATGAAGGTGTCGAAGAAACCCAACCGTGCCGTGGTGTAGACAGCCTGCCGTAGCAGACCGGCGGACAGCCCGGTGTAGAGGTCCAGCACTTTCCCGGACGCGAGGATATCTCTCGTCACGCTGATTGGTGTGGGTTTGGGACCTGTTTTGACGCCTTCGCCTGCTAGTTGCAGCCGCACTTTGATCATGTCAACGGGCTGGATCACAGCCGTGGCTGACATGCCTGCTAAGCCGCCGTTGACGAAGGGCAACGCGGCACGCATGATGGGAGACTGCAGGAAGTCCTGGGTCACTGCCTTGGGATCTTCCCGCGCCTTTTGAACCATCGCTGGTGCATCTGCGGCCATGTCTTTGGCTGCCACGAGGGCGGCGTCGGTCTGCCGCTTTGCGGCTTCGAGAGTTGAGCTCATTGTGGAGCTTCAATGTTCAAAGACACTACAACGCTGAACAAAAACCAACGTCGTGGAAGCCAATGCTACAGTTACCGCTCGCTGCTATTACTGCTGCTGCTCGGGGCGGACGGTCTGCTCGTGGAGAATGCTGGTTAGCAGTGTTGCAGAGTGGTTGCAGCGTACAGAGTGAAGATATTCGAGCCAGCAAAGTCAGGTGGCGTAGTGACTGCCATGGTCTCGACATCCCGATCGCACCCGGTACGGCTAACAGGTGCTTCGCGACAACTCACCTTCGCAGCGACGTCGGCACTGTTTGCGTGCCCCGCAACTAAGCCACGAGCCCTGCTTTCCCTCCAGCCAAGTCGTCGCTTTCGTCTCGCTTCTGCCAGAGATCTCCGAGAACACGGTATAATGTTGCTATAACAGACAAAGCAGAGTGCAAACGATTCGGCCAAGAGGGTGAGGAGTAGAAGGAAAGGTCACCTGCTCGGCTTCTTGAAGCAGCTCGAGTCCATCAACCCGCTTGACCGCCCATGCAGCTCCAAGCTTGGAGGTACATCGAAAGAAGTACTTATTGCGGGGAAGCGCGAGAGCTTTGCATGTTTTGGGGCGCGAGGCACATATCAGCGTTGCGGAGTCTCGGCCTCGGAGGATGGAGAGTAATAATGCGATGAGGCTCTTCAGGGGCGCCTGGATTCATCTGTGCCTCTTCCGCTCGTGATGGACCGTGTTCCCTCAACGATCCGCCCACGGCAACCGGAGAGTAGCCGTGGGGGCGGCGGAGCGATTGTTCTAAGCGCATCAACCCGAGACCGCATCTGCCGGTCTGATTGACTGTTGGAGCCACTCCTGTCATTGCATTGGACGCTGCGCACATTGTTGGAGTCAATCATTTCCGCATCTTATTATGCTTTTGTGTTGTATGAGCCGCAGATGGGTGGAGTGGTAAGCCTCGAGTGCGCGTGCCCGAGCTTGGCGAGTGTGGAGAAGCGTGCGGTTGCCACTCAATGCAGTCTACGGAGGCCTCACTACAACATAGAACTGTCATGATACACATATGTATCAGCACCTGTTGCAATGCATATAGAGACGGTGGTGCGAGATGTGTATTCCTCACAGCTGTGAATGTTCGCCGTCGTTGATCCATCGCTAGTCAGCACGTGCGACTCCAAGGTTGGTGTCAGCGGCCGAGCCCGAGCAAGGGTCCGGCGCCCAAGCTTTTGAGATTTGGATGGAAACACTCGACAGCTTTCCATCATCGCTTTGGTATTCGAGTTTCACACTCAGCCTTGGTAGTGCAAGTGCTACTTCATAGAACTTGCTCGAATACATTCTGGTCTGATTAGATGGCCCTCGAGCTGTAACGACCATCTTGCGCCTGTCCATCACCGCTCCACCGTACACACGACCGGTCAATAGCTACTGGATACCTGTACCCCTGCAGCCACCTCGGATACCGACATGGCTAGCGACACTGCGAACGGCGTCGCCACGCTCGGCGAAGAGCTCAGCCCTGCCCAGAAGCTGCTTCAAGAGCATCAAAAGGAGCAGGAGATGCACCACGCCTACGTCGAAGATGACCCGGACGAGAGTGGTGCTGCCAAAGCAACTGCTCCAGCGGCTGCTCCATCTGTCCCCGCCCCAACCGATTCGTCTGGTGCTAACGCTCCGTCCGCCGAGCCTGTTATGTCCTCCAAGGCTGCGGGAAAGCAGCCGATGCGTGAAGAGCAGACAACTGCTGGCGCAAGCAAGCCTCGCATCGATACCGCCTCCGAAGAAGCCTTCCCAGCTCTGAGCGCTCCAAAAGCGCAGGCAGCGGCAGCTCCGAACATGTGGTCGAAGAAGCCAGCAGCCGTCGGCAAGGCGGCGAACGGCATGGCGAACGGCGCACCCAACGGTAACTCGGCCTCGAATGTATCATCCCGCACTGATACTCCGCTTCCCGGCGCCATGACCCCGAGCTCGACTGCTGCCTCGCAGGGCAGTCCGATGCAGCTTCCAGGCCGCCAGAAGGAGCAGATTGTCTTGCCAATCTCCATGATGACCCCTCGTAACCAGCTGAAGAAGCCGATGCCTGACATCATCCGTGACATCAACAAGCGCTCCAAGGCTACCATCGCTTACAGACCTGGGCCAGCTGGAAACCTGATCTTCGAAGGCACTGGGCCTACCGATGCCGTCCGCACCTCACTCAAGGAGGTTGTTAACCAGCTCTGCTCTAACCAGAAAGTCCAAGTCCCTATTCCTGTCTCAGTTCGTGGCAGAGTCGTTGGCAAGCAAGGGGCTACCATCCAAGCCATTTCGAAGAAGACGGGTGCTAAGATTAACATCTCCAAGCAGGAGGCCGCAGAGCTTCTCGAGGAGGATGATGCAACGGTTGACGTGACAATCGAAGGCGACCCATTTGCGGTTCAAATGGCAAGGCAAGATATCGAGAAGATCGTGGCGGAGCATACATCGACCATCAACTCGAAGCTCAAGCATATTCCCGCCGAGTATTACCCGTTTTTGGCCTCACAACAGCAGGCTCGCATGAACGCTTTGCGCCAGCAAGGCCAGAACATTAACATGCAGATTCCGCAATATCATACCTGGAGTCAGCAGGCCCCGGAAGTGCCTGGCAATCGGCAACCTGTCTCCTTCGCGCCTCAGCCCGACTTACCCATCCAGCTCTCTGGCGACCGTCAAGCTGTTGCGGAAGCGAGGGCGGAGATCGAGAGGCAGGTTCAGGAGCTCCAGCGGCAGCTGACGTTGGAGCAGATGGCGCTTGAACGTGGACGACATCAGTTCATCGTTGGCGAGATGGGCACAGATCTGCAGAACTTCCTCCGCGAGACTGGGTGCTCGATTATTCTACCGCCGGACCACGACGAATCCGAGATGATCACCATTGTGGGCCCACCAGATAAGATCGAGGAAGCAGTCAACAAGGTCTATGATCTTGCTTCGGCTATGCAGAGCTCCAACGCGGACATCTCCAAGCAGTTTGCGAACGCCCCACGTGGAGCGCAGGCTCACGTTCGGGACATGACCCGGTACTTGCAGCAGCGCCAGGCTCTTGCGGAGATTGAGCGTATGCACAATGCTCGGATCGTGCCAGACAGCACCGGAAACTGGCAGATATACGCTCGTGATCCGAAGAGCATGATGAAGGCACGCGCCGACCTTATGAACCTGGTCAGCGGCCATCCACCAACTCGCTTTCAACCGGTCGATGTCGATCCGTACTTCCACTCCCATTTGCGTGAGCAAGCAGCGCCGCGCATCCGGGACGAGCACGGTGTCCATGTGATCGTGCCCGACGATGATGACTCGCCTGTACTTCTTGTCTTCGAGGACCGAGCGCCTGCGCCGGACTACGATCTGCCACGCAGACAGCCGACTTCCCAGGATGTACAGGCCTTCCAGCAGGCTCTCGAAGAGGCTCAGCAACAGATCATCAACTTAATGAACGGACACCAAGAGATTGTTTCTCGTGACGTGGAGGCGCCTGTCAAGTTCCATGACAAGATTCGACGACACGTGGACAGGCACCATTCTGCCCTACCGGAGGGCCAGATTCCGGTTCAGGTCAACTATGGCGGCATGCGTCAAGCAGGCCAGAGGGGCGGCCAAGTACCGAACGTCAGCTTACGCGGCCCCCAAGACTTTGTGGACGCGCTCAATGAGAGCTTGCTTGCCTTTGTTGCGCAAGAGGAGCAGGATGAGCTCGAACGCGGCTTCACGCTCACGTTTGAGTTCCCACAGCAGTACGCCAATCACTTGATTGGCCGCAAGGGCGAGAACATCAACCGTCTGCGGGAGGAATTCGACGTTGACATTCAAGTCAGCGACGGCCAATGTACTATCAAGGGACCGGAAGCGAAGGCCAACGCCTGCAAAAAGCACATCCTTGAGATGGCGAAGAAGCTCCAAGATGAGACTACTCACAACCTCAACATCCCACAACAGTATCACCGTGATTTGATTGGACCGGGTGGTTCTCAGATTCACAGGCTGCAGGATCGGTACGGTGTCCACGTCAACTTTCCTCGAACGCGCCAGACCGGCGACGAGGAGGGTGGCGACAACCGCCGAAGCCACCAGGAGCCGCATATAGTCGTCGTCAAGGGCCCGAGCAAGGGCGCAGACGCGTGCCGTGATGAATTGCTGAGTCTGCTGCAGTACGTAAAGGACAACTCCTTCACGACTACAGTGTCCGTCGCCCAGAGTCTGCTGCCTTCGCTCATCGGTTCGGGCGGCAAGGAGATGGAGGCCATGCGTCTCGAGTCTGGCGCGCATATTGATGTGCCCAACTCGCGCGAGATTGGGTCTGATGGCCGCGCGGAGATCAAGATTAAGGGCTCAAAGCAGGCTGTTGAGACGGCGAAGAAGATAATCGAGTCTAAGTCTAAGGCTTTCGATGATACTGTCACGAGGAATATGGACGTTGATCGCAGGCATCACAGGCTGATCATCGGCCCGCAAGGTATATAATCCCATCACAATGGCTGTACGCTTAGAGCTAATATCATCCAGGTTCTACCCTTCGGAATATCATCTCCCAGGCCGGTGGTCCAGATGACCCTCGCATGCACAACCGCATGATCCGCTTCCCGAAGACGGATGCCGACGGCAACAACATTCGCCTTGAGGGTCAGAAAGCTGTTATCGACCAGATCTGTGCCGCTATCGAAGCCTTGGTCCAGGAACAAGAATCGCAGACGACGGACGTTGCTGAAGTTCACCCGGACAAGCATCGTCTATTGATTGGTCGTGGTGGCGAGACGAGACGCCAGCTGGAGCAGCAGTTCGGCGTATCTATCAACGTTCCTCGCCAGACCGACACAGGCCCCCAGCGCTCGCACGTCCGCATTGCAGGACAAGCTGAGAATGTCGAGCGCGCCAAGGCGCACATTCTGGACATAACAAAGGATCAAGAAGGCGAGACGATAAACGTGCCGCGCCGCTTCCACCATTCCATCGCAGACAACGGCCAATTCTTCCGTCGTCTGCGCAACGATCACAAGGTCACTGTCGACCACGCCGGTCAGCGCCCGCCTCCAAAGCCGTCGACTCCAACACCCAACCGCAACGCCGATGGCGGGGATATGCCGCTGATCACAGACGACCCTTCCGCAAATACCAACAGCCACTCGTGGGAGACGCACAATCTCCACTCCTCTGCCGAGGATGGCGAGATCCCGTGGGTTCTCAGCGGCCCCTCGCCCGAAGCCATCGCAGCTGCTCGTGCGAAGCTCGACCGTGCCATGGAGGAGGCTGGGAGGCAGGATACGGTGGGTTTCTTGATCCTGCCGGATCCGAGAGCGTATAGGCATGTCATCGGCCCGGGCGGGAGCGTGATCAACGGCATTCGGAAGGAGACGGGGACCAAGATTCAGGTGCCAAAGGATTCGAGTAAGGGCGAAGCTATCGAAATTACAGGCGATAAAGCGGGTGTGGAGGGTGCGCGGGAGCGGATTTTGGAGGCTATTGCGCAGGGTATGCAGTGAGGGAAAGGTACCACTGTCGATACATTCGGAGGATGATGCCGAAGGTTTGATTTGTACATCGAGCGCAATATGGGTGGGCGTGGAGCCAGATACTCTAGGCATGTTGGCGGTCAAAGTGCTCTCCGTGCATGTAGCATAAGCAAACAGGAAAAGCATCATATATCCGTAGCATGTACTTGTTTTACCATCTATTCACGCTTGATCTTAGTTTCCGGATATGGAACGCCATATATAACTTCTCGTGGCAAACATGACATAGCCTGGACAACGTATCCTGGTCACCGACGATCGAAGCTGGCCGTGTAAGAGCGTACAACTCTGCGATCAACAAGCAGGCCAATGCCCACCTTAATCGGACTGCGAACAGCGAAGACATCATGTCACGTCTTTCGGAAATGCTTAGAGAATATCATAGCACTGTGCTTTTCGGTCGCAGTGCCCGAGAACCGCACAGAAGCCTCTGCGCTATCGTTTCGCCGCCTTCCCTTTGACTACTATCACAGCTCCGGCTGGCTCGATCCGCCATCCCTCATTCCGTAATGCCTTGCTGACCGCAGGCCCCAGCTTCCCCTTGCCGCCTTCACTATGTCGACCCAGACCTACGACAATGTGATACCCAGCTGATCGCTCAGTAGCGCCCAGCCTACCATTAGTCCGGCTTTCGCCGAGACCCTGCCACCACTCATCCGCTTTCTCCAAAGCGATGCGTACGCCGTTCAATACATCAATGCCATGCAGATCCACTTGTGTGGCGCTCGATTGAGCGGCGGCGAGTGCATCAGCTGCTGCTTCAGAAGCGGCGTGCGTCCGCGCGCCGTATTCGCGGCCCAGCTGTCCGTAGTATGCCGCTGCGCCACCCATTAGGCGGTCAGACTTGGCTCGACGGTGGGCGGCACTCGCTTGCGAGAAGGCTGCTGATCGTGCAGATGCGTAGGCAATTGCTTGGGCAGCTGCAGGAGGACTATCGACGTCGCTCCATTGAATGCCATCTCGCTTGCGCGTCTTCTGCGCTGCAGGTTGGTATGAATCGTCGTCTGATGTGGAAGGGGCAACGTAGCGTGGAATGATATGGATGCCGCCTCCTTCAACCGACCGAGGTTTCTTCGTTAGAGCTTCGGCGAGCTCGAACGCGGCAGTAGTCGAAGGATGCGTCAAGCGGATGATAGCCGCTAAGAAAGACGGCGCGATAGTTGGGAAGGTGTGACCAAGGTCTCGCGCATGCGCGGCAACTGCCGTGTCGTCTGTTACAATGTGTTTGCTCTCCTCCATCGTAAGCTTGAGCAGGGCGCTTATAGTTTGTGGCACAGAGGCGCCCTTTTCGTTGTAGACAGATGTCACGGTTGTGGAGGATATGCGCGTTCTAGACGCAATAAAATCCACATCATCGCTTGCTGTCTGCCATTTGTTCGGAGTATGCACGGGTGACTGGGAAGGCGACACTGGCAACGAAGTGGCTCGACGAGTATCAAGCTGCTTCAAGCGCTTGCTTTTCGATTTGGCCTTATGGCTGTGCTTCGACGCGCCTTCGTCAAAGAAAGCCTCAATGCCTTTCACAGGGACCTTTGCGCCTGTCTCGCTGTCTTCTGCCTCTTCGAAGTAGACCTGGTTTAACAGCTCCTCCATGGCTGCCTGCCATCTGCCACTACACTTACGCAAAGTGTGCGCAATGCTGTAGGTGGACACTTTCCCAGCAAAGACATCCTGCAGAAGCCGGAGTTTCGTCTCCTCGTCCAAGCCTTCTAACTCCTCCGCACTGCAGACAGGCCCTTCAGAACTAGTCGCGAAGTCTTCCAGCTCAAACGTAGACAGTCTGTTCGAGAGGCTCGAGAGATCTGTCTCGGCCGTTTCAGAGTCGTTGGTCTCCGACCGCGACTGTGCGCGCTTGCTATTGGGATGGTCCACATCCTGCGCACCGGTGCCAGAAGGGTCAAAGCCTGCTGCTTCTTCTACAAGAGCGGACTCTTTCAACTCATCTAATGTCCGTCGCGCAGTTTGCAATGCGGCTGAATCCTCAAGGTCATAGTCTAATACAATGGCAGACAGTAATGCAGGATCCAATGGCGGGCAGTATTCTGCCTCCAGTTGCGCCAGAGCATCACCCATCCTCAATATCCTGATAGATTGTTCTGGATCCGGGCTTCCTGACGAGCGTCATCTTCACGTACCGCTAGGCGTTTCCGGCATGTTATGCTGGTGCAGATGATGCGTGTGGCGGTAGCTGGAACATATGGCTTCGTTTGTGTGAAATGTCGAGATCGTGAAGCGGTCATGACCCGGCCCGAGCTCTGAGCCGCCTTGAGCCGCGTCCCACCTCTGGTAGAGCATCTCCCTTGCACGAAATGCTACTCGCATGCACTGCTGTTCAGCACGAGTTGCTACATGCATGAGTTGACGTCAGGCGATTCTCTAGTGAAGATGCCGTGCCCAGCATGCGGCAGGGTTGGCGTTTACTACCAGCTTTGGTAGCATTCCCTACGAGCCCTTCGGACGGAGGATTCTCTATGATGCACAAATATCTCTCTGAAGAGGCACGCTGATGAAAAGCCAAGTGCAATCGTAGCCAGCGTGCTATACAAGGTTAAGTACCAGTCCGGGGACATGCGGGATTGTGGCGAGAGCGACTACGTAGGTCGCAGCTCAGCGGAAGCAGCATAGACAAATCCACAGAGGAGGTGCAGAGCCACACGCAGCGACAAGCTGTAATGGAGTCTGCGAACAACCTCGGTTTACGGAACATCATTCCAGTGTCGCCATCGTAACGACATCAATACCTGAGCGATACCGACTTCTCTGTCCCTGGTAAAGGGATATATCAGTCCTCCCGGATCTGACCCGCTGGTAGTCGCTGAGAGAAGTGATACGCAGGAGACGTTAAGGGTTTAACACTCTATCGCAAGAGAAGAATGCTGCTGTTTCTCGGCGCTGTGTTGTCTACTCGCCAACATCTTCGACTCGTCCATAGGTTGAACGCTTACAGACGTGGTTGCTGGCTATCAGTCAGGGTCTGGCATCTCCGACAGCTCGTGGCTGAACGATCCGCCTTAACTAACTACAACGTGCTCCAACCGGAAAGGGTCCGCTACGTGGGGATCTCTCAATCGACTGTGAAACGCAGTCTGGACCACAACCCCACTGTCCCCGTTAACGGCAGAGACGGCAAGGGGCGGGAGGAACCTTGGCTTGTCAAGAATAGCAATCGTCGGCTGCACCTGCGTGAGCTGGACAACAGCTACTTTTAAAGCTGCGCATTCCTCACAGATGAAGGAGGCCAGTGGCTGCATGCGAAACATGTTGTTCCACACTCCGCCACCATGGACGCAGCAAGAGGGTCTCAACGTCCTCTTATGTTACCATCTCCGCTCCTTCCACCAGGTCTAAATTACCCTTTCGTCTCGTTTGCAAGCGGTCAAAGTCCAGCTGGATAGCGTATCGTGACCGGGCAGGTACAATGTCCAGCAGCAGCAAGCGGTAAGTCACAGCCGTTTGCGCCTTCGCAGATTCAGTCGGTGCGACAATCGGCTGTCTGCACTTGGTCACAGCTGCCTGACTGTAGAACGAGAGCGTGCAAGGAGCGATCATTTCATCGCCGTACTCGGCACGTTCGCCTAACAGGCGTCCTGAATCGCATAGCACGACCGTCGACCCTGTCACTGTAGCTGCGCCTGGTGGGTAATTGAAGGGTCGCGTCCCGGTGCATTGATTAGACGGGTATGTTAGGTTTCGTTACCTCTACCTGTATGCATCCAAACCCGCGCCCATGGCTATAGCCGTACGTCGCCTACGTGTGCGAATCCGGCCCTGACATGATGAACAGATCGCAAGCACGCCGTACCTCGAGTATGGACTCAATCAGACGAGCGTTCAGATCGATGTTCAAACGCGGGAAGAGAGACAAGCAGGAGCAAAGTAGAGAGACGTCAAGGCCAGCCGTCTCGCAAGGTTCAGCTGCACTACCAAAGAAGGCACCGCAGGCGGTAGCGTCAGGTCAGCAGCAGCCACCGAGAAATATACCACCAACCCATCCACTTGCGACAGGGACGCATGACAAACCTCAACCAGCAATTCCGCAAGCAGATCGTACGAAACCAGATAGTACGCCTGTAGCGACAGTCGCTGGAGGGACAGGAGGTGAAGAAGAAACAAAGATGGAGCCTCTTTCGTTCGCCAGGCCGCAGCCGGAGGAGCCGGCGAGGACGGTGCAGTTCTCCGCCCAAAAGGATGGCAAACCGCCAGCACCGCCACCGAATAAAGATACTGCAGATGATGTGGTACAAATTTCATCAGGCGAGGTGGTGGCGGCAACGACCGCGAGTATGTATACCCATGCTGACCGGTTAGCACGTATCCTAATCAGGAATAGTTCCTCAACCAGTTTCGTTGCTAAATCCTCCAACGAGCGAGCAACAGCAAAAGCTGGTGGACCCGGCGTCCAAGGAGAACGAAACACCAAGAAGCATATCTGCAGTGGAGGATAAAATCCCTGTGATGCATGAGCCACCGCCTATACGAGCCGTCCGCGCTGCACCCGGCATGAGTGCGACCTCTGGGCCTTTGGAAGATTTCCCCGAGGGTAGCTATTGAGACGAAGCTATGCGATACATGATGGCTGGCTTATCTGTTCTGCTCTGCTCTGCAGTGTATCGCCGCTCGGAAAGTCTGCCGTTAGTGACCATTTCCGTTCATCTTCTACGATGCGCGACGTCTCCGCCAATGAAACCAAACGCTGTGTTGGGGTAGGGTTCTTATGCTTCTGTCGAGCATACCATTAGTCCACAGGGCCTGGGAGTACTTAGAAGGCAGAAGAAGCATTAGACAGTCAACACATGATGCTTTCCGCTTCGTGAGTTCTACGGAGTTCGGAGTGCATACTATACCCCGTGCTACTGTACATTAGATCGAAGATATTACCGATCTTACTTGCTCCTAACCCATGTAGGACCGCAAATTGCTGTTGCTGTTGCCACCGCTACTAAGCGGAGAAAGCCGACTTCTGCGTACCATACTGGGCTCCTGGGCTCAGACATGGGAAGCACCGTCACTCCACATCTGAGGTTTGTTGAGCGCCTCGTGCACTGTCCTCGGTCAGCCAACACGAGCGCGCTTGAAGCATGATAGAACTTCATCGATAGGTCATTGAGCGCTCATAGGCCTGCTGGCGTCGCATGATCACCTGAACAAGTACGCTAATGGTGTGGCTGCCGTCTGGACAAGTCTTGTGATACCGTAATCTCGAGATACTGGAGCCCAGCACTTACTCTAGCGCTCGTTGTCGTCAAGATACATAACCTTGAGCCGCATCACGGCGCAATATGATGCAGTTGCCAACACGCCCAAGCTCATCACGCATGGGTAGTCGCTGATCGACACGCTAGAAGCATGACCTGCTTCTGCCATTGGCCTACAGATGCTTCCATGCAGAGAAGGACCGAAAGTTGTCGAGGTTGAGTTTGGAGGAAAAGCTTTGGAAGCTGTGGAAGAAGTTTGTTCCCCGCAGCATGCACCTTTCTGCCAGTCGTCACTCCACACCTCGGACCTTCACCAGCCTCTCAGAACGCAGCAGAAAATCAGCGCCCCGGTCTGGCTCAGTACCTCAAGAATGTATACATGCTGCTGGTGCGCGATAAGCAATACAGCGTGAGTAACGGCATCGGACGTACCGCCGACTTTGATGTGATGATTAAGAAGGCGAGCTGTATGACATGCGCCATTCTACGACCGACGTCGTTGAGCATCGTGCGATCTTTACTCACCGCAACATCAACCTCGAGACGGTTATCTCCCGTGGCTGCTCACAAACGCGCGATGCTGTGGTCCACATATCTTGCATATTCAATAAATCGGCTCCACCTGCAGGCCAGACAGCGCCAAAATCACATGAAGTGGGCCGTGGGAGCCTCCATCTCCAGCAACTCTCCACATAGCGCTATCTGGCCGTGGAGCCCCAAATCTCCCCCAACACCGTTTGCTGCACGACGGACCGAATGCAACGGCACTACTTCGTTACTTCGGCCTTGGCGCTCATGCAGAGTATGCTCGCCACACCAATGCGTTAGTGGGGAAGCTTTGTCGGTCTGGCAGGGCTAGTGTAAAGTCTCAACGACAACAACGTGAAAACGAGGTTCTGGGTAAGCGACTGTGGGTGGGCACCAAGCCGTCCATGGTATGGAGGTGGTGCAACATGTTGCGAAGGCAGGTAAGTATATAGTCTACTGTCTCCTTCATCTCCATGGCCAGGACATCAACACACATCAGCAACTCAGAGCATCAGCAGCAGCACCATCGTCATCTACATTACATTGACATCTGGCCGTTCATTGCTACATATAGCATCCCCTCTTTGATCTACAGTCTCCCCTATCTTGGTCAAGAAGGATATCGAGACACACTCTGGCAAGCTCCAGCGCCAACATCTAGCCTTTCATTACTATTCTGAGCATCCTACCCTTCGTCGACAGTGGTAGAAGCTTCGCCAGCCCCGGGCTCTCGACTCCGATTCTTGGAACACTCCAGCAACCCAGCGCAACCTCACATACTGATCGAGCACCTTTACTCTCACAATGGCAGGCGGCGTCCCCATGAATGTGGCGCCCGTCCAGGGAGGCTTCCTGACTGGAAAGAAGCTCATCTTCCCATTGGCATTGGTCATCTCGTTGTTCTTCCTCTGGGGCTTCTCCTACGGCCTGCTCGATGTCTTGAACAAGCACTTTCAGACCGTACTGGGAATCACCAAACTTGAATCGACCGGGTTGCAGGTCATGTATTTCGGTGGAGGCTACTTCTTCTATTCGCCAATCGCAGCTGAAGTCCTGAAGCGCAAAGGCTACAAGGTCACCATCTTGATGGGTCTTGGGCTCTACTCCCTTGGCGCCATCATGTTCTGGCCAACAGCACATTTCACCACAGCAGCGCACGCAAAGGCAAGCTTCGGTGGCTTCCTGGTATGCACCCTCGTCATCGCTTGCGGCTTGGCTACCCTCGAAACTGCCGCCAACTCTTACGCCGTTGTCATTGGAGACCCAGCGACGGCCTCTGCGCGTCTGCAGTTCTGCCAGTCATGGAACGGCGTTGCTAGGTAAGTTTTACTTTTCAAGTCATTATCAAGCAGTGAAAATACTCACGCCTTTCTCTAGTTTCATCGGACCCTTGATTGCATCCAAGGCTTTCTTCACCGGCGAGAGCCAGAACAACCTGACCAATGTGCAATACGTCTACCTCGCTGTCGCATGCGCTGGTCTTGCCGTGGGCGTGTTGTTCTTCTTCGCCAAGCTCCCAGAAGTCGAGGAACAGACTGTCCGCCGCGGATCGGTCGTCCAAGACGGCACCCTCGAGCTCGGCGTCGGCCATGATGGCAAGATCATCGGCGAAGGCCCGCTCTACAAGCAGTACAACATGATCTTCGGCTTCGTTGCCCAATTCTGCTACGTGGGCGCCCAAGTCACCATCGCATCCTTCTTCATCAACTATGCCACGGAGAATGCCACCTACAGCTCTGCACAAGCTTCGCAGATGCTGTCCTACGCGCTGATCACCTTCACCGTGGGTCGCTTCATTGCCACGGCACTCGCAACGGTTTTCGAATCAAACTTCCTCCTCACCATCTACTGCGTCTGCGCTATCGCCTTCAACGCCTACATTGCGGCTGGTCACGGCAAGGCGGCTGTCGGCGTGCTCATTGCGATTTTCTTCTTTGAGGCTCCCATGTATCCTACCATCTTCACCTTGGGTACTGCCAACCTTGGCCGCCACACGCGACGTGGTGCCGGTATCCTCGTGATGGGAGTATCAGGCGGAGCCGTCTTTCCACCGATCCAAGGCGCCGTGGCAGATGCAGCAGGCACCAGGATCTCCTACGTCGTCCCCCTCTGCGGCTTCGTCGTGGTCTTGGCGTACGTCGTCACTCATTGGGCAAGACATGGCTTCCATGTAATGCGCGTGAAGAGCGAATCTGTCATTGCCACATCGCTCGAGGGTGGTGCTGTTGGTGGTGTCTTGGAGACGGTACACTACGATGAGAAGCGGTTGTCCGTCGCTGCCGTTGAGAACATCCGACGCAACAGCGTTGGCGGATCGGTCAAGGCGGTTACTGGAGGCGTCAATGCCTACTAGATCACTGGGTTAGCGACAGGGATGATCGTCCACTTAGCATCAGCACAGGCAAGGTTGGGCGTCAGATGCATGGCTTACCGCTCAACGACGCTTAGAGTAGCAGAGACAATAACGACCGCACATTGTACATACTGTTTGGAGAACATCGTCCATCTAAGCATCTACTCGCGCTGTGATTTCGCCGACCTCTACCGCTTTCAGTCGCTTGATATAAGTCGAACTCGCCGTTCTGTCAGTCCGGGACACATTGACCGGTCCGCTACTTTGCGCAAATATAGGCGCTGAAGCAAGCTGAACACAGATGAAGACTCATGCACGGAATAGGCATTAACGCTGACCCGTGGATATGTACCTCGCTATGCTCCGTTCTGGCGCTATGCTATACGCTTCGCTAAAGCTCAAATCGCTCAAAGGGAGTCGCACGGTCTTGGACACCAGCTAGACATTCCCAATAACAATCATAAATCGTAACTTGCCATCTCCTCTACCCTTCATGCCACGACCGCTGCCAATCTTCTCCGGCAGTGCAGCAGCTGCGTTACCCGCCGCCTCCTCCGCATTGGCGGAAGTAGGCGACGGTTGCGGCCCAGCAGCGTCATCCGCATCCTCGCCCAACAACCCTTCATCCAGCATAAGCGTACTGCTTTTCCAACCCCACGACTGCGAGAAATTGAATCGATCCGGTGCGCTCTCGTAGACTGACAACATCCGCCCGCCACGAGAGGGTGAGTAGATCTTAAAGTACGTCTTGATCTGCGGCCGGGAATCGACGTAGGGTGGTAAGGTAGGGATATGTGATTTGCGAGATGCCGCGAGCATGCGTTCCGTCTCGGAGTCGTAGTCGGAGTCGTCGGAGTCGGAGGTGGGCGTGAAGACATCGTTGTTGCTGAAGCCCATCGCTGTGGTCGCGGAGATGGGTGCGCTACTACTGGCTGCAATGTCGGAATGGCCGGCTTTGTGGCCGCGGCGGCGTGAGAGAAGACTACGCATCGTACTCGCTTTGATAGTTGTTCCTTCAGCTGAGGACGCGGCTCCGGCGACGGTGGGTTCGAGGTCGCCGGCACTACCTGAGCTCTCGGCACCATCCACGTCCAGACCGTCGCTGCCTACAGTGGTGCGTCTGCGCTGCCTTCGTTCTCGCCGCTCGGAACGCAAGATCATCTCGCGCTCGAGCTGGCCTATACGCTCGTCGACGCTGCCTTGTGCCAAGCCTGCTGTTCCGGCGATAACTTCCTCGGTCTCTCGCTCTTTAGCACGATGTAAGTACACGCCTAGCTGCTTGTTGCGAGTGGTTGCCACTTTCTGTATGTAGATATTCCAGAGGCTGCCGGCGTAAAATACAGTACGTGAGTAGACTCGCTTCTTCTCCTTCAACAACCTTGGGTTCGGAAACTCGGCAGAGAAGCGGAAAGGCGGGAAGTGAGAGTATCGGACATCGACAGCAGGTTCGGAGCTGGGAAAGCTGTTCCGGTCTGCTGCGGCGCTCAGCGGCCGTGGCTGGGACGTGATGGATGCGAAGTCTGAAGCCCATTGTACGTCTTCTGGATGAATCGTCGCGGAGAGCCTGTTCGCATGGCCGTCGCCGGTAGTATTGTTAGATGTGGCAATGATTGGGTCGGCATTACCACCCATGACAATCTAAGGATAAACGAAATGGTTAGCAATCTGCCAGAATATTCAAACGCCTACGCATCGCTACACTTACGTTGCAATCGGCGCTTGGGATCCAGAACTTCCGCGGCTTGCCATTGCCATCCCAGCTGCCGCTGTCGATATCTTCGTCGCCGACTTCAGCCAAGTCTGTAGCTCTTTGCTTGCCCTTTGAGCTGGGTGGCTCTGACGGTGTGGTGATGCTCATGGTAGTGTCGCGGCTTGTTCCGGGAGACACTTCATCGACACTGCACTTCACAGAAAGGTTAAGTTCGAGGTCAGCATCTTTCGCATTCATCACTTTCTGACGCAGCTCCATCTGCTGCCAGAGCGCGTTCGATATGACCTTCTCCGGCATGACCGGCAAACCGAGTGGATCTCGGGCGCGGCGGATGAACTGCAGCTGTTCGAAGTCTAGGTGGATGTAGTGAATACCTTCGTCCAGGAGCACGAGGATGGGCTCGATGTCTGGGTGAGTGTACGGCGAGACCCACGGGTGAAGCGCATCCGGCAAGCCTCGACCGGCATTGTTCTTGCGGTACACACCGTCGAAGCGAATCGCCATCAGGCTGCTCGCATCTGGTGCTTTCTTCACTTTCCGCCTACTGCCTGGCTCGACTAGGCCTGCTTCGATGGCACGAGTTCGTAGTCTACGGTCTAATATGCGTTTGGCGAGGACCCAGCGATCCCACTCCCCATCTATGAAGAAGCCATCGCCGCCGACAATCTCGCGGATTATGTCGCCGGGTATGCCATCCCAGTAGCGGAGTGGCATTCGCCAGCCGTCTCTACACAACATCGCTTTCGCACTTGCCAGAATCTTGTCGCCAGCCCTGCCGTAGTAGTTTGATGTCACCAGCTTGATTAGTGGACTGATGCTTTCCGGCGTCATTTGACGCAACATGCTGCCGATCGAGTCATCGATCAGATCTTGCATCTCGAGCCAGCATCCTGTGGCAAACAAGCCAACAGCGTCGCCGTCCTCTTCCTGCAAGTCACTAGCGCCGTATAGACGCTTGAGTGCAAGCTCGAAGCTTGCTTGGGTAATCGAGCCATCGATCTCTTCTGGGCGCACTACGATTTCAGTGGCATTGGCTTCAAGCCATGGCTCCGACAGTGCCGAAGTGAAGAACGGAGCCTGATCAAGGACGATGCGGTGGAGCTTGTACTGCTGCCCAAAAGCTCTGACGGTAATGTCAGAATGTCTGCCGTCGAGTAGTCCGCGGGTGTAGAGATGGTTCGGAAGATCAGCAACACGGCGAGTATGCAAATTGCGGTTATATGTAGAAGGCTGCCGCTGCCCGCTGAGGTAGGAAGGATGTCTCGAGACATCCGGTGACGTTGCGGCTTGGACAGCGAAGAGACGGCTTAGCGTTGTGAGAGTCGTCGACTGTTGCCTGTCTATACTCGCTCTTCCAGTCGCTGGCGGTGTAGTCGGATCGTCTGCATCCTTCTCCACCTGCGGCAATCTTCTCCTCTCCACCGTATCCCGCACTTCGTCCGCACGTGACGGCAGCCTGGTTGGACCTCTGGGCAAATGTGACAATGGTGGCTGCGAGCCAGCAACTTGCTCTTGACTCGGGTGCGTTAATGCGAGTAATGGAGGCCTCTGACTCTCCTCGTCATCCTCTGCCATGCCAGCACTTCCAGATCCGAAGAGCGAAGTGCTGCCGGACCCGAACAACGCTTTCGGCAAGCTGGTATGTCTGCTCGGCCGCGGTCTAGACTGCTCGTCAACCCTTGCGTCAGGAAACGCCCAAGCGGATGGTTCATGCGGCATCATTGCACCATCGTAGCTCGCCACATTCTCGCCGTCAATGTGGTAATATGACATGGTGAGCACGGCAGGCACTGCTTCTGGCCGGTATCACCATTCAGGGTTCACACGACGCGACACGGGTCGTGTGGGTGTGCGGTATCAGTGGGGTAGAGCACGACGGCGGCGGCTGTCAATCGTCAAACCGAGCCATGATCGGCGGTACTAGGTCAACGTCTAGCCTTCTTACACTTCTTGTGCCGCACAAAAGCACAATTGAGTGGCGATAGTCCTGAGGTAGTGTGTCATCAAGCATGAATATACCTTAGGGGGCCAGCAGAATCGTTGGACAAGTGCATCTAGGACTGAGACACCATCCACACGCTGGCGAATACTGTGGCGGTTTACCCCAGCTTTACTTAAGTGGCGTAAGCTCAGATCGGCCTTCAGTCCGGCGGATGTGGTTCAATTTACATGTAGGTAATATATTCGTGGCGCAGCACAAGCCTCTTGGTGTTTGTGAAAACCAGGTGACAATCATGACTCGACAAACAGCCCATCATCTTCACCGTCAACATGCTGATCGTGCGCTTCATATGTGTCATCTCCAACCTGCAAATTCTCCTTCCCAAGCGGGTGGCCTTTCGTCCAGACCGGAATCTGCAAGATCCACTCATCCACCTCACCCTGCAGCCTCATCCTCTCTTCAACCAGATAGTCTCTGAGCTGCGCAGCCATCGTGACAATTTCCGTAACAGTATACCGATTTAACACCCCTTCCCTGCCACAGTGCGCCCTAATGATCTTGGTGAACTTGCAAGACTTTTCATCGTTCCGGAAGCGACGCAAGCCTTCGCTCAGCGCGCCTAGCTCTTGCTCACTCCATACCAGCGCCTTTGCTTGTTCAACCAAGGCGGGCGGAGGGCCGACTCGCGGCATGAAGACTTGCAGGCGCTCAAAGGACTCGCCGTTTGAATCTTCCTCCGGCTGTAGTCTGGGCGTTCGCAGTCGCTCGAACTTTTCAGGGGGGATCGGACCTTTGCACTCAGCCCACCGCCGTTCGGTGTGCAGTCGACTCCATCGTGCTTGGACTCTGCGGATATAATCTCTTTGGCGCTGTTCTTGCACTTCGCGCTGGATGTCCAATGCTCGTTCTTCGGCGTGGCGTTGCTGATGCAAGCGATGATTCTCGGCACGGTGATGGTCTCTTAGTACTCGTGCGAAGGCGGGATAGACTTCATCTCGTAATGGGATGACGATCCCTCGCTCGCATGGCGCAATGATGGCAAGCCCCTCCGGACGGTGGGTGTACAATTTTGCGCCCGTCCCTAATTCAATGATGACCTTCACAAAGCGCGCCACGATGGTCAGATGGCCAATGCTTAGGCTGTCCTCATCCATGTCTCTGTAGCGCAAAATAAGCTGCTTCAAGACTTCAACCATCTTGCCAAAGACGTGCGCATAGATATCTTTCGCTCTAAGTCTGCTGGCAAAGTCTGGCTCTGACTCATCGCTTGGCCGATACAGAGCATCCACAAGCTGAGCGAGTTCGGTCAGGTCTCTCGCAGGTTCCTCGCCGCTGGCGACTGTTTCAAGCACAGCTTCGCAGGCCGTGAGCACCTCTTTCACCTCATTATCCTCGACTTTGAATTTGCGTCTTGAAGTCGGTTCGCCGTCCGTGTAGTGTATGCCGATGTTGTCCACAGCTCTGTAGACCTTTTGCAAAGTCCGCCACTGCCCAAACAAGCGATTTGCGTGCTGTGTCTGAGTTTGATCTTCCTCCACCTCTCCGGCATCGAACCGATCGTGAACCCTCTGCCTCTTTCGGGAAAAATTAGCCGAAGGTTGCGCGCCTCCAAGCCCAGCCTTGCGCTTGCGCGACGCTTCCTGCTGCTTCTCCGGGCTGTCAGAAAACGGGTTGGCGGAGGCACCAGGAAACAGCTGGCTGCCCCGAACCTGTGCTAGTCGTGGCACGTCTCCCGCGGATGGAGCCTTTGCAGACAGTTCGTCTGGATGCGTTTCATGAGCATCCGCTCCATCATTTGATGTCGCGTAGGCGTCGTTTCTCGCATCGACACCCTCCGGTGCCTCTCGATTCATTTCTGCCAACTCCGCCTGGTCTTTCGTGACTCGCACATTCTGTGCTTGCTTCTTCTTCTGTTCCTTCGCCGCCCCTGCTCGCTCCCTATCCGCCCTGGTCTCCTCAGCTATCCTCGTGGCTCGCGTCGAGCTCTGCCTCTTCTTCGTCTGTCGAGTTACCCGCTTAGACGCTTCGGTCTTCGATCTCGTTACTGGCGACTCTACAGGCTGCCGTTCGCTGGCTCGTGTTTCTGCTTTTGAGGAAGAGTCGCCAATCGCAATGTTGGCATCAGACGGTCGTAGCGCTGTAGTGTCTTTCCTTGGCCGGCCTCTTTTCCTTGTGGCAGTGCTCGGCCCATCACGCGCGTTCTCAGCTTCCACCGAGCCATCCTCCTCTGCACTGATAGCAACAGCGATCTGCGCCTCAAGCGTGTCGAGTGCTTGCTGCTCATCGCCGTGATCCGCAGTGTGATGTGTCCGGTCCGGGAAGCAATCCCGGTAGTGGTCTTCCTCGATCGATTCAGCCTCGTCAAGCGCGCCTTGATCGCCTGCATCTGCTGCATCGTAGTAGCCATTTAGCTGCGCATCGACCGCCCGTTGGTCAGCAGACAGAATCCTTGCGTTGACAGCCTGTGCTATCGCCCGCTTCTGCGGCTTAGTGGGCGAGATCGTAGCCCCTTCTAGCTGCCTCCTCGGTAGCGGAAGGCGCTCCTCGAGCGAGTCCGCGAAGTCGTATATTTCTGGCCGTGCTTGATGCTTGTCGCCTAAAGGTCGCTGTCGAGCGAGGACCGGATTGCGGTAGCGTGGGTTCGATGGCCGCTTAAGCTTGCCATTGATGCTGGCTACGGTGTCTGCTCCCTTCTGAGAAGGCACCCTAGCGAGTTGTGCGATGTGGCCTTCCCTGCCTGCACTCCTCCCGTCTGCTTCGCACAAAAGGTTCTCCGGGCGGACAGTGGAGTGTCTAGCCATTTTCCGCGATGTGCCACTCTCAACATTGTCAATGCGAAGACTATGATGTCTCTAGATACTTGGAATGGAGGTTAGAGCGCGACGCGCCACCGTTACGCTAGGGCTTAGCGTGCTTTTTCACAACTTCCTATTACGGCATTGCACATATAATCCTACCTCGTCTACGCACCACTTGCGCCGTTCGACAAAGATCCCGGGAATCGATTGCGACTTTTCAGTCTATGAGAGCAACCGGGCTGCGAGACTGAACTGTGCAAGCGAGCATGACGAGCAAGCTTTTGGTCGGACAACATCCGGTCCTCTGAACAGCTCAGGAAAGAGTCCTGTGTCTGCATTGACACAACAATAATGGCCACGGACGATCCACGATCTAAGTCTTCGGCCCAGCCACGTGTGTGCCTCCCGATTCTTGAGCAATTGGGACGAGGCGGGCGTCCGTTCGCTACTCCTACGAAGAAGATCAACGACGGCCACGACCTCACCTTGTTCCTGAACTCGGTGGCATACCGGGATCTAACAGCATGGCTACTCCAGCTTAACCGAGCAATGTTTCCCATGAAGCTTTCAAACGGAGACATTCAGACCGTAACGCTCGATAACCCGCCAGCTTATTCCACCGCCATCGATGGCTTGCGAGCCATGCTTGATGGGTTTGCGGCGCTAATTGAACAAGCTCCTCCAAGTACGGGTCCGAGACGTTTTGGTAACGTAGCATTCCGGGATTGGTACAGTCTGGCCGATCAGAAAGCAAACGGCCTACTTCGAGCGCATCTTGGCCATTTGCTCGCAGGTCGTCTTAGTGGAGACGAGCCGTCGCTAAACGCTCGATTCGATGAGGACGTTGATGCTCTGCTTGGCGAACTGAAAACATATCTGCTTGGCAGCTTCGGTAGCCCGCAGCGCCTCGACTATGGTACTGGCCACGAACTCAGCTTCTTAGCCTTCCTAGGCTGCCTGTATAAACTTGGCGTATTTCAAGTTGGTGAAGAACGAGCCATCGTCATAGGCGTCATACAGCCATACCTGAGTCTGGTCCGAAAGCTCATCCTGACCTACACCCTCGAGCCGGCAGGCTCACACGGCGTCTGGGGTCTGGACGACCATAGCTTCGTTCCCTACATCTTCGGCTCGGCGCAACTGGGGCCCGCCATCAACCATTCCGATTACACCCAACCCGTGCCAACAGAAGGCTCCCTTGATTCCGCTCCCTCACCGTCTAGCGTCACGAACAAGGCTGTCGTATCAGAATACAAGGACAGCAACATGTACTTCTCAGCCATCCAGTTCATCTACGATGTGAAGAAGGGACCTTTCTGGGAGCATTCGCCGATCCTGTACGACATCAGCGGTCTCAAAGACGGCTGGGCAAAGATTAACAAAGGTATGCTCAAAATGTACGCTGCTGAAGTGCTGGGTAAGTTTCCAGTTGTGCAGCATTTTCCGTTTGGCAGCTTCTTCCGGCTGGAGGCGGACCCGGATGCGGTGGGATCGGTACAGAGTGTGCACGCGCAACAGCAGCCCATGTCGGCGCCCGCGTCGAAAGATGTGCGAGTGGGTAATAGCTCGCAGTCTTACGGTGGCGGAGTGCCATCCACGAGAGCGCCGTGGGCAACAGGTAACCCTGCTGCAACGACGCCGCAAGCTCCGGGTACTGGTGGCACTACCCAATCCACAGCGGCACCATGGGCGAGAAAGGGTGTAGGCAGGTGAACCTTGATCTAAGGCACCAAGCCGTCCTGCGATCATGTGGAGGCTGATGGGCAAGCTGTCTTGGGCATCCCTCTACACCGCTCGCGGAAGGCCCTACGTACATTGGTGCAGTCCGCTTGATGATCCCGCGCCTGATTGGAGTCTATTCTCCGCCATGAGGGTCAATTTACATCATGGTTCGAAGTGCCAGTGCGTAAGAACGAAGTCTCGTAGACTATGCGCACGTCTTGCCCTACCTGCGCTCCCCTTGAGGTCTGGCAGACAAAGGTCGGGTTATGTGAGCGCAGAAGCTTCGATGAGAGCGGGCTGACAGGTGGGCAAATATCCTGTAAGAATAATGACACATAAAGAAGGAATTGACGATAGCCGGTAGTCAAGGGGATTAAAGTCAGCTTACGTCGGAACACTTTGGTACACATGACAAATTACCAGTCCCATAACCATAGACTCCGCGGCTTGTATGCGTACCACGCCATAACGCACAATGGTCTCTACTTTCAAGTGCCACCACCAGACTTCCCGCCTCCACTCTTCGGCCCACCACCACCACCACTCGTCCTCGCCCGATCGCTATTCCCCTGCCCCGACTGTGCCGAACTGCCTTCATGTCCTCCCTCCTCTCCTCCGCGGGGCTGACTAACATCATGGTTCGCCGGACTCACTTCGAGTGGGTTATTTATCTTCTAGCGGGAATTGCCGTGGTTAGCGAAAACATCTCCACCTACACAAAGACCTTGCTGCGTGTAAGTGAATGTAAGACTCACGCCTTGCTCATTCGCCTCTCCCTCAGCATGAGCCTGTTGCTCCTCCGGGCTCGTCTTATCCGGGCTGAACGCCGCCTCCTCGACCGCGGAACTCTTGTCGTCTGAGCCGGACTTGCTGTACTCGTTTGACTCGGTGTTGATGTCGTCTTTACCCTGCGCGTCCTTGCGGGCGAGGCATCGTGATGAGGTTTGGAAGTGCCGGGGGGCTGGCGCAGGTGTGCGGCGGCTTGGGAAGCTTGCTGCTGCTGGGCGGCGGGCGAGGAGGGAGCGACGGAGAGACTGCATTGTGATAGGTTCGGGTCGCGTGACAATGAAGTGCGATGCGTGTGGGAAGTTTGCAGGATGGTTCGTAGATTTGCTTGCTGAAGAACTTTGGCCTTTGCACGAGTACGGAGAATCTTCGCTGCGGAGAAAGCGAGTATGTAATTGTTGACGTGATGTTTCACTCCTTAGCAACAGTGACATCATGTCAGAGTACGAATAGCTGCCGAGGCATTGTGGGCCGTTCAGCATGAAAGATTCATAGTAACAACATTCATGTAGCTAACAAGAAATATTACGTTAAAAGCATCATGAACCTCTGCTAAGGAGGTCGGCCTCTGAGTCCAGTGATTTCGAAAGAGACGCAGAATTGATCGACTGATTAAGACAGCGCAACTGTATGTCCTACTGAATGCGATACGCATCTATCCATACGACCCTCATCTAATACACCTCCAACACATACCTCAACTGATCCTTCAACTTCTCAATGACCTTCCCTCCCTCGGCCTTCTTCCCCTCCGCCCTGGCTTCAGTCTCGATGGCCTCCTCCAGCACCGCCGTGACATCCGGCACGGGCCACGTAGGCCCACACAAATAAAACGCCCCCTCCTCCCTCAGATACGCGCGTCGGATATCCGTCAACGTCTGCCTCATGCGATCTTGGATGTAAATCTTCTGCGGCTGATCGCGCGAGAACGCCCGTCCAAGCAACGTGATGATCCCTGCGTCCTGGTACGCCTCCCATTCTTCTCCGTAGAGATACTCTTCCCGCTGGTGGCGCGAGCCCATGTACAGGAATACATCGCCGATGGGCATACCTTGTTCGCGCTGCCACGCTCGTTCTTGCACGAAGGCGCGGAAGGGAGCTAGCCCCGTGCCCAGACCGGCCATGATAATGGGTTGGGTTGTTTTGGGCGGGAGTTTCATGACGGAGGGTTTGACGGAGACGGTGACGGGGGCGCCGATGGGGAGGAAGTTGAGGTAGCGCGTTGCTTGGCCGAAGCGGTCGCGGCCTTTGGGGTCGACCCAGTTGACTGTTACGATTAGGAGGGAGATGCTGTTGGGTGTCACCTTTTGCGAGGAGGCGACGGAGTATTCGCGCCGTTTCATGGGGTTCACGAGGCGGACGATGTCGTGGAAGCTGGGGTGGGCAGAGGGGTATTCGAGGAGGATGTCGGCGAAGGTGACAGTGTCGACCTCGGCGCGGCGTTTGAACTCGACCACGGCCTCCTGGTTTCCGCCGGTACCGAGCATGAGTAAGTCCGTCTTCTCCTTGTCGTCGCTTGCGAATTCCGCCAACGCCTCATAGAAGCGTTTCGGTGGGCGGCCGAAGATGTCCACGTTTTGCATAAGTGCTTGGTATACGGTTCGGTTTTCGAGCACGCTCGGGTCGTCTCGTGAAGGCACCTCGACGATGTCGTTGGGATTGAGACCGTACCACTTGATGAACTCGTCCACTTCCGCTTTGTCGTTCTCGGCGTGGATGCCCAGTGCCTCGCCGATCTCGTACTTGAGCCCACTGTCTCCAAGGTCGAACTCGATGTGGAAGATGTTACGATCATAAGTCTCTGGTGTCAGTCGGCGGTGCTCCTTGACATGCACAACAGCTGTCTTGGACGTGACGTCCGGACGGAGTACGTTCTTGGTGCCGTACGCTTCTCGGAAAGCAAGGCCTTTGGCAGCCGCTACCCAGTTGCGCAAGTAGCTTGGTGGTTCGTCTTCGGCCTTCTCATAGCTGGAGAAGCTGTTCATGTTGAGGTCTTCCGGAGGCGGAATGTCATCGTTGGCCTCGAGATCCAAAGTAAGCCAGCTTTCGGGTACTTCAATCTTCTTCAACGCCGCATCAACGTCCTGCGCCAAAGCATCAAGTGCATCATCAGACTTCTGCAGCTTCCTCAACATGCCTTCATACTTGTCTGGTTGCGTGAGATGCAAGAATGCAAAGAGCAGGAGGTAGCTCTCCAGAGACGGATCTTCGCTCGCCTTGGCGCTCGCGGAAGGGTCGAGGACGAAGAGACTAAACTTCTGCGACGCGATAGCTTTGCGGGTCGCCGTGGTGAGCTTCTTCTCGATGTCTTCGTCCTTCCAGCCCGGTACTTTGAGCAAGAGCATACCCTCCTCCTTCAAGCTGTCCAAAACCGAAAAGTCGTGGAGCAGCTTCTCTTCCGCAACAACGACGACGTCGGCCTCCTTGATACTGTAAGCCGCTTCAATGCTCTTCGGCGAGCATCGGAGATCCGATCGTACAGCGCCGCCTTGCACGAGGTTGTCGTGGCTGCTCCGTACCGTAACGTTCAGCGCGCTGTCATCCGACAAAAGCTGACCAAGCATGAACGGTGCATCGCCGCTCTGACTGTCATCCACATCCCAGAAAGTGTACTGCTTCGTCTCCGAGCTCGCCAGCTGGATCGGCGGATGCTGCTCAGGTGCCTCGCCAGGCTTGCCGCCGCTGAGCTGTCGGAGGAGGGCTTCCATCTTCACCACCGTCCAGACTGTCTCACGAGCATATTTGATGTCGTACACAGCCGGCTCTCTAGCGGATGACAAGCTTTGGAAATTGACCGCAGCGAGCACGTCAGCGTATAGACTGCTTTTGATGCTTGCGTCCAACACGCTTGATTGTTCCTTGACCTGACCCAATACCGTGACCTGCTGGGCCGTGGTGGGCAGGATCTCCAGAAACTCTTCCTCAGCGAAAGGACGGTACACGCGGACATTGACCACGCCAACCTCAACGCCCTGCTGCGCCAGTGCTTCGGCGACTTGAGCGGAAAGGCTGGCTTCGACCGTACCGAAGACGACGATGACGCTAGTTGCTGACGGGTGGCCGTGGTACTCGAAGCACCTATATTCCGTCCCCAGCTCAGTGTTGAAGGCCGACATAAGCTTGGCCAGCTTTCCCTCCGGCGTCAGGCGCTTTGACGGCAGGTCTTCTTTCACGCTATCAAGCACCGCATCGTACGTGCGCTTGACACTGGCCACATTAAGCACATCAACGACCCGCGTCGTCTCGCGACCGACGGTAATGCCATCGTAAACGTGCATGCTCGGCTGCACGGACGCCAGCAGGATGGACAGAAGCGCCATATGCTGCATCTCGTACGGAGTTCTGCTGCACACCAACCCCATGCCCAGCTCCTCCGCCAAAGCCAACGCGGAACAGTAGTCCGTCACCAGACCGGCCTTCGTCTCGGCCGCGTAGTCGACGGCGGCGACTTGCAGCGCGGTCGGGTTCGCCATCTCGTACAGCAAGCTCAGCTGGTCCAACGCTGGGCGTAGGTGTGGTAAACTCGCCGCACTCGCGATGATGCTTTGAGGCATATGTCGCTTGCTGATATCGAAGTCCGGGCTGAACATGTACCCCAACGCGATGCTGCCCGCACCATGTCGTGTCTCCATGGCTTGTAGACCCGTGACCTCGCCATGGCCGTTCTCCTCTCCTGCATTCTGCCACGCTTGTGCTGCGACGTCTAGGTCGAAAGTCTCCGGTGAATACGTGAAGAGTCTATCCGAGAGCGAGTAGGCGACTTGCTGGACCAGCGTCTGCGCGGTCACGTAGGTCGGTCCGGAGATGGATGAGAGAGTCACATGCTGTCCGAAAGGTAGTGCAGACGACTTGTGCTGCGTGTGCTGCTTGGAATCGCTATCGAGCAGCGTGGCACCGGGGCCGGTGCTCTCGGCTGTCTGCAGATGCATTGCTGCTGATGTATCCTTATCACCGTCGAGAGCAATAACAACACCACACTAGGATACTGGTACGATCTCGTGAGATCAAACCCACGTGTTTACACAACGCTTCTCCACAAAGACGCCGCTAAATTTTGCGCATTAGTCGAGGCGAAATCGGCTCGGCTCTGGGAATAAGATGTCGCCATTCGATCCCTGCGCGATCGGGCTGCACGTCGGGTAGATCCGCTCTCCCAATCATCTGGACGGAGACACTTCCTCCTTCGATGAATGTTTCGTTCCGATACGGTCCATCACCCCCTCACCAAGGCACATCCTCCTTAAAAACTATGGCAACTCCAATGGGCGTGCCTTCCATCCGCCTGCGCTTAGCATCGAAGCTGCAAAGATCATTACCACAGCAACCCTTCGTTTGCCGAAGATGTCTCCATCAACAATCTCAAGCCGGCACCATCTTCCGACCGCAACAGCGAGCACCCGTCAAGCAAGCCTATCTCCCTAGAGCACTCCGACAGACACGACCCCAGAGTACAGCCTCACCAACACAACAGCCTTCCGTCTCCCCCCTCTCCGCCCTAAGCCAAAACATCTCCCGCACCCACTCCCGCCCTCACCCCGGCACCTCCTCCACCTCCACCTCCACCTCCTGGCCGGAAACCAACTCGCGCACGGTAGCCTACTGGCTCCTCGCCTCCGCCACCAGCGTCTTCGGCATCGTCATCTTCGGCGGCCTCACCCGCCTTACCGAATCCGGCCTCAGCATCACCGAATGGCGGCCCGTCACCGGCTCCTTCCCCCCCCGCAACCAAGAGGTCTGGGAGCAGGAGTTCGCGCGGTACAAGTTAAGCCCCGAGTTCAAGATGCTGAACTCCCGCATGACGCTCGAGGAGTTCAAACAGATCTACTGGATGGAGTGGACGCATCGGCTTTGGGGGAGAGTGGTCGGGGTGACTTTCTTACTGCCGACGTTGTATTTTGTGGTGCGGAGACGGGTTACGAGGGGGATGGCGGGGCGGTTGGGAGGGATTTGCGGACTGATTTGTTTCCAGGGCTTTATCGGGTGGTGGATGGTGAAGAGTGGGTTGAAGGATGATTTGTTGGAGACGGGCAAGCATCCGCGCGTGAGTCAGTATCGGCTTGCGGCGCATTTGGGGACGGCGTTTGTGGCTTATTTGGCCATGGTTTGGAATGGGGTGCGCATTTTGCAGGAACATGCGTTGGTGAGGGATCCGGGGGAGGGGTTGAAGGCGTTGCAGAGGTTGGGGGGGAAAGAGTTACGACCCTTTCGACGAAGTGTCGCCGCGCTCAGCGTCTTGGTGTTCGTGACGGCCATGTCTGGCGCGCTTGTCGCGGGGTTGGACGCAGGACTGGTTTACAACGATTTCCCCTGGATGGGACAGGGACTCCTCCCGCCCAAACGAGAGATGTTCGACCCGTTTTACTCCCACACACCATCGCGGAACGATCTGATCTGGAGGAATATGTTCGAGAACCCCGTCCTCGCCCAACTCGACCACCGCATCCTCGCCACCACGACTTTCTGCGCCGTCTTCGGACTATGGGGTTACAGCAGGTTTAGCCCCGCCGTACGTACTATGTTACCGAAAGCGGCCAAGACGGGGATGCTCGGGGTGGTGCATCTGGTTAGTTTGCAGGTGGTATTGGGGATCACGACGTTGTGGTTCTTGGTACCGACGCCGTTGGCTGCGGCGCATCAGGCCGGGGCGTTGGCGTTGTTGACGGGGGTGTTGGTGTTGGGGAGTCGGGTGTGGGTTCCGCGGGGGATGGTGCGGTTGCTGCAGAAGAGGGTGGCAGCAGCGGCGGCGGCTGTTGGGGTGCAGAGTAAGAGTGCGGTTGGGAGGAGAGGGGCTGATGCGATGCTGAAGGCGAGGATTCAGAGCTCGTGAGGTTTTGGGACTTCTACATGCTGGAATTCTTGGGTTTGTAGTATAGCAAGATATGCGGGATTGAAGCGGCACGCTCTCCAGCTCATAGAATACATTACGAAGAGAATTGACTCGTTCTTCTATCACAGGTCCGATGCAATGCGGTCACAACCATGCATGCAGCGTCCCTGTGTTGTCCATGATTGTTCGTCTCCTCTGCTACCTACCAACCCTTCCCTAAGTGTTCGGCACACGTGATCAAAACCACCGACCGTAGATACAGCCGCTCGCGGGAAAATACATCCATTAGCGCGGGTTATCGAGCAGCGAATGGCGAGCTGCGACCTCATGTTCTCTTCGGGCGGCGGCACGGTCTGCCGAACATTACCCTTTTGATTGACCTACCCGCTCTTTACATAGCAGTGCAAAAGCGACTGCAACTGTCACTGTCACTCGCATGGAGTCGGTACCGCTCTTGTCGAGTATTCTGTTCCTCCCATCCTCTCGCTTCTCCTGCCCCAGACGTTAAAGAGAAGGTAGCCCGAGATGCCCGAGTCGGCAGCGAATGGCGATGGACACGGCGGCATCGTGGCCGCAGTGGAGTGACTGCAATCCAATCCACTTCATCCGATCCACTTCTTTCATCGCACGCTTATCATGCATTCCACTGCCACCCATCTGTCATCGCCGCCGGAGTTATGCATGTTGCATATGCTATGGATGACATGTGGTCCAGTCCAGCGTCGTCGTCGTCCACCACCCTAACCTGTAGGGAAGGTGCCTGACTGCTGCTGCTGCTGCTACACCTGCCATACCACATTCCCACTGTCATAGCCTCGTCAACGGTAAGGGAAGGCGCAATCTCTCATCCACCACCGCTATCCACTTCTCCCACCAGAACGTCATCCTCACCATCTTTCTTTCCTTGGTTCTTGGTTCAACCGCATGCCGCACCCCCACTCGCACCCCCATCCTCCGCCTCCCCCATCCAAACGCACCACCACCCTCCACCTCCTCCGCTTCGCCCACTGGCAACTCACCGAAACCTACCTCCGCCTGCAAGCCCGCCTCCGCCGCTACACATTTGTCACCATCACCACCACCACCAACATGCCACCAACCCTCCACCTAGTCCGCCACGCCCAAGGCTACCACAATCTCAACATCGCCAACCACAGACTCCACGACCCCCAGCTCACACCGTACGGCGAACAGCAATGCGAAGAGCTACACAAGAGCTTCCCCCACCACGCCGCCATCGAAGCAGTAATAGCATCCCCGCTAAAACGAACAATCAACACCGCCCTCCTATCCTTCTCCTCCACCATCTCCAGCAAAAACCTCCGCGTAATCGCCCTGCCAGAATTACAAGAGACGTCAGACCTCCCCTGCGACACCGGCAGTTCCCCCTCCGAACTCTTGCATGCGTACGCGGATAAACCTGTTGATCTCTCCCTCGTGACGGAAGGGTGGAACAGCAAAAAGGGCAAACGGGCACCTAATGCGAAAGCGATCGAGGCACGCGCGCGGGCGGCGAGGCGGTGGTTGAGGGGGAGGGGGGAAAACGAGATCGTGGTTGTGACGCACGGTTAGTCCTACTCCTACTCCTATCCCTACCCCTACCCGTATCCCTAACGGACTCCTGACTAAGTGGGTGATCTCGTACTGCTCGCTAATGCATGGCTGTGTCGGATGTTCAGGCGGCTTCCTGCACTACCTAACCGAAGACTGGACCGGCAGCGATCGCTTCAATGGTACCGGGTGGGCGAATACGGAGTGGCGCTCTTACACCTTCTCCTCCTCCTCCTCCTCTTCAACATCTGCGGAAGAAGCGCACATGATTGAGACACCGGAGTCGAAGAGGCGACGACAGGGCGATGCGAAGGGGTTGGATGCCACGGAGCAGATGGAACTCAAGCGGACGAGTGAGGGGAGGGAGTGGCAGGAGCAGGAGCAGGAGCAGGAGCAGGGGTTTGTGGGAAAGGGGAAAGCTGGGGAGGTGGAGGGGGTGAGGGGGGTGGAGGTGCAGGCGAAGGTTTGACGAGTTTCCGAGTCGAGTGGTGAGTTGATGAGTCATGAGTCATGATACCTTTAAACGACGACATTTAGATGGAGGGGCTGGACTTGCATGGCAGTTTGCGGCACGGTGTTGGCAGGCGGTCTAATTTGGTAGAAAGGAAGATTGGCTAGATCGATAGATGCATAGATGCACGGAAGCACGGAAGCAACCTACTAACCTACGTACCTTTGTCGTGCGATGCATTGCGAAGACTAGTACTTATCTATACGCTTAGGGGGTATCTCCATACAAACCTTCTCTCCACCCTCCCCACCCACACGGAGACGGAGGCGGAGAACACAAACACCAGCGCCACGCTAAAGCCCACACTCAAACTCCCCCGCTCTCGATCGCAGGCCTCGGTCCTTCGTGCGCAGTCTTTACTCCCTCACCACTCGTGACCCCCCTCCCGCCTCCGCCTCTCTTCCCTCTACATCGTGCTCACGCACACCCCTCCCAACCCTTTGACGAGTCATGTCTCTAACCTCCCTCCCCAACGGACTCCGAACCTTCACCTCACTGCTATTCGTCCTCAACAGCGCCTCACGACTTCTGACCGTACTTGGGGGCGTTTGCATCGCACCGCCACCATACCCACCGCTACCGCCACTACCACCACTACCGCCCTGCGTACCGGTCAACGACGAGCTTACACCCCGACCCCCTCCTCCACCGTACTTCGCCCGTACCGTAAGCCGATGCCGTTCACTACTGCTGTTGTTACCCGTACTAGATCCAGGCGTGGAGGTGCGGGAGGGTGTTTGCTGCAGTAACAATGGCCGTGGCGATAGCGGATCGCGACAGAATCGTGGACGGTCGAGCGGGGAGGAGGCCGGGGGTGGGTGGTCATGGCCTTGCTCCTGATGGTCGCGGTCGTACGGGTGTTCGTACTCGTGATTGTGGTGCGCGATCGGCGCCTGCGTCTGCGCCTGTCCTTGTCTATGCTCCGGATACTGCTCCGGGTACTGCAAGTCATCCTGATAGTCGTCATGATCGTAACCGTACGCCTCCTCATACGGCAACAGCTGCTCTTGCTGTGGGTGCGGCAGAGAGTCGAACGCTTGTCCACCACCGCCGGCACGCTGCTGCACATACCCCACCCCTCTGCTCTGCTTAACGGGCGACTCGTCATAAGGATCAAACCCCACCCTTCGCATCGCATCACGGCGGATGCGTTGGCGCCGGTCCTTGTTAAAGCCCGTCGTGCCCGCAGTAGCGTTCTCCCTAAGAAAGAAATTCAACAACTCATCCTCGATGGTCAGATGCGACGTCTGCCGGAATTGCTGCACGGCGGTGAGTTTCAGGAGCATTTCTAAGAGGGAGAGGGTTGTTTTGATCGGCAACGTTGGTTGGACTGACGCTGTTGGGTGAAGAGAGGGTATCAGGACGCCGTTTTTGGTTGTTGGGGAGGAGGCTGAAGTTGAGGTTGAAGACCGGAGCTGGAGTTTCGACAGCGCACCGACCAGCTCTGGGCCGACGGCGGTTTGGCGGGAGGAGGGGTGGTGGTTATGTGTACGTCCAGTGGGAATAGCTTCGTTGTCGTCGTCGTTCTCGCTGTCGGAATCTTCAGCGTAGACTTCAAACGCCATCCATTCCGGGTCCAAATCCGCGGGTAGACGCCAACTTTGATTCGCACCCGCCTGCTGAGACGCCTCCCACGATGGCGTACCAGCCCGCGACTCCCGCTCAAACTGCGCATCCACTTCCGACTGTGTATCATCCACATCCACATCCACACTCCCGCGAGCCGCACCGTTAACGCTCGCGGGCGAGTCGAAATAGCTATACTCCCTCTCCATCTGCGAGCGTCGCAGCAGCCTCCTGGGCGGTTCGGCGGCAGGATCGCGTTTCAGGAGCAAGACGGGATTGTGTATATCGTTCTCTCCGTCGCCGCCGCCGATGTTGAGGATTTTGCCGGTATCGGCGTAGAAGATTTTGGATATCTGATGGACGGGGATGATATCCCGGATCCCAGCGTTGGGTACATCATCGAAGGGACCTGGTTGGGGTACGTTGTCTTCGAAGGCATGCACGCGGTCGTCGTCCAGGTCTTCAATGAGGAGGAGTTGGTAGGCGAATTCTGACGCCTTCGCATCCGCATGCAGGAAGTCACCTGCCGAACTATTACGGGTCGGTTGATCGCCTGGTAGAGTGTTGAGTTGTTCATGCGGCACACGGATAAGCTTGACGTGGGCTTTGTGGATGACTTCTTTCCAGGTCGTTTCGCGAACGCCGGCCTCGTCGACGGGTCTCCAGGCGTGACTGGCAAAGAGCATGTACAGACTTAGTGTATACGTCGGACCCACTTGCTGTCTGATTCCTGGGTCTGCGGCGTACTTGCTATCCGCCGCGGTGAGGAAGGTGGAAGCTTGCAGTAAGCGACTTGGACTGATGGTGCCACTCAATTGTGTGGAAAGATTTACGCCAGAGGTGGTGATGGCGAGGTTGATCAGCGGGATTGCGTCCTCGATTCTTGTTAGTAGATTCTTGATCTGGTAAATGATAGCTTTGAGCTCCCGTTCCGTCTCCTCTCTCGACTTGGCACGGCTGCTCTTCCGCTTGAGCATTTCCTCGTCATTAGCAGCATTACTCAGCCGCACGCCGAGTCGCTGGATCTCATACCGGATATCGCGCGTCAGGGTTGCGGCGGTCTCCAGAGAAGTGTTGCCACGGGCGGAGATGAGCTCAATCATGTCGATGGCGGGGGAGATGATGCGGATTTTGCTGTCGAGGCGGAGTTGCAACTGCATCAGTTCCTCGCGGTCTTTGCTGCGGGGGGCCTCTTTGAGGAGGCGGCCGCATTGCTTGATGGCGTAGGTTGCGGTGATGGTGATGCCGGAGCGGATGGCGTAGTTCATCGCTTGCTGCGTCACGCGGCCCAGTAGGATGTCCATCTTCCGGGCGATATATCGTCATGCGTTAGGGTGGTTGTATTAGGTGGTGGTGGTGTTTGTTGGAAAGCCGCATCTTGGGCTCGTCTATCCAGCAAACTTTCAATCAATTGTCAGGTGAATATGCGAGTGTCGTGCAGCTTGCCGCCACCGGAACACGCTACGCAGCGACTTCACGTGCCCGGAGAATCGTCACTCCGCCCCGTGACCCTCGAACCCCACCAATTCGGAAATGGGCGAGGCTTCAGTTTGATGAACGAGGATCGACCACTCACTTACTTTCGCACTGTGACCGGCGCCCAACATTCACACCACCACCGCCGGATCCAACCACCACCACCACCACCGCCACCGCCCCCGGAGCTAACAGCAACAGTTTCGCATTCACCATGGCGGACTCATGGGAGGAAGAAGCGGACAACCTGGCCGACCAGACGCAACAACGTCTGAACTTCCAAAATGGCGCCGCACAAGGCAACACCTTCCAGCCTGGCATGCAGAGCTTCCAACCCGGCGCGGCATCATTTCAGCCCGGCCAGCAGTTCCAGCAGTACGGCTACAACCAGTATAATGGATACCCTGCGTATAACCAACAGCAGAACTACAACCAGTACCAGCAGTACGGCTACGGGCAACAGGCGGGTGGCTATTCACAGTACGGCCAACAATACGGGCAACAAGACTACTCCCAATACCAACAACAGCAACAATCACAACCACAGCAGCAGCAGCAGCCACAATCACAACCGCAGAAGCCGCAACAGCAAGCGTACGTCCCGCCTCAGCAACGGCAGACGCCCATGATTGCCAAGCGAGGAGAAGCATTACCCACCGCCACTCAACCAAAGCCTGCCGCAGCTGCAGCACCAGCCTCGAAGCCTGCAACCAACGGCGCGACAGCAGCAGCGCCAGTGAAGACGCTTTCACTAAGCGCAGCAGACACTGGCGCAGCACAACCTAAGGTGGAGAAGACAACGGGTGGCGGGAAGGTGCTATCACTGAACATCGCTCCGCCAGCACCCGCAGCAGCAAAGGATGATGTGGACAAAGGCGCACCCGCCGCAGGCACCAAGGTGGCGGCAGCGAAAGCCATGGAGAATGCAGGCGCAGGCGCAGGCGCAACCGCCAGCGGCAATACATCCCCAACCACCGCCTCCGGCCGATCCTCCCCTTCCCGCGCCGAACAAAAAGCAGAGGCCCGACGAGCCGACATGGTCGCGCATGAACAAGCCGCCGAAGTTGACGAAGAAGCGCTGGAAGAAATGTACGGCAAAGAGCACGTCAACGTCATCTTCCTCGGCCACGTCGACGCCGGCAAATCCACCCTCGGCGGCAGCATCCTCTACGCCACGGGCATGGTCGACGAACGCACGATGGAGAAATACAAGCGCGACGCCAAAGACCTCGGCCGAGAGTCTTGGTACCTTTCTTGGGCATTGGATCAAACGAAAGAGGAACGCGCCAAAGGCAAAACCGTCGAAGTCGGGCGCGGCTTCTTCGAGACGGAAAAACGTCGCTACTCCATCCTCGACGCCCCGGGGCATAAAAACTTCGTCCCCAACATGGTCTCCGGCGCCTCGCAAGCCGACGTCGGCGTGCTCGTCATCTCTGCGCGCAAGGGCGAATACGAGACTGGCTTCGAAAAGGGCGGCCAAACGCGCGAACACGCCGTCCTCGCAAAGACCCAAGGCGTGAACAAACTCATCATCGTTGTAAACAAAATGGACGACCCAACGGTTGAATGGAGCGAGGACCGCTACAAAGAGTGCACAGCGAAACTCACCACTTTCCTTAAAGGACTAGGCTACAACCCCAAAAACGATCTGACCTTCATGCCCATCGCCGCCCAACAAACACTGGGAATCAAAACCCGCGTCCCCAAAGATCTCGCCCCGTGGAACGACTCCCCCTCTTTACTCGAATACCTCGACTCGATGCAAACGCTCGAGCGCAAGATCAACGCCCCCTTCATGATGCCCATCGCGGCCAAGTATCGCGATATGGGAACTATGATCGAAGGGAAGATTGAGGCGGGCGTGATTCGGAAGGAGACGAAGTATCTCATGATGCCTAACAAGGCGGAGATTGTCATTTCGGCGTTGTACGGCGAGACGGAGGATGAGGTTGAGCGGGCGGTTTGTGGCGAGCAAGTCCGGCTCCGTATCAAGGGGGCGGAGGAGGAAGATATTTACCCCGGTTTCGTCCTCTGCTCGCCTAAACGACCGGTCCACTGCGTGTCAGCCTTTGAAGCGCAGATCCGTTTGCTGGAGCTCAAGTCGATCCTTTCGGCAGGATTCAACTGCGTCTTACACATCCACTCCGCTACGGAGGAAGTCACTTTCGCGGCTTTATTGCACAAGTTGGAACCGAAGACCAATCGCAAGAGCAAGAAGCCGCCCGGTTTCGCGAAACAGGGGATGAACATTGTGGCCCGACTGGAGGTGCAGGGAGGGGCGGGGAGTGTCTGTGTGGAGCGGTTTGAGGAGTATCCCCAGCTGGGCCGGTTTACGTTGAGGGATCAGGGGCAGACGATTGCGATTGGGAAGATTACGAAGTTGATTTTGGACGGGACGGGAGGGGGTGAAGGGCAGGGGGGTGGGGCGTAGGCCGGCTCCGTGGGTTTGGTGTTGTTGTTGTTGTTGTTTGTTGTTTTTGGGGCGGTTTGGGAGGAGGAGGAAGGTGGGGTGGGTTTTGAGTCTGTAGGCATGACGATGTAGTGAGGAGGAGGAGGTGGTGGGGTTGGTGACGGGATGTAGTCTGTGTGCTTCTGTGATGGGACGGTGAAAGCTCGTCACTTTCGCAATGGGACGGTGAAAGCTCGTCACTTTCGCAATGGGACGGTGAAGGTCGCTGTCAACACAATCGACATGCGCCATGATCTTGAGATTGGTGCTTTCAAGCATGCATCACTCTCTCACTGACACCATGTATCGATGTTTCCAACTAAACCTCTCCACACCATGCTACGAGTGGTGCGTACCACTTTTTCCCCGCCCTCGAGCACGCAGCGAAATCAGTAAAGTACATGTAGCCTTGAATTTGATCCGTTGCCGATTTCATCAAAAGCTTCTAGCCCGCGACCGAGTTTGCTTGTTTCCATCCTCGTTCGTTAACCCCCCTACGCGGGACATGTAGGTCTTCGTTTGGCACGGTTACACGGGAGGATGTTGACTCCGACGAGGAAGGCTTGCCTGGCAGCGGTGAAACCAAGAGCGAACACGTTTGCACGCTCTCTTCGGGACCCTGCGCCAGACCGTGTACTTGACGCAAAACCTTACGGGGTAGACCAGACCTGCGGCGAAACAGTCATCCTCACTAAGAAGTAGCGGCAGGCATGACCGGGTGAGCTGATCATCCGTTACCGTCACAGTTCTGGATGAAAACAAGATTGGACAGCCGCCAACTCGCCCCGATGAGGGAGCACCTTCCCTTACCTCCTTGAATACGAGATTCGGGGGAGTGGCTGCGTTGGGGGTGCTGACTGATTTGCACACTTCATACGGAAGTCGGTCAATATAAACTCGATAGCCTGAAGACGTTCGTTTGTTACGGCGGCACACACGGTTGGGAAGGGCAATCTGGGTGACCAACGGGGTCAAGCTGGACTTGCAATCCGTGTCAATGAGCTGTGATGTAACGCTACTAGCTTGTGTGTTGTCGAGGAGGTCGCTTGTGAGTTGTGGAAAGATTTTGTACTTCCAATCTCTTGCAAGGTGATAGATGGGAGAAGCTGCTTCCTACTGAAGGTCCTGTTCGATCCATTTCTAACGGTTTTGTAAGCCTTTCGGCCCATCTTCATGTCGAGTCATGGCGTGATCGGCACACAAGACGTCGCTATGAGTGTACAGCAACAGTGCCCAGGAAACGCGCTGCGGCCTGCGTATGCTGAGACTTGCGATGTTGAAACAGCGAACATACCAGAGGTAAACAAGGTACGACCTTGGAGCGCCGATGACACGGAGTGATGCTGAGTATGGTTTCACACACTTGAGGCCTGCGCAAAGTGCAGTAGCATTCACTCTACACTCAGGCTAAGGTCCATGAGTGGCAGTCTGGTCAGTGCTGGCACCATCTCGACATTGTTGGACTTGCATGAAACGCGGCTGAAATCCATACGGAACAAGTTGCGGATGAGTAAGTTCAGCGAGACCTCGAGCTCTCGCCGGACAGCTCGCAAAGCTGATCGAGCCTGACCTGATGGATACCGAGAGCTTGATGCTTACGATGTGGGCAGTCACGGGCGCTACGCGAGCTAGCATTGACGCCGCGGAGCCCTCCGTCATATGAGGCCTACCGGCGAGGAGTTATTCGAGCAGAGTGCACTGGCGTTACATTTCGCCTTTGGCTTTTCGGCCTCTGTGACAGGATAGCATTGGCTGATTGTGGCAGAGGCAGCACCATGTCAATCCTAGATCTGCCCCAAGCCAATTTCATTCGACTGGCCAGATTGTCGAGAGTATGGCGCAAGAGATTGCCTAAGCGGTCCACAAGATCTGTACCTCACCCTGGTGCGAGCAGCCTGTGCTGGGATACGAGGTGCAGCAGCAAAAATATCCGGAGATGGCCACGAAAGGCACGCTCGGGACTTCGGGTGAGCTTCGTAAATGAACATCGTCTGAGTACTCGACGCTCTGGCTGTCCATCTCCTGGATGTTTTCTTACAGACTAGCCTTTGATCGCTCATTCGTCGGATGTCAAGGTTGTGCTTCCGGTGTATTGCTCCAGGTTATCCGGACTTTGTCGCTTTCACTGTTGAAGAAGAACATTACGGTCACTACTACTTTGACCAGTCCTGCGAGGAAGATTGCCAAAGCTGAGCTGTGGTACTTGTACACTGGCCCGCCGATGAAGCTTCCGGCGCAGAGGGTCAGAAGAAATATCAACCTTCTATTGCGGCTACGGTTTCGGGCGGTTGGAGCGAAGAAGAGCGGATCCACGAACAGGTCCACGTACGCCGCTGTAGCTTGTGTCGTTGGGATTTCGGGCATGCTCAACTGCCGGCTCATAGCTACCTGGGAGCCTGCGGCGAAAGCAAGGAGACCAAGCGAACATAGTACTGGCGCTGTGTTGACCATGTCACAGGGAATGAAGACGAAGTTGAGCAGAGCAGCGAGCATGACCATGACTGTCGTATAGATGTTGGAGACTAGTAGCCACCATCTTGATGCCTTACTATCGAGTGCGTTCGCGGTCTGACCACCGGCGAAGACACCAAGGCAGAAGAAACCCAGGCTCACCGCAAGATGAGGCGCTGGGATCTGCTGATTTGTTTCTTGTCGCGTGCCAAAGGCTGAGAACGCTGAGACGGCAAAGAGGACAGTGTTGCCTGTTTGGTTGGATGTGACTGCGCCGCTTGTCAGCCAGACCTCGCTGAATGCCAGAGGAGTACCTCAACTCTTGGAAGACTCACAGCAGTGAAATTTGGGATAGGACACTGCATCGATCATGCCAGTGCTGAGGGCAAGTATCAATAACTCGATCTCGAGCCAATGTTCGTCCTTGTTGATTGGCGATCTAAGCCAGTCCATTACTCTGGCCTTGCGATCTTTTGGCATTCCATAATGGTCCATGGCTGCTGATCGACCAGGCTTGCGCTGATCTATCAGCCTTCGCCGTGGATACTATGGCTCGACCGAAATGTAGGAATTGTCTGCGGATGTTGTATCGCAGATGACCGATGTGCCATTTTGTACAAAGCGTTTCGGGCTTGCGTTATGTGGTCAAAAAGTGCTACAGAGATGAAGAGCAGACGTTTTGACGTCAGACCCGTTGACGCTTGGTATAGTAGCTTTTTGGGTGGAACCTTACGGGTGCTCGCTAGAAGCCGATTTGCGTGTCCATTTACTCTAAAGATTTCGTGGCGTGTCAGCACCGTGTCAAGACCAGTGATACATCGGTTGTCTCTGATATCCAAGTGGGACATCATGTTGGCAAAAACAAAAATCCGGGAATGGTGTTAAAACATCACAATGATCCAATGCAGGCTAACACGCAATCGCACGCCCCATAATGAGTGGCGGACTGGCTAAGGAGAGTGCCTGTGTTTCTTACCGAGGGTACCAACCGCTCTGAAAGAATGATCAGAGCGGAGGGTTGGGCATGTAGACATGAGCGAAGATGGGGTTATATCCGGAAGATGTTGTCGTGGTCTCTGATGATGTATCGCGGCATCTGGCGATGACTTGGGGCCTTTCACGGTCATCATGCAGGAACCGTTGCTATTCAAAAATCGCAGGTAACTTGAAGCTGACTTCTGACTCTGTCTCTTGACACTAGCACTGTCGTCGGCATTCATAAGCCTGGCCACCTCAAGCCCCAAGCTGTAATACGTTCCGTCTGGCAGGCTTGGACTTGAACCCGCGGCGAAAGTTAGTGGCTTTGAATTCGATACAATCCCACCTCAAGCGAAGTCAAGGCAACGTTGGAATCCATTAAGCAGCTTTCGCCGCTATTGTTCATCCTGAGACCGTTGGCCTTATGATATATTTGAGGTGTTCGATAGATACTACAGAAGCTGTAATGCAGTTTCTCAAAGCCGAGTCATTCCCGAGAGCTATCTCGCTGCCCTGCCGATCAAACCATTGAGTTGAGCGCGAGTGACGCCATTGAGCCGCGGCATGAGGTGGGACATGGAAACTTTTGGGGGCGTCACAGCGAACATTTCAGCGTGAGAGATTACCAATCCATCGAGAGGGTATAACACTTCTACGGTTCGACTTGTTTCAGATTGCCATTCGCCATTGCTCGAGTATCTCGTTCCCAGTATCACCTAACCCTGAACCTCTCAAACACCCATCTACCGCAATGTCCCACCACAACGTCTCCCAAGGCGTAGAAGAAGAACCTCACAATGTCAACCGCGCGGCAAAGGGTATCTCCTACTTCACTCCCGCGCAGCTCCCACCCGCAGGCACAGCGCTCGTCGTCGACGGCCAGAAGGATGTCCCCAAGCTCTTCAAGCCGCTGAAACTGCGCGGCGTGACATTCCAGAACCGCATCATGCTTTCGCCGCTGTGCCAGTACTCGGCTGAGGATGGGCATTACACTATGTGGTGAGTAAACAGTAGAGCGCGATGTGCCGGCATCTCTATGATTGTCTGAAGGAGAGCTGACGCTTGTATGCGATAATGCAGGCATCTAACACATCTGGGAGGAATCATCCAGCGCGGCCCCGGTCTAGCGTGCGTGGAAGCAACAGGCGTCACACCCCAAGGCCGCATCACACCCGAAGACGTCGGGTTATGGAAGGACTCGCAAATGGAGCCCCTCAAAAAGATCGTCGAGTTCGCGCACAGCCAAGGCCAAAAGATCATGATCCAGCTCGCGCATGCCGGAAGGAAAGCAAGCACCGTTGCACCATGGCTGAGCAGCGGAGAAGTCGCTGGCAAAGACCTGAACGGCTGGCCGGATGATGTGTGGGCACCCAGCGCCATCCCGTGGAACGAACACCATGCGCATCCGAAGGAGATGAGTTTGCAGGATATTCAGGACTTTAAGAAGGCGTTTAATGATTCTGTTAAGCGGGCGCTGGAGTGCGGGTTCGATTGCATTGAAATCCACAATGCGCATGGGTATTTGTTGCATGAATTTGTGTCGCCGGTCAGCAATCAGAGGAAGGATCAATATGGTGGTAGCTTTGAGAACCGCGTGCGGTTGACGCTGGAGGTGGTGAGTTGGCAGATCATCCATACCTGAAAGGATCAAGTAGGCAGTGCTAATGCAATTCCTAGGTTCGCGAGACCCGTGCCACCATTCCCAAGGATATGCCATTGTTCCTACGAATCTCCGCCACCGACTGGCTCGAGGAAGCGCCGAAAGATCAGATCCCAGAATCGTGGACGAATCAAGATACCATCAAGCTTGCGCAGCAGCTCGCAGAGGAAGGTGTGGACCTCCTTGACGTGTCGTCCGGCGGCAACCATCCGCTACAGCACCCACATGTCAAGCCGGCCTACCAGGCACCTTTCGCGATTGAGATTAAGAAGGCGGTTGGCGACAAGATGGCTGTCGGTTCCGTTGGATCCATCGAGAGTGGCACATTAGCGAATGACTTGCTTGAGAAGGATGGTTTGGACTGGATTGTCGTGGGGAGAGGCTTCCAGAAGAACCCGGGTCTTGTGTTCTCATGGGCAGATGAGCTGCAACAGCAGGTGCAGATGCCGAACCAGATTCGCTGGGGGTACGTATCGAAAGAAATTGCCTGCTGTGTGAGAGATTGCTAACGTCGGGATAGGTTTGCGGGTCGTGGTAACAAAACCGGAAAGCCGATCACGGAGCTCCCGGAGCTCATGGGTCAAGTGAAGCTGTAAATCAGAGTAATATCACCATACTATCGCTCATGGAGCTTTAGAAGTGTAGAGATACAACAGAGTGTGCAGAAGTACGCCTTACGCTAATCTTATCAAACCCACATCACAAAATATACCAGCAGAGCTGCATCAGCTAAATGCACGTTCCTCATGGCCACCATGGTAGCCGGTATCGTAATCGAACTGGTTCTCCGGTACACTGTAGCCTTGTTGATGCATCGCCTTGTCGGCGACGTCTCGCTGTTCGGCATAAGGACCCATCGAGGGTCTCGGTGCATCCCACGCTTCGCTCTGTCGCGGCTCATCGAGACCGGAGTGTGCATAGCTACCCTCATCATCAGTGAAGGGTCCGCGCGTCGCCTCAGGTCGCTTGCGGTTCGCGGCAAGGTCGTGCAGCTGGTAGATGCCGCGTTGACTTTGTAGCCGCCGGACGTAGAGATCCAGACCAAGGGCCGTCGCTGTGGATACTCTGCATACATTCGGCCATTAGCTTGCACTTCTCAACGCTTATATAGTGTTGGAGCTGGGAGCGTACAGTCCAAGCAGCGTGAATGTGAACAGCGCCTTGTATATCCGGCACACCATCATCCCGATCTCCTCATGCCAATGCGCGGCATCGCACTCGTGCGCCAGGGTCCCGCTCATGTACCATGTCAGGAGGCTCCAGCTAAGCGCCCACAGGATGAGGAGGAAGCCGTTGATAGCGATGTTCAAGCGCGGGTTGAGACCTATACAGCAGTGCAGTACCATGGTCGTGAGTAGCGCGGCAATTGAGAACAGTGAGGCGGAGGCGAGCTGGGAGAGTGTGTGCTGTGTTAGTCTAACTCGTTCTGGTCAGGGAGTCGTGCTGGGCGCTTGTGGTTCACTCACCCATATGAACGTCCAAGGCGTGCTCCAGTGGTCGTGGGTCAGGTGCCAGATGAAGTAGCTCATGATCGCACCGACGACCACGCTTGATATGAGCTGGAAGAACCGCACGGAGTGAAACAGTATGCGCGGGTAATGGGACGGTGCCGTTTTGGCCTTGCGATCGAATAGCGTGACCATCGTGTTATGGCTGTGCTGTTCGATGCCGCCAAGGCTTGACGTCCAGCAGACGGCAAGAAAGGCTTGAAGGATGTCTGTTCCTGCAGACCGGCGATGTTGGGTGATGTGTTGTGCAGTTCGCTTTGGCCTGCAAGGAGAGTCCGGTGCCCGCTGAGGTTGCTGTCTCAACTTTGGGGGCTGCCAAGAGGAGGATGCATTAGCTTCAGATGACGGGAGCCATGTGAGCGAACATGGCTGTGATTAGATAAGGCAAGGGGGCTTGGAAGCGAGTCACCTAGACAGTGAAACACACGCTGACAGGCGCCTCAACAGCCATGGTGGAGGGACGTCTCATCGATCCAACTTGTCAGGCTTGGAGAATGTGTGTAGCGAAGGCAGCAAAGTACGGCTACAGCGAATACACTTCGATGCTTGCATCTGCATTTGAACTTGCAGCTAGTGAATACCAGACGGTGACAGAACGCTTCTACGATACTTGGCAACTGCCGCAAGACAGCTAGACCAGCCGAATGTGCATACGGTGCAGACATACCTTGGTGTCGAAAATGCGCAGTGATGACGCGCCGCACACGACTGTTGGACTACGACCACCGATGCGGAGGGAAGCTTTTGGGCACGTCTGATATAGAACTGAGAAAGGTGAATGTATGAATTTACAAGGCTTGATGCGAAAACCGCCCCCGCTCGGCACCGATCATGGCCACGGCTCCGAACGCGAGGTTTGGGCAAAGTATACAGAGCGTACTGACATGCAATTGTGGAAGCACCAACCATGATCCTGCTGCAGTCATCTGTATCGATACCCAGGAATAAGTGAATACATCGTGGAAGGTGATGCTCGGGGAGAAAGTTGCGAGGATGATAGCTAATTGCAGCCTGGTCCATACAGCCACGACCGGTTCTGTCCAAGTGAGAATGGATGGAGGATGGTGAGAATGGATGGAAGATGGTATTCCACAGCGAAAGTGCTTTGCTGCGCGCCGACCAGGTACTGCCGCAGTGCCGCGTTGGTAGACAGAGGGTACGGTGGAAGAGATTGTCGTACTACGCATGCCGGACAACCGAGTGATTTCCCAATCACGCGACTCCAATAATACGGCCCACACCTTTTTCAGTAGAGCTCTTGGTGCCGGCTACGGAGTGGAACGGATCGGTAACGTTGGGTTCGTACGAAACTCTACGACCACGGGCGCAGAGAGGTAACGGTACCAAATAGATGTCAAGTAGTAGGAGATTGCTTGGTTATGCATATGCATTGCACGAAGCCTTGCGTCGCAGCGCCGATGATTTCTTGGTCGTGTGCTTAGGTACCTTCGCGTGGCACATGCGGGGCTCTCCGCTCGCCGCGCTCAGTGCTGTCATTGGTGGCTAATTGTCCGTGCTGACTGGAAGGAACATGAAGGCTGAGCTGAAACTCCAGCCCTGCCCCTCGTATTTCACATCAGGTTTGGCAGTGAGGTAGCGCTAGGTACTGCCTCAGCCGTTTCTGTGCAGTCGGCACAACATACGCACAACTCTGCATTGTTCGATATGCACAAGAACGTGTCAAGCTGCAAGACACTCCAAGACGCCAAGTGCCTCTGCGAGATTGCGGGCCCACGACAACGTCCGCGCGAACCAGGAAAGGAGGGAGAAGAGGAAACAGGGGAAAAGTTGATTGGCCCAGCCTACGCCACTTCCGGATCGTATTAATGGCCGACTCCACTACTGCACGCGCTAACTCCGCGAGGTGATGCACTAGGAGCCATGTTTAGCAACGGTGCCAGCCGGATTGGGCATACCACGCCTCTCCTGTCAGACGGGCGCGAGAGTCGAGAGACGTCCGGGTGGGAAGGTTACGGCGGTAGTGTAGCGACGGGTCGTCTGAGTATTGAGCACAGGCGAATGCTGCGCGTGGCGGCGTGGGCTGGGCATGGCTTGACCAAATTCAGGAGGGTAATCCTCCTCAAAGTCTCGGCAGAGCATCCTCGTTAATTAGGGCCATCCTGCCATCCGGATTTACTGTAGTGTCGCATCTTCCAACTTTCGCCAGCCTGTCAGCTTTACCTTTAGCTTTCTTGTCTTTCGTTCACTCCCTACACTCGTTCACATTCGCTTTACATCGCAACCAGCAACTAATTCTCTTCTTCCTCACCAAACTCACCAAATCTCGGCCTTCATCCAACCGCCTCAACAAACAAAATGCAATACTTCACCATCCTCGCCACCGCCGCGCTCGCCGCCCTCTCGTCTGCCTCCCCAGAGCCCATTTTCGGTCGCAGCTCGAACGTCGCTCGCGCTGGCACCTGCATGAGCCTCGCTGAGGCCCAGCAAGTCACAAACAACTTCGAGAACCTGGTCGGCACGGGTTACTCTGACACCCTCGCCACGGAAGCGATGGCTGAGGACTTCAACGACTACTCCGACTCCGTCACCTCGCTCATCGATGCCGGCTGCACCGGTCCCCAACCGGTACGTTTGGTTCTGTAGCGTACATCTCACGAGTGAGCTTCGGACTAACATAGCGACACAGCTCGGCGTTGCCACCTTCACCAGCCGTGCTGAGTTCATGGTCGCCCAATCTCAGCAGCCCCCGCTCCCCTTCCAGCTGCTCTCCATGTGGTACAACTGCGACACCGTCTTCATCCACTGGAAGGCCCCTCTCCCTCCCCAGCAAGTCACCGGCATCATCGTCATCGAGACCACCCCGGCTCCTGCAGGCGGCCCGTACTCCTGGCTCATCCAGACCGTCTACTCCGAGTTCAACAGCGGTGCATGGCTCGTTGACGTCGACACCTTCGTGCCGTCCAACTGCACCGCATAAGCGTGTCTTCCTCTTTCTCTCCCGTACAACATTCACGGCGCTTATTCCACGGCCTGTCAACTGGGGTGATGCACGCCAAAAAGCTGCCACGCGCGACTTCTGTTTTTGGAAATATCTTGCGCGCGCGCCTTCTTCGGGCATTCAAACGGGGCTTGGGTTTGGCGCTTCACAATCAATGTATCGGATAATGTATGGCGGTCGTCTTCTTCCGATATTCTCTAGCATTCAGAGGGTCACCTTGGGGCAATCTGCGCAAAGCACCGCTTAGACGTCACGACGCTTGCGATGGCTGGGCAACATACAGACCACGACGTTGATGGCATAATATGATTAGTCAATGTCTATATTACCGCTACCAATCTGACCTTCACTACCATCATTCGTTCGTCGCATTACGTGTGCAGTCGTCAAAGTCTCCAATAACCACGCGCATGCCTTGCGTCGGCTTCGCTGCTACGAACGAACGTAAGCGTGATGCATGCGTTCACTTCTAACATGTCGCGTGGATTGTTCTGCGGCGAACAAGACGCGCCACCCTCTCGTGCAATTAGACGTACCAAGCCTTTGAGCGCTACGTTAGCTGCATGAAAACGAACAAAAGGAGTTTGCATACATTAGATGTGGAGTAGAGTCTTGAACGTCTCTAACCTAGCAGAGCGGCTTGATTGAATGTATCAAGACACCGATCACCTTACATGTCCAGACTGCGCGATCGCTCCTGTCAATATGCTTGCTTGCGCCCTACCCCATGCCAACGCTCAAATCAAAGATACATGAACAACCCATCTCCTCCGCCCAACACCGAACCGAATGGCAAGATCTAGTACCCAATATCGACCGTCGTAACATCCTCCATGAAGTGCTTGTAACGGTAGCCGTGGGTGAACCACAGGAACCACGGGACAACGTAGGTCTTGATGGTGTGACCGAGCCAACCGGCGTCGGAAACGGTGCTGACCACGTTCTTTGACTCCTCGAAGGCAACCTCAATGCGCGACTTCCTCAGCTTCTCGTAAGCGTCAAAAGCCTCCCGCATGTTGCCGCCCGGCTGGCCCTTCTCGATCCAGCGTGTGAGGCAGCGGGAGAAGAGGACGGTGTCCTCGAAAACGATGCCCGTTGACTCGCCCTGGGGAGGCATGGCGTGCTGGGAAGGTAGTGTTAGCAAGGTTTAGGGTCGGTGTCATATGTGTGGTCAACTTACGGCAGCGTCACCGAGCAACATCACACGGTCAGTAGACCACTTTCCGTGCTTCGTAAGCGTGAAGACCGGCCACAAGAAGAAATCTTGCGCCTTCTCGATCAGCGGGATGATGCACGGGATCTTGGAGTCACCGAAGCGCTCCAAAAGCTGCGCTCGCGTCTTCTCTGCGTCTGCACCCACGGACTTCCAACCGTCACGCGAGCCGACGTCCTTCACCTGCATGAGGGCACCGACGTAGACAGAGTCCATCTTGGAATTGTGGTAAGAAGTAAGAAGCATACCGCGGCGGGCAAAGTTGATGGCGGTGCACTCGAAGTGGACCTTGAAGTCCGGGTCGATTGGAGCGAAGCCAAAAGCGTTCGAGACACCAGAGTAGGTAGCCTTGCGCTCTGGCTCGACGTGCTTAAGACGGGTAACGGAGTGGATACCGTCGCAGCCCATCAGGAGGTCACCAGTAGCCGAGCCACCGTCCTCGAAAGTGAGTGTCACGCTGTCCTTCTGCTCGTCAATCTTGACAGTCCGCTTGCCGCAGGTCATTGTGATGTTGTCCTGCTTCCGCACAGCCTCCAAGACGGCCTTGAGCGCATCTCCACGCGTGATGCGGAGGGCCTTGTATGGCGGATTGCCAACACCCTTCTTGTCCGGTCCTTGGAAGTCAGACTCGGCGAGCTTGCCGGTGTAGACATCGAAGACCTCGAGGTAGTCGATGGTCTTGCCGTAGTCGTTCTCACGCATGATGGAGAGGGCACCGAGGTGGTCGAGCATACGAAGGGCATTGGGTGTGAGGTTGACGGCACCACCGACGGTGGCGGGCTCGGGTCGGATCTCGTAGATGTCGATCTTGGGCACTTTGCCCTGGGGAGCGAATTTCGTTAGGGCGAGGGCGGTGGTGAGGCCGGCGATACCACCACCGAGAATGATGACCTTGAGGCCATCTTGAGATGCTGGCGCCATGCTGTGGTGTGAGACTGTGTTGATAGAGATGGTCTGAAGTGAAGATAGGAAACTAGGAGATGTAGAGAAACAAACGATGATGCTTCTATATAATGGCTCTCAGCCGTAGTAATGCCTTTTGGGTGAGATATGACAAGCTGCAGAGGAAGCTCCGACCTCCCCTGAATCGGTTCAGACGTTCGGTCTGTTGTGCGAGACGGGCCCGACGAGCCGTTACGATCTTTTCCCGACGAAGCGGCATGGATGGATGGCAGTGATGAGGACGCCTTATCTCCACAGGCTTCCAGCCCGCCTAACATCCGCCAACATGTGGCATCTTCCAAGCATCGAAATACAAAACCCTGACATCCATTCTTCACCCAAAGCGGTAAGCGGCTGAGGAGCGTTGCCACGAAGGGCTGATGAAGGCTCGCTAAAAATACGTTGGATGGTCCACTTTGATGCAGGGGCGGAGGCGTTAGTGGTCAAGGCGTACAGCGCATGGCCGACCGCAGAAGCACATTCGGTACCGGTCTGCGTCGCCTTCTTCAGCTCGTTCGGAGGTCGACGGTTGCGATGCTTCGCAATAGGTAGGCAGCGTATGTCGCACGTCTTCAGTCTATTGTTGCCAGTAACAGTGTCGTTGTCGGCTCTTGCGCTCTGATCAGTCGACCATGGACGGTGCTGAAACTGCCATTCCCGACCGACTTTAGAGTCCGCTATCTTATCCAGTCACGCACGGCAGTGTTGTGCGAGAGCTGGATCAAGAGGGTTCCTTCGCTATCACCACGCAGTGAGGCATCCTCGCCCTTGGTTGAACTGTAGAAATCGCCAAACTGAAGAAAGTCAAGGCTTCTAAGGGTAGGTGGGAGTACGGCTATTCGTAGGCGTTGCCAACACCCTATGCAGTGTGCAATGAGTCTTGAGTGGGGCCAGATAATACCTGTGAGCTACGGATATCTACACATTTGATCCCTAAAATGTCTCTGAATTTCTCGCACAGCGCTTGACGGGCGCTGCATAGTTACCAAGGCGATAAAACCGTATGATAGTGCTGAGCTAGGTTTGCAGTGCTCACACACCAAACGCGATCCAAGGCTCACCACGAGGGGAACAGCGTAGCATATCACGTTCTCTATGGCCGAACAGCGCAGCGCAGAAATGTAAGACTCTCACTCTCGGGAGTCCGTTGTATGGCTGCTGCCTCATCGCCGCAAAGCATCCATATCATCCAGCATCGCTCTCGGGACAGTCAAAGACGACACCTACGCCTTCCCCCCTCTGCGAGCTTACGTCACTCACCGGCGACCTTAACTTGCGTTGGGTCGAAGACTTAGGCAGCGAGCTTGCGATGTTGATCATGCGACTTGACTGTAGGTTCGCTGAACATGGTTTTGGTTGCCCTCGCAGCCCTGAGATGATACAACACCGAGGCTCCGACCAGGTCGCCACTGAAGACAAGCACACTGGTGTTGGCTCAATGTCCACACAAAATATCGTAAGAGTGCGCCTCGCCACAGCGAGACTCTCAATCAGCGCCGCATGATCCAGCTTCGCCGTATATCTGCGTATCGCGGCCACTCCCGGAGCCTACTAGGCCTCAATTAAACTTCACCTCTCGACACACACACGGTCAATGGTATTGTAACCTGTTAGCCGCCGTTCCTGCTCATTCACTATGCTTGCTCTTCGATCCTTGGAATACGAGGGTACGCATTGTCAACCAAGCGTCAAATCCTAGGTAGGCTGTTCGATCACTCGGGTTGCTATGGCACTGGTCCTACAGCCCGCCTCGTCTACGAAATGCTTCGAAGCGAGTCGGAGGGTCATGCTAACCTAATACAAGACCTTTATATTGGTAAACAGTCCGTGGTGTGGCTACTGCGTCGGAATGAAGTACAAAAGACCGAGGAGGTTTATCTGTTCTCCCCTCTCAACGCTGAGCACCACCAACAAGCCGAGCATGAGTTCGCAGGGTTTCTACAGAAGACGGTCCGGCCCAGGATAACGAACCGCTTCTTACTTAGGATCTGGAGTGTCCAAGAGTTGCGGCAAGCAGGAGCTATACACGACCCGTTACTTGCTATACTCACTACCGTTTGGCGAATAAACACGGGCTCTGACACCGACACCGACACAGGTGTTCTTGGCGACGTTGACGAATGCGAGCCTCGAGCAAATCTGTACGCCGTGATTTTCCGCTCGCGCTACAGGAGCCGCTGCTACGCGAGCCTTCACCGTCTTCGCCGCCACGCGAACCTTCACAACCTTCGCCGCTACATGATCCTTTACCGCCTCCACCGCTACGTGAGCCTTTACCGCCTTCACCGCTACGCGAGCCTTCACCACCTCCGCTGCCACGCGAGCCTTTACCGCTACGCGAATCTTTACCGACGGCCCCCCGCAAGCGCTCTAATGCAGTCCAAAGGGTCGATGGGCTGTGGGAAAAGCCGAGGACTGGCGAAGACGATCCGAAGCCACTCGAGCCTAACAATCAATGACGCTGTCGCATCCTGCCGTGTAGGACGGTACTTGCGAAGAGAAACGTGGTGGAACTTGCACGACACGAGTACCAGCAGCATGGGACGATGGTTTGTACTCTAGCCAAATCCGGACGGCCAGGATCGATGATATCGTGCACGACGTGCGAGGAATGTGGCAGCGGACTCTCCTGCGTAATGGGATATCATCTACACTTCTGCGTAATGCGCAAGATGCTAGACGGATACTTGCAAGCATATGTCGTTGTTGACGCCCAGGTCGGAAGACGTCCGATTCTGAAGAAGTCTGGAGGAAGGATGTGATGGGATGGGCACGTAAGGATCTCCTGGACTTTAAGCGGATGTAGTGAGTCACAGCGCGAGGATATCCGGCGGAACGTACCCCCATCGGACAGCGACTTCAAATAACCGGACTACGCCACGATGCGTGAAGCCATGGCGGGTACAAAGCATCCGTGCCTGTAAGCTACTTGTCCACAGGTCTTCACTTTGCAGATGGAAGAGTCCCACCATAGGACCATCGTGCATACCAAGGGCCCTATGTGCAACGATCTCAAATGCCTAGAGCGTCTACCGGGCTTCCTACCCCTGACGGAGCAGCTGCAGGCGCTCCTTCACAGCTACGAACACGGTGAACGTCAGTACTGCGTCGGTCTAACTGTCGCCTCGGCCACAACGAAGCTGCTTATCGGCAAAGTCGAAGCGTATCCGCCCTCCGACTTTGTCCGTGCTCCCAATAGCCTCTTCCGTAAGACCTTGGCATGCGTTCGCGTGTCTACCCACGGTCGCACCAAGGTCATTACAGATGGCTGGTGGCGCAAGCAGCAAATTGGGAGCTTCTATGATATTGCGGCCATGTGCCATATGGACATCTACGGGCAGTTAGGCTTGGTCGGTCATCATGCGACATCGCCAGCGGCTGCTCACCCATCTGCTACTCTGCGTAGAACGGCCATTCGGACAAGCCGCGTACCAATGTCGATGTACGGGATGGCCCGTGGAATAGTCACCGTCCGGTCTTGGATCATTCACGAGTGTGACCCTTTAATCGGCCAAGCTCACATTGTCAATCAATACAACATCGCCGAGGTGATGCCGAAGTTGTTTGAAACGGACCCGATGCGATGAACAGTATTACCAGCGTTGTACTTTGCACATACAATCCTGCGAGCTTGCGCAGTCATCGACTAGCAGAGGATCAGACCTCGATGCGTCGACCGCCACGCATACCAGACCGCTTCTATGTACACTCTATCTTGTTCTCTTTAAATTACAAATAAACGTAACAGAACTGTCCACCGAGCGTCGACATGGCGCTGCCAATCGTAATGCCTGGGGCGTTAACACCAAGATCAATGATGTCGCTGAGGCTGGTGTTACGGCTGGGCGGGCTGTTGTACAGGGTAAGAGTACCACCAATAGCGTTCTGTCTGTCCACCGGATCTTGATTCTGCCAGATCCACCACACGCGGTCGATCTGAGCATGGTGCAGCCAAAAGTAAGGGTCGCCTTAAAATGGTCAGCTAATGGCTTCAATAGTGATGCTGAGATGTCTGCTTACCCGGAGAAGTGAAGAGGTCTCCACCTGGGTCTCCGCCAACGACGAAATGCCCGGCGGTGTGCACACCGAGGATGCCGTTGGCGAATTGGCCTTGCATATTGTTTTGAAAGTCAAGAATGTTGTCGTTCTGCGTGATAAGGTCTGTGACGTTCACATCCTGAAGATTGGTGGTTGCGGCGTAAGACGAGATGTCACGACGCAGACACCTCGGGTTATAGCCAAGACCGTTGGGTGCAGGGTTGGGCGTAGCGTCGCTGAACGCAGGCGCAACGGGACCGAGGTTGACAGACATGTTCTTGAACGGACCGCTGGTTACGCAGCCACCACCGGAACCGTGCGGAATGGTGATGAATGGCTGGCTGTTCGACGGGACCCCGACGCCAGGCTCATCCTTGTAGGCACCATTGCCACTGATGGAGGTTGAGCTGCCGTCAAAGACTGGGGCGTTCAGGATGTCCAGAGCATACTTGGGCCAGTTGAGGTACGGCTGGTAGCCGGTATAGCCACACTCGTTGCGCAAGGCTTGTTCGTATGTCCAGAGGAAGTATCGATGCCACGAGAGGAAGTTCCCAGTGCCGTGAATGCTCAGGGTCTGATTGATATGCGTGGCGACGAAGTCATCATATCGGCTTTTTGCACCAGGTGCCAAGGATCCGCTTTTCGATGGTTTCGACTGCAGACAAAGGACGGCATTGATGTAGTTGGTCTTCTGCTGGCTTGAGAAAGTACTCCATTCCTGCCTGATGTAGCCAGTGTTGATATTGCAGCTGGATGGTGGAAGGTTCTTCGCCTCATAGAAAGCAAGGTTAATCAGACCCTTAGCCTCAAGCTTGTCTGTGCCGGAGGTACTGGCTGGTGTGAAGGCGGCAACGGCTGATAGGAGAGGTGCAGCGGCGACTGCGAGTGTGAAACGCATGGTGAAGTCAAAGAGTGGAGCAGCGCGAGCCGCAACTGAGAACGAATGAGCAGGTTTGCGCCGTTTGCGCAGAGGATGTATATATAGTGAGCGAAGGCGAATGCGTGTCAAGACGTGACAATTCCTACCTTTGTTGCAGCAGAAGCCATCGCCTTAATATATCACGAGCAACATAGTCCGCCACGCTGTGCCTCACCAGAGTCACGGTAGTCAATCCTGACGGTCCACGGCACTTGCTAGTTTGATTGCTGGAGCAGTCTTCTCCTTCGCTTGGTAGTGGATTGAAACGAAGGCCAGCCAGAACCACGCGGAGTGGGCCGCTGAACGGGTGCTCATGAGGCACAACCCGCAGAGGGACGGCAACGTGCTCTGCGGCCCCTGCCTGCCAGGTCGCTTGCCCTTCTAGGCTTCCATGCGCCCTCTCGGCTGCCGTAGTTGGCGTGGAACAAGTGGATCCATACTATTCCTCCGAAGATCGTTAGGGGTCCCGGTCCTGTCCCTTGGAAGCAAGCTAAACTCTCAGACGGCGCTGAGAAAATGCAGGTACAAGGCTTCCGCATCAAGACGCTGCAGCATATCACACGGGGCGAGCAAGACTTGGAAGTCTTGATCATGTCTTGGAGATAGAGCGGTTGCCAACAACTCTACCGGTGCAGTCAATTGCGTATTGAACTTTCTACATCGGGCCTAAGGTGTGCGAGGCAGCGGGACTGGCCACGGTCAACGTGAGACCAATGTGATCAACGTGCTAGGATCCTGGTGCCCGTTCGAGACTCCTTTCGTTAATGGTGCAAGCGGCCACTGGCGAGCGTGGAAACCATGCGTGCAGAGAGCACAGACCTTGAGAAGCTCCGTAGCATGATGCACCTAGAGTGCTAGCACGTCGTGTTGCAGCACTTGCTAACGCCGGGATACTATATTTCAAAGCCAGCAACAAGTGACAGGAGATGTGCCAAGAGCCATGGAGAAACAAGCTATTGCACCTACGGAAGACGACAAAGCGGCGTAGTTAACATTCATGTTACACGATTCGGCATAGTTTACCCCGGATAAAACTAGTTCTACGGGGGGAGTCTCTACCGAAGGATCGAACGTTGACCGTGACCACCTCAATCTGCACCCCATCTCCTCGGCACTCTGGTTATTATCATAAGGCGGACTCCTTGCATTTCGATCTGATGAATCGCCGGATACTGACAGACCGTGATAATCAAGGCTGTCAACTCTGATTGCACTTCGCCGGTGGCGTAGTTATAAAGCGACATCACAATCCTATGTCCCGCCCATGACTTCACGGCTTATTATCCGGGCGGCACGTAGACCGGAAAGCGAGGACCTGCAGTAGACCTGAAAGCCATGCATCTGACCGCACATCTTGAACGTTCCAGCATCAACAAGCTTGGTATCTACATCCAAGAGGAGTCTGCAGTTCCACCTGGTACTCATCAGTCTCTAAGCCTCCATCTCCAACGGTTGTAGCAACAGCTGTAGCAGTTATTGGTATGAGCACCAGTGACCGTTGAACCACGCAGTAACCCAGCATGGAGTCAAGCAACGGCCGGCTGTGTTCCCTACCGTCCCGGTGGAGCCATGGCTTGCATGGCTTGACGAGCTAGCATAAGCGACGCGGCAGAGTGTTCGGGCCAGATGGCACCGGATTACCATCAGGTGTTAGACGCGGACTTCCAGCTAATTCTGTATCCAAGGCAGTAGAGGCGTGAGTGTGGGTGATCAACTTGCTTGCACCTCTCAGATGTTGGTTGAGGTGACATGAGAGCAACTGATGGTCGGAAAGACTTGAGAAGACGCATTGTATGAGCAAGCAACCCTCCTCCGCACAAATGAGACACAGATTATGGTCGATGGAAGTATCCCACGGGAACAGGTTGTTATGGCTCTGTATTGTGCCACGGACGCGGGACTCTAACCTTCGGCTACCTGAGCCTAAAGAGACCGACGCACTTGGACACGGGTCGTGCCTGTCTCGCATTTGCAGAAGCGGCGGGACCATGGCATCTCACCTGGCGGTGTCCGGCGTGTCAATACTCCCTAATGAGCATCACGATCCACGACCCCTTCAAATCCTTGCATTTCGTTCCTTTCTCGATAAGCCCCCTCAGTATTCTGACTTACGGGGCATAGTGCGCTTGCGAAGCGAGACAACCATTTCGCCGCCAATCTAGCCTTGCGGCGTACCACCAGCAACCCGGATGACGGCTATGTAGCAACCTCAAGCTTCGACGTTACTGTCGCCACCTACTTCCGCTATGACCCAGCACCTTGAGACGTACCTCCTCCATCGCGCTTGTTTGCAGACGCTTCAGACCTTTTCGCACTCTGTGTCTGTTTCCCAAAGAGGATTGACGACACCGAAATCGTTCGAAATCGACAGCAATGTCGCCAGTGTCAACTCCTGCGATGGCTGAACTGTCACCTCGATACTCTCCGGTCGAGGACACGCTGCGCTGTCATGAATCCAACCTTCCTGCGATCCTTGGAGTCACCGGAGCTTTTGCTGGCGCTGTCTTCATAGCAGTCACACTACGCTTCTACGTCCGGTTCAGGATGCTCAAGTTCGTTGGGTCGGACGACTTCACGATGCTTGCCGCTATGCTCATGGCAATCGCAACATTCATATGCTTCATTGGCGAGTCTAATTGGGGTTTGGGCAGGCATGCAGAGTGTATAGCTCCGTCGGATTTGGAGATGTTCTTCAAATGGCAATTCTACCACTCATTGTGGGTGATGTTCGGCGTCGTTCTGGTTAAGATATCGGTTGCGCTTTTTCTCATGCGACTTGCACCACGCGATCTGTGGAAAAGGTTCTTGTGGGCCGCAATTGGTTAGTGAGCTCTTTTCGTCCGGCGGTGTAGACATAGACTGACCTGACGAGTATGCAGCATTTCTGACCTGCTTCGGTGTTGCCTGCGCCGGCACGCTTATTTTCTCTTGTGTACCTCCAGGAGCATCATGGAATGTTGCCCTTCGCTTAGATCCTAAAACGAAGTGCTTCTCGAACACCACCTTTGCAAACATTGGCCTTTTCAACAGTATCATTAATATCGCTACCGACTTCCTCTTCGCACTTCTTCCGATTCCAATCGTTCTCGGCCTGCAGGTCAATGTCCGTACCAAGATTTCACTGGTCTTCATTCTGTGCCTGGGGTTTGTAGCCTGCGCGGCTGGCATTGTCAAAGCGCATCTGCAAACAACCTTCCTGGCGAACGCAGACCGTTACTGGGACGATGGCTTCATGGTGTGGAACATGCTTGAGCTATGTTTGGGCATTCTCGCGGCCTCGTTACCCTCGCTCAAGCCGCTGTTCAGTAGCATTTTGGCCAACTCGAGGAGCGCCTTGGGATTGTCAAGTGCAGACCGCAGCAAAGGCAAGACAGGCGTCAGTGGCACTGCACCCTTCTCACAAAACTCCGGCTACAGGCGGCAATATGACTCGCGCGACATCCACGGCATACTTTCAAATACCGGTGGTGGAGAATCCTTCGATAAGGTCATCACCACAGTAACAGTCCAGGGTAATGACCCAGTCGAGATGGGCCCAATCGCCAAGGCCAAGAGGCCTTACAATGTTCGCATTACAAGCGGCGACATGATCAAGAACGATTGGGACAGTGGGCACGACATCGGACGGAACGATAGCGAGGAGAGGCTACACTACCCGAGCGGGATATATAGGACTACGGAGGTTCTGAGGACGAGTGGTGAGCTTATGAGATGACGAACAACAACCACTTGGCAGACGCCAAGATTCCGGTACTGTCTGTCTGTACGATGTATGCATGGCGTGAAGACGGGGGCAACAAAAGCCAGAGTTGTTTCTGTGCCGCAACAGTCGGATGTTGTAACATTCACCCACAAGCCTATCAAATTTGTACGTAGGAGGTTACACGTCCTGACAGCCTTCGTTTATGTCACCAGAGCAAGAACGGGCCACTGCTTATGATTCGGCTCCTTCCCCAGGACGCGATATGGACCTGGGTCAAGGAACAGAATCGGCCGCGCACGTCTTTGAGCGCTCTCATTATGTGAGAAAGTTCCGGCGGGTCAAACTCGTGGGCTTGTGAAACGACAACGTCCGTGATACTGAGCTCCAGAGTAGGTCACGGATTCCCTCCACTTTGTACACGCGCTAGGAGCGCAATAAATCGCTGCTGTATTCCCTGATGCAGGCATACTGTATGATCTGTGAGACGAAGAACCGACAGTACAGGTAGCCTCTAAGCTCGACGTCTTGTAGCCCTACGTCGCCTTGCTCACCTATAACCACAGACACTCTGGATATCAAGCTGCAGGACTGTATGCTTCACTCCCGAAGTATCTTACCAGAGCTTTGTCGCTGCTGGCTTCCGTAAAACTCTATCACAAGATTCTACGCGAGACTCTTCGGCCAGTCTAAGTCGAAGACGCATGTGGAGAAGTCCCAGCAGTCCGATCGGAAGTTGCCCGCCCCAAATCGTAGTCACACTACCATTCCCCATCTTCCTCGCTCTCTTGTACAAGCGTACATGCTCCTTGCAAGTAAGCCGAACGAAGTCGCTCAACGATAACTGTATCGTGTCCCACTCAATCACGGGCGATTTGTACTTCAACCTCAGATCGGGATCTTCGACAGCGCAACCCCAGCTATTGTCGTCAACATATTCCTTCTTGTGACTCGCGGCTATTGCTGAGACAGGTACGATTGGTAGCACAACCGGCCAGACTACGGCGCGGCTATTAGTCCTTAGTATCCAGACTCAGTAGGAAGCTTGGCTCACGGGAATGATCCGTGAAGACTGTCCGATATTCTTTCGAAGCACGAATTAGTGTTGGTTGAGCAGTCACAAGTCCTCCCGCTACCGATTGAGCCAGAGATAGCTACGCCGGTTCTTTGAGTAACGAAGCTTGAGCTCCTGCGGAAAGCCTCATACTGCAATAAAAGGTAAGGTGGCTCTCCATCTTCCAAATCGGCCCACTTGCTTTGATACACGCCGTCAAGTAGTATAATCGCTGGATTTACCATCTTCGGGTCAGATAAACCATGAGAAAGTGGCTTATGAGCAGGCTTTCCCAACACGCACCCACGGCATCAAGCGCTCACAGACCCACGATGAATTTCTCCATGCTTGAGCTACCACCTGAGCTTCGGCTCTGCATCTTCGAGCAACTTGACCCTCATGCGGACAAAGACACACTGCGTGCTGCCGCGCGTGCGTGCCGTCTGTTACAGGATCTGGCCGAGCCGTTTCTGTACAAGCATATCTTCTTACGCACTGGGCTTGAAGTCGCAACGCTTCTCAAGAGCGTTGCGGCACGCCCTGCTCGCGTTAAACTCATCCATACGCTTGATGTTCGGTGCCAGTGGGGCAAGTCTTCCGGCATTGAGAGGCTAGAAGCTTTGTTGCGTACCGCCGCAAATATTGACACCCTTACGATCGAAAGTCCATACTGCAACAGTGGTAGATGGCATTCTACAGGAGGAGCATGGGAGCCGCTGAAACGGGCACTTCTCGAGCCCATCGCTGCCGCTTCGCTGCCTAACGCACACCCTGACGGGCAACCGTTGCAGAACCTCACCACATGTTAGTCAAACCCAACATGAGAGAAACCAATTTGCTGGTATTAAGTCTGACTTACTTTGCAGTGACACTCCATCTCAACGGCGAGCGTAGCGAGTTCTGGTATATGATGGACTATCAAGCCGACATATTCGGGCATCCTACACTACGGGATCTGACAATGTCATGCGCGGCTATACCGAGTTTGAGCAAGCGGCATCTGAGCAAGTATACCAAGTCTCCTCTGAAGCGCCTCACTCTTGATCAATGTCAGATCAGCCTGATCGGACTCGCCGCTCTTCTGGCCATCCCAGCTGCGCTCGAGTATCTGTATCTCGGAGAATACACCCTCGACAATGATGAGCAGCAGTGGCCTCAGGGAGAGGAATACGATACTTTGTGCCATAGGAGCGCGAACGCTTTCATACTTGCGCTCGGTCAGCAGGCCAACTCTCTGACAACACTGACCTATTATGAGCGATTCTCCTCTTCGCTGTACGGCGGACGGCAGCAGCTAGGTTCTGGACTAAATGTGCTCCACCAGCTTAAAGAGCTTCGGCTTCTCGGCGACACAGACGCTCAGCTACAAACTATGTTGATGTCCGACCTGACCTCACCCCCAGTACTTCGCGCACTCCATCTCCAAGAACACTCGCTTCTGGAATGGATAGCACTTGAGGTCGATGACGAAGGCAACTTCCTACAACTCGCGGAGAGCTCGTCACTGCCCGGACCCATAGCCGATCTGCTTTCGGCAAATTCCGAGCTTAAAGTCCTGCAGTTCAGAGTTCCGCAATTGTACGAAACAACAAGAGCTAGGTGGTCGGGCGTTTCCCAAGCGATCGCGAGCTTAGGAGAGATGTTACGTGAACGCGGTATAGATTTCCGCGTACACCTCTGCCCTAGGCAGCCAAGGTTCGTACGGCCAATACTATATGGGGAGGTGGAAGATGTGGACGAGCTCCTCTACTCGAATTGCGGTGAGGCATATATCCCTCTTTGCGGGCATTCCGATGGCGGCCAACTCATTGAGTCAGACAACAGTGAGTATGAAGACGGGGCCGGATTCGACGGAGATTGGTCGGAGACTGCGCTGGAGCAGAGCAGCGACGACGAAGAATAGTGCGCAGGCATGAGCTTGCGGAATAAGAACGCCTTCTGATGCTGCACAGTGCTGCGGCGATTGCGACGTCAGCTATCATACGCTTACACGGCTCGCTGTCTATCATCCAGTCTAATGTACCCCTGCGTGTGATAAACGTCAAGCCTACGATCACCTGCCGAACCTGCGAAGCTCTAACCACCGGAGTGGGGGGTACACTAGTGCTGCCCAGCTGAAGCCGACGTAGTTGCCCATCTAGCCTCCCGTTAGCACGTTGATCGAATAACTGCAGTCTCACACAACGCGCACTTACGTCGCCGCCATATTGTCCGACAAGAGCCGCTAATGGCCCGATGTACCACTATGCTACAAGTTAGCACCCGTCGGTTGTTGTCGATCATGACGATCGGCTTACCACCTGCGCCATGCAAAGGATAGCACCAGCCCAGCCCACGAGAAACGCCACTAAAGCGGCTATGCCGAGTGGTAGTTTGGAGCGGTCGTTCCAAGCCTCCCAGTTCCAGCCGAGCTTTCTCCACCCACGGAAGATCAGATGCTCCTCAAGCACAATAGCGATCCAAATGCTGACGAAGTATCCCATTAAGGCCAGGAAGTTCGTGAAGATCTCAGCCAGATGCTCGCGGCCTGCGATCGCGCAAACGGTGAAGATGACGGTGCCCACGGTATTCCAAACTATCCGGGGCACGAGCTGGAAGTAGCGACCGAGAACCTGAAAGTCCACGCCGGCAGAGTAAACCGGAGGGATGACATTGGCAATGAGGCCCAACGCCAGTACTACTGATAGGAAGGATCCGAACCCGCCGAGCGGTCTGAAGGCCTCGACTGCAAGCGCACCTTGAGAGATGCTATAAGCATCGGACCACGCCGGGTTCGAAGCGATGCCCGAAGCCAGGCCGGTACCGATGATAAACATAGGCGTAAAGGAAAGCGTTAGACCAGTCATGGTTATGGCAAAGATCTTCCACTTCGCGGTCCTTTCTGGATAATAGACAAAGTAGTCGGCAGAGATGCAAGCGTAGGTGACTCCAGCGGCATAGCAGATGCTGAAGAAGCTGAGTCGATTGCCAGTAATGGTACGGCTGTCAAGCCCAGCAGACGGGTCGGTATATAGGTCAAACTTCGGGCCGGCGACACCAGCAAGGACGCAGATCATCACCGTCTGCGGCAGCCACGCATAGCGCTCGTAATAGTGGAAGATGCTGTAACCGAACGTAGTCACTACCCAGGAGATTATGGCCACTATAACGATGCCGACCACAATGGAAAGATCGCTATTTGTGCTTACGGCGCTCAGGACTTGGCCAGCGATGACGGAATCGATGAGGGAGTAGCCGAGCAAGTTGATAAGCGTAAGAATAACAATCAGCTTCGCCGGCCACCAGCCCATAACATAGCGAGCGAAGACCATCGTCCGATTGCCGGATACCGGACCGAAAGTGGCAATGTAGGCCACCGGTAGGCTTCCCAAGATGGCCCCAAATACGGCACAGAGGCTGCTGTCGAGAAAGGAAAGGTAGTAAACTGCCGGACCAAGCATCTTCGCAGCGGAGTGTCAGCCGCAGGTACGTGACATGGAAGCTTACACCCTACTTACTCCGAGGGTCAAGTTGTTGGCTGCCAAGTTGACGCTGAACCAGAGCATACACATCTGTGTGAAGCCAAGCTGACGTAGGTCATGTCTCTGATCTGGCAGGACTCGTTCGATGCCGCGTGCTTCGAAGTTGTAGCGAATAAGGGTTCGCTCGAACTCTCTCCAACGTCGCACCATCATCCCGTCCGTGGTCTGACGGCTGTCGATGTCCGCAGAAGGCCCATTGGCATGATCGGACAGCTGAGCTGCCTTCACCGCTTTCTCCTCGTCATCACGTGTCAAATCTTGTCGGATGTGGCCTATAGTAGTCAGTTTCCACAACACCGAAAGGGAACAGTAGGGGTAGCATGATTCTTCGACGCTGGCATTATCCAGTTCAAGTTCAAGCCGTATGTTCTCAGCGAGATCACTGCCTTCAAAGAAAGGACAGTGATCAAGCACCGGCTCATGCTATAGCTCACTCGATACCTCTACTTGAACTGAAGATGTTGCTCGAGCCTAGAACCATGGCTGCTGATCAAGCGTACTTTCAATGGCGGTCAGGTCTTCGGATGGACCGGATGGCGCCTCGAAAGATCGAAGGGCGATCGTTGGCTCGGACATGGTGAAAGACGTGTCTTCGGGTTATGATGGAAGGTGGGAATAGGACAACCTTGCAAAACAGCGAAAGAGTCATTGATGGGGATGTGGAGATAAAAATTCTAACGGATAAGATATTTAGTTCAGACGAAAGACCCTCGTTTGACGGCTTCCGAGCACATATTCTTACAGCATATTGCTATATTGCTACTTGGTGTGAAGACACATCGTGTGCTCAAGACGATGAATGGCTGCATGAGTACGTTCAAACAGCAGGGTGTTGTGAATTGGTATGGTCTGCTTTGCTTGTATCCGGGCGGTTGTGGTACAGGGCGGATCAGACCGCTCGGTATCTGTGCACCAGCGAAAGCGGCTAGCGCGGTATTGCTTCTCGATTTCATCTCCGCTCAAGCCCACCTTCTCCCGTTCGTGGTGTATAGCCCGCGTTATTCACAGTTATCGCCGTGCCGTGCTCGAAACACCCGACTCCTTCGATCAGCTCGGGAGACTTAACGATACTAACGCACTATGCCCCGACCACCGGGTACGTTTTTATCCCTCCGAAACCGCCTGGCCGGTGTTGCCAGTGTTTGCACGCTACCTTATCCGCCCATTACCGGTGATGAGAACATTGTAGGCTAATTCGACGGTCACGTTTTCCAGACACATACACACACAGCCAGGTAGGCAAGTCTCTAACATCTTCCGAGTTCGTACTCAACGGTATCGTTTCGTTCGTTATAGCAGTCTAGATTTCAAGATGACGCGTGCTACCTACGTGCTGATTGACGTTTCTAGTTCACACTGATCGAGTCTGACAAGAATGACACCGTCCAGTGCAACCACTGCAAAGTTTGGACAGGCAACAACAAGACTCTCAATCGCAAGAAAGACCACCTGCTCAAATGTCCGCAGTATTTGGCCTGGCGTGCGGCAGGTCACGGCCAAGATCTATTGCCTGCTAATACATACAACAAGCGCGACAGCGATAATTTGCAGGGCGACGAGTAAGCGCAGGGACATCCAAGCGAAGCTTTCTGTCAAGCATCGTTCGCTAACGCCGCATTTACGCGTTCTTTACAGCTCCATGTATGGCGCGGTGCCCCCTGGCGTTAGTCAACCAACTCCGACCATGACCAAAAGCCGCACTTATGGTAGATATTCCATGGTCGCGCTGCAGCACGTCTTACGCTAACGCAATACAGATATCGCCAAGGTACGACCTGTGAAATAATGCGCAGTGAGATAACTCGCTGTTAATGCTGTGCAGTCATTCGACGAGTTCTGGGATGACTCAGCTTCGCAGAAGGTACCCTCGACTGAGACTGAAAACCTCGCCGCACCGTTTGCTTACCAACAATACAGTGCATGCGCGTACGATGTCGATATTGCGGTTTCGTGCGCGCGAAGAACACCACGCGGCAGGTCGAGCATCTTGGCGTCTGTCACGAGTTCCTCAGCTCGACTGAAGGACAGCAGGCTCTGACGAATGGCGATCTCATCCCAGTATCGAATGATCAGTCACCGAACAATGCGATCTGGCGTGGTGGCGCTCCGAATCCGAACATTCAAGCTGTTGCCCGCAAAGCCCAGGCTCGTACCAGCATGGGACCACCTCCGGGCGCTCCTCCATCCAAGCCTCAGCCTTCACTCGCCAGTCACCTCGTGACTAAAATGGCGGAAGCTCTGACATCGGCGACGCGAAAACCCTTCTTGTCCCATGCGGGTTGCGGCACGCTTCCGGCGACTGCACTGAATCAGTGGCTATCTCAAGAGATACACATTTCGCGTGCTCTCGTCTCGTTCGTAGGCTCGTTGATTGGCAAGATACGCGTACCGGAGACGAGTGACTTAACTCGCGACCCGACCTTTCGCGCTCTTGATCTCCTATGCTCTGCGGTCAACAATATGAAGAAGGAGCTCGAGTTTCTTGAAAGCACCAAGGTCAAGTACAACTTGCATGTTGATCCTCAGGAACCACTCCCAGCTACAAGGGGCTTCATCGACCTATTCGCAAGCGCTTCTTCGCCGCAGAGCACTCTGCTGGAGGGTCTAGTGGTACTATGGGCTACGGAGCATGCAAGTCATTACGTTTGCCTTCGTCTACATAGCCTACTAACCCTCATGACAGTGTTTCTGCACCTCTTTCCAATACGCTGGCACGTTCAAGGCCACCATGCCTGCATCGTCAAGCTATTCACTTCCTTCTTATCTCACGCCAACGCAAGGCAGCGAATCGGCGATGTACTCTTCAACGCATTCCGACATTGAAAGCCAGCACACTGCAGCACTCCACGAGGCCTTCATCCAGAATTTCACGTCCGCGAACTTCGTACGTTTCGTTTCTGCGTGTAAGTCGATCGTAGATGAGGTTGCCAACGCGCAAACGAGTGGCAATGGAAGGATGGAGATGCTCAATTGCGAGCGCGTCTTTAAGCAGGCTGTCTGGCTGTGGGGTCACATCTGGCCGGACGTCAATGGTATGGGCGAGGAAGATGAGTTCGCTGGTAGAACCGGTGACAATGCAGAGACTGACGGCCCAGGTCCTGATGACGGCGCGGACAAAGCCCTTACCATCGAAGACGACTTGGATACTGATGCCACGGTTGGTTCACCCTATGGCGGGACAGGCCTCGCTGCAATTGCTGCCCATAATAGAGCTTCGATGTCCGTGTAGTCAGTCGGCACGTTCTACCGGATAAGTCTGGTTACTCCACCACGTGGTTCGGTTGATGGCATGGACTTGAAGGTGCGTTGGAGGCAAGCAGCCGCACGAGTTGACGTATTTCGATACCCTTTGGCATACCATGTACTTTCGGTGCCACAATCGTGGCGTTGCGTCTGAACCGAGCCCTCTCTGCTTCGCGATGGGGTCGTTGCGGGATCGGCAAACGGCCGAATCTTGGCACCAGCCCCACCTGAACGCAGATGGGACGATGAAAGTCCCGAGTCACATCGACGATGCTACTGGTGAAGATGGATGGGTCAACGTCTGGCTATATTGTGCACCATGCCTCTGAACATTTCGCCACTGGACATAACGAACACGAGAGCCACTGCATAACGGGGACACTCGGGCTTGGCAGATCTGGATCCAGCCCACAATTTCCCCACCTTGACCACGCTACCGGGTTGCAGACGACGCTGACCACTGCTGTTCGATGATGGCAGTGCAACCCACAAAGAAACCTTACCAATCCGCGGTTTCCCCTCCACTCCCTCCCACTACGTTCCACTCGATCTCCTGACATTGCCGCTGAGCTTTCTGTCTTCGACGGCGAAGCGACGGAACCGTCTCGCCCTGTCTCACGCAGTAGCGGGGTATACATCCCGGCCGTACCTGCAGATCCGTGTGCTCTGGCCCTACGCCGGACGAGGCTGCGTGGGGCGTGACACCCTGCGCCGAGCGGTTAAACAAGTCTCGTGAGGCCCGTCTGTCGCTGTTTCCATCAGTGCCATCATTGACTATCACCGACTCATTGGAGATATTCCGCTGTCGTTTGGCGGCTTTGACCGAGACATTCGTATCTGAACGCACTGAACATCAACACATCATTCGACATGCCATCACGAGCGGGTCGGCCCTCAAGGCCAGCCATGTACAACACACCTCATATCCGGAACGGCGGCTTCGGGGCGTTGCAAGTGGAAGCTATCACCAACAGACCGCTCTCTATCGCCCGGCGACACCTTGCAGCCAGCCAGCTGCGGATGCGGGATATTGAGCCGGATGAGCTGAGCTCGAGCGAGTGGGTACGCTTCCTCGTTATGCAGGAGAACGAGCGCGAGCGGTGGATGGCTGAGTTCCGAAGGCGGAGAAGGAACAGCGACGAGAGCAGCAGTAGCAGTGCAGATGCAGACAATGACGCCGATGTCGCTTACGACAAAGCGGAGGAGGCAAGACAGGAAGCTGAAGAGGCACGTAGAGTGGAGAGGGCGGAACGGAGTACGGCTGTTGGCGAGACATCATCGCGATCAACGGCAGCGCCTGTGGGTACGACACCTCCTGTCAGTCTATGGGTCAGGCAATTTGACGAGGACGAGGAGAGGCGAGCTCGCGGACGGCCTACGAGTCCCGTCTACAGCGCCATGCGGCCTATGCATCTCAGGCGCGCGGTTACCGATGGTATCGTTGAAGCACCGCCGACTTACGAAAGTGCCGTACGTGCGCGAACGCCGCCGCCTGCCTATGTCCCAAGAGAGGATGATGGTTCGAGATGACCACTATCTCCATGACGGAGCATCTCACATCCATTGACCGATGCTTTCGACGCCATCGCAGTGACGGCTCTGACATTGTTCCCTTTCATTAGAATACTTATCTCCACCTAAGCGGATTGACACAGATGCTCAGGTTAGGGCCGGCGCTGCATAGAGTGCAAAGGATGGCGTCACAGCCGGAGGCGACTCTTCGGCGGCATTCATGGGCACCGGACCGCTTGCGGCATTGCAGCCTTCATATAGGTCTTCGAAAACATCCTCCCATATAACTTTTGGCTAAGGTACATAGCGGGAAATAATGCCGGGACTGGCTTGTTAATCTGATTGACTTCACAGGAATGCTCAACTCGACCTCGGTATCAATGGCCATGTGGTGAGGATAATGAAGGACATTACGATAACTCCGTGGCCGCGTGCTGCAACTTTGCATGGTGAGAAGCTCCATTGAAACTTGCGCTTGGATAGCTGAAAGTTCATTACTATAATTCACAATCTGGCAAGTGGCCCATCCGGTCTAACAACGCCCAGACAACTTTTCGTGATATCCTTGACGCTATTGCAGCCTGTCAGTTGCATGCAGCGCTTGAACTCATTGTAGAAGATCTCGAGCATCAGCTCTACGCCTCTCTCGCCAGCATACTAAACAGCGATCGTATCAGTATAACCAACGTAAAGCGATGACAAGAACAACCTCACCGCAAGGCCCCAGATCGCTGGCCGCCCTACCCAGACGTACTCGGCGCCTAACGCCAACGCCTTAAACATGTCGGTTCCCGAGCGTATGCCACCATCAACATGAATACGGATCCGTCCAGCAGCCGCCTCGACGCATTCTGGTAGCGCATCGATCGTTGCCGGCACGCCGTCCAGTTGCCTCCCTCCGTGATTACTGACGATGATCCCGTCACAGCCCATCTCGATCGCTTTGAGCGTGTCTTCCGCGGTGAGAACGCCCTTAATCCAGATCTCCATTTTCGTGACACTACGCAACCATGGAATGTCCCGAGCCCAGTTGTGGGCATCGTCGTTGAAGGTCATGAAGCTGTCATCGTGACTTTGCTTGCGGATTCGTTCGGAGTCCCAGCCTAGGATTGGGAAGCCTGGAAATCAATGGGGTGGGCCCATTCAGCTATGTCTTGGTAGACCGGGAGGCAAAGCCTACTTACCGAGACCGTCGGGCGTTCTAAAGTCATTCCTCCATTCATTGTACCGTACTCCCAGCACGGGCGAGTCTGCAGTTAGGAAGATAGCAGTACAACCTTGCGCCTCCGCCTCACGGATGATCTTCAGTTCAAGGCCTCGGTCCTTCAGCGTGTACATTTGGATGGCGTGCTTGATTGGGGCGACGCCAAGTCCACTTCCACGGATCTCCCTTATGGTGTAGTTGGCAAAGGAGGATATGGCCATGTTGATTCCTCTCCGCGCACAAGCACGAGCTGTGGCGAGCTCGCCTTCTGGGTGAGCCATTGCTTGGAGGCCTGCTGGCGAGACACCAAGCGGGAAGGAGACCTTGCGGCCGAAGCATGTTGTCGATGTGTCTGCTTTGGAGACGTCTACCAGTACGCGAGGCCTCACACGATACTTGGCGTATGCGGTCGTGTTTTCGGCGATTGTGATTTGGTCAGTAGAACCGGAGTTGTAGAAGTCTGAGAACAGTCAAAGATGTTCGGTGAAGCGTTGCTGTTTCATCTGTGCTCTACCTCTTGCGCCTACAGGCAACTTCTCGGACGCCTCGATCCGGAGGTCATCAATGCACAGAATCTTTACATCGGCGGCTGGAACAGGTACTGGGACAGGGTTACCAGCCATCGTTAGCACCGGGACTAGTTGTGGATTTACACGTTGTTACTCTACTGTTTGGAATGTCCTTCTACTCTCGTGAAGATGTTGTTCCAGCGCCGCACATCCGGAGGATGCAGTGTTGAAGGGTTTCACCTTCACCATGCCTAAATAGGCAGCTCGTAGAGTGCGCAAGCACTTAACCTGCACACGACGCGAACTTATCGAATTCGCAGCAATGTGAAAGTACATCTGTTGGTGTTCACTCATCCTTGTTCCGTGATATCGGGTACGAGTACATGACCCACTCTAACGCGTGACAGCCTGCACCGCACGACCAGCTTGGACTTCGTCACCGCTCACACTAAGCGACCATATAGATTACAGCGTACCATTACGGCTGTAACAGTGACTTTCGCCATCACCCGCACTGCTGTGCCGTTCCTCCTCCTCCCACCCATGGTCGACCCAAATCCTGTGAAGTCTCTTCACCGCTTCCGTCGTCCTCACTCTTATCTCACGACTATGAACCACCACACCAAGAGAGAGTCTTTTTCTAACCACTCTCAGCCCGTGAGCAGTGTCCGTAAATCCGGATCAAGGGCGTTCCCAAAGATGACAATATGGAAAATCTGATCGCTACACCCAAGCCATTCCCCGATCAGCTTGGTGTTGCAAAAGAGGCCATCTCTGCCATTCGTCCCGATGACTGCTCGATGTCACGGGGTCTGGGTAAGGAAGTTGTCAAGCTTATCTGTCAATGGTACGGCGGTTACTGTAGCAGCAGAAGCTAACAGCCTATTTGCTGCAATCGCCGGGAACGAGCGGGTCGAAGCCTCACCCTGCCACGTGTTTGTCGAGATGGAACATGTTTGGTGGAACGAGGCCAGCGTCGACAAGTACTGCGATCTCACACGTATTGCCAATGTCAGCCCAACCATCCGGAATTATAGTCTCTATCATCGTCCTGCTATGGGTTGACCACCGTCTACGCAGCATCACATTTTAATGTGCTGTATTCGGTACAAACCCAGTCGGAGTACAGAACAGCGCCTTGCATACCAGAAGTCATAGAACTGCGCCGGCGACAGCGCGCATTGCAGAGTACTGCCGGAAACTGTATCCAGTTCAAACACTTGGCGTCAAGCCCTAGTCTGTTCGACAAGTGGAGTTTGATTACGCTTGGTGTATGCGCGGTGCTATTGTGCATCACATGGGGTGAAGCGGGTTCATATTACTGTCGACACGCAGTTGCATCGCATGCCCATAGGATCTTACTGAGGATGCATGCAGGTGTCGAACACGGCGTGAGAGACATATGAGCCACCTAATTTGGGACAGCTTCGACCAGAGAAGCATTGAATCAAAGTAGCTTTCTTGAACGGCTTCTTGTAGGCATTTGAGGTTGAACTTAGGCGGAGACAACTTTCCCGATTCTCGGATACACGTCCCTTTTCCAGTCGGTGCTTGTCCAGCATGTCTTCGATGATCCGTGACATGCAGTGGTGTGCATTGTAGAGTGATTCGCAAGAGAAGCCGGAATGGCAGTCGGCACAGAGCGTGATGTTAGCGTCACCGGCCTCATACAGTGTGCAACCATGTACGGACACCTTATGCCGCGCCTGCCAAACACGTTTCCTCGACGGAAGCTCTCTCTGCATGGCAGGACCGAGTAATAGCCGTCGTCACGCGGTACGAACTCAACAGGCGCGGCTGTACCAGAAATGTGGTCGTGCTCGAGAACAGTATGCGGCGGCATCACAGCAGGCATGCGTTGGTCCTGGTGCATACAGGTGGACATCTCTTGGTTCCCATACGGGCGCCTGTAGGTACTGCTGACACTGACTGAAGACTCTTTCTCGAAGTCCAGAGCGAGACGTTGCATCGGTCTGTGTGACAAGATGGGGAGGTCGGTGTAGATGTCGGCGCGGGTCTTACGGTCATCGTATTCGGCGAAGAGAGTGTGTCCACGCAAGAGCATGCACGAGTATGGCGGGTATTGGATTTCCCGCTGCAGCCGCACTTTGCCAGCGAATGTCGGTGGCCGTCCATGTAATAAGATCCAGCTCATCACTGCATGCTGCCTCAAGCCCAAGAGGCGTAATCACTTTCTCGAGAAGCCGTCGAGTTCTGGCCATGCTTGCTAATACTGCCGGCTAGTGAAAGGAGCGAAGGAACAGGCTTCCTAGAACTTACTCTGTTGTTGCGTCTGTTGCAGCGTCCAGACCTCGAGTAGCCGGTCGCAATCTTAAAAGGTCGGGTTTAACAACAATTAGGGAGGAAGAGCCTCGAACGACGGGCAAGGTAGGCACAAGATCTGCTGTAGGGACGTGCATGGCGGTAGCATTGTCGAGTAGTCCAAGGTAGAAGAGCACCTCCTTCAGAGCACTGAGATTGGGTGACCTTGTAACAATGAGGAGGTTATTGATGTTACGGTCGCCATGTAGGTGGCATCAGGTGTTCGAAATCGAGTAGAAAGTGTAAGGCGTCGCTGTCCAAGATAGCTTAACGGCTGAGATCGTGGTCTGATGAGGACGATAGACACCCTCTAGAGCAATGTATAATTTCCGGTGTATATATCAAATGTCTGTGCTGTGTTTTGGGGAAATTCTCAGATTTCGTGCAACGAGAGTGCTACAAATTATCTGTATTTCAAGGCGAAGGGTTTCGATATGATTGCCAGATTTTCAATGTGTAAGTAGGGTCTTATCCATGTGCAGTCGCAAGATAAACGTGCAGCGAGGGTGGGATAGTTCCATATGCATACGCAAACTGACATCGGAGCTTGGCGGGTTTGGTGTTCGCGCTTCCAAATCGCAGAGGCGCGGCATGTCGGGCCCGAATCGGCACCCGTCACCGCAGCCATTCGGCGTGTGGTGCATGGAAGCAATCGCGCATTTTGCAGTACATACCAAGACAGAGACCACGGTTGATCATTTTCCTATCGATACCGCTCGTGCAGTTCTAGACCCGAGTATGGTTCTCACAGCGTGGACGCTGGCTTCGCGATGCTTGCACAGGACGGTTGCCTACCCTCAAGCAACCCGATAACTCTCGGGCGGGCCGAGATAACTCGGCCTGATTCCACCCAAATCGATCCATGCCGTGTTCAGCACCATCGCTGGCTCCAGCGCCCAGACCTTCAATGTGTGCGCCCCCGGGCCTGTGTACGTGAAGTTGGTGCTACTAACCCAGGCGCTGTTGGCCACTGCCGTGCCCCAATTTGTCGGGTTGGCTCCCGCAGGCTGATCGATAATGTATTGGACAGTCTTCACCGTTTGGTTGTCTAATTGCACGGCGTACCGGAGCGGACGATCAGGGATGGTGTTCAGAGATGTTGTGGTTGCGATCGTGACAGTCAGATTGCCTGTGCCAAACGTGGTGTTCTGGGAGAAGGTGTAGAGGTTGTATGTCAAAGCCGGACCGGTTGTGGTGGAGAGCGAAGGTGCCGTGACCGGGAACAGCGTGACCCCTGATAGTGTGCGGCTGAGGCCTGGAATGACGGTGTAATTGACAGCCGGGCCTGAAGCGCTAGGTGTGGTGATGTTACTCCAATGTTCCATTTCGATCGTGATGTGCGCATCGCTCTCGACGAAGCCGTTTTGGAACGAGCTCGGGATAACAGTATTGTTGTACGGCAACATAAGCTGCGGCATGGCGTATTGCGTTCCGTACAGGGTCTGCTGGTCATACATAGTAGGCTGGGATTCGGTTGTGGTGACGTTAATAACCACCATGCCTCTTCCAGGCGGGCATTGCGACCAATTGACGGTCGCCCAGATTCTGATGTCGGTCGTACCATTCGGAGAAAGCGAGCCTGACGATTGCGAGAAGGTCACAAACGATGCATTGGCGGTAATGTTCCATGTAAAAGCTTTGGTGCCCATGCTGAAGATGTCAATCCATTGGCTGCTAACACCGTACGGATCGAAGGGTGTGAACGACAAGCTGTTGGAGGACAAGGTGTGGTACATGTCATCTCCAGGCACTGTTGCGTTGCTGTTTTGGATGGTAACTCCCATGTCGCCTGCAAGGTCTCGCTCCGAGGTTGCGACATATTGCAGCCCTGGCAAAGCTTGCCTCATCGGCTGCTGCCAGTACGTATATCCAATGTGAGTTTGACTATGACGGATGGTCAGTAACAGTACTACAGCACATGAGTTCCCCCACTCTCATACGCACTCCATCATATGGGCCCACTTGCCGTTCAGCAGCGTGTTGTACTGCACCGTCAGCGCATGGTCTTGTGCGAATTGCTGCAGCACATGCTGTGCGACCGCGTTGGCACTGTTCCGGCCCTGCTCGGCATATAAATTGTTCCTTGCGGTTGAGATCATGATGTCGTAATAAACATAGCCAGCAGTAACGGGATGGTATACCATCTCGAAGAAAGCTGGTTGGGTGGCGTTGGGTAAGCTGTTCATGATACTCTGGGCTGAAACCTGCATTGCCTGCCACTGCGCCAGCACGTTGTCGGCTTCATTGTAATCGATCAGACTGTACGTGGTTGGGTCCACCAGCTCGAACTTCCTTCGTCCGGCCGCAACGGAATAGTTGTTCATCAGTGCGGCTGTCTGCGAGGCGACCGCTGGGCCAAATTCACGGGCGGCCCACATTTCCAGCCATGCCGGTACGCTATTCTGGTCCCAAAGGGAGATATCATAGGCCAGATCGAAGTAATGACTGATCGGGAGCTCAAGTGGCTTAAGGTCTCCAACATTCACGACCCATATTTGTCTGGCGTCTCTCTCGTAAGCAAGGTGCATCTGTTCCCACGTCTTTTGCAGTTGAACAGTGTTTATCCATCTATAAACCGTGTCAGTTGTTGTGCATCATCGCATAGGTTGTGGCTAGGCTCGTCGCGTCCTCGAGATCGTACAGACGTCTCGACGTGATAGCCGATGCTGTAGGTGGGATATTAGGGCACACTTACTTGTAATCCCGCGGATCTCCCACGTAGTCTGTACGTTGAATAGTAGGACAGTCAGCTATGTCTCGGGGAAGGCGCATAGGACTTGCACTTACCAAAATGATAATAAACACCGGCTCCGCCAATGCGGCTCGTCTCATTGCTCAGCGGTAGCCTACGGATATTGCCAAAATTATCGTCTGTCCAGAGGAGCTGTATGTAGTCCGGCACCTGCATGCCAGCTTGATAGTAGCCTTGAACTTCCTTGTACAGGCACCACATCTGGGGCACAATATTTGGATCCTGCACGGAAGCGTTGCCCCAGATTGCCTCCAGAATGGCCGTCTGGTTCTGAATGATGTTCTCGAGGAGGTCTGTCTCAATGCCTGCACCTAGCGCAGTGTCTCCTGAACCGCGCATGCCCATGGTCAAGACACCTTCGTATGGTTTGGTACGCTGTGCGCCTTCGACGAAAAATGGGTAGATGGAGTTGTTGTTGAGGTTCCATTGCCATGGGCCGTTACCGAAAACGTTCCATTCCTTGGTTGCTCGCATCATCGGCTCGGTGTGTGACGATCCCATCACGATCCCGTATTCGTCAGCAAGTGCTTGCGAGCGAGGGTCATCTACGTTGAACATGCTATTCCATTGTGCTGGCCAGAGGTAGTTGGCTCGTAGGCGGAGTAGAAGCTCGAAGACCGTCTTGTAGAAGTCTGCGTTGAAGCCGGGACCCCACGGTGAAGGTGGAAACTTGGCATCGATGTAGCCTGTGAGCGCTGGTGCTTCGTCGTTGAGGAAGAAGCCACGGTACTTGACGGACGGTGAGCCCTGGATGACGCTGATGTCTGTAGCATATATAGTGCTATGCTGTTGTGGTGGTGAGTCGGCCCAGTAGTACCATGGGGAAACGCCAATTTGCTCGGAAATGCTGTACAAGCCGTAGACAGTCCCTCTGCGATTTGACCCTGCCAGCAATCAACTCGGATTCTCTTTCAGAGGCACAGAGCTGGGGAACAATCACCTGCAATTACCACAGCCTCGGAGACGCCAGGCATAGGATCAGAAATCACAGCCGTCAAGTAAGCCTCCCAAGTGCCCAAGATCGGACTGATATCGAACTTGCCCTGACTTATCATCATGTCGATAATCGTAGAGTTGCCGATGGTCCCTGCAATGATGACGCCGCCCTTGCTGCCGGTACTGGGCATTGTGAAGGATGTTCTTCCAGTGACGTTGTAGATCATGCTTGCGTTTAAGCTCGGCAGGCTGCCGTTGCTTAGAAGTGTCACGGATCCGTTCACGCCAGTAACTCGTCCGAAATCCATAGCCAGGTCGTCGCAGACCCGTAAGACCGCGGGCCAGTCGTCTTGTTCGACCATGATCTGCACGGCAGATCCATTCGAGGCGAGAGCCATCCCGGCGCCATTGAAGTTGATGGTGGACTTCTGTCCTATCGACCATACACATTCGACGAAAAGAGCTGACAGAAGGAGATAAAAGGGCGCCATGGTGGACGATGAATGACCGAAACTCTTGAGGATGACTTCTACTTACTTTGCTGGACTTCTTATACAGGGCCTCCGCAAATGCATGACAGTAGTCTCTCCGTCTTGGCGGCGAAGAAGCCGCTTCGCTACGATGCTAATGGGACGGCTAAATGCTTGCCGTCTATGCATTGGAGAAGGCGGTCGTGTTGAGCGAGCAGCACCTTGTCAACGCCGATCCTGCCATGACGCGCCGCGAAGGTCACATTAGCTTGATGTCAATGGGTTGGAGTGATACCTATGCCTACACCACCGGCAAGCTTCGTATAATATACGTCCATACGATATTCATCTAGCCTGGAGAGAGAGATGCGGTGGAGTCGCAGGGTTGGAGTGAGCGGGGAGACGCAAGGATGACTTCAGCGCGCTTGGGCCACCGGCTGTTGAAGGCTGCATTTTCTCGCACTGTGGCATACTGAGCATTTAACCGCAGCATCATCAGTTCTCGGTAGCAGCAAGGCTTTATGGCACAGGGACATATGAAAAAGGTGAAGGCATCAGCGCCGAAACTGTGAGTGAGCTCACTGCCACCCTGCCTCCGTAGGGCGCGCTAACGCCTACAAGCACACAGCGCAAGCAAAGCGGAAGCCGAGTCATTAAACCGAAGAAGGCCGCGTTGCAGAAACAGCAGCAGATGAAGAAGAAGCATACAGCGGGATTAACGGCACTCACGGAGAAGTCACTTGCCAGCAAAGCCGGTCACCTGGAAATGCTGCGGGGTGGCAAGAAGGACAGGCAGGCGGAGAAGGCGACCATGAACCAAGTGAAGAAGCCGAAGTGACAAACTTGACGCTTTGAGCATGTCCTCGATATGACTGGAATACGGTGGTCGAAGTGGTCAGACCATATTAGACACGATCTGTCAGCCACGTCACAACCTCGACAGTGACGAGCTCTGGTTGGTCAATCATAATGAGATGTCCCGCACGCGGTACAGGGACGAAGCTCTTCATACGATCTCCCAGCAGCTCCACGAGCTTGTCCATCTTCGGACGCGGAATCCACTGGTCTTCTTCACCCCACAGAATCTTTACGTCGCAACGCACTTGGCTGTACAAGTTCTGGTCGAGCATCTCAGCCACGTCCGCGTCGTTTGCTTGTGCAATCTGGCGCACGAAGCTGCTCTGGCCCGAGACAAGGCCCGGTGCGTCATGGTCTACCGACCAAGGCGCGGCAAGAGCTTCCACCCAACGACCAACATCACCGGTCGTGGTTGCACCGCGGCAGAGAGCACTGCGAGTTACAGCGTCCACGACGGCTAAGAAGATATTTTGCGGCATCTCTACGAACACGTTGGGATTCGCCCGAACCAGCTTATAGAATCCATCACCCCATGGAAGGATCGTGTTCGTGTCCCAGAGCATTAGGCTGGAGTACTCACAACCGTGCAATAAGTGGGCTCGTAATGCAATAGTGCCGGCAATGTCATGGGCGATGAGGGCAGGTCGCGTGTGAGACTCCTTGCCGTCCATCTGAAGGTGTGCGAGCAGAGCTGCAAGTATGTTGCCTTGCGTCCGCACTGAGGTTTCTCCCACGAAACCATTGGGATCGATGGGGGTCATGTTTGGGCAAACTTGCGACTGCCCATATCCGCCAAGGTCGTACAACAATACCCGGAATTTAAAGGACTTGTGTAGTGCTTCGGCTATTGGCACAAATACTTTGGATGACCACGGTGTTCCATGGACGAAGACCACCGTCTGCGGCTTTGGATTGCTGCTGTTGACGCCCAGCGTCCGGTTAATCTCGTAGAGTTTGTACTTGATAAGCCAGCCTTCGAGTTCGATCGAGTCAGTAAGCTCTCCAAACGCAACTGCCTCCATCGTCAGAGATGCAGCTTTGCTTGCAGTCAGCACCTTAGTTGTTCGTTACTGTGTCCGCTTGACGTGGCATACTCGATGTGCTGACGCGCTGCGATACGCAATGACGGCTTTCTCCGGCGTTGCCCGAGCATAAGCCGAACATATGCTGACTAAGGCAAAACTCCTGCGTATTTACCTACATACCTCTCATGCGGGCTTCACAGATCACCTAATCTGTGCGTTGTCCATCTCTAACAGCGCGTTAGATATGTCTGCGATCGCGCAACGTCGACGCAGGCGTAGGACTAAGTATCTGCAGCATTGGAAGGCGCCTGTGGTTAGGGTCTAGGGTGCCACACGAAGATGGTGCACCCTTCTGGCAACTCTTGCCCGGTGAGCACTTCGTAGAGTTCCGGGTCATTGCAACCTCCGAAGAGTACAAACTCGAAGTTGTGTTGGTGACGTCCGAGCCACTTGTCGAACAGCCGGGTATTGCAGAAGAGACCATCTCGACCAGACGACACACACAATGATGGGATCTCTCGTATGAGATTTCGCTAGGAAAGTTTCGAGTTTTGTCGTCCCCGCTTTCGCGTGCTGTATATTCTCTGCATCCCCTTGACGACGGGTGGAAGCAGTTAGGGCCAGCATGAACTGCGGGATGATATCGAGAGCTCGCCAAGTGTCTGTTGGGTGGATCATGTTCGGAGAAACGAGGCCGGCTTGAACGAGGAGGTCCATCTTGCACACATCTGTCATATCACACCATCTGCCGGGTATGCATGACCGAGAGCCGATGCTGGTCCAGCTTTGGTCAAACGACCATCGATGGCACGTCATAACCTCGCGAGGAGCCGTATCCGGTGTGAATCCGACTGGAGGGAGGAAGACTGTCTCGCGCTTCAAGCGTTCCTCAATTGAGGCTGCTACTTCACGTAGCACCGAGTACTGACCGGCGCCATGGTCCAAAGCTAAGATCTGTATCTTCAGGGCCCGTGGCAGGCTTCAGGGCCCGTCGCAGGCTTGGAAAGTCGAATTGCCATGGCCCACTGTTGATTTTGGACTCGATCACACCTAGAGTGTGGGCCTTATGATGCTGTTTGAGTGCTCGGGAGAAGTCGAAAGTCTGGTGACAAGGAGCCGCATTGCATACGTGGATGTCCTGATTCATGAACAACATGGGAGTCGCGTCTGGCCCGCGCGAATTCGTAGAACACGCAATTTGTTCCCATACGGCGTCGAACAACGATGGGTCAAAGGCGAGATCGTTCTGATGATAGGCCGACTCGTAGTACCGGATATTGAATTGTTTGTAGCTTAGTTGCGTTGCGGTACCTCCGCGCTTGGTGACCGTGTAAGTCGTGAGCAGCTGTTTGATGATCCGAGACAACGCACAGTAGTACAGATTGTAGAATGTCATGCAAGAGAAACCAGCCTGGCAATCATCGCATACAACGATACCCGCATGGCTCGCTTCAAAGAGCATCCGCCCATGAACAGCCATCTCATGACGCGCTTGGGTCATGATGTCTCCAATCTTGAAGACCTCTTTGCACGGCAGAATCCAGCAGTACCCGTCACTACGTGGGACGATGAATTCTGGCAGAGGACCGGTGGCAGGGCCTCCATAAGCAAGAGAGCGGTCTCCATCCGCGGAGTGGTCTACACCGATGCCGGAGTGGTAGTCGGTTGTGTGCTGCTCATTGACATTGCGCTGGTGCTGGGCGGTATGGAGGTGGTACTCGGAAGGGTCGTCGCCAATAATGGGTCGGTCATCGATGCTGTTGTCGGCAGTAACTCTGTGAGGAGCATCGCGCCGATGCTTCAGTGCTCGCTCGGCGGAAGGATGCGGTGGACTAGCACTCTGTCCCCGTTTCGGTGGTTTAGGTGGTAAGCAGAGAAGGTCGGCGTACCTCCGACGCATCGTTCTCGTCCTCCACAAACAACACCTGAAAGCACTTCCATCGGAAAGGATCGAGCTCATTGACAATCTCCACCATATCATCCTGCCAATTGAGCGTACAGACGACGGTGTTCAGCTTGAACTTGAAGCTCGACTCACGGCACCAGTCACGGATACGGAACAGCTGTCTGATATGCTCACCCTTACCGCGGCCGATGTTGATGTTCGTCTTCTCGTCAAAGCTGTCGCAGCTGGTACCCAGTACACCAACATACTTTCCGTTTTCATCAAGCCACTGTTTGGTAACTTTGGAGCCGTTGGAAATGATCGAGACCGATTCGAGGTTGAGGTCGACCTTGCAGTACTTGACCAGCATGGCTAGCTTTTTGTGATACATGAACGGTTCGCCGCCTACACGAATCACCAGCATGGCTCGGATGAGCCTGACAGTTAGTGGCACACAAACCCGCAAAGTTCATCATTCGCATGCCTGCATCCTTCAGCAGTTCCAGCCCACGCTTTACGTCCGCTTCTGGGGCGACATAGCTGGTCCTTTCAGTGTGGAAGCAGAAGATGCACGTTTAGTTGCACTTGCGCGTGAAGTGGTAGTTGACCGAGACGGGCGTTGTTCGCTTGCAGTGCTGCCATAAACGAACGGCAGAGGAGGCAATACCAAGAAGAAGCGTAACGATGGTAAGGACGGCAGTGATGATTGACATTCCGGTCGGGGTATGATCAGATACGGCTCTTTTGCGGTAGGTCGGTGGGAGATCTCTCGCTTATGAGTGGTAAGTGGCAAACAACACCTTCTTTGCTCGAGGTGTGTTTGTGCAAGGCGACAATGACACACTCGAGGACATGCATCTTGCATCAACTGGGCGCCAGCTCGGCGACAAAGCACGTTTGTGTGGGACTGCTCTAAGTCTGCGTTTGTATCCTTGGTCCTGCCGTTCACCTTCGTCATATCTGCGGCAGCGTTGTGCGGTGCACTCTCAGTCCAAGGCGTTAGAGCCGGCCGGCCAAGGGACGTCTACTGTTGTACAGCGACAATGTCGAAAAAGTGTATGTTTCAATGTTCGACCTCTAACAACACCTCTCGCCGCGCTCCGGGCATTCATCACACCATTATCTTACGCCTTACCCAACCCCTCATTACAGACACAGTTTCCCATGGCTGACACCGATCACTCGCAACCAGCCTCAACAACTTCGCCGCTATCTCTCGAGATTTCTTCATTTCGACTGCCCAGGTGCAGGCAAAGGTACCCTCTGTCGCCGTATTGCGAAGGACAGTGCAAGCGAGCACAATGCGAACCTTACATGGCATCACCTCTCCGTTGTCGACTACCTTCGCGAATTGAATCGTCAGCAAGGTCCACTCTCCGGCGAGATCATCGGCGGACTATCCGACGCAGACTTCAGGACACATGTCGAGATGCAGATCTTGCTGCCAGCAGAGGCCATCGCAACCATTCTCGCACACAGGATGGAGATGGAGCGACAGTGCGAAGGAGTCAGCAGGTTCTTGATCGACGGGGTTCGCGAACGGTGGAGTCGGCTGAGGCGTTCGAGCGGAAGGTCAGTCTAATGAAGCTGTTCGCCTTGCTCACTTCGTCGCGTTACTGACGACTTTGTTCTTGACAGTTCGGTCGATCCTCAAATGTCCTCTGGTTGCACTGTCCCAAATCAACAGCCCAGTCTCGCTTCGTTGAGCATCGCCGCAGCGCCACTGACGACGCCACTATATTCAAGAAACGCCTTGTAGAGTTCCAAGATCAGAACCCGGCGATCGAAAGGAGATACCGAGCGATACGCCTGGTATCTACCGTTATGTTCACGGTTTGCAGGGTCCAGTGCTCATAAGACCTTCTATGATTGACTCGAAGAAAAATGTGGAACAAGTTCGCTCGGAGCTCCTCGGGCTAATGTCGAGGGCTGAAGAAGTACAAGCCGACATGAACTCCATCTCGAAGTTGAGGAGGACTACGCCGAACGTGCGAAAACAACCTTGGGAATCATTGAGTCATGTCCGCGGCAGAGCGATGTGTTGCATCTGGCCAGCCTGCGTCGTTGCCGGTTCCTTCGAAGGTGTAAAGTTAATCGTTTCAGGTCAGCTCGGATTATGTGTTCAAGCTACCGCTTGAGAAAGCTGTAAGAGATCTTGCTGGTAGATGGCGCTTTGCTGTACTTGTAGATAAGGTACTGCGCGATATCAGCGCTTCGTTGAAGTTCTCAGCATCTTCGACCCTTGCAACGGGCAAGTCTGCATCCGGCACAAACTTCCCTATGTCAGCATTTTCGGCACTCACTAAACTTGTGCCTTTCGGCAGTGCCAACACTTACTAGACATACCGGGTCCCTTTAACCCGACACACCTGGTTTTGCACTGACTGTGCGGGGTTGGTGGGAAGTCATTGATGTTCCTTTCCAACATGACTCAAATCATGTCTTCAGCGCTGGCCCATGTCCACAATATCTCACAATGGAGCCGTCCAACCTCGACAAGCAATTTGGGCGCACGACGGAGGAGCCCAGGTATCTGGACTTCAAACATAGCCAACCTGGCCAGTCCGGACTGAACAAGTTCTCTTCCACTCTGACCCGCGAACATGACTTCCCAGCAGCACAGGCTATGCTGTATGCCGCTGGCGTACCAGACGAACTTACCCTCAAGAACTTCCCACAAGTTGGTATTGCTTCGGTGTGGTGGGAGGGTAACCCATGCAACATGCACCTGCTTGATCTCGGCAAGGAAGTGAAGCGGTCGATACAGGCTCAGGACATGCTAGCATGGCAATACAACACTATTGGTGTCTCGGATGGCATCACTATGGGCGGCGATGGCATGCGATTCAGCCTGCAGACTCGGGAAATTATTGCAGATTCGATTGAGACTGTGACCTGTGCCCAGTTCCATGACGCTTGCATTACCATTCCCGGATGCGACAAGAACATGCCTGGGTGCGTGATGGGCATGGCAAGGCACAACAGACCTTCGATCATGGTCTATGGCGGTACTATAAACCCTGGCTACTCCGGTCTTCTCCAAAAGACCATCAACATAACCACCGCATTGGAAGCACACGGAGCGTACCTATACGACAGCCTGAAGAATCCCAACGATCCGTCACAGACAAAGGATGAGATTCTATCCGACCTGGAGAAGCATGCGTGTCCCGGTCAAGGCGCTTGCGGCGGCATGTTCACTGCGAACACTATGGCGACAGCGATTGAAACGCTCGGGCTGTCTCTACCAGGCTCGGCTTCCACACCCGCCACCAGTCCCGAAAAGATGCGCGAATGTCAGAAAGTGGCCAAAGCGATCAAAGTGTGCATGGAGCAGGACATTACGCCGAGGAAGTGTCTCACGAAGAAGTCGTTCGAAAATGCCTTGGTCATGATGATGGCCTTGGGTGGGAGCACGAACGGTGTGCTGCACTTGCTTGCCATGGCCGGCACAGCTGGCGTTGATCTAAGTCTCGATGACTTCCAGAAAGTTTCGAATCGCATACCCTTCATCGCAGATTTGGCACCCTCCGGCAAGCACCTCATGGCCGATCTCTACGAGATTGGCGGGGTGTCAAGCGTGCACAAACTGCTCATTGCTGCTGGGCTCTTGGATGGCAGCACTATCACTGTAACCGGTAAGACTTTAGCGGAGAATGTAGAGAGCTGGCCAAGTCTAAAGCAGGGCCAAGAGATCATTCGCTCGTTAGACAATCCCATCAAGCCGACCGGTCACATTGAGATTCTGTACGGTAACCTCGCACCACAGGGTGCTGTGGCTAAGATCACTGGCAAAGAAGGCATGAGCTTTACAGGCAAAGCTCGCGTCTTCAACAAGGAGCACGAGCTCGATGACGCGCTCAACAAAGGTCAAATCCCAAAGACCGAAAATCTAGTTCTCATAGTTCGCTTTGAAGGTCCGAAGGGTGGCCCTGGCATGCCCGAGCAACTCAAAGCCTCCGCCGCTATCATGGGTGCCGGCCTCAAGAACGTCGCCCTCATCACTGACGGACGGTATTCGGGTGCTTCGCACGGCTTTATTGTCGGGCACATCACGCCCGAGGCGGCGGTAGGCGGGCCTATCGCGGTAGTACAGGATGGCGATATGGTGACAATAGATGCGAATAAGCATACCCTTGATATGGATGTGAGTCAGGAAGAGATTGAAAGGAGGCTGCAGGCGTGGCGACCACCAAGGATGCCGGTGACGAGAGGCGTGTTAGCCAAGTATGCACACCTTGTCGGCGACGCGAGTCGAGGAGCGATGACAGATTTGTTCTGATCCCTGCATATACATGCTCCTGTATATACCTTTCAAAAGTGTTATATTCTCTAAAAGTGTTACTGGACAGACGCACAGGAACGATATCTTGTGTCGCTATGTGGGTTCCTTCTCATTCGAAAGCGGGCCGACCTCATGTCCTGCAGCCTCAACACTTGTTCCACCAACATTGAGGATCACCAACACTAGCCCACGCTAATGCTGAATACAGCCGCTGTTCAAATTTCTAGATCCAGCGTGCGGCACATATCCTTACATCGTTCAACTTCCGCCTTCTGCCGTGCAAGAGCTCTTTGCCAAGCCCGCAAGATGTCGAACATGAAAGTGGTCAACACGAAGAAAAGCATGCAGCGTACGTGTCTCGGCTCGAAACCGCTGATACATAAGTGATTGCTAACGATATACTCAGCTGTCGGTCCATACGTGAGTGTCCTTCGAGCCGGCTCGTGCCTCGCTGAAGCGACTGTGAACGGTAGTACTGCGGTCGAAGCTGACTTTCGCCACAGTCCCAAGCCATTATAGCAGGTCCTCATATCTTCGTCTCCGGACAGTAAGTATACCGGTGTACCCACTTCTGAGACGTTACTGATACTTTGAACCCAAAACTGCTAGGATACCAGCGGATGCCGCAGGCAACCTCACTCAAGGCAGTATTGCGGACAAAACAAAAGCATGCTGCGAGGGCCTCAAGAACATCCTCGAGGAAGCTGGGAGTTCGCTCTCAAGTATAGTGAAGGTGCGAGGCCCCAGCTCTTCCCGCTTGTTCAGCATACTGATTGTCGCCTGAAAAGGTCACTGTATTCTTAACAGACATGGCAAATTTCGGCGAGATGAACAGCGTTTACGAGCAGTACTTCACGCACAGACCGGCCAGATCCTGTGTGGCAGTCAAGGAGCTACCGAAAGGCGTGCCGGTAGAGATCGAGGCAATTGCTTTGAGTGTGACAAACTAAGCTTGCAACATAGGCGGCAGTGCCGGCCTGTGCCTGGCTGAGCCGAGCTGATGCTGAGTGGCTGTGGTGACATTCCGCCTATTGTTTCATGATCAGCTGAAGGCTCCACATGCTGCTGGTGCTGCGCAGCGGCATTCGAGCCAATGCTAGATCATGCACCGAAGCGGAGTTACTGAATACCGGTACAGCAGAGACGGTTGTTCCTCCAAACGGCACGCTACAGCAGCCCTATCCCATCTTGGTCGTCTCTAGAACGCCTTGCCAAGATGCTAGTCATCTCACGTCCAGCCGTAACTCCACTGGTAAGCCAAAGCGCCTAACCCATGCCGTATCCCAATGTAAACACGAACGCCACGCTTTAACGCTATCACTTGCTGCAAGTATGGCAAAGCACCAGCTCTAGATCCGAGCAGCGTGCTGGATCCCGGAATGTCCATCGGAGCTTAGTAGCAGAGCTGTTGCGCGCCCGCGCCACTGCCATATAGTCATTGGAGTGGCATAAAGCCGAAATGCGTCGGCGCTTCCACCGGGCTGGCGAACTGTTGTGTCGTCTGCATCATCCCTGGCAGCAGACCTGCAGCAGTCGACGCCTGAGCTAGACTCTGCGCCTCGAGTTCTTGCCACTTGCGGGCACAGAAACGGGCGGGCCATCGTTCTTGGACCCCGTGTTCGAGCATCTACTTCGAGATCAGTCTGTGTTGACAAGAATAGTGTTGCTGGATGCTTGCTCACCCTCGTGCTAATAATGTCCCACTTGGACTTCTCCCAGTACTCGTACGCCTGTCTTAATGCTGTGACGTCCTGTTGCTCCCAAACCCTGTGCTTCTCGCGTAGGCGTTTATACCGCATCTGCAGCGCAGGGACCTGTGGGCTCTCGCCCCTATCGGTCTCAAAGCGGTAAGCGATGTCCTTCCACGACAGATTCTCGTCCTCCTTGAGTTGCACCAGGAAGCGGTCGCCCTCGCTCAGGTCGGCGGTGGCAGCGGAGGTTGTGCGTTTGCGGCGCTTGGAAGAGCCGCTGGCTTCGGCACGGTCTTCTTCCTCCCTTGACCGCTTTAGAGTCACAACGCCGGCCGGATTGGGTGCAATGTTGGGGTACGATCTCCGCGGCTGTGGATGTCTGATCTCTGGCGGACTAGCCGTTGATGCGCTGTATTGTTCGTCAACTGGGTATTGGAAGACAGTAGGAGGGAAGGTCGAGGTTAATGGAGTAGGGTCTGCGGCTGTCGTGTATTGAATTCCGAGTCCTGATGATGTTGCAGGCCACGCGATACTGTCTGGCATCGGACCAAAGGTGCTGGGACTACTCTTCGGTCTGTTTGGGTCTTGGAAGTGCGGCGGTAATGGTTGATGGCCCATGTGCGCCGGGTACGAGTGCTGCTGCTGCAATCCGAACTGTGAGCCCGAGAGATCCGGAACAGATGCTTTAGCATATGCCGTCCATGGTTGGCTCTCAACGGTCGATGACGGGAACGGCGTGGAATATGGGTTGTTGAAGGCATACTGAAACATCATTAGAACCGGTCTGAAGACACGACGTGGGTGGAAGAGACATACAGAAGTCGGAGCATACCATTCAGTACTGACAATCCCAGCAGCAACGTCTCCGCACATTTGATCCGGGTCAACGGCCCCTGTTAATGTTGAGTAGCTCTGACCAGAGGTCATGCTTGGCGACGACGATGATGAAGCTGGTGGCAGCGTTGCATGAACGGCAGGACCGATAAGCGACAGAAGGATGACGCCTCTTGTTGTTGTGGGTCAGTACAGCAGTCACGAGCAAGTGCTTGCGGAACCCCCAAAAGCAGCAACTTGTTGTTCTGCATCTGACCGAAGAGGACGGACATGTTGGAGTATCTATGTAGGATCGACCATGTCCAAGCCCGCTTCAATAGAAGAACAATGACTGCGGTGCATGCTTCCCATGATAGACGTTAGGTCAGTGAAGCATGAGCACAGATCGCTCGCCTGGGGCTTAGGTACATGTGCCCGGACTCGCGGCTGGGCTTATTTTGAGAGCATTGTAGATGGTACGGCTAGGTTAGAGCGGCTCTACCGTGAGAAGGAAGGCACCGAAGGCTAGCGTCTATTCCCGCGTGAGAGTGCGCCACCTGCAAGCGTTAACGGTCACAGCCACGGGCCGTGTGGGAATAGACATGCTGTCTTGGAAGAGTTTGATAAGATGGGGTCGAAGTGGGCTCCAACTTAGTCATGTACATTAGCCGCTGGGGGCGGAAACCCATCTGTCTGGATGGTCAATTGGCATGAAGCGGCGTAGGCGAATGCACATAGCTGTTGGCAACAACGAAACATGAATTTTGGCGTCGCTCTTGTGACGCGCTTTACATCATTCTGCAACAGGCGACAGCGCTGATGGGTGTTATTGTTCTTGGCCCTGTCGAGCATACCCAGAGCTTGATGTCAGGAAGCGGGAAGCCTGCTTAGAAGCTGACGCTAGACGACAACTATATCTTCGCGGCCTGCGGGTCATGGAAGGACGCGATGCGGCTCTTCACCGACGTGCTGATTGCTGGCCTTGATTGCGATGTACTCCCAGGGTATCGAGCGTTGAGACCACCGAACGGTAGGTATGTGGCAGTCAGTGAAGGAGAAGCATGTCGCACCGCCATAACGACGAGGATGCACAAGGAAACGGCAATGCTTTGGCTAAGAAACTCTCCACCATTGTGCACAGCAATGACGGTAAACAAGCGTGAAACGACAATCGTGTGGATGACGGTCGAGGATTGATTATGCAGCTTGAGGCTGAGAGACCTATTTTGGGACTGTGGTCCAAGCTTCTAACTTCACCTCCTCCCTCCCTGGATCTTGGGCCGCTTGAATTAGTCTGCATTCTGTATTCGTAGCTCTCTTCCTACATGAACAGCTAAAAGCTCCGTATTTGGCAACAACTGGGACGTTTCATCTAAGATTCGTGCGGTAGACTGTGCGCGTGGCTGAAACCCATGGCAGAGGTAGGCTTAGTCAAACGAATAATCTCCGCTAAGGAAGCAGACTAATGATCGTGGTAATCTCGACCGCCCCCAGCACAACTCCGACAATTCTCCATATTTGTCCAGCTCGACGTGCAGAGAGGGTTGCGAAGCTTTCCTATGAAGTCACAGAAGCGCGACATATGAGATTGGGAAACTTGGTGCCACCGGAGGGCTAGAACTCAGCTTCTGTCTTCCAACCATTTCTGCATACAGCCCGCTCAGCTGAACGGAGGCAGCATTTGGCCGCCCTCATACAGGCATCGTCGCGATCGAGTGCCTCTTTCTCAAGCTCAGCCGTCAAACGAGACCAGTCGACCTGTCTTAGAGCCGACAAGCTATAGACGGTCAGTGGCCACAAAGCATTGGCGGCGACTTTGGGAGGGTTGAAGTGAGCCCCCAGTCTCACAAGAAGTCCACCTTTGCTTCTTGCAGGTCGCTTTCCGCACCGTTGACGTGGCCACCGTTCGTATCCTGCACATCCGCCGTTTCGGCGGCTTCGTCAACTTCGTCGCCAATGGCATTGTCGAGGTCCTCGATAGGGTAAGTCAGGATGGCAGCAATGCCTCCAAGGCCTTCCAGCCTCCTCCCGCTATCATGCATACTGCTCAGCACTCGAACCTCACCCCCCTGTGCCTTGACTTCATCCACCAGCTTAACCCAGCGCTTGCGCGTCTGGATGTTCTGGCTCCGAAACAGCGAGTTCGAGATAAGTAACGTCCCTCCGCCTTGGCCGACCGCGCCTCGGTCGACAGCCGCCTCACATTCGCGCGGTCCATACCACGCCCGTGCATCGTCTTTGCGGATCAGTTCGAAGAAGCGGTCCACCAGCTGCGACTCCCTTGCAAACTTCGTGTCGCTGAGCTTGCTGGTCACTGCTGGATTGCTCAATACTTCAGCCAGGCTATGCAGATGCCCTGACGCCGAGTGCGCTATGATAAGCTTCGGCACGAGCTGCTGCACCTGCTTGTTGCTACCTGTAGTAGCCTGAACTTTGATGTATTGCTGGAAACTGCTGGCTGTATACCCCGGACTTGCTATCACAACTGGCTTGGGGTCTGCTAAATCGACCTGCCGCAGAAGGGAGTCGAAAGTTGTTTGATAGAAACGATCTACCCTCTTCTCATGGTCGGTCGAGCCTGCGCGCTTCTTCGGAAGCTGCACGTCTATACGCTGTCGAAGGATTGTCTGATACTCCGTGATCAAGCAGATGTTCGCCAGACCCTCTTGCATAATGACCGCCCACAGCTGCGCCTTTGCATCTTGATTTACGGACTCTTTGAGGGTGTCCAGTGCTACGCTATCCCAGCCATCTGCCTTCTCGAGAGTGAAGTTACGCTGCAACTCCAAGTCCAAAGTGTGAAAGCTGCCCAGCTTGACGTGCTTGTTCTCTTCCGCTACTCGGCCAGACACATGTAGTTGTGCCGCCTGTGGATCAAAGTCCAGTTTGGTGACTCGAATGGTCAAGGTAATGTGCACACGCTCATTTGAGCGGCTACCAGAGGCCGACTCATTGATGATCTTTCGCACCGCAGAAGCACGGAGAAGGTCTGTAGGTCTTATAAGATTGTATGCGTGCCACTGCGGACAGATCAGCAACAATACTGCGAGTCTTGCGAGCGGGTTAGGACGAACATGCTCACCATGTCCTCGGGCTCTTCCGGCAGGAGGGTGGCGCTGCCCGAGCCATCTTTGCGCTCGATATTCTGCCTCACCAAACGCATGCTGTGTACCGATTGGGAATACAATACGGTAAAGCTTCAGTCGTGGGCGGGGATGGCGCTGAGATGCTTGAATAAGGTGCATATCCAAGCTTGGGCCACTGTCACTGGCCAATGATGCAATCTATGTACATGAACCATTGCCGCAATCGCTTCATTTCGTGCAGGTCAAAGACTATTCAAAAGAACGGTAGTCGAACGGCATGCGAGCCTCTTGTCGACTACATCTGTTATACAGCCAAGTGTCACCTTTACAAAAGCGAGCGTTTGCCACTCCAGCGAAGATGGCGTTCAACATCAAGTCCACCATCAAAATGCCTTCAGGCTACGAAATACCGGTACTCGGATACGGTAGGTGTCGAGTCTTTGCCTTCTCCTGCGTTTTGATACTTTAGCGTTACCGTACATAATTTCAGTCGCACTCTTTCCCGGGAGGCCGTTCGAATTGCTTGAGCTTGCTTAGAGCATTGTCCTAAAGAACTAACGCGCCTACTAGGCGTGTATCAAACGCCGGCGGACGTAGCAGAAGATGTAACGGAACATGCGATTAAGTGTGGATACAGACACGTGGACTCTGCCACAGTCTACCGTAATGAGCAACCCTCAGCAGCCGGTATGCTGAGAGCCGGAGTACCACGAGACCAGCTGTTCTTCACATCCAAAGTCCCACCTCGTAGCATCAACTACAACGATGCTAGAGCTGCCATCTCCGAAAGCTTGAAGAAGACAGGTTTGGATTACATTGATCTGTACCTTTTGCACGCGCCGTACGGTGGGACGGAGGGACGGCTCGGAGCATGGCGAGCGCTGGTTGAGGCAGTCGAAGAGGGCAAAGTCCGCTCGATTGGCGTGTCGAACTTTGGTGTTCACCATCTAGACGAGCTGGAGCAATGGCAAAAGGTACGTCGACGTAACCTTGGTCGGTTGGTTCGTGCTAATAGCGAGGTACAGCAACAATCCAAGGCTAAAGCAGGCATCCTCTCCGTGAACCAAATCGAGCTCCACCCGTGGCTGGCCAGACCGGATATCGTCAAATGGTGCGAGCAGCGTGGCGTAGTGCTAGAGGCCTACTCCCCGCTCGCTCGCAGCACGAGGATGAACGAACCGATACTCAAGCAATTAGGCGAGAAATACAATAAGACGCCGGCACAGATCATGCTACGATGGGGCCTGCAGAAAGGCTTCGTGATCTTACCCAAGAGTGTGACCCCTTCTCGCATTGAAGAGAACAAAGACTTGTACGACTTTGAGCTGTCGAAAGAGGACATGGCGAGTTTGAACACCGGGAAATACGAGCCGTCAACTTGGGACCCAACGACTTCGCCTCTTGGTTCGTAGTGGCGCGTTCTATAGTTGCGGTATGGGTTTGACTCCGACGCAGGTGGCGGCATTGCATGGCAATTCTTCTCCGGCAGCTTGCGCAGCTATGTGCGGCGACTTGGTATATGGTAACTGCATCAGAACGTGTAGATACTCGGCACCATGACCTGCAGAGGGCGAAGTCGGGTTACTACTTGCCGTTGCTACGCTGTCCAGCACTAAGCAGCAACCCGTTGGTGCCTTGGTGCGTTGGTATGGATGCATCAGCAGACTTATGACCGCCAAGCGGAGAAAAGACGCCAGAATAACAAGCGATTGTAGCCATCTTCCGGTCGCGCATGGCGAGGGGAGTCTTGTCATCCAGCATCATCTCGCGGATTTCGACATGCTTGTGACCGCCAGAAAGCACGCTTGACGCCATTCCAGACGGCTCGTTTGTGGAGTGTAGTGTCAACGACCAATCAGAAGCCTATGCTCTGCTCTTGTGACTGCGAAAAGAAGCTTCGAAGCTCGGCTTCTGTCTTTTGCGGGGCTGTGGAGAAGATCCGCGGAGCGATCCCCTTGGAACTTCTGTCACCGAGGTGAAGGTGAACGTCTGTCGAGGACTTCGAACGAGAAACATGGAAGACTGTCGTTAGAGGTAAGACAGCCGCAACAGTCCAGCTTGTCATCTCCGCTGATACTACTGCCGCTGTGCAAAGCCTGTGCTTGCGGCGGAGACGCCATATTCGTACTGGCCACGGCTCGTGACAGCAATCGCATCAGTCTTCGTGGTGGCAGCTGACTGCGCGAATCGCGCATATAGCTGTAGTGAGTTGATCAGCCACACCTTGGCTGTGGTGCTGGGACGACGCCATTCCTTCTGCCCGCGCATTTGGTCACAGCACAGCCAAACCTGCGCCAATCATCTCCGCAACAGGACGTTCAGCGAATAGCACTGCTGTGCCTGAAGCCACAACGGTCATATGCCTGCAAAGTGCAGTCCCTGCATGCACGGCGCCTTCTTGGAGCGTCTTTCTAAACGACGTAAGCGCTCGCATGATGCTCCTTTATGCCGCTCTGCAAAACCAACCGCAGCGACTCTGCCCAGCGGATGGTTGTGCCAAGGTTTACCCTGAGTATCTTGATGCGAAATAGGGCCGTAGCCACGGATGGCACCATAATCCGAAGGAGCGGGTCGGCCTACATGATTTCTGGCGTCGCTTTTGCCTCAAGACGGAATGATGTTCGCTAAGCCGACTATGCGCGAGAGATCGTCACTGATCAGCGGTCATGAGGGAGAAAGCATGGCGAGGTCGGCATCCAAGTACAATAGGTAGGCATGATCCTTCTTCCCATTGATCTCATCCACGATTCAGTGTAGCATCTCTTCTTCGCGCACAATATCCTTTGTATGGCCTTGCGCGTGAACATAATCTCACACGCACTCTTGCATTCCAGATCGAAGAAGGTCCGACGATAGTCCGCAAGCATGTTCTTAACACGTCTCCCAAGCACTGTGGTAGCTACCGCCTTGCTGGCCTGCTTGACCTATGGCATGCCGACTGGCATCATGTCTCAGATGAAAAGGCAGGACGGCTTAAAGTTCGACTTCGGCAACACCAAGATTCGGGGTGTCAACCTCGGCGGTTGGCTTGTGCTTGAACCATGGATCACTCCGAGCATATTCGAAGCTACCCCGGACAATGTGGTAGATGGTAGGTGCAGGCACCCTTGAAAGATACGTCGAGTGTCGATGCTGAGATTGCGCCAGAGTACACGCTCTGTCAGACGCTAGGATTATCGCAGGCCGGAAGCGTGCTCCAGTCCCATTGGTCTAGCTGGATCACCGAGGGTGACTTCGCCGAGATGGCTAAGTACGGGTTGAACTTCGTTCGCATCCCAATCGGATACTGGTCTGTGAGTCCCTTAGCCGGAGAACCTTATGTCCAAGGCGCCTACGACTACCTCGGGCGGGCTCTCGATTGGGCAGACGCCCAGGGCATCAAGGTCATGATCGACCTGCATGGTGCTCCAGGATCCCAGAACGGCTTCGATAACAGCGGTCGGCGCGGCGACATTGATTGGACACAGGGAGACACCATCTCGCAGACGCACACTGCGCTGAACAAGATCCGAGACGATCATGCTAGCCATCCTGCTGTGGCGGCCATTGAGCTGCTCAACGAGCCGATGGGCTCATCGCTCGACATGGATACAGTCCGCCAATTCGTAAGTGGACCCGGCTGCTAATCCCGTGGAAGTTGGACTGATCAATGAATAGTACATGGACGGCTGGGGGTCCCTTGACGGCAGCAACGTCGCTGTCACCTTCCACGACGCCTTTCAAGGCGTCAACTCCTGGAACGACTGGGGTTCGGGAATGTGGGCTTTGATGTTGGACACTCATCACTATGAGGTGTTCGACTCCGGTAGCTTGCAAATGGGTGTCGCGGAACACCTGTCAACTGCGTGTAGTTTCGGAGAGTCCATGGCGACGAACAACAAGTGGACCATTGCTGGAGAGTGGAGCGGAGCGATGACGGTGAGTTGCTGCGGTGTAGACTTGGAGGATAGACGCGCTAACGATCGCAGGACTGCGCGCAATGGCTCAACGGCCGCGGTGTCGGTGCTCGCTACGACGGTAGCATGAGCGGCTCATCGTACATTGGCTCCTGCGATGGCAAGTACTCCGGGACTGTTTCCGGACTGGGCGCTGCAGATTATCAGAACATCAAGTCGTTCATCAGCGCTCAGATCTCAGCGTTCGAAAAAGCTGCTGGATGGATCTTCTGGTGTTGGAAGAATGAAGCTGCTCCCGAGTGGCACTTCCAAAATTTGACGGCTGGAGGACTGGTTCCGCAACCGTTGTCGTCGGCTAGTGGATGCTAGATGTTTTATACCGGTAAGTCTACACGTTCCATTCTTGACCTACCTCGCTGACTTTTACGCCATCAACAGATGTGCCGCCTCCCTACATTGCCGTCTCTGACCGCGAAGAATGTCACGATGATTTGTACGATAACGTTGCGTACGCTTAACGATTGATGATTGTTTTGAATGGATTGTAACACTATGATCGCTTTGGTATGCAGAGAGAGATACCGTCGCTATTGCGTAGCGAAAAGCGTTGAGTTCACGGGTGCATTTGGAGGGTTTAACACTTTGTGTTAATGCCAGTGATTTTGTCGATGTAAGGCGTTGCTGATGTATAACATTTGGGGTTGGAATCTGATGAACGGAAATCTTTCGCTGCGTGGGTTATGGTGCTGTATGTACGAGAGGATGCCAAGAAGCTGACGACGCCTGTGCATTGTCTCCGCATGCTGAAACACTACCTCGATACCTCAACGTTATGCACGCTCACTCCGTACCTCAACACCTTCATTCGCTGCTTGAATACTGATAACCAATTTGTGTAAGATGAAGTGAAGTGATCAGACCATCATACTACCGTATATGTCACTCACGTGGACAAGGAGGTTGGATCAAGTAGTAGGAGCCTGTCGATGCTACCCTGCCTCTAACGGCGCGTTAGCGCAGGATCGTCTAATTTCCGAGGTGCAAACGACTGGACCTCCTCGTCGATGAGTCTTCCCGAAGCAGGATGGTTGCACACGACAGAGGTATTACTCCATGTCACCAGACCACAAGAAGGCAAAGCCACAAGGAGAGACCGTCACCGGAGCGTATCCGACTGTCCAACGTTCTCCGCACACAACCCCTGTTGGCGGCGTTGGTGACCTAGGCGGTTGTGGTAGGTTGAAAACGGGTTGGAACCATAATATACTGTAGATGCCCCAGTGCGTGTCTCGGGTCTCCTGTCTCCTACACTCACCATCTGCCGCACACACACAAACGAAGACGTGTCGTCTTCAGCCACTCGTTCCATCCCTCAGCGGTTCAATCCCTCAACGTTCTCCTGACCGCAGTCGTTCGCTTGATAACAGTCCTTCACTTGCATCTGCTTCAATTCGAAATATCTCGAGTAATCACGCGAATACACGCCAGGATGTCGTCAGACTTCTCGCTCTTCAGCCTCTTCACTGCCGGCCTTGCCTGCCTTCTCCCGGTCGCCAATGCGTATACTCAGCCCGTGGGCGATGCGCCATCCGGCAATCCCATCTCCGAGCCTGGCCTGAGCAGCATTGTGCCGGCTGGTCAGAACTACACGGTAGGCTGTTAAGCGAATTTGTGCTGTGTAGAGACTACTAACGCAATGTACAGATTACCTGGCAACCCACTACTGATGGTACCGTAACCCTCGTGCTACTCAAGGGACCGGCAAGCAATGCTATTCCGCAATATGCCATTGTAGAGAACATTCCAAACAGCGGATCATATGTCTGGTTCCCATCAACAGATCTTGCGCCTACCGCTGATGCCACCGGATACGGCATTGAACTCATCTGCGACAGCAACGGTCAATACCAATACACGACCCAGTTCGGCATCTCAAACCCCAGCTACCAAGCTGCCGCTGCAGCCTCGTCGAGCTCGGCAAGCTCGTCGTCGGCCTCCCCAACGATCGTACCATCAAGCTCGGCTCCGATTTCAGCCGCAATTACTCCGGCTCCAATTACGAGCACGAGCCCCACAGCATTCGCCAACGCCTCGACGCCGATTAGCCCAGTTTACGTCACTGAGTTTGTTACCGACCTCACCACAGTCTGCCCGTCGCCAACTACACTCGCCGTCAACAACCGTACCTATACGATCACGACCTCAACCACGCTTACTATCACCGACTGCTCGTGCACAGTGACCCGACCAGTCACTTCGTCCTCTGTCCCGGTCGTTGCTCCCATCACCTCATCTGCCGCCCCAGTCGTCGTTCCCACTGGCAGTGCGCCTCGTAACAGCTCTCTGGTCCTCCCAACGGGCTCCATGACTGTCCCGTCCAGCCTGAGGATTTCAGCAAGTCCGACTACCAACTTGACTAGTACAGCCAGTCGCAGCGCCACGAGCACGCCTTCGGTCCCCGTTCAGACCGGCGCCGCCGGAAGCCTGGCGACATCCGTCGTAGGATTGGTCGTTGCCGCTGGTGTCGCAGTGTTCGCGTTGTAGACGGATGGCATGGTTTAGGAGGACAGAAAATGGAGCGCGGGCGCTCTGCAGCTACTCGGTGTGCGATATGGTGTACTATCATACGACTGTAACCAAGCTCTACACCTTTGCTTATCCCTGTACTCGATCTGCGTTAAACCCGTCGTCACCCATGAGCTAGCCCCACCTGTACTCCGACATTCCTGACAAGGAGATTGTGCCGACCGCTCGCCTACTTGTAGGTGACAGGTTAAATTGCGCCGATCGAAACCGTCAGTATATTTCCAGCTGCGCTAACGATCATGCCCTAGAGAAGCAAAACCCGACCAACGTGGTCAAAACGTGGTGACGAAAGCGTACGGCTGAAGTAACTCCCAGGCTGGACAGTAAGCAGTCTTGCTTTGGGCCAGCAACTGAGTAGCGGAGGAGACTTTACTTTCGCCGGATTTAAAGTCCTTTGTGGAGGATCGTAGCGTTTGCATATAGCATGAACCCTACCAGACCCTTCCACTGCAACAAGACATGACCATGTTTTACCGATCTGCACCTAAAAGACCCTCCAGGCCCGCTATACTGGAATCACTCCCCCTAAGCAGTCGTCGCCCCTCCTCACAACCGCCTCTTCCAAACAGCCATGTATCTCAGTACCGCTGTGGCCGTGATGGCACCATTGACCACAGCTACAATCGCTCAAGCCTTGCCCAGTCTGCTCGCCACAGAGACTGTCTAGAACAGCAGCAACTGCACGACACCGAGACTGCCATTTGCATCTTATGGCACGATTGGCATCTGGTACCCGCTAAATGGTGCACTCTCACCAGGACTGAGCTTTCAATTCAGCACCATCTCGGCGCTGTAGCGATACTCGTCCTGCGGATGCATGCTGTTCATGAAACGTAAGACCCAGCGTTTGGTTAACGACTATGTTGTTTGGAGACTTCCGGACCATTGTTGTTCACCGAGATTAGGCATTTGATATTGGCCGTCCATGGAGTGAACTCACAGGAGGGAAAAGCGACAAGGGTTCGGTCATACATTTCTCCACGGTCCGAGCTTCCGAGCCCACCATCGCCAAGACCACACACAAATTCTCCCTCACATTGATAGGAACACCATATCATATTGTCAACCTTCCATCACCGCCTCCTTCCACCCACAACACCGCCCAAGATGCCCGGCGTCTCCGTTCGCGATGTCCAAGCGGATAAGTTCATCAATGCCTACGCCGCCTTCCTGAAGCGACAGGGCAAACTGCCTATTCCAGGTCCGTGAGCAGCCACCGCCCACAGAAAGAGAAGCGCCATGGATATACATACACACGGCATTGAGAGACCTGAAACCCGTGTGGGACGGGGGACTGCGCGTCAGCAAAAATAATGCTGACTCGGAGTCTACAGGTTGGAGCGACACTGTCAAAACGAGCCATGCCAAGGAGCTGCCGCCGCAGAGCATTGACTGGTAAGGCTACTACGCATCCCGCATACCTTACCCCTGCCTAACAAGATCGCTCAACATAGGTTCTACGTCCGCGCCGCCGCCATCGCCCGTCACATCTACATGCGCAAGACCGTCGGCGTAGGCCGTCTGCGCAAGGTCCACGGCGGTGTTAAGAACCGCGGCACCCGCCCTTCACACCACGTTGATGCTTCAGGGTCAGTAGATCGCAAGGTCATGCAGGCGCTGGAGAAGATTGGCGTGCTGGAGCAGGACGAGGAGAAGGGTGGACGACGGATTACGCAGAGTGGACAGCGAGATTTGGACCGGATTGCGCAGACAACCGTAGAGGCGGAGGACGAGGAGGAAGACGAGGAGTAGAGACTGCATGATCGGCGTGGGTGCTTGCATGTTACACGGCGCAGCGTGGCGTCTCAGGCGCTGGACTGCTAGCTATGGCCGATGACCGCTCTTTGCGCAGCTTCCGCAATCCGCTCGCACACGCGAAAGAAGATCCACCTCGAGCGAAGGCGTCCTCCGCTATGCCAAAGAAAGGTACGAACCGCCTCCGAATGTCTCCAGTCCATGTACGTGGAGTAAATGAATGCGAATAACGCTCCTGTTTCGCTATGCCAATACCGCTTCTATGTAACAACGATCTCCTGTTATGACCCGAGCACCATTGAGACGCCCCGCAGCGCTCCGTTTTTCGCTGGTTGTCGGTCAAAGAGCACGCGCATAAACCACTTCTATTTTTGCGTGGATGCTGATGTTTCTCCAACCGCCTTCGAGCGCGGCTTTACTGCGTCATGGTCGTGCAGAGCACGAACCATCGCAACAACGCTCTTCATGCATCGTTTATACTCTCTGACCCTTTCAAGCAGCCGCCACTAATAAAATAACTCTACCAACATCCTCCGCTCCGGGAAACGCTTACTCCGTGTTCGGAGGGGTTGTCCAAGCGTAAATACACACGTGCGAGTCATGTAAAAGGTTCAAATGACAAGCCATATCAATGGATGGTAAATGACGGGAGGCAGCTCTGAATCGGTGAAAGGACAACTACGCAGCGGCGACAGCACTGCGCGAAGAATCTCGCCACGACCCAAGCGTAAATTGCGAGTTGCACTGCACAGCTGGTCAGCATTGACAGTCACTCATCCGTTCTCGAGTCGCTTGCGACGTACCATGTTGGTCAACTCCCAAGTCTCCGCCCCCAACCTTCCCGCCTCCTCCTCCTCGTCCTCCCAATCACCCGCCGCACCCGCCACAAAGCAAGCACTCATGAAGTGGTCGTCCGTCCCATGCGCATCTCGATACTGCGGATGCTTCATCAACCTCGTAATCGCCCTCCTCAACCTCGGCCCTCGATTCTGACTGATACAATCCTCAAAGCTTTGACGGAACTCCAACGCCCATCCCTCCGGCGGTGTCGTCTGAGCAAAGTTATCCCGGTATCTGAGCATCGGCCCCCAGATGTTGCGATAGAGGTTGTGTACCGCACCACCTGTACCTATGATCAAGTAATTCTCGTAGCGAAGTGGTCGAAGGGTGCTACCGATATGCATGTGGAAGTGCGGGTCGAAGCGGGCGTTCATGGAGACGATAGTGGTGGGTGGGCAGCCGGAAGGAAACATCCGGATGAGTATTAGGTAGGTGTCGTGGATCCATTCGAACTTAGCATTGGGGCGGACATTGAAGCCGGCGGATTTGAGCATGGAGATGCAGCGCTCGCCGCCTTCTAAGTCAGGCACGAGCTTGTAGTCGACGTACTTGGAGGGGTGGACGTAGGCGACGGGGGATTTGCCGGGAGACGGATTCATTGCGACTTCAATCTGAATAATGGTTAGGGTTCGTGTTCCTGTTCAATGTCGACATTGCACAGCTTACAACGTCGCCTGTTGCATCCCAATGAGCTCCCATCATGATTACGCCTGTGATGCCGTTCGCCAAGGCGTCATCGCCACAACGTTTCCTACGACACCACATCAGGTTGGGTACGTTATGTGCGATTAGGCGATGGACGATACCAGTAGTCAGCAGACGTGGACTCCTCGCCCAGCATCATCGTTGAGCCATGGGAGAAGAAGTGTACCGGCGTGGGCGCTGCTAACGTTGTCAGTAAGCCGTAACTCGCAAGCGCTGAGTTTTCCGAACATACCCATTCTTACACCTTGTTCGAACGTTCAGCGACGTTACCAAATGAGTGCTGAGCCTTTGGTGTTGCGATTTGTGCTGCTGACATGCGCTATAGGCCCCAAAACCACTCCGGCGGCGAAACACTGCTGGTGGTGGCACCCATCCGTGTGGGGCCCGCGTATTCTCGGATGAAGTGGGCACGGGTTTACGGTCCAGTTTGGAAGCCAAGTCCACTGCTAGAGCGCGCAATTGGCGTATGGGAGCTGCTGGCTGCCGTCAGTGGACCTGGTGCTGTCGAAGGCTGGACGTCGTATTGCACGGGCCAAGGTTCTCAATCCATAATCAACGATTCGTTATTGTCGTGCTTGACAAGGATGCACGGCCCTTCCGCTAACGTACAGGGTGGTAAGGTAGGCGAGGCCACGAACAACACCTTGTGCAGCTTTCTTTTTGAGTATTGTGCCTCCAATATGTGTGCCGCAAGCTCATTCTAACCGTCTAGCATTGCTTATATCGGTGACTCCCACACTCTGCGTCAACCTGCCCTCTTCAACACCCAAACATGGCATAGCAGCTAGCCATGAGGTAATGTGGTGTAGCGTAGGTAGACTCTGCCAGTCTTTGCCATCAAACGAGAAGCTTGCCGACTTCGTCACGAAGTTCGTTGGCGGTTCTGCTCCTTCCTCTGGCGCCGCATTTGGTACGAAGACAGCATATTCGGCATCCGTTTTACCAGGCTCGCCGACGGTTGGGACATATCGGTAATGGAACCTGCCCGTTTCAGGAGGGGCCGGCGGAGTCCCAGGACCACGGTGAGGTTGCTCAAGCGAAACGCCGTTGACGACTGGCTGCTCTTTGGTGAGACCGCAGATGTCAAGCTCACCAAATCGCACTCCGCGCCAAACCAGCAGAATTTTGCAGCCCTGCTCTCCATCCGGTCGTACATCAATGTCTGCGAACAGTTTGGGCATACCAACTTCATCACGACCAGTAATGATGGGGTCGGTCAAATCCTCAAAAAGTAGTGGCATGTATGTGCCGAACACTTTCGATCCATCCCGCTTGGTGTAGTTCACGCCGTGCAAGTAGAGACCGAAGTGGGAGTACCCGCCGCCGCCTAGCCACGTCATCCCAGACAGAGTGGTGCACATAAGGCTCGCAGAGACCACCGTTGCTGGGCTGGTAAATGCGAAGCCAGAAGGGAGCAGGTTCTGCACATATGTCTGAGATGTTCTGAACTTCACGGAGTATGTCCGTGCCCGCTCGGGAGTACTCTGTCGCAACAATCGCAATGCTTCGCTTTGTGGATGCAAACCTAGCGGCCTACGCGGGCCAGGACTCGCGCCAAGTTCGATGGGTGCACGGAATCGCAACGCTGTGTCTTTGGTGTTCAGATGTTTCCGCAGAGCATTGGTCGAGAAGTCCCATGCATCGTGGCCAAAGTTATATGCCTGGTACTCATGCATGTCCAGCTTCTTTCCCAGCGTCGCCATTTCCGCAGCATCCAAACCCGCCTCACGGGTGAAGTTCTGGATGCGGTGCGCTCGCTCGTATCTGCACTGCTCATAGACCTGCAGGCGCTCTGGAATATCCGACGGCTTTGTCCCTAAAGGCAAGACAGCTGCCAGAACGACCGCATCCTCGAGGGCTTGCGCTCCACCCTGCCCCTGGTGTGGAAGAAACGGATGTGCAGCATCGCCCAAGACCGCGAGCTTTTCATGGATGAAGGTGGGCATCTGCTTCATGTCGAGAAGCTTCCAGACCTTCGGGTCCTCAGCCTTTTCCAGTATTGCCCGCACTTCCGGGGCGAAGGCCTTGTATATGTCCAGCATGCGGGCTTTACTGGCTGATTCCTGCCAACCTAACGCAGCGTGTCAGTACCTAGGCGTGTGTTTCCATCGGACATGCGCGCACCTTCTCCAGTAACGTCCGCTTCCGACTCACGACTCGGGTGGATGGCAACAAAGTTCATCATGGTGTTGTTAGAACAGGGGTACATGACAACTCTTCGGTCCTCCGCTATCCACATCGTTAGGTAGCCAAGCTTTGAGGTCGGGCCTGCAGTCATTGGATCACTTGCCAGCGTGTCTGTAGGTATTAGGAAGCGAAATGCGCTTTTGCCGGAATCAAAAGGACTCAGGTCGCCTCCAGGTATATTCGCTCGCGCCATGGAATGAACCCCATCAGCGCCAATAACCACATCGGCTTGTATCGTTGTGCCGTCTTCAAGACCGATTGAAGCATTTTGGGCGTTTACAGTCTTCACCCGACTGGCAACTTGTAGCTTTGCGGGCTTGCCAAAACCGTCCGTATCAATGGCCATATTCTTCAAAGCAGTATGCAAATGTGCGCGATGCACCAGATACCAGGCATGCTGCCACATCTTGGCGAACTTTGTGTTGTCGACTTCATATTTGACCTGGTTGTTGTGAGGCAAGCATTCAATGACCCCAACGCACTCAACACCCCCAATGTTCTCCACGTTCAGTCCAAGCCGGCGGAGAAGACCGTTAGCGTTTGGGGCGAGATGGATTGCCGCGCCAGTTTCCTGTGCCAGCTTTGACTGCTCGAAGATCTCGACATCGTGGCCTTGACGACGAAGTGCTACCGCGGCCGTAAGCCCCCCAATGCCTGCACCAACGATGAGTACACGGAGCGGACTATTGCGTTCGGCATGGTGGCTGCCGTTGATTGCTGCCATGATCGAGTGGTCTCCTCGGCTGAAGATACAATAGGCCAGCGAAGAACGCAACAAATTTCATGCCTGGCGACGCAGACAACGTCCCCATCTTGCCGCGGAGGACACCTACCAGCCGTTCTATCCGGGCAATCGGCTGACCTGCGTACTCTGGAAGGTTTCTCCCGTGCACACAAGGCGTCGGATATTGATGGTAACCCCGCCGGATGCATGTGGAGGCGGCAAAGCGGGCACGAGACCGAGGATGATCCCCGTAAGGTCTCCCAGCCAGTCACCGTTACGCATCGTTGAGTACCTGCATTAGGAATGCTGGGACGGTCGGATTCGGAAACTTCGGGCCTTGAGTGAGTATGCTTTCCGAAGGTCCTTTAGAATCAGCTATAATGCTACTATTCTGCGGAAAGGACATCGAGCTCGACAGACTGTCACATCGTAGCACTCGGCTTGTCCTTTTCCACAGCCATGCCGAACAAGATCCAGAACCTCCATACAGTGGACGAAGAGCATTGTCCGTACGTGTTCGAACAGAACGCTGCGGTGCCACTGAAGTCGTCAGATGGAACTGTGAGGGTCAACGTATATCGGCCAAAGAGCAGTGACCAGGTGCCCGTACTTGTCACTTACGGACCTTACGGTAAGCCAAGTAATGAACTTCTCGGCTTGCACCTAGTACGCTGACACTGAAATGCCGCCGCTAGGCAAGGACATTCCATATGCGGAGTAAGCTTTGGTTTTAGTAGCCAGGACTGCAGTTGCTGATCAATCCTGCAGTTTCCATGCCAAGTCATTCTCTGAGGTCAACCCACAGCAGAAGTCTGACCACTCAGTATGGGAGACCCCAGACCCTGCCTTCTGGACAAAACATGGCTATGCGGTCGTTCGAGCGGATGAGCGTGGTACGGGTCAGAGTCCTGGCCTGCTGGATACAATGTCCCGCGGCACCTCCGAAGCCTTCTTTGAGGTAATTGAATGGGCAGCCGAGCAACCCTGGTCCTCCGGCAAGGTCGGCCTCCTTGGGATATCGTACTATGCAGGCACGCAATGGCGGGTTGCAGCGAGACAGCCAAAGGGATTGGCCGCGATCATACCGTGGGAGGGTATGAGCGACTACTACCGTGACCGGTGTCGCCACGGCGGCATACTGAGCAACCAGTTCATATCTTTCTGGTGGAACAGACAAGTCATAACAAACCAGTACGGCCGTCCGGGCCGTAAAGCTGCTAATTGGGGACCCGACACCATCGAAGGCGACCTCAGCGCAGAAGAGCTGGCCGAGAACAGGCGCGACCAGACTATCGACAATGTCCATAACCATTTCCGCGACGACGAGTACTATGCGACCAAAGACTTCCAGCTTTCGGATATCAAGGTTCCGCTGCTCTCTGTAGCGAATTGGGGCGGTATCTTGCTCCACCTTCGCGGCAACGTTCAAGGCTATATGTACGCAGGCAGTGACCTGAAGTACCTTCGATTTGTCACCGGTCGCCATGATCTGCCCTTCTATTACGAAGAAGAAGTTGAAGTGCAGCGTAGCTTCCTCGACGCTTTCCTCAAGGGCGACGACCGTGTTGGCTGGTCACAGAAAGGCAAACTGCCGCCTGTTGACATCGTCCTTCGAAAAGGCGACGTCGGGTTCAATGACGCCCAGGCGGAGAAAGTGTACCCGAGGCGGGCTGAGGGCGAGTGGCCAATAGCGAGGACGCAGTACACCCGCTTCTACCTCCAACCAGACAACACGCTGACGAAAGACGGCCCGTATACTGGCGAGGAGAAGACGGTGTCGTACAAAGCTCTCGGAAAACTCGACAACCCGCAGCTGGTCCAGTTTACAACAGCACCATTTGACGCGGAGACGGAAGTTACTGGGCACGTGACTGCACATCTCTGCATCTCCGCATCGAAGTCGCAAGAGCATGCCACCGAACCGTCCGAGATCGACGTTTTCGTTACATTGCGACATCTATCACCGGCTGGCAAAGAAGTTTTCTATACCGGAACAGCAGGCGATCCCGTACCGCTGACCAAGGGCTGGCTCCGGGCAAGCCTACGAAAGGTGGATGCATCGCATTCTCAGCATCATGAGTGGCTTCCTCATCGCCAATACCTCAGTACCGACGTCCAAGAGGTGAAGCCAGATACGGTGTATGAGATGGAGATAGAAGTGTGGCCGACCAATGTGGTGGTTGACAAAGGCGGCAAGCTCGTTTTTGAAGTTTCCTCCGGTGATACTCAGGGCTCCGGTATCTTCGGTCACAACCACCCGGAAGACCGCAACGAGACAGTGTTTGCCGGTTCCAACAGCTTACACTTCAGTAAGAACCACTCTAATTATGTCGTACTGCCAGTGATTCCACCCAAATAGGAGTCGAGTATATAGAGCCAAATAGTGCCGAAGCTCTGATCACCCCGAGAGGTTCGCTAGCTCGTTCATCAGTTTCGCCAGGTTCTCCACTAGAGGTGGCAAGCCATTCCGGCTGTCGTGAAAGTTGCCTTTCAGCACGGCTTCTGCCGTCAACATCAAGCCTTTTGGATTTGCGAGCGGCACGAAAGAGTGGACGGAATCCTGGATGCCAGGAACACCCTTCCCAAGCAGCACGAAAGTCTTGGCGGCACGCTCATCATCCGTGTCGATGAGTGTATTACTGTTGTTGATATCGTCCGCATGGGTTGTCCGGGGCTGTGTATCTGCTGGCGTCTTCACTCCGTTCTTCCGTGCAGTGTTCGACGTCACCATCCCGTAGACCCATAGTGTTAGCGTGGAATGATAGAGCGCAACTGCAGAGAAGTCTCTCAACCGGGTCTTCTCAAGTTTGCGAGCAAGACGGAATACTTGACCCGCGTGCCAAACTGCTGTCCGCGATTCCGTATCTTGGCTCCAAGCAAGCAGCTTCGGGTAGACTCGGCGCGCTTCATCTTCTCCAAGCTTGCCGGAGAAAGTCTGGATATCCTCAAGGTCTACGTGCAGAGACCTATGAATTAATGGGTCGAGAGTCAGCTGTGACCCACTCGCTAAAAGATTTGCGCATCGTTCCACCTACATCATGAGCATATCGATCGTGAGCATGATCTCCGACATACCGTTGGTCTGAACATCACAGTAAGCATGTAGCGCACTGAGATCGTCAGATAAGTCTCGCTGAGTCCGCTTGTGGTCAAGCCAGCGGTCTCGGCGGCTGTGGCTCTGTCGGTTCGCCAGTAAGCGTTCCTGGCAGCGGTATTGCCACACTTCGTGGCCCAGACCATGACAGGCGGCGAGTAGGCAGAGCGGCTTGTCCACCACTTCGTCGAAATGCTCCAGAATTTTGTTGTCACCAAAGAAGTCCATCATGGTAGGCAGCTCCGCCTGTGTCGTCGGCTTCAGACGGAGGTAGGCGTGTCTCCAAGCGTGAGCATTCGGCGCCAGCCAGAGCTCCCTGCATGCGGGTAGAGGCATCATGAGCTGTGCGGGCGAGATGAGCGGATTCTTCATGTTGACCATCGACACCTGCGAGTCGTGAAGGAATGTATGCAGGACGAGGCGCTTCTTCGCCTCGCGCTCCGCCCAGGCTTGCCATTTCTCTTGTAGTTCTAGGTCGGTGTCATGGGCACAAGGTACAATATCGAGGTATCCAAAACGCATCAACAGCTTCGACCAAGTCATCATGGTCACAGGTGGGCCTAGGAATGAGATTGCGATTTCCGTCTTGCGTCGGAAGCCACTCCAGACACCGATATCGAGTATTAAGAGCAACGCTTGCAGGACTTGCAATTCTCGCGTCGCTGTGTTGTCACTTTCTAACAGCTCCGCCAACCCTAGTCGGACAACTTCTTGAAAAACAAGCCCCATTCTCCACACCTCTTTGAGGGCAATGAAGCGCGCACCAGCTGCCACAATGGCCAACAAAAGCTCAGTCCTAGTCTTCATAGGCGCGAAAGAGGCCGAGTGGATATAAGAGTCGGCCGCGCTGCTGTCTTGCAACAAATAGATGTCGATGAGGTCTTCAAGTAGCTCGAGAGAAGGAAATGAAGATATTGCGAGCCGAGACTGGGCAACCTGAGTCACTACCCTTATCATGCGGTCCCTTGCTGGGTTGGTCAACTCGCAATGATGTAGACGAACACTTTCAGGGCTCGTCAGCTGGTGCGTGGTGTTGACTCTTTCATGATGTACATCAAGTGTGCCTTGATCGGCAAAAACATGCGAGTTGCGCTCCGGAATCCAGTCGTTCCAAGACCAAGGGTTTCGTCTAAAGGCTTCAGAACGCAGATGAGCATCGGAGTGCACAGTATGTTTGCCAGACCCTGTACTGCTATATTCTTCACCTTCAAGACCTTGTGGAGTCGGTGGCCTGGTCAGCCCGTGCGCTAGGAAACTGAAATCATAGTCGAGGACATCGAAGTTGAGATCCGAAGTAAAGTGAGACACATCTGGCGGGAAAATGGTTGGATGGTGTTGTGATAGGTCCATATCAGGCATCATGATCTGTTCGAAAAAGTCTGAAAACGGAAGGCCTGTGGCGCCGGCCTCGACGGGGAGCAAATCGTTCGGCTCGCCATCGTACTGTGCAAGAGTGGTACCGCCTGTGTTGCTAGCATTCAATCCAAGTAGTAGACTAGCGTCTTCGAAGTGTGCTGCCGACGATCGTGGTGTAGTACACTGCCCGGCCCCACTGAATACATCACTCACACCAGAGTCTCCAAGTGCGAAGGCGGCACTTGAGATGGGTTGCTGCGAAGACTGATCGGTTAGCCCCGACGAGCCAACCCTGGTCTCTGTATAGTCAGGGCTCTCAGCGAGTGGCGGAGCCTGTTCCATGGCTGCCCCTAGACCTGTCTGGAATACGGAGTGCTTGCGATTCTCACTCTCCTCGCAAGGCGTACCACGCGTTTTGCATCGTTTACATGGGCGTTGCTCATCGCACTTCGTCTTCGCTCGGATACATGCGAGGCAAGCTCGACCGGTACGACGCCGCAAGACCTCACCGGCGTTCTTCGTATGAGCTGCGCGGTGACGGTTGAGCAGATCCCTATCACCCAAATCAGGCATTGCGATACACGCGACGAAGGGAACCACGAACGCTCGATTGAAACCTTTGCCGCAGTCAGGGCATCGATAAGACCGCTCATTCTCATGTGATCTGAGGTGGCGGCTCAAATGGTCTTGTCGTTCGTAGCTTGAAAGCGCATGATCAGCTTATCGAACAATACGTGCAGGTCTTTCGGCTACGCACGTCCGGGAGCATATGTAACACTGATGTCTTGCATCTGCAGCGCCCGATTCACCATCACTGGCAGAAAGTGCCCTCATCAACCCAGTTTGGGCAGCGCCCGCCATGTCCGATGGGCCGGAAAGAGTTGCGCTTGACGCTTCCGTCCGCCATATGCTTTCTCAGTCTCGGCGGATGATGCGGACAGTGTGAAATTTCCGCACAGCAGAGTAGTCAGGTCCGTGCGACCCCATACGCTCGTCTTCATGAAGGTACAGAGGTCGTTGTCGGGCACGTCACCCCACCACCTTCTCCGCATGAACACCAGATGAGCTCGGACCAGGGCTCGGCTTGCCATGAAACCTCAACCAATAGATTCTGGTACGGGCAGAAGTCTTTCTGACCTGACTGCAAGGTGAGACATCTCGAGCAGATGATCTTTTTTGTTCAAGGTACGATAAGGGTATTCACCTTATCCGCCCGGCGTACAATGCAGTGCGAGAATGAGTTGCAGGCGAGGGTCAGTGCCAATGATCATTGCTACCCGGGGCATGAACCTTACTGAGCGGAGCAGATTTGCATGCACATGGCAACGAAGGGTGGCCAACGTTGGTAATGCTGGTAGGAAACGTAACATGTTCAACATCATCCTCAAAAGGGTTTACGGCAGCGAGAGGTTATCAGGCGTTCGATAGCTATACGCTAACAAGCACATTGACGCGAACGAGTAAAGTGTCCCACCAAATCTTCATGTGGAGCTACGGACTCCTTCCATCGTCTCCAAGTCTTCGCCTAATCGCTCTCCTCCTACAGTCAGGGGCTGGCACGGTTGCAATACATACAACATGCGCGCTGGCTCCGTATTCGACATGTTCCGCCAGGCGTGCATTGTGCCACGCTGTATCGCCACGTCGCCGCGCTTCATCGGTCTCGTTTCCCCCGAATCCAGCACAAGTTCGACTTCTCCTTCTAAGACAACGCCGTAATCAAGTGAGACCGTACGGTGCATTGGAGAGATGGCGCCGGGATGCATGTCTGCAACATTGTATCGTCTCAGCAACAGTATCTCATGGCAGCAAATTCATCGTACCAACTGTCCTCAGCACAGTGCCGGAGCTGATCACTAAGCCTGGAGCCTGATCCATGTACTTCTTGTACGTGTCGATGTCTATATCTTGGTTCAAGTTGGCTGGAAACTGCTCTGAGCAGTAGTGGAGTCCGAAGACAGCATCTCCGACGGCCACTGGTTTAAGCGGTGTCACCTCATCGATGGCTTTCGAAAAGGTGGCCTTGCCTTCAGCGTTGTGGGTGGTGATGAAGCGGTTTAGGGAGGGGAGTCCTGGCAACGGACCGCTCATACTGACGTCTGGTAACCGTTGTTCTTTTAATCTCTCAGTAATCTACGATTTCAACTTGTAACAGCAGAAGGATTCTAAAACCTGAACAAGCTGCTCAGTATCCGCTCTCACAGTTTGCCCCACCGGATGAGGTGGGCTGCGTCGATCCGAGGCCTCTGCCGTACACAAACATTCCGCAAATGCAAATGCATATGCAAAGGTACTGACTATACGTACGCGGTAGGCGAAGGACTGCGATATCTTCTTACAGCTTTCTTACAATGTCATCGCCACAGCCCGGCTACACCTCACATTTCGGCATCGGTAACATACCCTTTGGCGTTGCATCCACCGCTTCACGACTCCATCCATCTTGTGTATCCCGTTTTCAAGACTCGGTACTTTTCCTTGACAAGTTCGATGCAGTCTTTAAAGATATCGACGAGCTGCCGCAAGGGGTTTTCTCCCGGACATCGCTGAATGCCTTTACAGCACTGCCGAGATCGGTTCACCAAGCCGTTCGTCAACGTCTACAGGCATTGATACGTGAGGATGAGTCGCTTCGATCGCTACCAGCAGGGTCTGTGGAAAAGGTGGATGTTGTTACGATGCATCTGCCGGTCGAAGTTGGAGATTTCACGGACTTCAGTCTCAGTGCAGATCACGTACAGAATGCTTCGGAAGCCATGACTGGGAAGCGCTCAGCTCCACCATCCTTCTATCACCAGCCTGTAGGTTACGCTGGGCGCTGTTCTTCTCTCGATATCAGCGGGACACCCGTTGAGCGGCCGATTGGGCAGTATTGGGAGGGCAAGCCTGGAGAAAGCAGAATAGTGTTCGGACCGTGCAAGAAGATGGATTTTGAGCTTGAGCTAGGTGCCATCATCGGCAAGCCACTTCCACGGAGAGAACGGGTGACGGCGTCTCAAGCAGATAAGCACATCTTTGGCTACGTTCTGGTTAACGACTGTAAGCATGCGCGCTCTCACCTTGCCGAATTTGGTCGATGAGCTAACTGAACACGACATGCAGGGAGCGCTCGTGACATTCAGGCACTCGAGATGAACCCTCTCGGTCCGCTGAATGGCAAGAATGCTGGGACCACCGTCTCACCATGGGTTGTTACACAAGACGCCGTTAATAACTTTCGAGCAGCTTCGCCACCTCGACTGCATGACGTCGCGCCATATCTGAGGGATTCAGGCAACAACGCGCTCAGCATCGAGCTTCAAGTCATTGTTACTGCACCGGGTTCGGAAGCTTCGGAAGGTGCTGTCAGTTGCAAGAGCAATGTCTCTTGGATGTACTGGACTCTCGCTCAATGCCTTGCACATCAAGCGATTGGCGGTTGCGGCTTGCGGACCGGAGATTTGCTCGCTACTGGCACGGTATCAGGGCAAGGAGACGGAGAACACGGCTGCCTGCTCGAGCATATGCGAGTAGGCCAAACGCCTCCCAGGGCCTATTTGGAAGATGGAGAGACTGTAACGCTCACCGGATATTGTGGAGAAGGCGTAGGCTTCGGAGAATGCACAGCAGTGTTGTTGCCTGCGCGGCTGCTGAATAACTAAGCTTCAAGGCTCAGGAGTGGCGGTATCGCGCCCGAAGTGCAAGTCCGATTGCGGCTCGTATGCCTTAGAACTCTCCGCCGATCTTGTAGTTAAACGCCTTATCGTCCAACTTGCCTCCAGTCGCACGCCAGATCTGCGCAAGCGTGGATTGCATGTAAACGCCTGAAGGATTGTCAGTCTTCACCGTAGACGACTGGGTTCGCTTATCGCCACGAACCACCAAACATTACTCGAATGAAGTTCTGCTCGACCGCATTAGTGTACACGTTCCGCTGGTCGTCTAGTTGATTGCGTATAGGCCTGTAAGACGGCACTCGTCGCCAACGGTCCTCCCAGCCTGGAGGGTTGACCGCTTCTGCCTGCGCAAAGGGTGACTGCGCGTTTGGCGGTGGTGCTGAAACTGCTTCACTGTCAGATGGCTGATCATGGCTGACTTCAAGAGCGTGGCGAATGGTCGTTATGCGCGCGTTGTCTGTTGTGGTGACCGACATGTTCGATTTCAGGATGACTCGTCGTCGATACCGCTACCTTCTGTCGTAGCTATCTGGCATCAAGGCGCTGTCTTCTGTGCGCTTCTTGCGGGCATGCGACGTGAGCATGCCCACTCGGCAGCGAACGGAAAGGTGGAGGGTGTCCATCCTGGAGGTCCCCTTTGGCGCCACACGTCCGTACGTCCACACAAAACACATTATGCCGTGGGGACCTCGGAACACGGGTGATCGACTGCTTGAACCATAACTCTTGACCAGTGCAGCGCTGCCATCCCTGGCACAACTGGACTCCGGTTGCGATCAAGGATGGTAGAAGCATTTCGACGGGTTCGCGCTGCAGCCATAGACGGAAGAGCGCACAATGTGTACTTCCGACAGATACAACTCGAATCTCTATTCAAGACTATACAGAGCAATGTCGGCCAGATACGCAATGCTATCAAGGCGGACTACGGGCATGCCGATGGCGAGATAGCCATTGAGCTCAATTTGACGACCAAGGCTCTCCGGAGAGATTATGCCAGCTTAGAGCCGAAGAAGTTGCTGGAGGAAGAATACAGGGTTGCGCACGGCAAGAACTCACCATCTGCAAGGCGGCCAGTGGGCGTTGTTTATATCGAACCGTGCGCGCATACCCAGTTCTTCTCAGTCATTGTGCCATTGAGCGCTGCGATTGCCAGTGGCAACTGCGTTATCATTCTGGTAAGGTCAACGATGAAGTCGCTATGAGTAACAACACTGATGCTGGTTGTAGCTGGAGAACAACCTAAGAGCGGTTACGAGCATTCTCCGAAAGATCCTGCCGAAGGCGCTGGACCAGGACATCTTCACAATCGCAGACTCACCAGTGAAAGACCAAGAGCTCTTGGATGCTTCCGTCCTAGTCAATGAGCAGAGCAGTGAGCGATGGCCGCGTGCGAATCAGCTTTCGTCGCCTCGAATGCGCCGCACGGTTGCTGTAGTGGACAGGACCGCCAACGTGCAAAGAGCGGCTCGCGAGTTGACAGCTGCAAGGTTCAGCTTCGGCGGTCGCAGCCCATACGCCCCAGACATTGTGCTTGTCAACGAGTTCGTCAAGGACAGCTTTCTAGATGCTGTCTTGATGGAGTATCCTGAGCTCGGCAGAGACACGTTTATGAACGGTAATGCATCGAGTAAGCCTGCAATATCGGCCAAGGCCTTGGAGTGGATGCGAGAGAAGGACTCTGGTATACGCATCATCCGTGAAGGAGCACGACATGCTCTGGCGGAACTCACGCCGCGTAGCTCTCCAAACCTGCTGCGGAAGTTCGAAGGTCCTGTCATGCTGATACACGCTGTCACAAGCTTGGATGATGCCATCGATCTCGTCAACAGCATTACTCCGAATGAACCTATTCTGGCAGGTTATTATTTCGCGAATGCTTCGACCGTCAAGTACCTGGACCAATTCGTTGACTCCACACTCTCGCTCATTAACCATGTTCCGACCGAACTGCTTGTTGGACCAGCCTACCCGGCAACGCATGCGATCGATTTGGCGGTGAGATATCCACAAGAGCTGTTCACTGTAGGCAAGCCAGCATTCGTCGGAGCGAGCAAGCCAACGCCGCTGCTAGCAGCGTTAGCCTCCTCGAGCGACGAAGCCGCACGGAAGCTACTCGCTGAGGCGACAGCACCGCTCGCGCTCATTAAGCGGCATCCAGGCGGAGGGGTTGGGTTCTTCGAACAGGGTTTCTTGTTGAATGCGGGCCTGATACTTGGCACAACTCTCAGCCTTTCCGGTGTTGGTCTGTACTATGGAATGAAATACGGGAGGCGTTTTTGGTAGGGATTACTGGTATCGTGACGTAGCGGTGTCTCAAGACTTGTGCGCAGAGCTTCCTGTAAGACTAACTTCGGAGTCATTTTTGTGGAAGGAGGCCACAAGGTGGGATCGACCCACGTGAACTTGTTTCAGCAAAGCATTGCGCGCCATGTGCGCCCTGACAGACAGACCCCGCAGATACTTCGGTCCCTTTTGTAGCGAGGACAGAAGTCAAGCTACCTTCTGCTGCAAAGAGACCAGGGATGAGTATACCGGAGGGGCAGTAAAGGGACGAGCGCACAGCCTCACAGCGGTTACCACCACGCATAACCACGGTGCGGTCTCGAATGTCGCGCTCTAGCCTTCGGAGGCCCAAAGGTTAATTGATACATCGGATGAGCTGCATGTACACAACCCAGTGCTTTCAGATCGCCCGAATAACAAATGACAATCATCTGCGACGTGGCCTGAGCTTTTAGGGCTTCGCTTGAGAAGCTGCCGAAGCAGCTTCCGTGTGGGAGGGGAGTCGCAAGGTGGTAAGCGAAGGCGTCGTCTAGACTCCACACCATTCAGGAACTGGCTCCCACATGTGTCCGGGGAGGGCGTGGAGCCCCATGTTGGCGCCATCAACATCAATTGGGGGAATCTCCATATGTAAATGCTTCGGAACGATCATTCGACATCACCCGCTCAACACACGCTCTGTTGTAGAACCAAACCGATAGCGAATATCATGGCAGGTTGGGGATACGCATTCTCGTTGTCCAAGCAGCAGGTCGCTGAGGCCGAGCCTCCGGGTACCGTACGCCTTGTCGAGCATGGATTGCACCGTACGCAATCAGGACGAGACCAGCAGGAAGATCACATCCACCTCATCCCAGAACCGTCGCAAAGTGCGGCCGACCCTCTGAATGTGAGTACGCATTCCTTCTCCGTTGACGACACTGACATCGGGTTAACAACTGCAGTGGCCAGCATGGCGTAAAACTGCCGTCCTCCTGACAATGTCGTTGTACTCTGGCTGCGCCAACTTCGCATCCGCAGCGGTGGCCCCGGCGTTGCCCATCCTGGCCTTCCAGCTTCTTCCGCCTAAACAGTTCAGCGAGCTTTCCCATCTCGTGGCTGTCAACGTCCTCCTCATTGGCACGTCTAACATCTTTTGGGTGCCACTTGCCAACACTTTTGGTCGCCGGCCGGTGCTGATTGTTGCACTGTTGTTGAGCGTGCTCACTTCGATGTGGTGCGGACTTGCTCAGACCTTTGGTAGTCTCCTGGCTGCACGGGCGATACAAGGTATAGGTTTTGGGTAAGCACCTCAGCTTGAGAGACGGACCCCATGCCGATGAACATACTAAAGCTTAGTCGTAGCCCTTGCGATGCTGTTGCGCCAGACGTAGTCGGAGAGATATACTTCGTGCACGAGCGTGGAAGAGCCATTGTGAGTAACCCAAAGGTGGCGTTGGGGACCAGTGCTCTGACGATCATCGAACAGGCAATCTATACGCTGTTTCTGGCTGGCGGAAGCTTCGTTGGTGGTGTTGCAGGGAGCTATATTGCTGGCACGCTGGGTTACCGCTACATCTTCTGGATCTCCACTGCCATGCTTGGCTTCGTCTTTCTGCTCGAGCTGTTCCTGGTCCCGGAGACGATGTTCGACCGACAAGCTCAGCTCGTCGCGGAACATCATCCCAGCGTTGTCGGTGACGGGTCGGTCTCGGACGAAAAAGGCGACGTAACTATGATTGAGCGTGCCGTACCCACCGACAGCAAAATCACTTTCGCGCGGAGCATGAAGATTGGTCTCTGGCGTGGTGATCTGGTCAAGCACTTCCTTGACCCCTGGCGCTCCTTGGCCTTCCCAGGTACCTGGGTAGTAATGATACAGTTGGTCTTCAACAAGTAACTCCTGAAGATCAGCGCTAACCGCACGCAGTTACGGTGGCTTGCTCGGTGGCCTTGTTTCCATCGCCACGGTTGGGCCACAGTTCCTGGCGATGCCACCATACCTTTGGGGCAATAATGTTGGTCTTCTCGGTCTCGGTCCTGTCGTTGGCGGCTTCCTGGGTTTCGGTGCCACCTATTTGTCCGCCGACAGCCTCCTTACGAGGAAGGCCAAGCACGAGTCCCACGGCCTTGCAGAACCGGAAAGTCGCCTGCCCGCAATGTTTCCAGCTTTGATCCTCGCCACCTGCGGCATCTGGACGTTCGGTTTCTGCGCTGCCAACCCTTCGCAGCATGCCTGGGTTGGCATGATCATTGGTTACGGCATGGTCGGATTCGGCATTACGCAGGTCAGAATGACCTCCTTCTCGCTGACTAGAACCTCGCTGACGGGTACAGATTCCGTCGATTGGCTTCAGCTACCTCATTGACAGCTACTATGCCATCTCCGCAGACTGCTTCGTAATGACCACCATCGCAAGGGCAGTGGTTTCCTTCGCTTGGACTTTTTTCACAGCGTATGTGCTGAGCATCGATTCGTTCGCTGTGTGGAACCACGCTAACCAACCATACCCGATGCTTCTAGGCAGTGGATCGCGTCAGCCGGTGCTGCGCTACCCTTCGGAATCTACGGCATGTTGATGGGAGTGTTTGCGCTGTTCACGTAAGTTTCAACGATCCGACAACGCCGGATGATGGGCTAATCACAACCAGTCTACCACTCTGGCTGTACGGAAAGAGATTACGTATAGCGACAGCCGGATTCCTGCCTAAGCATGAGAACCACTAGAGCTTGGAAACGGCGTTGAGCTTGTATACTGCCTGCGAAAGGCTACATGGTACGGTGACCTGATCGTTGGAATGGAGTGCGAGCCATGGTCGGCCACTACCTCACCGCCGCGCATATTTACATATGGCGCAGCGCGAAGGCTGCGGTGTGTGACACACCATCAGCCACTTTTCCAGTCCGCGGCATCGTAGTACACGCTACTAGAGCTCGGTTAGGAAGTCGTATTGTTGCCGCTGGGTGACTTTGTTGATCCGAGTAAGATCCGAATATGCCGAATGAGGAGGAGATGTTATACTGTAGACTGAGTGTCACTGACTCGCGCCCTCTCCACACCCATGGAGTTCGGTCCCTGCTGCCCCACGCATGGCGGCGCTCGCGTGCCAAAGATAGTCCGAGGCGCTTACGTACAGCTGTAGACATTGTCAGGCTGCGACATATTCCAGCTCTTGTAGACATGCACACTCTCCGCGCCATGTGAGGCCATCTTACCAACAATCAAGATGAACATCTTCCGCATCCTCGCCGATGTCTCACACACGGCGAGCAAGTGTATCCTCATCTGGGCTATCCACCGCAACCAGTCTGCGGAGGGAGTCTCCTTGCTCACACAGCTCCTCTACATCCTGGTGTTTGTGAACAGGTATTGGGACCTCTTCTGGACTCCGCCAGGGTATGCCTTTATCGCCAAACCATAACGTACATTGGCGGAAGCTAACACAATGCGCAGATGGAGCGTCTGGAATTTCATCCTGAAGATATTCTACATCGCTAGTAGCGCCTACATCGTCTTCCTTATGATGCGCGTCTACCCGCGGACACGTGAGAAGGAGTACGGATGGAAACTGGCCATATGGAGTCTGGCTGGCAGTGCCATCTCAGCGCCATTCGTGACGCTCATATTCAAGGGCTGGTGGAGGACTACCTTCTTCGAGGTGAGTGCACTCTAGCTCAGCGACTTCCATTGTCCAGACTGCTTACGCATAACGACTTCTAGACGCTCTACACCTTCTCCCTCGAACTCGAATCCGTCTGTGTACTTCCCCAACTTCTACTCCTCCGCCAGACCAGCGTACCAACAGTGCTCGACTCATTCTACCTCGTCACCCTAGGCAGCTACCGCGCCTTCTACCTCCTCAACTGGCTCGTACGAGGCTTCTCGCGCGATCCCGTGAACCGCGCCGTCGACCCCATCGCCATCATCTTCGGCCTGGTCCAGACAGCCTTGTACGTGGACTTCGCATGGGTGTACTACGGTCGCCAGCGCGTGAAGCTCCGAGCTGGCGGCGTGGTGGACAGCGACGACTTGAGCAAGAGCTTTCTCGTCAGGCGCATTATTGGCCAGGATAGAGGGCCCGCGGACGAGGACGACGATGCTTGGGATGCGGAAGCGGAGAGGCGGGAGAATTGGGTGGGAGATGACGCTGCCACGCAAAGACCTGCTGCGCCGAAGAGTGCGCGGAGCTGGGGACGGAGAGGTATCTCTGTTTCTGCGGACGATACGCTAGCAGAGCATGATCGTGCGGCGAGGGATGCGCAGCCAATGACCGATCCCGCAGCTTTTGAGGATGAGGAAGACGATGAGGCTGCTGATGCGCCGTCTCCGCCCGCAAAGAATAGCTCTGATCATACTGAGATGCCAGCGTCATCGCACAATGCAGACGAGCATGCTACGGACTTGGGCAGTAGCGCGGAAGAGTGGCAACAGAATGCTGGCGATAGGTCGTAGCTATCGACGGTTCTATAAGTCGTTTGCCATTGATTTGTACCAGCTTCGGCTACATCCTCCGCACCCAGAGTGCCCTTGTCTGGGAAGTTGTGAGCTGACACGTCTCAAAGCGGAGGGCACGATCGCGGTAACACAACTGTCACAATCTCTAATTGCTTGAGCAGAAGCTTCAACATTGAGATGCCCGTTTCGCAGGAAGTCCATATTGCACACAGTTTAGTGACGTCCATACTGTCACACCCATCGCGATAGCCGTTAACACATGCACGGTTAATCTCATCAAAATCTGCAGCAGCAACTCAAGTCTCAACGCCATTCCAAATCGCTACTGGTACATCCGCAGTACGTCCATCACCCTTGTCAAAGGTCCATTACAAGTACACACTGCATTCCAAAAAGGCTTGAGCCTTTTGCCTTGCACTAGCAAATCTCCTCCGGGAAACTCGTCGTCTCCCTACTGGCATTGCCCGACAGGAAGCTCTGCACTCCATCCTCCGACAGGACACTCAGCTCCGTTGGGCTCGGGGTCAGCATCTCCGCAATGAAGCCATCGTGATCGCCGATAATGCCCCCTCCGATGTGGCCGAAGGTGAAATCAGGCAGCGCAGAGGGTTTGTGCAGGGTATGATCGGGGTACAGCATCGGCATCTGTGTTGGCGGCGTCTGAGGAGCTGATTGAGACATCGGATAGTCGTCATATATGGTGAAGTACGGGCTCGATGGTGGTGGTGGTGGTGGGGCGAACAGCGGCGCTGCTGTGATTCCCGGCTGCACATGTGGGAGAGCTTGCTGGAAGCGTGGCGGAGCCCACATCTCCGCGCCGCATAAGCGTGATGGTGGCCGTTCACACTGCTGGCGCTGGTGCTGGCGGTGCATGCTCGGAAAGGAACGGGCTTCGCGGAGAGCGCGCTGATGCCGCAACGTGTTGCGTGTAGCCTGACCGCCTTTGGCTCCGGAGATCTGACGTTTGATTGCTGGCGCACCACGTCGGATGCTCTTCAGCTTGGATGGTAAGCGGTAGCGCGTGGTTGAGATCACTCCGTTTTCAACGGCGTGCGATGTGAGACGCCAGAGGCTGCCTTTCTTTGAGCTGTGCAACGGATTTGGTGGGGCTTTTTCGAAGGCCTACTGAAGGTCAGGAAATGCTTGCATGCAGTGCCAGAGCATGGTAGAACCACTTACTGCGTTCATGGAAAGATTATGTCGGACGCTGTTCTGCCATCCCTTGTTGTCCGGGTCTCTGGCTTTCTGGCTGTGCTCCTTGACCCACGCATACAGGTCCTTAAGCGTCATGGTGTAGTCGGGCGCTTCCATAAGACACCAGTACAACAGCTTCGCATAGCACAGCTCGGCTTGTTCGACATTGTCGAGGTCGTCGCTGTTGGTGTGCTGGGTCCACATTGGAGCAGCTTCGGACGTGATCTGCTCCTCGCCTTGTGAGTCCGGCTCCGGCGAGAGTGTCGGATCGCAGCTTGCGGGCGAGAAGTGCACCATGTTGCTATAGTCTTCGAAGGGTGCACTTGTTGGGTTGTAGATTGCGTCTTGCCTTCCAAGAAGGACCTGCGGCGCATAGAAAGTTGAATTGAGGGCTGTCTGTGGTTCGTGACAAGGCATCATCGCACTTTCGTCAGGCCAAGCTGAAAGTTGCAGGCTCTGCGACGGGCAACCATTGAGCCACGTAGGCGCGGTGGCGTCAAACGGAACCTGCACCTGCACTTCTGGTGCCATAGTTACTCCGAAACCGAGCGGCGGTGAATGTGGGTTGGCTGCCGCCTGGTGGGCCAATGTGCTGCGCTGCAGACTGGAGTAAGACTGTTCGCCGTTGCTGACCTCGTCGACGGCCGGTCGCCAGCTGAATGACGCAGGACTGTACGACTGTCTATATTGTTGTTCACTGCGTTCTGCATTGCCCTGGTCAGGTCGGAAGCTCGTCACATGGAGATCGTTGGTCGCCCACGCTCCGATGCCGATATCCATCGCTTGTGGGGCGACACTTTTGTCAAGCTGAGCCAGATAGCCGTGAAACTCCTCAAAGTCGTCTGTAGTGGTGATATACAAGCTGCCAAAGAATTATGAGCCACGCAGACGGCCTCAGCTCCAATGGGCGGTCGTACAATGTAGGGCGAGCCGTCTGTAGCCTCCTGTCATGCGATCGACCTGTCGGAAGCGTTTCCCGGGACCTGTGCTGGCTTCTGACACCCGGTAAGCTCAGATGGATAGCGTATGTCAATGGAAAAGAGATCTCGGTCCACGTTGTTTGACAAGCAAGCAATTAGCAACGGTCATAGATGAACAGTTTGGAAGATGAGGGGAGGCAGAAAGGTTGAGTCTGGCCTCCCAATCATGCATCACGCACGTCTCTGCACCGCCGCTAGTGTGGCATTGTCAGCGGGTGTAGCGCACACAAATGACCTTACATGCCAGCACACCGGGCCGCGCGCCTCAGCCACGGCAAGGCAGGGCTGCAAGTCCTCAGCGAAAGAAACTGCGGGCTTGCAGGCAATCATGAGAGCTACTCACTTCCAAGAGTGATAATGGTATGTCGCAAACAGCAGGAGAGCAGTCGTGACACACTACTGTAAAGCGGTGGAAGATGCAGGCGCAGGGGTGTAGAGACGCACCTCACAAACCAATCCATCTGGCCGTTTGTTGTCCACGCGATTTTGCTCACCAGCACTGGCGGTAACAACTGCCAAACGGGCCCACTGATAGATGAGCCGCAATAGGCAGGTACCTGGTAGGACCGAGAGAATGTAGGGATTCTCCCTTAACGTAGCCTGCTTCATGGGGTAACACAGTGAAAAACCGATTGTAGGTAGCTATCATGCAGGCTTCCGCTCGGCATCTTGTAAGCCTAGGGTGTAAGGATGGGACATAGGCTCATCACAGCGGCCGGGCTCTCTGCTTTTTGGCGTCCGGATGAACGAAGGCACGCTTCAGTACAGCTACCAGTATTGATATGTTCTTCCATGACGGAGCAGTATCGTGCGCTTGAGGCTTGCTCATGCTATGCTTCGCTTGCTTGTGTTAGGAAACAAGCCAGTAGGTCAAGCAATTCCAATCGCTCAATGGGCCGGGCTTGTGGACTGCTTAACGGATTGCCATCGCTGAACAAGATGTGAAGTGTCCTGCACTGATCACACAGGACTGCAGTAACGCCGGCCGTGCGTAAACCAGCTGGGACCATGGCATCATGCCGCACGCAGCATGCCGCATGCGGCATGCGGCTACCCATCGTCCAAGCATTCGTGCCGAAAGGCGCATCTTCAATGTTCCGCGTTATACTGCTCAAGCACCGACGTTTTAGAAGGGACGGTACGTTCCGCATTCGTACAAACAAGGTAGCATCCAAGGTTAGAAGGACACAGCAGCTGTCACCGAGGCAGTGCAGATATTTGACAATAGACACTCGCTGCACGTCTCAACTGCAATTGCGCCAGATACTCTCGTAATGCATGACTTGCTGACGCAGTGCTTCCACTCAAAGGTACCGACCTTATGTACATCTCATACATATTGAATAGCCTCGGGTCCGCTCTTGTTGGGGAAGAGCGTGGCGAACCGTTTGAGATTTGCGCAATATGGGGACGTCGAGTTGCACAAGCGCCAGCAAAGCCGAGGTTGTCCTGCATTAGGTACGCAAGCATCAGTAGCACAAGCGTTCAGTAGGCCTCGGTCTACTGACGTTCGTGCAAGAGCCTCCGGCAAAGCAGACAGGTCGGAGCATCAGCGTCCAAGAGAGAGCGTCGTGAGAGTGGCAGTCGTAGTGTTCCAGGCTGAGGCAGCAGAGACTCCCGGCGCACACGGTACCTCTTCCCCCAACGGTGTAGTCCAGCTGAGTGTAGCATCTACTTTCGATAATATATCTATCACAACGGTCAACATAGACGCACAAGTTGCGGGGAGCAGGTGTCAACGAACCTTCTTGAACTGGAAGTGTAACTGCAATATGCCCTGTTTCGCATCAGTAATGGTGGCACGAGCATTTATAGGAGACAGCTCACCTTGTCGAAGCTGCTTCTGAAGCCTCTGTCTCTCTTCGCCGAGTAGTCCCATTCCTTGTCGACTATGCGAAACGCTATGTCTTCATAAGGCTGTCCAGCAATGAACCGGATGACGCAGGTGTCGTCTTCTCCGGCAGGCGCCGTCATCTCACCTCGCCTTCTGCCGCCCTCACGCTGAATCTTGTACGTTGGAGCGCGCGTCTTGTCAGCAAGATCTGGATACAAGATGTTGAAGCGGTAGCCTTGGACAACTTTAGGAGGTGGGTTGTCCGCATCGTAGTGGGTCTGGTTGTACTTGTTCCACTCGTAGCCGGTCACTACGCGGGCGAAGTACCTCGGCTTGCGTGGGCGGACGTTCGAAGGCCAGAGGTGGATGTTCTTGGTCTCGACAGGCTCTTCGGTGGTGAGAAGCTCTTCGTTATCCATGAGTCCGCGGGAAAGGTCTCGGTCGAAGGCCGCTTGACTGCTAGACGGGCCCATCACTTGCAGCGAGCCCTCAGTAGTGGTGCGCTGACGCTTGAGAGCTGGCTCGCCGTCATCGCTTGCACTCCCAAGGCGTTTGCGGCCGGGGATAACACCCTGACGCCTCGCTCTCTCCTTTTCGTCTGACAAACGCTTCGCAAATAATCCGTCATAACCATCCTTGACGTTCTCGCTATCAGAACGCAAGCGCTTCGCCGGAGGCAGGTCAAGCGTTCCGTCTTCTGAATTTGCCACTCTTGACTTACTCTTTGCTGGCTTAGCTTGCGGATCGTGCAAACCATGATCAACTTTGCCCATTCCTGCGTCAGAAACCGCGGCCTGCGGGTTTCGCAAACTCTCAAGCCTCGATTCAATGACTCGATCTGTCAGCTTCCGCATTTTAGCTTTCGCCTTGTATGTTAGCAAGCTTCGCAGAAGATGCTCCCAATAGTCGGTGTCGATAGGCTCGTTGCTTGCTAGCTTCGCCTCCACCTGCGTTTCCAGCTTCTCCAGGTCCGCAAGAGTCTTCGGGCCTAGAAGCTTATCCAGATCACCAGCAATAGAGCTAACGCCCCTGGCAGATCGGTTTGATAAGGCACGCTGCGTCCTGCGATCGTTGCAGATTGCTTTCATGGTCTATTTCGCCTGTCGAGGACAGGCTGAGTTAGCACGGCTCCTAGCCACAAGAGATAGGGTGTTCTTACAGTCCAATAGTCAAGGTTGCTGCGACTTCTCTCCAAAGCTACATATGTCTCGATACCCTTTTCGAGCTCGATGAGCTCTTTCTCGTGCAAAGCGTCGAACATGGTCTCCGGTAATTTGAGATCAATATCATCGACGTCAACTTCGTCGTCCAAAAGGTTGCGCTCCGGATCCACGACCGCAAGCATGACAGCAAGCCAGTCAATAGGTGCTGCTCTGCCTCCCTTGACCCTTAGCGCAGCCTTCTTCTTCGCTTGCTGTAGCACGAAGCGGTCCTCGTCCGCGACCCACGCTGCCTCTTGCGCATCGGATGCTGGCCGCTTGCTCGGAATGCTTGACTTCGACATGGCGGGCCGATCAGCCGCTGCCGGTGTCCTGCTGTGCTACCACCTGTACAAGTGATTGAGTAAGGTTCTTGAGACCGAGCATGCCAAACAGACAATGCTGCTGGTAAACCCTGACGTAAGTGAAGAGCGCAAACACATGTGGTGAAGCTCGAGTCAGGATGAAGTATGCTTGTTTGATGCCTTAGGCAACTACTCACTGCGCCTACGCCGAACATGTCGACCACATCTTGAGGCGCAACCTTAGGGCGGAACTGGTCGGAGCAGGATGTCAAGGACATGGCGCGTCCTGAAGACCGAGAGCGCACCACAGTCCCGACTCCTTGTCAAGGCCGCACTTGAAGCTTCGGGCTATGCCATCCATCTGACAGATCTGAGCAGAGTATGGGGCGAGACCTTGACCAAGCGTGAGATAGTGCGGCGAGCGATCAAAGAAGACTGCAGTATCGATCCAAGCGAAGGTGATGACCAGTATAAGATCCTTCTTGAGAAGATCGATCAGGCTTTGAGTGAGCGAGACGCTGGCACATGTAGTGTGAAACCAGGTACTGCAGAAAACGACAGCGTTTTACTGACACTCTTCGCTCCACTGCCAGCTCCATTACACGAGTTCAATTGGGCGGTTGACCTGAAGCTCCTACCGGTAGAGCACGTAGCATCTGAGCTTGTAACGCCACTGCTCCAACATGCCTGGACTTTGCGTGGTCAGATCCAACAGTTGATTCACGCGCTTGGAGACAAGGATCGCATCATTTCGAAGATCACAGATAGACTGGAGACTTCCGGGAACGATCTTACCACGGTGTTCCCGGGAGTATCCAACATTAAACTCTCACGCAAGAAGTCACAACGAGAGCAGTTGGCACGACATGTCAAAGGCTTGGCAGACTTTGATGAGGCTGGGTGGCAGGACCATCAGCCAGCCAACAGCAGTCACGAAAGGCTTGACGACCAAGCGTTGAACAATGTTCTTGCGGGACTATCTGCTACCGTTTCAGACGAGCTGGGAGACAGTAATGGTGCCGATTGGTGGCGGAGAGCGGACGAGAATCAGCCAAAGTCACCAAGACCAGCTCAGGGTGAGGTGAACTACCCGCACGATGGTGGCGTAAACGCCTCAGCGTTAGGTGGTGTCCGGTCCGCTAGTGGCAATCTGGATGTACAGGAAGACCAAGATGACAGCGATTTTCAGAGGCAATCAACTCCACCGTCTGTGAAGCATGAAGGCCACGCGGATGCTATGGCTGCAAGTGCGACATCCAGCACGAAGAAGCCGCCAATCAACGTCGGCCCAGACGACGAGAGCACAGAAGATGAGGATGATCTTGATGCGCCAAGCAACAGAGCCACGCGTTCTCAGCACGGCGGGTTCTCGCATCACCCGTCTCAATCCAGCGGCAACAACAATGCCGCCGCCGCACTGCTTCACCGCGACCATACAAGCAGCGAACGTTCACCGCAGCCCACACCGTCCAAGCAGGGCAACCCAGACCACCGTGACACGCCCAGTAGCAAACCCAAGCCTAAGCTCGGTACCATTGGCGGCAGAGGCAAACCCTCCGTCACTCCGGAGCCTAATGCTACAGAACAAGCAGCCGTTGCATCTCCATCCCGACCGCGCAGTAAGCTCGGCACAATTGGCGGCAAGAATAAGGCTACGAGCTCCGCAGCCGCGACGCCAGCACCCGACATCCCAGCGCAGCAGTCGCCGCCCGCAAAGAGCCATAAGCTCGGTATAATCGGCGGAAAGAAGGCCAACAGTGACAGCGCTGGCTCTCGACATGACTCCCAACAACACTCGGATAGGGACGGACAGCCGTCTCCACCAAGGCAGCCGCGGGCAAGCGAGCGACGAGGGACCAAGGAGCCTACGCCTCCGCGCGAAACGTCGCAGGAACGGGCCGATAGGAAGCGAGCGGAGCTCAAGCGGCAGATAGATGAAAGAGCGAAGGCGCCGGTAAAGAAGAAGCGGAAATTTTAGAAGTACTTGCCGATATCCCAAAACTATTTTCTTGCCGTTTCAGCAAATCATCGCTCTCTTAGCAGCTAATGGTCCTTAATGAGGCTGGGAAAAGCCCGCGCAGTGAAGCAATGGTAGGACTTGGTACAGTCATCCCCGTCGCATTTTCACCGTCGTAGTATTATGCCACCGTTCTCATGGTAGCGCATTCGCTGTCGCTGATGGTGGGATTGTCCTGCAGCCTCCGAGCGACCGGGTAGCGAGTGCAGCGATCCCCAAACCGATTTCACGAGCCTCATAATGCCATATCGCTTTGGTAACAGCATGTTGTCCCTCCATGCTCCGGGGATCCTACGGCAAAACCAAAATTATAGGGTGTGCTTGCAGAAATCTCAATACCATGGCTATCTACTCATCAACAACTTATCGCTCTCACACCAGCCTATCGTGGCTCAACCCTCTTGAGAAGGTATCGTGCAAGCACACAGGCACCCCTCCGTTGGGCACCCCTCCGTTGGGTACCCCTCCCCGTTCCCCAGCCACTCCCCCAAACACGCCATGTGCGCCACATGGCCGCATTCTAAGCATGCAGTCAACAGGGAGGCGCCAAACGGACTTTCCTTCATCCCACAGTACGGGCAGTCAATGCCCGCCTTCCCGCCGCCATTGGCACCCCGAAACGCCACTGTATTGTCCTTGAGTGCGTCTTCGTAGACGGCCGGGTACGTGGGATAGGCCAGCTTCCGTAAGTGAGCAGCTTCCAGAAAGAGTTGGTTGGCCATAAGCTGTTCATGGTATGTACTCAAGATAGCTTCGATCTGCAGCGGCTGCAGACCGGCCAAGATGGTGTGCTGGAGCTTGGCCATTATGCCGGCGGCCTCGTCCGGCGGGAAGCCTATTGAGATATAGGTCTCCGCATAGTGGAGAGCGGTAGTACCGATCTCATCGTCACTGAGAGGCTTTGAAGGTGGTAGGAGAGGCACCAGCATGTTGAGAAGGTGGGTGGCAAATTGGGAATTACCGTGGTCGCAGTAGTGCTTCAACATCTCGTGGAGCATTACGACAAGACGGAACGGTTTTGATTCTTCGAGGTCCTCCGAACAGCCATCTGTGAGAGCGACAGGTAGGTCATCACTGGGATCGGGATTGAGGGATGCTGCCCTGGGGACCGGTGCTGTTTCTTCGGTCTTGCCAGCATTCTCAATCTTATTGATATCTTCAAATGGAGCCGTGACATCCGATGGCTCATTCAAGATGACCGTCTGTCGGCTTGGGCGCTCTGCGACCATTCTTAGCGGCTCATTACTGGCAACAGACGCAGGCATTGACGGGCCCCTGGATTCTGTCGAGCCGATGATGAACGGAAAGCTTTCGTCACTGTCGTGCTTTACCAGCTTAGGCGGCACCTTCACGCCATGACTGTTGACTGGGTCAAGGCTAAACGGCTCCTTCGGGTGAATGCTCCATCTCCTTACGAGGTCAGCGCTGTCTACGCCACCGCCTTGCTGTTCGAGGCTTGTCAGGTTGCCAACAGTAAGCCGTTTGTCGGCACTTGATGGCGCAAGAGAGGGAGGCAGAGCGATCTGCTCGCCTTTATCCGGATCAGGAAGCGTAGCTAGCTCTCGCGATGCGGCCATGACCGTGCTGGTAATGGGCCTGACAAGTGGCGTGGGTAAATCGGAGGTACTATCGTGAAGCGCAAGCTGCTGCTGTAATAGAGACGTAATCGGCCTGAGCGATGCTGGTGAAGGCATTGCGGACCTGTTGTTCTCCGCCCACAACCTCATCGTGAGTGCTCTTAGGTCAAATCGGGGCGTCTGCATAGTTGCTGATTTCGGATTTGCTAGCTTCTCGAGCTGGTGCTTCGCTCTTGCCTTGAGGTGGCAGGATGTCGCGAAATGAATAATGCGCCATGTTTGAGCGAGCTTGTACAACCCAGCAGTATCCGCTGCGTCCGCATTATGATTGAAGGCTTCCTCTACGACACCCAGAAAGCGGTCATCGATTGTCGCTGTCAGCTCGGTGGTGTGGACGTAGTGTTTTGCAAGGTATTTTAACACCTCTGGCTCGATATGATGTGGTAAGAACCCACGCACTCCGCACTGCTGAGGACTGTGGAAGTTTCGTTGACGCAGGATCTCGTCGAGGTTGAGGGTAGGGAAAGCGACAAGCTGGCCGTCGGCACTGATACTGCCCATTTTTGAGCCGCTGTTAGCTCGGCTGTGATGTCTCGACGGCGTGAAGCTCAAGAACGAGTGGTCAAGGCTGTCGTCCTGCCAACTTCTGCTGATGTGCTTGCTTTCAAGGCTAGCGCTCAGATCGATGTTTGTGGGTTGTGAGCCCTTTATTGACGCTTGAGGAAGCTCAGGCAACCGGCGCTGACTTCTTTTCGCAACAACCAAGTTTACTTCACCCGATACAGATACTGCGATGCTCTGGAGATTGCGCTTGTCAATTACCTTCGGAGCATGCTGGATGTCACTCTGCAAAAAGATGCCCTCGCGTCCGACGGTCCATAAGAGATCCTGCGAATGCCACAACAGGTCCGATGGCGCGGACAAGTACGGCGCCATTTCCCGGAACGGCATTGCAGGCCGTCGAAAGTCCCACAAGTGGACAATCGGATGCTCACGGTCGTATGCAGTGACCAGCTGCGTGCACTGTTTGGCTCGTTTGTGTTCCGGCATTGAAGACTCGCATGACGGACGCCAACGCGCATTAAGGATTGGATACGGCGTCTGTATCTCCCACGCAGCCTTCCCTCTCCGGGCGCCAGACACGTCCCAAACACGCACGATCTTGTCAGTACTAGCGCTGGCAATATGCTTCCCATCCGGATGCCAGTCAATGATGTTGCAAGCAAGGGTATGAGCCGGGATCTTCACTTTAGCAGTCTTCAGGTGGCGCATGTCCCAACACTGCACGAAGCCACTATCAGTCCCGAATCCAAAGTCCACGCCGTCAGTGGGAGACCACTTCACGTCTCGAACGCCATCGCTCTGGCCGGAGTATTTACGCTTCGATTGCAGGGTACTAGCCTGCTTGTGGACGTCGCGCAGGTCCCATAAGCGAACGGTACCATCCTGGGAGCCAGAAAGGAGCAGATTGCCCCTATGTGGATTGAAAGTCACCTTATGTACTTGCCGGTCGTGCTCGTGTAGCTGAGCTGCAGGGACGCCAGCATGTCCGAGGTCGTATAGTACGATCTTCCCACTAGAGGTCGCGGCTGCCACATAGTCACCACAATCGCCCTTCGCCCAGGCCACATCAGCAATATCAATGGACTGTACTTGACGCGGCTGACCAAGTGCATCGGTCGGACGGCTGCGAATAGCGGTCCGGAGATTGAGGTCTTCGACACAGGTCCCGTCCTCGACTTTGACGGTCTTGAAGATGTCTTTGCCACCAAGCAAGGCATGCGTACCCGGCTCGTTGATCGCTACGGTGTTGATCTCGAGGCCAGTCTTGTGGCTTGCGCTGGCATTCTGTGTGGCCCCAAGGCTAGCGTATCGCCCGCCGACTGAGGCAAGTCGTGCTTGCTCTGGCGCATGCTGAACACTCGACGATTTTGATGGATAGCCTACGAGTCTGTACGCGGTATCTCTCGCCAGCTGTAGTGGGCGTGGAGCCGGTAGAGGCGGCGCACGCGGTATAGGGGCGGGCGCATAATGCGGGTTCACGGAGGCTCGTCTGCCAGAATCGTCACCCATGCCCGGGTTCCAAGCTCCATCGCCGACGCCGCCGGGAAATCGCTCATACTATGAGACGCGCCTAGCCATGGTCGCAGATGGAAACTTCAGTATTGCTCTCATACAGGCTGTTTGCGAACGAAAGCCGACGGCCACATCAGAGGTCAGCACGCACGGACCAGCATTGTCAAGCGTAGCTTTTCCATGACAGTGAGCTCTCTTTTACTACAACTCTCTCAAGACCCGAGCATACCCGCACCCGAGTTTCACCAGGCTCTGCGCTGGGATAACCATAACCGAAAGGATGCTCAAAGGCCGCTACCACAAGTTTGAGCTCCCAGCGACCGGACCGGACATGATACATCCGCAGCCGCTACCAGTGCGCTCTAAACCGGCGCATAAGAGCGTGCCTACCGACCGAGTCGCCAAGTAGGATGGGAAAACCTCCACTCGTCTCTTGCACAGTGCCCAAAGCATTGCCTCAGCTTCAGGTGACAGGCGCCTTGAAGTGCCTATGCCTAGCCGCTGCACCGGCACTTTCCGACCCAGTGATTGGCTGAGTAGAATCGCTGTGGTAGAATCATGAAACGGAGTCAAGTGCGCACAAAGGTCCATGCCAACTTGGAAGACATGCTGGACTATACTTAGATGTGAGTCGCTGAGGCTGCAAAGGTGAGCGAAGAGTATAAGGACAGAGTACAAGATTTGCCTCGATCTTCTGTCAATCATAAAATCATCCTACGAAGTCACGATCTCTGCTTCTTCTTATTTGGCGTACCTTCGGCATTTGCTTCCTGTCTTTTTCTGATCTCACTACCACGCGCAAACAGATCTTCTGTCCTCTGGCAGGCCTTTCAACCCGATAGACGGACAGTCTCCTACTTTCCCTCCGCTTCAAACATTATTCCAACATGCCGATCCCAGACTATGGCGCAGCGCCTTTAGCAAAGACCTTCCTGCTTGCGCGTGGCCTTTCGCTCGTCGCAATGATCTGCATCGTCGGTCTCACAGCGAATTTCGTCTCGGAGATCGTGAGCTCAAACGTTGACCCGCCACGGGAAATTGTCGGCACTCTCACGACCGTACGTCGGGCCTCCTCAATATGAAACTCATCATGTTACTGACTTATCTTTCAGACGTCTTTGGCCGGATTCTACTGCCTTATCAGCATTCCATACTTCTACGCTCGCGCCAACCTCGGCCTGCTCATTATGACCGCGGCGGACAGTGCACTCCTCCTCGCTTTCGTGGTCGTCTCCGTGGTACTGGGTAGGCCGCTCAGCTTCCTCAACTGCATGGTCATTGCCAACGCAAGCGCTGCTGCAAACGCCAAGTCCGCTTCCACTTTCGCGCAGAGCATCGCCTCCAACCTTGGCAAAAGCGGCAGCCTCCTTGGCCTAATAGATTGGGCGGGAAGTACTAGGATTAATTGCTTTGAGACGAAGGCTATCTGGGGTCTATCAATTGCGCTATGCATTTTGTTTACTTGCAGCACCTTGATCCTACCAACACTCTGGCTGAAGGCGAAGCGGGCGGGAGGCTCTGCACCGAAGTCGATGGCATAGATCGCGCTGATAGTGCTCACAAACGCAGCCGCAGGAACGGCAGCGAGTACTGCGGCGGTGCCGGCGGTGACAGTGGTGGGAAAATCTTGCCAGCGTTGTTTTGTTTGCATTGCGCCAATGTTGGAACTGGTAGCTCGAATTCTCTGACACTCTAGACTTTACTCGTAATCCATGACCGCTTTCATGACGAGCAATAAAGAGTGATACACAAGCCTATCGCGGCCTCATGCACGACCAGCTGGAGGAGTAAGACGCTCGTGCCTTCCGTCTTGAGACGGACCGGCTTCGGAACAGCCCGCTTCCTCCTTCATTGCGCACCTGCACGTTCGCCCCGTTGACACCTACCGTTATGGCCAAGCTGTGATGCAGAAGGATTCGCTGACAGCAGTAGCGGTCCTGACTTAACCATTGCAACCTAAGCAGCAAGAGTAATATGCTCTTCCCGCTGTGTGGCGCCACGCTGTGTAGACCACAGCAGGCGCAAGCAACTGGTAGCAAGGCAAGCAGCGCTCTCCTGTACCGACAGCTTCGACTCTTCTTCCTCGTAGACACTGGATAAAGTGTCATCATCGCCCGCGTAAACATTGCTTGGCCCAGCATCAGTCACTGCGGAGCCAACAGCATTACTTGAGACTACTAATCTTTTTTCATCTGTAGCACTGCGGGACCAACGTAACGCAAGCTTTCATCAAGAAACCAAAGGCGGGGGCGTCATGGCTGCAATGAAGCCATTTGACACACTTCGCAACTGGATGACTGGTAGGCCACAGGAGCCGACTGGCGATGATCAAGTGAGCTACACTGTGCTGCTAATCACCACCCTCACGTGCTGACCACGACAGCTGCCGAATATCGGGATTGCCAGCCCAGTGGGACACCCTCGTCGACGTAGAATCACCGGCATTCGTGAGCACACTGACGATAGCTCGGACTTGCCAAGCAGGTGAGTAGGTGCTTAATTCGGTTGTCATTGGATCTACGTGCTTACTGGCATGAGAAGCCGTGAAGTACTCCAGCATCTAGCCTTCAGTAAGGATAACGGCGGAGTCCAACACCTTGGTGAAGACGCTCGCAGATATACCTCGTATGCCACGACTCTTGGCAGTGACGATCACCCACCCGGCCACCGAGATACATACGAGAGCATTGAAGCGGAGCTTGATGCTCTGAAGCTAGAAGTTCTCCAGCTCAAGACAGAGCGTGATCACAGTGGCCATTCTACGGCAGGCCAGCAAGTTGATTCTGAGAACATGCTGCCCGCCGTCCTTCTCGACACAGCCGTCACTGTCAATGCCGTGCATTCTGCCACCGGCAAGGCTTCACTTGCGTCAGCAGCTGATAGGGAGGGCTCAGTCATTGTGTCTTCACTTGAAGAGAGTGTGCCTCAACGAGCTGTCATCGGGCCTGGAAGCTCTTCCTCGTCACCCACAGCGAAGTCACTCAAGTCGCCACCGCGCTTTGCTCAACCCACGGAGTCGTACAGTCGGCGTACCGGCGAGACCCGGCGCAAGGACTCCGTCGTCGGCTATTCGAGTCCGGAGGCACTGTCATCGCCAATGAAGGCGCTGATAAGTGGCAAGCCCGACATCGCATCCAGCAAGCGTGCTGCTCAACGTGAAGTGACCAAGCGTACACGGTTGCCTATCGACTGGCAGGGAGAGCAGCCAATCAAAAGTGGCAAGGCGAGTGCCGGTGATGCCGCAGAATTCAAGTATAAGGAGGAGCTGAAGGGAGACCAGGCACTACGCAAGAAGAAAAGCTCATACACGTCGCCGACAGAAGCGGCCACTCAACGGATCTTTGCCACTCTGAATGACGGAGGCACTCGTCGCAGCACAGGTTTTCAGTCCGGCAAGACGAAAGCAAACATCCCGGTCACGAGCAGTGCGGTGCTACAGTTGTCCAAGACGTCCACGACCACTCCGACTGACCGAATTGCGAACAGAGCCGTCAACAGAGAGGGTCCAGCAATACCACGGTTGACTAAGAAGTCCGCATACGGTCATCGAGAAGGTCCAGCTTCGAGGGTAATGAGTCCTGGGCTGGCCGTGGGCGCTACTAACGTGGCTTTTGGAGAGCCGTCACCGCATGGCAGCTCGAGCAGATTGCCACGCGCTCGTGTCGACACCACGAGAACGACCCTGATGCGTCATGGAGCAGCAGATGCTGCCAGCATGACAATACCCCCGATCGGTCAATTACGTCGCACATCGCGTGCTGATATCATGCAGCCGATCTACGAGAAGCTGGAGAGGCTCGGTCTGGCTCGCAACTGCCCAGATGCCAGCAACCTGTCTGAAAGTGCTGTCCAGGCTCGGGAAGCCTCTGCTCAGGAGGAAGAGGCTCGCAAGCTATCAGCTGCACTCGAAAACGTCACACGTCTTGCTCGGCAGGGTATCGCAGGTAAGCAGGTGATCGTGCCTTCCCGCATGCAGGTTCCGGAGCGCGAATTCAGCGCTACGTCTTCGAAGCTGGAGCTGGACCCGGGTCCTACCAAGTCTGGTGCTGCTCCCGGCCCGTTGGGTGTGGAGCAGGCGGCTTCCAGCGATCCGTTTCAGCGCTCCACATCACTCACATTGCAGCCGCAAAGCGTCTCTAAAATCCAGATGGCTGCAATCACCGAGACTGCACGCGAGACGTCATCGGCAGCGTCGTCTCTCCGTGCAACAGCGAAGCCGTTTACTCCCATATGGACTCCCGAAACGCCCGCTCAGGAGTTCGGTCTGCTATCCTGGCAAGGATCACTTGGAGAGTACACACCCGAGGAGTGGTCTGCGCTGCCCAAGGACGTCCGGAACCACATCGAAGGCCTGCGGAAGTTCAAAGCACAGAACACAGTCTCGCCGAGTTGCAATCTGTCGCCGTCGAAGAGAGCTGAGCAGCGGTTCTGGGGTAGAGTCATGGGTACCGCTGGGCTTAAAGGTTATACAACAGCTTCGACCATTGGTCTGCAGCAGCATGGCTTAGCCACGCCGCTCATGTCTGCGAACGGAGTACAGCCGGGCCAGAAGCTGGTGCCACAGCTGTCTTCAGGTCAGGGAAACGCACAGCGGGTGCTCGAAGACCTTGACGGCCAGAAGAAACCAGTGAACTTCGGCGAGCGTGCGCCTCTGTCACCCGCCCTTACCAACCTCTTCACCGAGCCATCACCAATCATCTCTCCAGCATCCAACGATACCTCGCCACCAGTCACTCCGCAAGACCACCTCGCATGGACAATTGGCCCCGGCTACGCTGGGCATCGACGTGCTTATGGCTGGCAAGGTGGCGACGGGAAGGAGATCAGCTTTTCCGGCTATGGTCCGCAGGCGGAGGCCAACCCTTACAGTCCGGTCAACATGCTGTATTACCCCTGTGGCGCCGTCCATCGCAGCACTCAGCAAGGGAGGTACAAAGCAGACGCCTCACTACCTGCCAAAGTGTGGCCAAGGTCGATGAAGCAGTGGGCAGAATATGCACAGCTCACGAAGGTGCCGTGTAGTCAAGTCAACGTCCTTGCGGGTCTTGACAACGATCCACTTGCGACATAGCACCGTCAAGTCTGCGCACTGACTGCCTCGGGAGCAGCTCCGCGGCCGAAGTCATGCTGCTGGATGCTTGTTGGATGACACAGCATGTGGTTGCTGGAATGAGGCGTAGTTCGAGTAAGGGAGAGGATGAGGTTCCAACTGTTGTCGTCGTTGAAGGCTCGCTAATGCCGCTATCGCGTACTCATGCTATATCTCTGGATAGCACGGCCTGACCGTCATGAACGCCTGCCACCGGGTTTGCGGACGCTGCTCTTGTTTAGCAAGATTCCTTTTCATAGCATTGGCTGTAGTTTTCCATCGCATTGAGCTTAATTCGGTAATTCTCAGGGCAATCTTCAACTCTACATCTTGCGGAAAACATTGCCACTTGCACTCCGTCTGTCCTTTCCCCTCCCGACGTCCTTCCTCCTATCACTAGTTCTTTCATTCCCTCCATCCGTCGGCCGTCTCCCCTTTTGTGGCTGGCTGGGCGCGAAAGTAACTTCCTTCTCCCCAACTACGCCACCCTTTCCGCTCTGTGCGGCGCCATTCGAGCGCTCCCTTAATGGTAGCGATGAAGCCATTTCACCAAAACTTCGGTCCGAAGGACGCTGGATTTTTCGAGCGCTTGGGTTCGACGACGAAACGCGCATCTGCGGTTGCTGTCGCTTGAATTTATTCGCCTTCCCACTGCCACCTCGTTGGTACGAAGAACTGCTGATTCTCCCGTGTGTATCTTGAGCGTCCGTTTCTCGCCGAGGCTTCTGTCGTGCGCGTAGTGCTACGGCCTCGGCTTCGGCATCGCTGTCCGCACTTTCCTCGTCGTCCTCGTTTTGATCGTCGGAGCCTCTTCTCTCCTGCAGCTCATCTTCTTCGACGGCGGTAAGACCACGCTTCTTCGGCATGGCATCCGGCACAGTCGAGGGATTATGCATCGCGAACTCCCGGCTCTCTTCATCAATCTGGAACTCCTCGTCTTCGAACATGCGACTGAAGCGAGGATCATCCAGCAACCTCTCCGGCTTCTTAGCAAGTACCGACTCTGTACTCTCGGCCGCTTCAGTATCTGCCGTTTTGGCTGGACGCTCATCACCACCTTGCTTCAACACCCGTTGCGCCTTTCGCCTCTCGTTGGCCTCCTCTCTCGCCGCCAGCTTCTCCGCATACTTCCGGTTAACCTTGACAGCCACCTTCTTATTCCCTCTGATCCTACTTTCACGCTCCTTGTCAATGCGCGCCTGAATGCTCTTCTGCCTCTGTTCTTGAGCCATGTCAGGATTGGCAAGCAGTCTTGCCTGCTCCCACAGCTTCTGCGCGACAAAGTAGCCATGCATATACGGCCTCAACAGGTTCGTCTGGCCGATCAAATGGTCGAGAGAGAGATCTCTAAGCTGGCTCATATCGAGGAATTTGTAGTTATCGTACACTTCACCAGCACCGGTGCGAGCTGCACTGAATGCATGAGGATCTTCAGCGTCCTCGGCCATCTCCTCGACAAGGTTGTCCAGAAAAGCGCACCATTTCGGCGCCGGGCCAAGCTGAGGTATGAAGAATGCATGTTGCTGCCTGCCTTCGTTGGCTGTGAGAAACATGCCGCTGTCGGGTATCCACTCGACGCAATTAAGATCCACTGCAGGCTCCATTGATGTCCAATGGTCGCCGGTGTCCGAGTTCCAGAGTTTGATTGCGCGCTTGTCTGCGCTTAATATAAGGTTCTCTGCGGCAGCTGCAGAGGAAGATGGGCGTGTTGAAGAGGTAAGGTACTTGAGCGTTTGAATCGGATAGTCGTAGCCTTGGTCCTTCCGCATTAGAGGTACCGGCGAGCGAAGGTCATACGTGTGCACTATGCCGTTACTGCTGCCAGTGGCAAAGTTGAGACCAGAAGGATGGAATTCAACTGCCGTAATGCTGGTTCTTATTTCGTCGTCCGAAGCAAAGGCTGATGACGGGAGACCTAATGCGCTGATGCGGTTTCGTAGACGCGGGTCCCAGAATTCTACCGTGCCGAGCGAGGTGCCGAAGGCGAGAAGGCCGTGAGAACCCTCGGCAACAGCGGCACAGTTCACAGCACCGGCTTGGATCCCACCCTGTAGCGCACCACCTCCGAGTGACTCAAGGTCGTCGCCACCAACGTCCACTTCATAACTTCTCATGAAGCGACCGATCTCGAGGTTGAGCCTGTGCACCTCGCCGTTTCCTTCTGCATTGACACCGACTGTGGGTATTAGAGCTTCGGCAGTGGACCTGTTGTACTTCAGGTCGCGTCCATAGCGAGGGAGCCGTGTCCGGTAGTGCACGCCGCCAGCGGTGTGGAATTCCAGGGATCGATCTGTTTGTAGATGCAGTGATTTAGAGTAGTCACTTGATAGTAGCACGAACGTTTGATTGAGAGAATCAGTATGTCTCGCGTATGACAAAGACAGATGTGGTAAGTAATGTGTATGTATTTGCGGTTTGTACGTTCCTATATAAGTAACCTGTCAGCGATTAGTCGACTGACTGCCCTGGAGCGTGTAGATAAAGTTCTCACCTGTACTCATAACCCAGTCGCCATCCTCACTGACACGCACGCAGGAGCTGGCTTCTTCGAACTCAAAGTCCTGTAACAGTTCGATGCGACTGGCATACTCCGGGTCCTTTTTCAGACTGCGCTTCCTCTTCCGCGCCAACCACTCTGGTAATGGCCGTGCAGTCGAAGCACCTGCGATGGTATAAACAGGTACCGTGGACTGATTTGACAGCTTCATATTGACCTGCGCAAAGGGAATCTTCCCTTGGAGGGTCTAAATCGAAGTCTGAACTTCATCTTTTTACGAAAGCCACGCCACAAATTTAAAGCGGAGCAACTGATGTTGCGCAGGCGGCTCGAACGGCCCGCTCTCCGGCGGCACCTCCGCCGCCCACGTTAACCGGGTCTCAGCTTCCTTCTGAGATGACTTCAAGGCAAGCCGGAGCATCAGACCACAAGGCAGTGAGCACCACAAAACAACGATATCTGACTAGGAAGGCACACCAAGTACACTCTCCGCCAATGTACCAGTCATCCATCACATCTTCTTGGACAAGTCGACGATACCATCACCGCAAGGTTCCATGACCGGTAGAGAGTGTAGCTTGCGAGCATGGACTTCTTTAAGAGCTGCAAAACAAATGTGCAGCGGATTGACGAGCTTTGGAAAACGACTTTCACCAAGTATAACTGGGCAGGCGAACAGCAGAACCTGGAGGAGCTTGTCCTCGAGCTACATGAGCAGGGTGTCCTTTGTGCCGCAGTGTCTCTTGAACTCTGGCTTTTCGGGTTACCGGGAGCGCAGCGCACCAATAGTGCCAGGAATGAGGGACTGCAATTTCACGAGTTCGGCACGCTTGAGGACTCGCCTGGGCTTTGCGCTGCAGACGGCAGCAGTGTGAGAGGCGTGCTGTTGGCCGCGATTGAAGTTGCGATTGCGGCAAGGCTCGCTCGCACTCAACTCACGCTGCGGGTCGGACCCTGGACATGGCTGTTAAGGCACAGGTCCGACGCGGAGTTTGCTGAAGGGTGCTGTCTGGTGTTGCGCATAGAGACAAGGCTTACTGATCTCGGATCGCTTTACATCACCACGACCACGCGGCCCACAAGGCTTGCGACGCTTAGTGGTCGGGATCCAGTCAATGCTGCGCTGCTTATTGCTCCTGGTGGACAGATTGTAAGCCTTACCTCGGCAGCGAGCGCGAGCGCGACGCTCCTAGACGGTGCACGGTGGCACGAAATTGTCACGGCCGGTTTGCGAAGAGACGGCCTCTCTGTCGCTTCTGGCGAGCGTTGGGTTCGAGTGCAAACTGCACCTTTGGAGGATACATTTACGTGGCCGGAGTCTCTGTGTTTCGTGATGCTGAACTCACCCAGCCAGGCTCCGGAACTGACACCCCACGACTGGCGACACTATTTCGACCGTTTCGAGGAAGACGATGGTTTCAAGCATCCACTCGCCGTTGCGGAAGACTGGTTCAACGCTGCTGAGGATCAAGGAGTACCTGGCGTTGATAATCCTCCTCAGACCACGACCGGGGTTGAAGGAGCAGCTGCGCTGAATGAGAACCTCATCGCCGAGAACGCGCTTGTGACCTCACCACCCTTCAACCAGCGTACTGCGGATCAACAAGCAGCAATGAGCGGAATATATCCTACGCCTCCTGATGGCTTCTTACCCGGTCAAGCTTCACAGCAGCCAGTGTCGGATCCTGTAACCGCTAACATCTCTCATGGCGACATGGAGGCAGTAGCCACTGACCTTCAGATGACTAGCGTTGAGCAGCAGCATGAGAGAAGGCAACAGACTTCCTCAACTGACCTTTCCAGCGTCCACCGGCACGCTTCCGATGACCTATTCGGAGATATGGGTGGTGAGATGGACTTTGGTGGTGATGAGGTCGGTGACGCTGACTTTGATTTCTTCAACGAGGATGGGAATGATGCCGATGATCGGCAGGCTGGTAGCGAAACACACGCAGAGGGCGTGCCTGTAGAGCACATGCGGGAAGACACGTCTCCTATTGCCGCCAACCCGAACTTTCCGATGGATGCAGAATCTTACGCTCTTAATGTCGAACAACCGTCTACAGACACCGAAGCTTCGGCAGCGGGCAGCGGAGCTACTCCGGGTGGCAACGTAGAAGCCCACAGTTTCACGGCAGAGCCTGTCCAGCCACATGCTGGCCGAGACGCCCTTGTCGGAAGGCCCTTAAGCCCGTTTGGCATTAAAGAGCGTCTGTTACCGCCGCCGGTCCCAGCAAGCATGCAGTTCAATACTCCGCTCCAACGCTCAGGCCTTCGTCGCAGCGGCATCTTTGATCCCATGCCCTTCAAGGAGAGCTTGGAGCTTGGCGGTCCCTTCGCGTCGCAGTATGGACGTGTAGCGAGTGGTCGCGACTACGTCATCAAACAGCGTAGCCAGTTTGATATAACATTACCGCCAAGACGAAAGCGATCTGATCTTAACCTCCGAGCGGAGGCTGCCACGGATTCCTCTGATGAGTACAGCGATAGCGACAGCGAAAACGACTTGTACGAATCTGCTTCAAGCGTCAGTGACGAGAACCTTCCGCCAAAGGCTCCATGGTCCACCAAGAAGAGAAAGCGGGAAGACTACGAAGCCGTGCTTTCGGATGGCACTGTCACTGCAGGTCTTGATTGGACCTTGCGACAAGCCGGACCAGCGGCGGCATCAGGTGAAGTCATGCGTTCAATGCTTGACCGGCTAGTAGGTGCTCGCGCCGGTGCCGACGTTTGGCTGAGCAGCTCACGGATGGATTCAACAGTACCCGATGACATGCTCCCGCCAATCCAAGATGTCTTACAGCTCACGAAAATGGATCTGATCTACACAGCGCAACTGGTCAGTGAGCAAGCCGTGTCTTGCTCACCGAGCATCGTGCGCTCGCTGGACATTCTTCCAACAGATCACAAGCGCGAATTGGCTGTGCAATCAGCTGTTCGGGAAGTCACTGAAGAAACGATTCGAGATCTAGTCACCGGCATAGCGCCCTGCGAAATTGCGGAGATTGCTCTGATTCGCGAGCCGCTGAACAAGAACATGCCGGCAGCAAGCAATCCACGTCCCGGTCAACCTCGCCCACCACAGCGAGCGAACACTACCGAGCTGGGGCCGGACATTGCAGCCATTCTGCCGCCATACGTGCGTGTGCAGCGTGGCAACGACGCCTACGAGATGCTGCCGCCTGCTTTGGATTTCTGGGAGACGCTAAGTTTGGCGCCAGTGAATGGACAGAAAGATGTACGCGCTTACTGCATCTTCCCACTTAACGAAGACTTGCAGCGCTTGGCCGAGGGCTTTATTGCGGATCTCGGTACGGCATACGAGGGCTGCAAGCTCGGCACGCATGCTCACATTAGGAACGTTAGCGAGGAGAATGAGCTAGATGACTATGAGGATGGGCTCGCACCTGTCGAGCTGACAGATGACGACACCCTAGTTGGAGCCATCAAGGCTTATGCCGCGGTCTCTGTCAATCTGGGCAAGTTCCTCGCGAGCGTGGCAAGCCTGGAGACGGATCGGACGATAGTCGTCTACCTGATCAACCCGTTCCAGCACCCTCGTGCGGCGCGGTACATTTGCGCTTGCTTCTGGCTTCTGTGCAAAGCCTATCGAGACAACGTTCCTAAGAATCAGCGCAGCCAGCAACAAAGCGATGTGGCTTTCCAACTGCTTCCGATTGAGCTGATTGCCTGTCCGGACGGAATGGTCATGCTGGACGCGAAGCAGCTTGCCAACATTGCGAGGGAGGTATACGACCGATGCCCGCCCACCACGAACAGTGGCGCGGAAGCCAAGGCTGCGCTACCCAACTACGCAGCGCCGTTTGTCGAGCTGGCATGTCCACCGCCTAAGAGGATTGGGTTTCAGCTGGTCGCGGAGCCTCCTGGCGATCTCTTGCACGAAGGCTCGGCGCTTCACCTTGCGTACGCCGTGAGCGCAGACGGGAAGTGGATGACCGTGGCTTGGACGGACAGCAGCGGACGCAACCAGAGTAATTCGTCGTTCTGTCTTTGCGGCCGAACCTTTGCCAATGTGCTGGTGGATATCTGGGAGCGGACGCGCGGGATTATGGCTGCAAGGGAAGCGACGTGGCGGGTCTTTGTTGTGACGGATGGTCCGATCGATGACTCGATCAGCCGCTGCTGGCGACAGACCGTGCAGAGCCCACGCAAGCAGGCGTTCAGCGTGACCTTGCTTAGCGCGAAGCTCGACATGGGTCTTCAACTTACACCTCACTTCCTCACCACCGGAGACACGACAGGCACGGTCGCAGCCACTACCACTGGCTTCCTGACTCCTGGGTCGACGCCGCAGGCTGCGCTCACGACTGTTTCGCCAGAGGCCGCCACTCATGCCGCCCCTCCCACCCCGGCCCCCAGCGATGCAGCGGTGGCCTCTGCGGAGCCAGATCCTGACGCGCACTTCGTCGATCTCGCAGACGAGACATGGGCCGTCGTCTTCTCGCAGCCGAACTTCCTACCGAGCTCACCTGTATCCACGACGCCAACACCAAGCGTGAATGGTCTCGCCCAAGGTGCATTATTCAAGCGCGGTGAAGCTGGGCTTGACGGCGTCGGAGTCCCGGGCGACCATCTCCCGTCTCTCGGCGTCACCTTGCTGTGGACGGTGCAAGTTCGACCAAGCGGCAGCGTGGACGAAGGTGGAGCGAAGCAAGCCGAGATGGCGCTGAGGGAGATGCTTAAGCTGTACAGGCATCTGAGTGTTTTGACGCGCGCGCGTGGACTTGGTGATGATGGGGTGGGTGGGAGTGGGGATGGCAATGGGAATGCAGATGCGTGTGTGCCGTTCCATTTGGTCGCTGCACGTCGGGGCGCTGCCGCGCTGGATGGACTGTACGGCTAGCCAGTCTGACAAGCTTCCCGCATAAGAGATGCAGTGGCGTGTATACTGCCGGCGGTTGGCTCACTATCGAATATACCACATGAAACTATACACGCACATATTTGCTGAAGCTAAGCCGTGACAGCTGGTGCAATACACGAACATGTCCGTGGATGTAGGGTGATAACGCTGGGATACGGAAGGTCATCGCATTAGCACGTTCGAGCCTACTGTGCTTTCCAACGTCATGTGGAGATGGTATGGAGCAGTCAATCAGCACAGTAAGCCACGAGTGTTTGCGATTGATGAGCGCTAGCACTGCCGAGAGTGTTCAGGAACGATCTCCGGGCTGCCACTCCTTTGGGTCGATCACCTCGACCCGATCGCTAGCAACTGCATGCATGGCACTGTATCTTCCTCTATAGCGATACCCTGCTCGAGTCGAGGGGTTTTTGAGGACCCGTTGCTGGAATGTATAGGAGGACTATTGTCGGGAATGGATCCAATGCGAGACGTGCCATCTCACGGCACCTCTGCCCACCGTGTAAGATGAACGAAGTGTGCGCAACGTGAACTTGCCAATCTGCGCTCATAATAGCAACAGTTGACTCGTGACAACACTAGGACAACACCAGCTCTCCCGGTCCGGCTCTCCGGGTTGTGGAGAAAGAGTAGTAATGGCGCAGATGGTGCGGCACGCCAACGTGATACAATGCTTCGTGCGATGGCAAGCCGGTGCTACGGAAGCTTGTTTCGAGTTTCTGCATGCAATGGACACGACGTTGAAAACACCTGCAGAGGCAATGCGTTGGCCCTGGCGCGCTGCCATGTGCGATGCGATGCGATGCGATGCGCGTTGGTGACTGGCAGCGGCAGTGGCGCTGGCGGGCTGCATGTTGGAAGCTTGCCGCCGGAGGCTCATCCCTGTTTTGCTGGCGATTGCTTGGGCAGCCATCTTCTAAGCCTTCGCGGAGGGCCTCGCGCGGTGTCACGTTCTGATGTGCCTTGTGCCATGTATTCTCTCTGCCTCGGAAGCACGGTTTTTGGAATTGTCATAGCACCGCTCGTGGAAAGTGAATTAAACAAAGAGCGACGTTGCCTGCACTCATTGTTTTGGCGTCGGAGTCGATTCACCGGCGGGGTCGAGCGGAAACAGCCGCGGCCGTTTGGCAGGGCCTTGAAGGCTCGCGATAAGCCGCAGCACAGCAGTGTGCTGGACAGCGCGCGTAGAACGCATCCTGCCCTGGCCCGTCACCATTCTGATCGTCGCCGGCTCTGCCCACTTTATCCGGCACTCCATTGGCATTATCCTGCTTTCTTGGTATGGCGTATCTGCACCCCCAATGCCGATGACCCTCTGCCCGCGCCTCAAGTGAGTCGGCGACGGGGCCGTCATGAGCGAGCAGCCTCGGCCAAGCATTTCCGACGAGCGACGGCGGCTAACGAAGAAGTCCGGACCCCCAGCATCAAGTCACGATAGCAGCGCGCAGCACACCCTCCGACGAGCACCATCTGTGCCCATCCATACCCGCTATAGCGCGCACGGGACTTCATACAACCGCAGCCCGACAACCGACGCGAGCAATTGGGCAGCGGGACAGAACAGCAGAGCGTACGGCGCCAACCGTCAACCGCGCCTTTCGGTCACGGAAAAGACGTCTTCAGATCTACTGGGACAGAGGTTCGACAGTGCGGCGGTCATCAGCAGTTTCGACGCCGTCCCTTACTCCCCGGACCCACCTCCTGCGCAATTTCAAGCTACATCTTCCGCATCCTCACACGGTCAATCACTGAGCTCCGGGCCAGCATCTTCGCACTCGCCGCTTTCCACTTCGAGCACACAACCTCGTGAAGGTAACTCTCTTGCGCCCGCGAACCCAGCAGTGCGGCTGTCGCAAAGCTTGGCAGCGACGGGGAGGAAGATGGAGGACATCCCTCCCGCGAGGAGCGACTTGAGCGGGTTGCGAAGTCCGAGGCAGAGATACAGCGACGAAGCGAAGGAGAGCAAGGCGCTGAAGAAGAAGAGTGGATTGTCCGGCTTCTTCAACCTGTCCACGCCCCGCAGACCTGCCATATCGGCGCCAGAGAATCCTGTACACGTGACGCATGTCGGCTATGACCAGGAGACTGGCAGATTCACGGTACGCAAACCCCCTGTTGTCCTCTTTGAAACTGTAGTCTTGTGCTGCTATGGTGTGGCTGCTGCAATGAATTCGTTAATGTGTCTTGTCGAGATGCACGATTAGAGTTTGCGCTTTCGGCTTGGCGCGACGTTCGCAACTACCTTTCATGGCGGTTTTATCGCCTGCATCGGATAGCAGCTGAAGGTGCTGACATTATATAGGGCCTTCCGAAAGAGTGGCAGCAGACTCTGCAAGCCAACGGCATCACCGAGCAAGAACAGAAGAAGAACCCTCAAGCTATCATCGACGTCGTCACATTCTACAATGAGAACCAAGGCGACACCAGCAGCGATGACTATACCTACCACAAATTCGACCATGCTCACGTCAGCGAGAGCCCGCAGATGGGCCTCGCACCGCAGAGCTTTTCACCCAGCGGTCTCAGCCCCGGAGCATATGGCTCGGTACTCAGCCCGCCAGCGAGCCCTCGTTTCCCTAAGAATGAAGGCGAGAGCTTCGAGAACCCGAGGGCACCACCTCCGGTACCGAAGGGCATGCAAGGGCTTGGACTCGCGTCTCCGATGGGGTCGCAGGCCAACGGTGGGAACATGCTGCCAATGCGTCCCGCGCCGCAAGCACCAGGGGCGCCGAACCTCATGCCACAACGAGCGGCGCCACCTGTACCCGGCCAGCAGCGCGAGCGAGCAGGGACAGAGCAAGGACTGCCTCCAGTAAAGTACGCTCCACCCACCATCACCGACATGGCATCGAATGCGCAGCAATCGCAAAGCCGAAGTCGCGCGAACACTGGCCCCGCACAGCAGTATCAGAACCCGTCACCCATCAGCTCCCCAATAGCATACCAACAGCAGCAAGAGCAAGCGATGAAGGCAGCACAGCAGGTATTGAAGCAGCAATCAGTCGAGCGCTCCGCCTCCCAACGGGTAGGCAACAGCGCCTCACAGCAGCAACATGCGCCCATGCCAGCGGGTCAGGACTCAAGTCGAGGTCCGCAACCACGCCCGAGGCAGAGACCGCGGCAATCCATTACTAACGCGGAGATTATCACCAAGCTGCAAAACATCTGCAACCCGCAGGACCCAACGAAGAAGTACCGCAGCCTCGTCAAGATCGGCCAGGGTGCGTCAGGTGGCGTGTATACAGCATACGAAGTGGGTACGAACAAATGCGTAGCCATCAAGCAAATGAACCTCGAGCAACAGCCGAAGAAAGATCTAATCATCAACGAAATCATGGTAATGCGAGACAGCAAGCACAAAAACATCGTCAACTTCATGGACAGCTTTCTCGTCAAGGGCGACCTATGGGTGGTGATGGAGTACATGGAAGGCGGCAGCTTGACCGACGTCGTCACCTTCAACATGATGTCCGAAGGCCAGATCTCCGCCGTCTGTCGCGAAACCCTCCACGGCCTGCAATTCCTCCACTCCCGCGGGGTCATACACCGCGACATCAAATCCGACAACATCCTCCTCAGTATGGAAGGCGCCATTAAACTGACCGATTTCGGCTTCTGCGCGCAGATCAACGAGAACTACGCCAAGCGCACCACGATGGTGGGGACGCCGTACTGGATGGCGCCCGAGGTGGTGACGCGTAAGGAGTACGGGCGGAAGATCGATATCTGGTCGTTGGGCATCATGGCGATCGAGATGATTGAGGGCGAACCGCCGTACTTGACCGAAAGTCCACTGAGGGCGCTGTACTTGATCGCGACGAATGGCACGCCGACGATCAAGGAGGAGCATAATCTGAGTGGCACGTTTCGGGATTTTTTGCAATTCGCGCTCAAGGTGGATCCGGAGAAGAGGGCTAGTGCGCATGATTTGTTGAAGGTGAGTTCAAAACATATATGTTGAAGGGTGTGGGGGTTAAATGTGGTTGCTAACGATGTTGGTGTAGCACGGGTTCATCCAGATGGCCGAGCCGTTGGCGACGCTCGCTCCGCTTGTCAAAGCCGCGCGGCTGGCGAGGGCGGAGGAGCGGCGTAACAAGGGCAACTAGAGATGGGGCCGCCGCGCTTGCTCACCTGGCATAGACTGCTTTCTTTCCGAAACGCATGGTATGGCGTGACGTGGCGTGGCGTGGCATGGCGTTGCGTTGCGGTACCTCCGGTTTTAGAGCCACGACGGCGCTTGTGTGAGTGGGATCTCTTATGTTCGGAACGAAACCACGAAAGCGACTGAGCGTTTTGCTGCCTGTACCAACAAGGCCATCAGGGCCATCAGGGCGATTCGGCGCAATGAAGTCTTGGACGGCGAAATGAGGGTGCGACTGCGACTTGGCGCGCGGTACAAGAACATCACAACTTGAAGCTGGCTGATCTGCCTCTCTCCCTAACAGTGTCAGGTCTGACCGAAGTCTGGGCAGTATGAGGGTAGAGTAGAGGCAGAGAGGTAGGAACGAAGCGCGAATGGAGTCAATGACGGTCTTTGATGATATATGGACGGCTGCGGAGTAGGTGATGGGCTGGCTGCCTCTTGCTGACGAGGCGGGAATTTGGCGCTATGGGCGGCCCAAGATCCAATCATCGATAACAATCTCATTGGTACATATTCATTCCTGGGTATTGATGATTCGGTGGATGGCGAAACGAATACGACAGCCCGCCCTGGAAGAAGGTTGCGAGAGGCTTGTTCTTGCTGTTGCGTACGCTTGCATACGTGTTGTTGGTTGTATGCATGTCTATCATCCGGTCAGGGTATTGCATGTTGTCGGATTGCGTATGCTGCAGTCGTTGTAGAGAGGGTGTCAGTGTTAGTGGGGTGGCGCATGAGATGAGGCGGCCTCGGTCTCGGATGACGTCTCTCGTGACTTGCTTGACTCGCAACGCTCTCGCCCGCAACCGAAGTGGACATGCGGTGGTGAAGGCTGCCACTTTCTTCCACCACCGCCCTCCTTCCCCCCCTATACACTCCTTACCACCGCCGTCGCCATGTTCCGCACGCAGGCGAACCCCATGGACGACGCCGTCGGTACGTCTGCCTCCTGCCTCCACCACGCAGCCTACCTTGGCGCATACAGACGAAACTAACATAGATCGCTCCGCAGTCAAGGCGACCGACGAGAACCTTACGAGCGAGAACTGGGAGTACATCCTCGACGTCTGCGACCGCGTCTCCGCCTCCCCCTCCGGCCCCGCCCAAGCCATCTCCGCCCTGATCAAACGCCTCGCCCACCGCAACGCAAACGTGCAACTCTACACCCTCGAGCTCGCCAACGCCCTCTCCCAGAACTGCGGTGTAGCGCTGCACCGCGAACTCGCTTCGAAAGCCTTCACGGATAGCTTACTCCGGCTGGCAGGGGACCGGAACACGCATTCGCAGGTGAAGCAGAAGGTGCTCGAGCGGATGAGTACGTGGACGGAGGAGTTTAGGAGTAATGCCGAGTTGGGGATCATGGAGCAGGCGTATGGGAAGCTGAGGACGCAGCAGCCCGGGTTGACGAATGTGGCTGCGCCGAGTAAGCCGGGGAAGCGGGAGATTAGTGGGGAGGATCGGAGGAAGGAGGAGGAGGAATTGCAGATGGCGTTGGCGTTGAGTGTGCAGGATAAGGGGGGGAGTGGGGAGGAGCAGAAGAGGGTTGGGGGGGATGATGTGGTGGTGGGGGAGCAGGCGCAGCCGGGTGCCGCACAGCAGCAACAGCAGCAGCAGGGCACGACGGCGGCGACGGTAAGTAGAGTGCGAGCGTTGTATGACTTTCAGCCGTCCGAGCCGGGGGAGTTGGCGTTTAAGAAGGGGGATATCATTGCCGTGCTCGAGTCGGTGTATACGGATTGGTGGAGTGGTAGCGTGAAAGGGAATACGGGCATCTTCCCGTTGAACTACGTGGAGAAGCTGCAAGATCCGACGAGAGAAGAGTTGGAGCGGGATGCGCATATGGAGGCGGACGTGTTTGGCGAGATCAAGAATGTGGAGAAGCTTTTGGCGTTGCTGAGCGTGAGTGCGGATACGGGGGGTAGGAGGGGTGAGAGGGAGGAGGAGGAGATTGGGGAGTTGTATCAGCGGACGTTGAGTATACGGCCGAAGTTGATTGAGCTTATCGGGAAGTACTCGCAGAAGAAGGGTAAGCTATCACAAGTTGCATCGGTATTGATACGCCGTCCTGTACTGAGATTGCACAGACGACTTCACGCAACTGAACGAAAAGTTCATCAAAGCACGGCGAGATTACGAACACCTTCTCGAAACCTCCATGGCGGCGTCGCATTATCAACAACAATATCCTCCCCGCCAACGCCAGCCCGCACAGCCTGTCTACCCTCCCCAGCAGCTCCAACCACAGTACACCGGAGCGCCGCCTCAGCAATATCCACCTCAAGGCCCGCCATCAGCGCAGGGGTACCCGCCACAACCCTCTTTCGCAGCGCAAAGCCAACAACATCTCCCACCACCGCATCAACAAGATCCACAGCGTTTCTACTCCCCCGCGCCCTCCGAGCCGCCGCCGCAGCAAGGCTTCAGCAGTCCTTACCCACCACAGAACGGCCCGGTGCCTTCGATCCAACAACCACCTCCCAACGGCACAGCAGCGCCAGCACCGTTCCACTTCATCCCTGGTGGTCTACAACCTCCAGCACCATCTACCCAACAGCAACAGCAACAGCAAGACATCCGCCGCAAACCCAGTCCCCAACCCCCACCATCTCAACATCCACATCACCCACCCAACAATCTATCCGTTGACGGCTACGGCGCCCCTCCACCATCAGGACCCTTTCAAGGCCAGATAAGACCAAACAGCATCCACACCCTCAACAGCGGCAACCCGCAGGAACTCGCGACGGGCGGGTACGAGAGTCCCGTGGCGGGGGATCGGAGGAGTTATCCTCCCGCCGCCGCCGCCGCCGCCGCCGCCACTTCTTACGCACCGCATCAACAGCAACAGCAACAGCAGCAGCGGATGTACGATGACCACCGTGACGGCCTGCCCAGTCGGCAGCGGACGCAGAGCTTCGAGACGCCGAGTTCGATGTACTCGTCTCAGACTCTTGAGGATGGAGTCGGAGGCGGGCAGGGGTCGTATGACGGTCACGCGCAGGCGAATTACGCCACCCCCACCCAAGCTCAACCTCAGCAGTACGCAGCCGGTGTTGGAATGCCACCTCAACATCCCTCTGCGCCGCCACCAGCCGCGCCGGTACCGGTGGCGGTGCCAGAGAGTCCTGCGCTGTCGTCTGTGGGGACTGGACAGTATCCCGGTGCGGCGGGGGGGTATCAGGCGTATCAGCCTTATTCGCCTGCGGTACAGCAGCAGCAGCAACAGGCGCAGCACGCGCAGAGGATGGGTAGTGGGAGCTCGGCTGGTGGTGGTGGAGGTGGTGGAGGAGGGGATCCGGGGGATTTCTATAGGTAGTGCGAAGAATATATCTCTGTCGCTAGGAGGAATGTATGATATACCTACTCTGCCTTACCGAATGAACGAGGAACATGACAACCACGCACTTTGCGTAGGCACTGTGTCAATATTTCAGCCTTGACCCACGAGAGATGACATTACCGTGCAGTCTAGGGCTGGTGTGTGTGTGTGGGGAACGCGTTTGTTCGAAAGCACGTGATATGCCAGTGCAGCGCAAGGGTACTACACAGGGGTGTGCGCAGGCCCATTGGCCGAGCAGAATACTGTGGTCGCTTCTATGCCCACCTCCGCAACCAGCCCAGCCACCTCCTTCTTCCCACTTTATTCGGAGATGGATATCTACACGCCCACAACAACGACCACCCCCTCCTCCGCATGATCCATCCTCATATCATCTCCCACCCACACAACCCACATCAACCGCTGCAGCGCCTCACCCACAAACCTACCGCAACCACTCACGAAACCACTGCATCCGCCTAAGAACAACTTACTGCCTCCCTAAGACTTGCCCTGCGCGGATGAACTCTGCAGATACTGATACGCGAAAAAGGCCGCCGCGCCTCCGACGAGAATGAGGGCGTAGACGCCGATGCCGAGGCCGGCGGAGTCGGAGGTCGTCTTGGGAGCGCCGGGGGTGGTGGAGGTGGAGGGTTTGGGGGCGGCGTCGCCGGGCTGCAATACGCAATCAGTTGAGAGGCAGTAGGTAAGTAAGTAAGTAAGTAAGTAAGTAAGTAAGTAAGCAAGTAAGGTGGGGAGGGGTCGGTGGGGTTGCGGGTCGTGGGTAGGGGGTGTAGGAGGGGTGGGAAGAGGGGTTGGGGAACGTACGGCTCGCTTCAGGTTGCCAATGAGCAGGCCATTCAGGATTTCCCTCGCTTCGTCACTATGTCCCACATCCTCGAAGGCTTCGGTTGCGTCTTGCCCGCCTACGTCTAAAAGCACTTCTTCGCCGCCGCTATACACACATATCCCACCTTGGTCAGCCCACACGTTGGCTTCTTCACGAGCGTGGTGGGGTTGGGAGAGGGGGGGGGGAAAGATATTGCGTACGGATGCTCATCCACGAAGCTACTCGCATTGTACACTTTGTCGTGCACCACCAGGTACAAGTCGCGCTTGCTCGTGTGTTCCGAGATGTCCGAGTACGTGAATTCCTTGCCGTCCGCCATCGTGTGTCTGCCGTCGTTTCTATCTGCTCCTTCTCCGCTGGTCTTGCTGCTGTTTGGGGTGTCTTTTCACCGCCAACACTCTTCAAATTGTGATTCGATTGAGCTTAGGAAGTGTTGGTCGGAGGGATGATTTTCGTTGACGGATTGGTGAAAGTGGCACTTTGTAGGATTTGATTTCAATAATGGATTAGGTGGACTGGGTGAGAGTACAATTGCCGAATGGGGAGGTAGCGGGATGCGGGAGTTGAATGCCTGAGGTGGGGAAACGAGCCGCCGCACACTTTCCCCCTCCCTGCAGGGTCCAAAGCTCGGCGGAAGTCGGAGACATCCTACTTTCACGTGACTCTAAGAAGGTGGGTGAATGTAACGGTATGGTGGAGGGAGATTAAGAACAGCGCGCTTGCGCATGTTCGTTTGTTTTCATCTATCTTTCTTCCCCTCCCACACCCGGGTATCGCCGTTGGCCAAATGACCTCCATTCAAACCTTTGCCCTTACCGTCCATCAACACCTCACCCTCCTTGCCACTACTCCGACTGCCATCCCCATCCCTTCCGACCCCACCACCCCTTCTAACCGCACCGATGATGCCCCTAATCCTCTCCCCGACCCGCCTCGCCAGCACCACAACGGGCGCAGGCGGCACCTCCTCCGGCAGCGCAAACCTCCTGACCAGAAAGTTGAAGATACTCCCGAACCCCAGCGCGATGACCGTAGACGTCAAAATAATGACGTTGTACGGCATGCTGAAATCGGGCGTGGGAAGCGGGAGTAACAGACTTGTCGTGCGGAGGTAATAAGATGAGTCTTGCCCCTCCATCTCCTGCTGCTGCTGCTGCTGCTGCCGCTGCTGCTCGCTCGGAGATGAGGATAGGATGCGGATAACAGCGGGCGCAACATCAAACCCCCTATTCGCGTCGGGCGGGTACTCCGTATATCTCAGACTCGCCTTCTCGACATCATACCTCAACTCCACCGTCGAGTCCGCAGGCAGAGTAAGTAGTAACTCCAGATGCGTGCCGCGTTTGCGGTCGAGGGCGGGGGTGTAGTACATCTTTTCTATGCTTGCTCCGCCACCTGCGATCTGTAAGGTGTGCATGTACGGTCGCAGAAACCATGGCAGGCTTTCGAGGTAGACGATTCGCTGAGGGTAGGGATGGGGGTTGCGCAGGATGGTGTGCATGCCGCCGCGCTCTTGGCCGTGGCCGGTTAGTTGGCGGCTGGCGAAGAGAGGTGGAGGCGTGAGAGGGGATTGCGCGGAGATGCTCTCTTGTGGTAGGCTGAGATCGAAGGTGCCTTGTTCGGGTAGCTCGAATCGTCGCACGTTTGCGTTTGGGGAAGCGACTTGCCGTCCACCAATCGATAGGTCAACAGTCCGATCTGACGGGACTTCCAAACTGATATCGTACGCCTGCTCCTCGCCGCCGTCGTCGGCGGCAAGATGACAACCCCCCCTCACCGGCGAGCCAAAAATCTTACTCAAACTCCACGCCATCTCCCCTTCCCGTCGCTGGGGGTAGCAAGTATCATGCCCATGATAATGCTTCGACTCATCGCAGACAATCTCCTCGATCGGTCTCGGCCGCGGAATCGGATCATCGCGCGGTCGCATGCTGCGCTCGATATCCATGACCATATCTACTGTCTGTTCGATCTCGATTCTGCAGTCACCCGCCTCACCCTCGCCTTCGTGCTTGCTGTCGCAGACAGTTCGCACGTCAATGCTCATGCTCTGCCAATTCGCGTCAAACACTTTATGCCCGTCCAACAGACTGCTTATCCCCGCCTTGCCTTTACACGGTAGGAGCTTCAGGAACGGCGTAAGGTTCTCCGTACATACGACTTCGTTCGGTAGCATGCCATGCAGAAGCTGCAAACTCCCGTTCCTCCCTCCCCTTCCAGCACCCAGACTCCCCTCAGCTTCAAACGTCAAGACCGGGCGCGTAGTCTTCGTCCCGTCAACGAAGTTCAAACTCGCGCAGAACAATCCCGACAGACTGTTGACCAGCGCGCTCCACCTCTCCTCCAACCCCCCACCCCCACCGTCTCCATCCTGCCCTCCACCTCCGTCACCACCAGCATCCAACCAAGCCCATATCTCCACCCCCGTTCCCCCCTCCCTCCTCCCACCCCTCGGTCTGCTGCCCCAACTCCCCTCATCCCACCGTCCCCATGCGAAACGCAGGTGTAGCTCTTCCGTCCGCGAGTACTGCAGTATCTGTCCGAGTGAACGAGGGAAATAGCGGAAGTGTTGCGAGGTGTAGGCGGAGAGGGCAGTGGAGGCGGTGAAGTTGAAGCCGGCGTAGAGGTAGCCGGAGGGGAGGGGGAGGAGGTGGAGGTTTTCGGTGTAGGATTCTGGTGGGGTGGAGGGGGTCGAGAGGGCATGGGTCAGGAGGGTGGTGGTGAGGGCGGCGGGAAGGGCGAGGAGGGTGGAGAGTTTCATGTTGGTGCTCCGTGGCTAAGGGGGGTCAGAGTTATTGAGGACTGGAGAAGGGGAGATGCGAAGGGTGCGATGTGAGATCGTGACTTACTAAGCGGGAACGATACGTATGGGGAAGCGGGAGGCGAAGCCGAAGCGAGCCCGAAGCCCTGCGCTAGCTGCGGTAGATCACTGGCCAATTACGGCTTCTCGTACATCTTTTGCTACACGCCTATACGGGCAATCGAATTCACCTCCAGACAACCCCCACCACTCCTCATACCGCGTGCGGGACAGCACATCGACACGCCGGCGAAGGCGCTCCAAACAAACCCATCCCATCCCTCTCGACATAGTGTTGGCCCACCATGGCCGCCGAACAACGCCGCGCCCTCGAACAGCTCATGGGCGACATGTCGTCGGGCGGCGGACTAGGCACCTTCAAACAACCCGCCCTCACCCTCCACGACCCCAAGGTCTGCCGCTCCTACGTGGCCGGCTCCTGTCCCCACGACCTCTTCACCAACACCAAACAAGACATTGGCGCGTGCCCCCGCGCGCACCAGCCGAACTTGAAGGAGGAATATGAGGCCCTCCCGGCTGAGGAGAGGAAAGCGCTGGGATTCGAGTGGGATTATATGAGGGACATTCGGAATTATGTGGACGATTGTGATAGACGCATCCGGCAGTCGCAGGATCGGCTGGAGAAGACGCCGGAGGAGGTGAAGCAGACGAATGCCTTGCTGAAAGCGATCTCGGACTTGGCGCGGACAATCGAGGCCGGGTTGCTGGAGGTGGAGATTTTGGCGGAGGAAGGCGCGGTGAACCTGGCCGTGCAGGAGTATCATAAGCTCAAGCTCGCCAAGAGCACGAAGGAGGAGAAGGAGAGGGAGTTGAAGACGCTGTCGGACACGTCGGGGCCGAGCGGGCATCAGAAGTTGCAGGTTTGTGATGTTTGTGGGGCGTATCTGTCTCGGCTGGATAATGATAGACGCTTGGCGGATCACTTCTTCGGGAAGATGCATATCGGGTATGCGTCGATGCGGAAGGAGAAGGCGAGGTTGGATAAAGAGTTGGCGGGGCGGGTGGAGCCGGGGAGGGCTGTGAAGCAGGAGGGGTTTGGGGATGGTGGGGGCAGGGGGTTCGAGGATGGGTATGGAGGTGGGGGGCATGGCGGTGGAGGTGGGGGATGGGGGAGGGGAGGGCGTGGTGGGGATGAGAGGTGGGGTGGGCGCGGCGGGAGAGGAAGGGGGAGGGGCGGGTATTCGCAGAGGTGGTAGTGGCATGACACGGATAGGTTCATTGACTTGCTCGAATTTAGCGAGGCGTCTTGGTCGGAGAGCGACGAATGGTGGACGGAGTTTTTATCTTGATTGATGCCGACGTGAAAGTGGAATGAGAGGCCATGTCTCTACATCGCGTGTCTGTATGCTACAGTTTGATGACCAACCCCGTACGGCTTGCGGTCGCGGCCGCTGTCCGGGTACAGCCCTCCCGTCTCTGACGTTGTCTCCATCCCGCATGTCGCTTATCATAACAGGCCGAACACAAAGACGAACAAAGCCAGTGGAACAAGCCGCGCAGTCGGTGCCTCGACACTCCCGCCCGATTCTGCAATCGAAGTTGACGAACCGCCCTTCGCTTCGCGAGACGGAGTGGCCGAGGCCACTGATGTCGGGTATACGCTACTCGTGAGCGAAGCGACATTGACAGTCATGGCAGCGGCAGTGCTGTTGGCCTTGACACTAGGTAGTGGTAATGTGAACGTGGTGCCATCTACGACAAGCCGACCGTCACTTAGACTCAGGGTGTGCCCATTGATTTCTGCCGCCGCGTTGGTGGAAGATAGAGTGATACTGCCGTCAACAACGAGCTCGAGTTCGCTGCCAGACTTCATCTCCTGTACGCTCCAATTCTGCACCTGTGCTTTAGTAGTGGTGGTGGGAGGGTCGTTGGCTGTGGCGATCGCACCAGCAGCGACGAGGTAAGAGGTCTCGTCTATCTGTAACGCAGATGGCGCCGCACTCAGGCTGTGGCCATTCATAGTCTTGGCTTGACCACCGGCAGAAAGCGTTACGCTACCATCCACGATGATCACGCCGTGCTCGCCAGGCATTCCGACGGCAGTCCAGAATTGTCCTGCCGCTGAAATGGTAGTAGCAGGTGAGGGAGCTCGCGGCATGTTCGTCGTGGCAGTCGCAGTGTACAGCGAGCCGTCAATCACTAGGCTGTCGTGTTGTGCGCTCAATGTATGACCATCGATAGTGCGAGCAAAAGCTCCTGCTGTTAAGGTGATACTACCGTCTACCACAAGGACGCCACTCGCGCTTGCAGCGGCTGCCAAAGTCCAGACCTGACCAGCTACTGACAGAGTGGCTTCAGTGGGCGTGACGGAAGGCTGTGATGAAGTTGCGTAACGCGACCCATCGACGTAAAGCACTCCGGAGGCGACGCTAAGGGTATGGCCGTTGATGGTTTGCATGGCTGCGTTGGATGATAATGTGATACTGCCGTCTACGACGGCCGCGCCGCTCAACGAAGGGTCTGCCGCTACTGTCCATACTGCACCGTCGGCTGTGAAAGTCATTAGAGCGGCTGCAGAGGCGGTTGGCATGGGTTGCAAGATCGAGCCGTCAATTCTGACCGCTCCAGACTCGACGCTGAAGACGTGGCCATCGATCGTTCGAGCACTGCCCTCGTCTGATAACGTGATGCTGCCGTCCAGGACCATGACAGAGGGATTCGCAGGGTCTCTCGCAGCAGTGTAACTCTGGCCTGCAATCTCAAAGGTGGTTGCCGGGCCAGTCGCCTGAGGGTTAGTTGAGATGGCATGCATTGGTATCGTGCTGCCTCCGACCACCACTACACCTGCACCAACGCTGATGGTCTGCCCTCGAAGGACAGTCGCTGCCCCTCCCGCGCTAAGGGTTGCAGATCCGTCTACTACCACAATGGCAGAATCGGTGCCAGCAGCTAGAATGTAAGTTTGGCTCGCGTAAGTCATCATCGTCGCCGCGGGCACGGCTACGACGTTCGGACTCACGACCGCGAGCGATGGTAGCGAGGTTGTACCAACCGTCAGACTATCATCATCCATACTTATGGTCTGCCCTTCCATAGTCGATGCTGAGCCGCCGGGCGAGAGAGTCTCAACCCCTAAGATCACCGTTTCAGCTCTGTAAGAGGCCAGAGACGCGGTGTAGACGCTGTTGTCCACGGCCACCGTGAGTGGATTATGTTGGACTGTAGCTGGAGCGCTACCGCCATCAACTCGTGTTTGCGGTAATGCGGTCGCAGCAGACTCTAGCACAGATAGGGCGTTGAATGTGCCGACGGCCTGGGCCAGGCCAGTTGTAACCGCTGGAGTCGAGTCGCTTGCCACATTGTCAACTTTTGATTCTGTCGCAGCAGACTGTAACACAGACAGTGCATTGATTGCAGCTGACGTTTGGACTGGATCGTCGGATGCAGTTGCGGATATTTCGCTCACAACACTAATACTGGCATCCGAGCCGGCTGTACTCAGATTAGTCAATTGAGCCTGTACGCTGCCAGGGTCGGCGTTAGTCGTAGGAGACACTTGTGTGGGATCTGCCGAAAAGGTGCTTTGACCAAGAGTAGCAACGGCTGGAATCTGCAAGCCTTGTTCGCCGGAGGGGAAAGGTAAAAGCGGGTCAGGCTGTGACAACACTGCAGAAGATGCAGTTGTCGGGGAAGGAGTCGGGGCTTGCTGGGAGCTCTGCGGAGAGGCCGGTGTGGTAGGCATGGCGGCCTTGGCCGTCGAGGACAAAGCGTAGGGTGGGTATTCGTCACTTGGGTCAGTAGGCTCTGCTGCGGAAGCAGCTGCTGAAAGTATTGATGTTGATTGTCAGCGTCGATTCTCGCAACTACAGGAGTTGTACGTACGAGTCAGTGCAATTGGGGGGTCATAGAGACCGTGTACGACATCTGCGCATTTGGACCATGCCGCATCGAGCGTCTTGAGGCCCCCTCCAACGTCGACCATGGGCTTGTAAGCACCTTCGAAGATGGTGCTGCACAGCGGATGATCCGTGTACAGGTCGCAGCCGAACGCTCCGTTCGGGTTCAGGTAATAGGCCTCCGGCTCGGGAACCCCAAAACGTGACCAGTGTATGGATTTGGCGGTGCTTTCCAACTCGTAACCGTGCGCGCCGCTGAGACTGATCACGGACATCCAATTCATGTAATCTGTGCCGCCGTGGGCGATGGCAGAGGCGACACTACTCATGTCAACGTAGCCAACTGTGATGCCGTGGAAGCTGTAGACGACGCTTTTGACGTCTGTTGGAGCTAGGGTGAGCAAGACATTGTGATGGACGGAGCCGAGAGTCCTCGTTGTGTCGAGTGTTTGGCCGTTGATATTCCAAGACCTCGTCATAGCCACTGCCGAGAGCGAGTCCAGACGCAAATATATACTTGGCGACGTGAAGGTGACTGCTGTGGATTGTCCTAGTACTGAGTGCACAGCTGTGACCGGGGCAGATTCATTGCGGTGATCGCTGTAATTTCTACGAGCCTCGTCGCTCCAATAGAACAGCTAGTCCGCAGTCAGTACCTTTCAGGCCGACGGTAGCATCATAACGCACCTGAACGTTATTGCCGAGTATCAAGCACTCCTCGATGCCTTCTGAACTCACTTGTGGTCCTACACCCAACGAACCGTGACCAGGTATCAAAGTCGCGTTTCCGTTCGCTATAGCCGTTGCTAAGGCTGGTGGCCAGAAGTTGCACCATGGGGAGTTGGACGGTACTGGATTCCTGTCGGGTACTTTGTTCGTCTTCGTCCAACCGATACTGCTGAACCAGGAGCTGTACAGCGCGCTACAATCCGTCCCTGTGATCGCACACTTAGGTTCTAGAGGTTGGCCGGGACCTCCAACGTAGTACGTAGTTGACGTCGTCCATGGTTGATGGATCGTGTTTGAAGCAGAAGCGGTGAACTGGCCACGGGCGTATGGAATGCCGCCTATCCTAGTATAGACATCCGCCGTGCCGTTGAGCTGTGTGATCGTTCGCGTGCTGGTGATGTAAATTGTGGTTTTGATATCTTCACCGGAACCAATCTGGGTGCTGGCTATATGAATGGCAGAATCGTCAGCATGCTCCACAGCCATCACGTCGGCAACTTGTATGTTCCTTACCATATTCGTCGATGGCATCCAGATATGAGGTCCAGGACGCCTGGCATGCTAATGCCGAAGCTGCCACGGAGATATTCGCGAACGAGGTTGGATGTGCCGTATGCGGTATTGCCACGGTCTTGTTACTCGAACGCCCAGGAGTATGTGTCGACGAAGACGCGGCAGTGGTTTCTCCTCGTGTAGCGCTTCGATTTGCCGAACTAGTGCCACTGGTCCTTGCCGCTCTGTTGAGGGACGTTTGCGGGTCAAACGCAGTTGCCACGCTCTGGTTGCTTCGGTGCCTGTTCAAGTATACAGAAGAAGACGCAGCGGTCGGTCCTGCTAATGTAGAGTTATAGGTAGCCGAAGCGATGCTGTTAATGTCTGTAGCACTTAGGGTCGTTTCAAAGCTAGCCAACGAAGAATTAAGTCCCCGAGATGATGATAGATTCGGTAACACTGTGGGAGCAGAGAACGGAGTTGAATCGAGGCCGCTCGAAGCAGAGGTATTGGTGAACCTAGTGAGGGGAGAGGAGAGGTCTTGTACGTTAGCACTTGAGGTCTCTGTATGTGTAGAGACAAGCATGCCGAGTCCAAGTCCAATATAGCTGGCGATGCCCAAATTGCCACCAGTGACATTCGCCATGGTACGACGGCAACAGCGAACCCGAGAAAGAAGATGAACGAAAGGAATGAGACGAGGAGGGCAATCGCATTAGGTCTGCTTTCATGGGAAATGTCTGGAACGATGAGCAATGTAGCCCCTACCCACACATACCTTTGCGGGAGCCACGGCGTGGACCAGCGAGAACCAGCTGAACCCAGCGGTCCAGGCGATATCGACGCCCACGCTCCTTCGAGGCCTCGCTCACAGAGTAGTTGTGACCGTTCAAGCCAAGGACTGGTTGGATGTGCGGTCGTACAGTACCCATGTCCCGTCCGGCCAACCAATGGCCTTGGCGAGTCTTGACATTGCGACGGCGATGACACTGCGGCCTTGTGATACTAGTGCGTTACGGGTTCTTCAGCTGAACCCTCGGATCCCAATCGCAAAAGCGTGCATTCAGCTCGCCATGTCAGTTGGGCGAGTTCGGACCGAGTTCCGCCGACTCAGCGTTCGTCGCACCGCAGACTGTTCCTGCAGTAGCCTCTTATGCGCATGCAATTGCGGGAACATCTGGAATTCGACTTTACCGGCACCATCTCTCAAAGCAGACCCCATGGTGAGCTGGAGGCAACCCTTGAGCCTCACACTACTCGCCATCTCCCTCTTCATCCTGGCCTTCAGCTTCCTGCCAACCCTCCTTCCCCGCCTCCGCCTTCTCTCATCCCACATCGTCCCGCTAACCTCCGTATACTCTCCCCCAAGCAAACAGTACAGCATGGCGACCGGAGGGTACGACAAGGAGCTCAACGCCGCCTTACTAGCCGTGCAAAGAGCGACGCTCTTGACCAAATCCGTCTTTCATCAGAACGCCAAGGGCACGTTAAGCAAAAGCGATGCTTCTCCCGTTACAATTGGCGATTTCGGCGCCCAGGCGCTCATAATAAGTGCGCTGCAGCACAACTTCCCGAGTGACGAGATCGTCGCGGAAGAAGAAGCCAAAGATCTGCGGGAGAACAGTCAATTACGAGATACCGTCTGGGAGCTCGTCCGTGATGCCAAGCTCTCCAATGCCACAGCTGAGCAAACATTGGGCGGTGCGGTCGGTAGCGCGGACAGTATGCTCGATATCATAGATAAGGGCGATAGCAAAGGCGGTGCCAAGGGTAGGATATGGACGATCGATCCTATAGACGGAACGAAAGGTTTTCTGCGAGGCGGACAGTATGCCGTCTGCCTTGCTCTCTTGGTGGATGGAGAGGTTAAGGTTGGCGTGCTTGGCTGCCCGAATCTGCCCGTCAGTGATAGCGAGCCCTTAAAGGAGGGAATTGGCACGGATGCTAGCGACGAAGAAGGCAAGTTTGGCGTTCTGTTCTCTGCGGTTGAGGGGCAAGGAGCTCAAAGTAGGCCGTTGAGTAAAGAGGGTCTGAGCGAGGGGAAGAAGATTGGCATGAAGCCCATCTCGAACATTTCCGAGGCTACTTTTTGCGAGTCAGTGGAAGCCGGACATTCATCCCAGGGTGATGCGGCGGCTATTGCGCAGAAACTTGGCATCACCAAGCCCTCCGTCCGAATGGACAGCCAAGCCAAATATGGAAGCATCGCACGAGGGGCGGGAGACCTGTATCTACGTTTGCCGGTCCGAAAAGACTACGTGGAGAAGATATGGGATCATGCCGCAGGTGATCTGATCGTGCGGGAAGCGGGTGGCCAGGTCACGGATGTGAACGGAAACCGACTCGACTTCTCGCTGGGCAGGACGCTGAAGAATAACAAGGGTGTTATTGCGGCGCCGAAAGATGTGCATGGCCAGGTAATTCAAGCGGTGAAGGAAGTGCTGGGCGCGAAGCAGTGAGCTTGTTGTACAATGTACAGTACATATCACCATGCCCGCGGGAGTAACTTGCGGAGGGCATCGGCCTTTACACTTGCACTACCAACCTCTCGGCCGTGTCCGCAGTGGATCGCTTCATACTGACCCTCCACGCCGGCAGCTCGAGGCGTTGCTCCTCATGCCAGAACACGAATTCATTTACCGGCAAGCCAGCGTAGCTGATAGGGTCAACATCAGTATTGCAAAACTCATCCCAGACGGCTCCCTCGCCCGTCCTCTCCGCAACCACGAGAAGCCTCCAGATTTCACCCTTCTGCTCCGCCTCGTTCTTGTAAAGCAGGGTTGGTACCAGTTGTGCGTGCCATCGCTTGACATCCAAGGCTTCAGCGTACTGTTGGAGAAGTGTCTGAAAAACATCCGTGCCGTTGCTGATGAAACTTTGCAATACCAGGCCAGTCGAGGGCCGGGCGGCAAGCTCGATCGACGAGTTGAGCGAGGTATTAGTCGACACGTAATTGCCGCTGTACGTCTTTTGAACGTCCTTCCATATGACCGCTTCGGCCTCACGCACAAGTTCCACCGTCACAATCTCTTGGATCTCTTTGAGTAACGTATTGCTGCCAGCGATCAAGACAGTAAGACCTAGGCCGTATTCAGGCATAATACTGATGCGTGAAAAGTACGAAGGTACGCCACCAGCTTTCGTCACGAAGGTCACTGGCCGCTTACTCTTCTCAAGGATTCGATCGGTCCGGAAGATCTCCCACGGCATACCATAGAAGCTCTCCATCCCTGTGCTCCAGCTTGCGGGTAGGAGCCAGTTCACGCCCGTCGCCAGCGCGTTATAGTGTGTCATCACGTAGCGGAGGTATTTGCTCATGTCGTCTAAGGAGCTATAGATGCCACCCGTAGGCTTGTGAACACCTTGATCGACGTCCCAGTATGTCTGGTCAACGGGTAGGACAGCATGATCGTCTGGCGGCGTGCTGAGACTTGTGAGAGTCATGTTCAGCGGGCCGAAGATTGCGTGCTGCATGTAGACATCGTAGTCCAAGCCTATCACGTTCTCAAGGACCAGCCCTAGCAGCTCGAAGGCTGTGTTACTGTAAGTGCTAATGGCGTTTGGTGCAAAGATTGGGTGGTGTGTCTTCAGAGCGTGTAGTAGATCTGTCCGGTTGCAAGGCTTGAGGCCACCGTACTCGTAACATCGTGGCAAGCCTTCCTTGCTCACTGGCGGCAAACCGAGCTCCGTAGGGTCGGTCTCTCCGTTGATCAAATCAGCTTGTATGACATCTCGCGGGATACCCGACAGCTGAGATGCCAAAACACGGATTGTGATGTCATTCCAGGGCATGTCGCCGCTGTGGGCATGCTTCAGCTCATCAATGTACAGCGATACAGGCTCGTCGAGGCTAAGATTGCCAGCTGCGTGCTGGTGGAGAATGCCGAGAACGGTGAAAGTCTTGGAGATAGAAGCGATGCGGTACTGACTATCGCCATCGATGTGCGTAACACCTGGCCGTGTAGCATTATGTACACGGGCAGAATGGAAGTGAGTCCATAGCGTGTCGGTGTTCGATGTAACACCGACTGAGAAGGAAGAGGTGTCATACTGCTGGTCTTCAGCGAGCTTCTCCAGTCGTTGATCGATCCGTTGAAAGGCAGCTTCCAGTTGTTGCATGCCGTTCTGCCATAGTGGAAGTGGGAAAGCCGGGCTAGGTTCGAAGCAATCGGCGTGGACAAGACGGAGAGAGTACACAATCAAACCAAGAGTAGAAAAGAACAACATGCGCCGGTAAGTGAAGGGTATCATCCCTTGAACCGATTGGTAGTGAGCAGGGTAGAGTTGAGCGAAAGGGAAGGGCAGGTCCGAATTCGTAAGTCACCATATACTTCCGAGCTCCACTTACACGTTGTACGTGTGATATGCTTTAAGCAATGGGCAGAGCCATGAGCGTTATATGCTCGAAGTCGGGCTGGAAGGCAACCACATTTAAAGACCTCGAGACGGGGGAAGCGCGGAGACGTTCCGCTTGCGCAAAGGCTCAAGTGTTTGCTTTCGATGCTTTGATGGTATAACTTTAGAGCAAATAAGACCGTTCTTCACAGAAGGTGTTGGGGTGCGAATCAGGCGTGGTTGGAAATGACGCGCAATGGAGTGGCCGACGAGAAGGTCAGAATGGCGCATAGCGTGTTCATACGTCTTGTGTTGGCCCCGTTCACTATCCACTTCAAGAGCCCTACATACCTGCGAGAGGGGACGCTCGAACTCCTGGACAAGCGCGTTTGCAAAGAGACCCTGCAGAGCACCGCGAACAATGTGGCGGTGAGAGAGTCAATAGGAATGGACATCAAGTTCTGGTCGGAGTTGGTCCTGTGTCTCAGGGCAGCGATACCGAGTCTGGAACGCCGCAGCTTTACCATTTGGGACCCGAGTGCTGTAGACTATGAGAGCACGTCCGGTGCGCTTATAGCGAGCAATTATCCAGGCTTGTGGAAAGACCTCGAACGGCTCAACGACCTGGTCAGCATTAGCCGCAACGTCCTCACAATCGGTTCGGTTGCCCAGGATCTCGCCACCGCACACCAAGTCGATACTGAGATCTTCCGTCTGGTCAACGCCTGTGTCAGGGTGACCGCACGTGGGTACGACGGTGAGGCAGGTACGGGCGACGAAGAGAAATGGCAATGGATTGTTAATGCGTACAAGAAGTTATTGATCACCTGCCTGCAATTTGTCAACAACCTCGTGGCGCAGAACGAGCGTCGGAAGATGATGCTGTGGATGGCTCTATTCGATCACACCCTCAACGACAGTGCAGATGTGATGGCCTTCAACCCAGAGGACGTGCCGGAAACCAGTCGAACGACGCTTGCAGATATGCCTAGTAACCCTGCGGTGCCTCCGCAATCGCTTATTACCAGCTACGATTTGCTTGTAGCATATGGCACAGACGGTGAAGATACTATTCGCCACTCCGAGCTCGATGCTGTTAAGACCAATGAACCTAAGATAAAGTATATGCCACCTCCTCGCTTCATCCAGTTAGGTGCCGAAGCGGCGTACGGCGGCGACAAGTCTAAGCTGGTTGGCAATTCGTACGTATGGTTCTGCAAGGAACGGCACAACCGAGCCATAGATTACTATTCAAGAGAGCCAACTCGCGGCGAAGAGTATTTGTTGCATGCACGACAGTGGCACCAAAGTGTATCAAGCGTAGAGGATACCGAAGACCATTGGCAAGCCCTGTATGAAGATGCTGTGGCCAAGTATCGGGCTGAGTGTGCGGTTTGGGAGGCGAAGATGTCCATGCACCGACGATCCTACGGCGGCGGCCACCAGCGCCACGAGGAAGACGAAGGCTTCGCAGACGGCGACGAAGAAGAGGGTGCGAAGTTAGAGCGGCGTGTCGAGGAGCTGGAGGCAGAGATTGCGAAGGAGCTGCGACTGCAGGGGCCGGAGATACTCACCACGCAGAACTTGCAGTATCGTCCTACTTTAGTCGACGATTTCAAGTGTCTCTTTACCGCGGAAGCGGGAGCTAGGATTTTGGAGTCGGGCAAGATCGAGCTTATGAAGCGGCTGAGCGACTACTCTCCGGATGCAAGCTTGCGGGACTTGCAAGACTTGTATTCTAAGGCCCCAGAGAACTCGAACCCGGACGGCAGTGTGTTGAACTCTGTTCGCAGACACGATCTCATCAAAGCCGAGCCTCACATTAACCAGCCGTCTCAGATCGATTACTATGGCGCGCTGCCCATGCCCTCCCAGCTTGATATTCCCTCTAATGACGCCGAGACAGAAGCTGCGAGTATGGACGGTGAACTTAAGCAAGCAGAGCCTGATATGATCGAGGATAGTGCGCCCGAAGACGAGGAGGAGGAGGATGAGGAGGACGAAGAGGATGAAGAAGAGGACGAAGACTACCCCGGATCGAACGAGGATGGACGCGGCTTACTGACCGACGTGCCTCTCATCCTCGGACCATCAGAGATTGAGGTCCTACCGATGCTCATCATGTCCGCTATTGTGCCACCGACACCTCGTCCGGGTATGTCAGAATCGGAGCGCTTAGAGCTTTCCAACCTCGCCTACGTCCGCACACAGATTCTGCTCTCTCAGTCCTCTGGGCGTAATTTGCTCCGTGAGCTGTTGATCTTCGTCGCGGCATGGGATCTGCGAGAAGAGGAGCTGTATTTCAAGTTCATGATCAAGATTCTCGAGGCCATCCTAAAGAGTGGTCTGATGCCGTACGCTTATCACGCTTTCCGGGATCGAAGTCGAAGCAAGGATATCATCTCTCCGGCGCAAGCGGTCATTATGAAGCTTCTGACCTGCATCTACCGCGGACGGAATCTGGAGGCTAAGCAAGCTCTCAGCGCCGGTCCGCAGCCAAAGACCGTCAAGAATGTCGAGAAACAAGCCAGACAAGAGACTGCTCGCAAAATCCTTGCTACAGCTCCGCTGCCAGATCCTCCCGGCGTCAAGCGAGCCGTGTCTGACCCACATCATCCTACAGAGTGTCAGCGCCGCCACTTGTTGCTTATGGGATACGCGCCGCCGTCTCGGACCGACTTACATACGCTCAATTTCTTGTTCACTGAGTTCAGGCAGCATATCATTCCTCAGACCTGCGCGTTGATCTTTTTGCAAGGGCAGATCCACGCTGGACGTGCGCAGCCCGAGGACTTTCCGCTGAATCTGTGGGATATGGAGAGGATGTACGAAGGCGTGTATCAGTTTCTGGAGTTCTTTGCTGTGGTATGCGAGGACAGCAATCCAGCGTCAGGCGTACCCTCTGCTGGACAGGTTGCCACTAATACACCGCCCAACGCGCTAGGGAGCGGTGGCTGGGGCAAGGGTGTGCTGGCCGAATGGGAGGCCACATCCGAGCTCGTGGCTCTGCTTCGTGAGCTTGAGGGCGGTAGTGAGAAACGGTCTGTGGGTGGCGGTCTACGTTACGCAAAGGGTGCCGCTATTGGGACTGTACCGTCTGCCGTAAGGAGGGTGAGTCAGCAGGCTGGTGTTGCCACTGTACCACCTGTTACGCACCCTGTCCCGCCACCACAGCAAAGAAGCTTAAGCGCTGATGCGGTTATCCCTTCGACTCAGACTCTGGCGACACACACTCAGAAAGATAAACCGGCCCCACCAGCGGTTGAGAAACCGTTCGATGTCGAAGGCGCAAACGAACACGGACATCTAGTCCTCCCACCTCTATCTCTGCCTCCGGAACTCGAAGATCCGCAATCCATCTTCGAAGCCGAGACACCTCTCGCCTACCCAGAAGATCCGATCGGGGGCGTACCACATTCTGCCGCTGGCGCTCACGCACCCGCACCACCGCCACTCCACCCCACAGCTGCGGACCAAGACGAGCCTTCCGATTTCGAATGGCGCAATTTGAAGAAGCTTACAGTCCTCGTCCTTTCGTCGCTTGTGTGGAAGAACAAGAAAGTCCAAGATCAACTGCGCGCTCATGGTGGACTAGAGGCGCTAGTCAGCTGTTGCAGGCCCGATGAGAATAACCCTTATATCCGCGAGCACGCCATTATGTGCTTACGCTTCGCTGTAGAGGCGAACGCGGAGAATGCTGAAGCGATCCGAAAGATGGCGCGCGAGCAGCCGAACCATGCGGTGTCCGGGGCACAACGGCAGATTGCGGCGAACGGGAGTCAGAGCGTCGCTCGGGAAGTTTTGTCTGACGGCGGTTACGAGACGTTTACGGATGGCAAGGGTCAAGTGGGACTACGACGCAAGGATGGTAGCGTCGTTCATACTGCTGGGTCAAGCGCTGCAGCGGTCGTGCACGCCGCGCAAAACGCCATCGACATGACCGGCCCTTCACCACCCGTCGCAGCTGCTGGTGCAAGTGCTGCGGCGGCCGTGCAGGCAGCAGTGGAGAAGGCGGGACTTGTGCCTCCCGGCTCAAGCGCGAGCACGAATGCTTCGAAGCCGCCACCTCCGCGGTTGTCACCCGCTAAGCTTACGGCCGAGAAGGCGGCGGAGTTGATGCAGAATGCTTTACGGGATCTGCCGCTGGGTGACAAGTTGGTTACGGATAAGCAGAAAGCGGAGGCGCTTGCGAAGCTGGACAAAGCTTTTGAGAGTACGGAGCGGGTGTTGGGAAAGAAACATGGTGGGAACTCTGCGGGTCCGTGACTAGAAGGCAGTGAACTGTTCCAGTGGGAGTTTGTGCGTGATCGCCTGAAGAGCTTGATGGAGGAGGCTGCGAAGAGATTAAAGGAGGAGGGTGGTAGGGTTTTCGAGGAAGGATGATGATGATGATGGGGCGCATATTATTGTAAGAGTAATGAGTGCTTGGCAGAGTTACGGCCGCCGGAACGGTCGTGGTGCGCATAACTTTCACCACCAGGAAGCTACGATACCCCACGAATTTATGTGGTTACTTATCTGAATTGTAAACTCACTTACCCAACCACGTCTCGTCGTATCTCGCTGCGCTCGGTCCAGTCGCACATCGACCTGCCTCGTTGCTTTCAAGCCATGGAGCCATGGACGCATGGCGTCTGATCGTGGTCCGCTTGCGAAATGCCGATACGACCAATGAGCACCCGTGTAAGGTATATCCACGCTGCGACCGCCTCCTAATCGCTGGAAGTGCTGGCGTTTTCAGACCGATTCCATACCAGCCAATTCTACCTCGGGCTCCATTTGCGATTTGAGCGCAACTCAACACTCGCTGTTCAAACGCTTCGTGTCTGCGGCAGTGGCAGCAAGTCGTGCACGCAATAAGGCGGCATGCGCCTCGTAGCCGAACAAAGGTCCGTACTGGTACTGCGAGCGTGGACCGTGAGCGTAAGTGGGCGGTGTTGGTTTGCTTTGAGGCTGTTGCCTTGCATTTCTGATCGTCTCCAGGTCAATACCAAGAGTTTGGCCGTAGTAATCGCTGCGACACAGCTGCAGCTTCCTGGTCTTTCGCAATGCCTCGCTCATGTCTACTGCAGATGCTTGCAGATGCTGCTCGATTGCGTTTTCTTTTTGGCTGCTTCATAGACTCCTGCGGTCGTGCTTGGTAGTGATGTACGTGGCTTTGGACTCCGCCTCCTTTGCTCTCTTCGCCTGTGAGCGAAGATCACAGCGTCATGATGCCGCTCAAGAAGCGTTACTCAAGGTTTGTTGCAGTAAGAATCCAACATATATTTTGACGAACGAAGCTTCGTACAAGTGCAGTGAACTTGCTCTTGCTCCACTTTTATACAGGCCTTGCTAGCACTCACCTGGACATTCACATCGGGAGCTGGCACGCCGTCGGTATAACATTTTGAGGTACGTAGATTGGGGATGCAATGGCGTGGAGACTGAGCTAAGGTCAGAGCTGAAGTCTAAGTCATAGGTGTCCAAATGAGGAAGGCACGGATCAATGCTCGGCCATCTATAATCGTGAGTAGCTAAGTCACCGGCTTGCTTTTCGTGCACATGGTCATCACAGCCTCATCTGATAATTCAGGTCCTGCTCGTAGCCCACCGACAACTGCGGTATCTGCTGGTATCGACCCTTCAATATCTGGCGTGTGTTCTGCAGCACCTGGATGTAGCTCTGACCAGTACCGTACTCACGCATGGATTCCAGAAACGCCCAGCTCATGGCGCCGACGTGGCTGCCCGCAATGCTCGCATCAGCGCTGGTCTGGTCGTCGCGACAGCCGGAGTACATCCACACGTTCTTGGCGCCTTCGCTTGCATACGCATCTTGGTTGTCGGACGCGCCTAGACCGAATTGGTCCGTCTGGGGCGGCTCATGCGTAAGACCTTTGAAGAAGTCCGTCGCACCTGCCAGTAAAGTCTTGGCCTCGGCAATCTTGCCTACGGTAAAGCCGCCTTGGATCAGGTGCGATGCTTCACTGACTAATGCGATGCCTGTCTGGACGTTATCCATCATGCTGACGTTGCCGTCCTCGTCCGCGCGGAAGACGTACGGGAGCTCGAGAGCGGAGCCTGAGTGGCAGCAATCGAAGATGACGACAAGCGAGCTGTTGGGCGGGAGACGGGAGACTAACAAACGGTGCAGAATGGTAGATGAGATCTGGCCGTTCTCTTCGAAGTCGTAGGGTACTATCGTATCATCATAGCCTGAGGCGCGGTAGTCGTCGCTTGGGACTTGGCCACCGTGACCGGAGTAGTGGAGAAAGTTCATGGTGCCCGGTTCTGAAATTAGCCATTGCATTGCTGCCATGATGTTGTGACCGTTTGGAAAGAATGGGCCTCTGGGGTCGGTATATTGATCGTCGCGTAGGATTACTTGCGAGCGCTGGTCTTCTGGATAGTCCATTGCTTGCACTGCACATGAAATCAACAACACATTCCTACACCGTGTGAGCGGTCGAGTCACGTACAGAATTGGCGCATGTTCTGGACATCTTGATGACAACCCTGCAGTTGATGCTGGCTGCCGACATAGTTGATGCCGATGAGGAGTGACTTCCTCCTGGGTCCGCCGTAGCCGCGCTCCTCATAGTACGCCATGGCGACTTTGTCTGTCCCCTGTACCCGAAAGTGCGATCGAGATGGCGCGGAATGAATCGCGCAACAAAGGCTGATTCAACGCAGCTGAGTTGGCCACGCACGCATGCATGCAGCTGATCCGGGTTATTCGGCGTGTGGGTCAACCACGTCCATTAGTAGCACGTGAGCTGGCGCATGGCTCGCGTCACCAGCCTAAGCCACGATATGAAGGAGGAATCGAGGATAGAAACACTCCTGGTCAATCACCATAACCCAGAGACCATCATTTGAAAAGGTATTCCGGTCACATACAAAAGCAGCCATATATATCTCAATGCCAAGCATCGTTGCTATGGCGCAAGGCGAAATGGATTGCGAAATGCGGATACCAGCCTCGGCGTCTCGCACCTGTTGTATGCCTGTGTACATGTAGTGAAGCGAGGCAATAGAGAAGACATCAGCCACCGACGATGAGCGAGCTTGCCATGCTGTCGGCATCATGGGTAGTCAAAGCAGGTGGTTGTTGACAAGGAACGCAAGTGGCTTGGTGAGGTAGCGCTGGGAAGAAGCGGCGTCTCGCTTCGTTGGCTCGCGCTTTGGCGACTAGCTCGGACGATCCAGCAGCAACAAACAATTCCGCCAACCACCACCTCCACCCACCCGCCATACACAAAGCGACGAGTGCTCACAGTCTCTACTGTCGTACAAGAGAGTCTATCTATCAGTCAGGACCGCATTAATGTCGCTCCACTGCCTGCAATAAGGCGCGTCACGCGTGCTTGCCCCGCTAACCTTTGGAGCTTCACCTTCGCCGACAGTTGCTGCGCGTTGGTATGAATGGCAACAGTATCCATACTGCAACCGACAGTGCAAGGACTAGGGATGACAAGCCGAAGAGCACCGCTGGCCAACGTGCCGCAGGCGGTGAACTCGCCGTTTCGCAATGGTGTTGTGGGGAGCGGGAAGCGTTCGAATGCACACTTGGGGCATGGAGGACAAGGCCAGCCGCCTGCAAAGAAGCAAGTGATCGAGCTATCAGACGACGATACTGAGAATGTCGACCCACGGAAGAGGAACGGCGTACCGGTTACTGCGCGACACAAGCTGGAAGAGCCGTTTTCTAAGCGAAGCAATGCGCACCAGCCCACCGCATTCGAACAAAAGCTTGCAGCTGCCCGAGAGAAGAAGGTGGCCGTTCAGCAACCGACTACGCAACAAGCGAATACAGAGCGAACGCAGAAGGACCTTGCTGCTGATGACGTTGACGCCGTTCGACAGTGGCAGCGCTACTACCGCCGACAGTTCCCAACTTTCGTGATCTACTTCGACAACTTACCGGACGATGTACGTTCTCGAACATTACGGCAGATACTGTTGCTTGGTGCCAGAGAGGAGAAGTTCTTCTCCAAGTCCGTAACACACGTGATCACAACCCGACAGATTCCACCTGAGCTCACGAGTACGAGCCCCGACGAAGATGGCAGGTACGATGGTGCCCAGCAGACGTCAGCGCAGCCCCAGGTACCTGGGCAAGATCATCGACGAACGACTAGTATGCTTGACGCTCACCTGCAACGGCGGGCACAAGGTCAAGTTGGCCATGTCACGCACAACGAAGATGCACGAAAACCCATCAGTCACGGCAGCGACATACTGACCCGAGCCCGTCACCTTGGCATCAAGATCTGGGCACTAGAGAAACTTCAACGCATGCTCAGCCTGCTCGAGGCTGGTGCAGCTGACGATGTTGGCGTTTCCGTCACTCGATCTCAGGTGGCTGCCAACAAGGTGGCTCCGAAGCCTACCAAAGACGCCGACCTGGAGCAACTTCTCCGCAACGAGAAGATCACAGGTCCGACCGATCGAGACATGACTGTCGCTGCTCAGGACATGTGCGTTCTTCAAGGTATCTACATCTACATCCACGACATGAACGAGCAGACGAGACCCGTCATGGTTAGAGACTACACCAAGCCCAAGGAGAAAGAGGCAGGCAAGTGGCCACAGTTTCGCCTTACCGGAGAAGGTCGCTGCCCATTTGTTGATGACCCTCAGATGCGGAAGAAGGTCGTACAAGAGCAAGCAGCTCGTGCTCAAGACGAGCTTGCTGCTGTGCAACGCCAGACACGTACTGCATCTACTCAACAGGTTGCCAAGCCCGCCGCAAATCTACCTCGTGTCCTCAGCGAGCAGCAGACGAATCTCAGGCGTTCACCTCGGAAGCTAGACTCGAAGCCGCTGGCACAAGCCGACGCAGCTGCCGCGCCTCAGCCGGCTAAGCCTTCAAGGCAGTCCTCAACTCAAGGTATGCTGCCATTGTTCGGTAGTGCACAGCACAGCCTCCGTGGTACACCTCGCATGATCGGCGGCGAGCCGGTCGCTTCTGGCATGCAGCATTCGAACATTACGTCAGCCATTCGCTCCCAGTACATTTCTTCGACGGCCATCTCATCTACCGCACCTGGAGCGAACTTCCGCGTCGGCGACAGCAAGGAAGTTTCGGCGCTCAAACGGAAGGTGCTCGAACGTGGCGCCAGCGTCCCTTCGAACCATAGCATGCCATCATCGTACATGAACGACATGCGCGCCGCGATCAACAACGACCGTGACCCACCACCACGTGCGGCGAAGCGGAAGGCACAGGAAACTCTTGGTGTACTGTACGAAGATGCTGAGGATGGGAGTCGAGCCAGCAAGCAGAGGAAGCAAGCCCCGAAAAGGCAGAAACCTATCGAGCGAGATCCGAAGCCGGGATACTGCGAGAACTGCCGTGACAAGTTCGACGACTTTGATGAGGTACGAGGGTCCGAGAATGTGTCCATTGACTCCGCTAACAAGAAATAGCATTGCCTATCCCGCAAGCATCGCAAGTTCGCCTTGGCGCAGGAGAACTGGGCGGAACTTGATGCGTTGCTCACTCACCTGAAAAGGCCGCATAAAGTGGTCCAGTAACGGCTCCCTCGCATCCCATCCCCCCACTCATGAGCTTGCCCTCGTCGAAATATCCTTCGGCATCACCATTCGCGAACCGACGTAACAGGTTGCTCAGCATCCCCTCGAATCAGCGTCACAAACGCACAGCATTCACTTTGGTCCACAGCGACGGCGCTGATGCATCGCTTGCTTTCTCTGTACAGCTTTTGCACCCGTACGCGTAGCGGATGGCGCTCCCTAGCCTTGTTTCGCGATGTGTCGCGGAAGAACTTTGGCATGTCTAGGAGGGCACGACTTATGCTGGCATTGATTGAGTGCTTTTGAGCTGTGGCGTATCGAGGCATTGGCGAAGCAAGAGCATTTTGTACGGCATGCGCATCGATGACGCGAGGTCGGTGCGTATATACGTAGCTGTATACGCGCTGAAGAGGCGCTGTAACCCAAATATCGCAGCTATTTTGTCGTATGTCCGATGTACACAGTGAACCGTGCATAAATCTGCGTGCCTGCCTCGCCTTCTCAAGTTCTGCCCCACATATAACTTCACCTGCAGACGTTGGACGTTCGAAACCTTGCGTGCAGATCAAAACGCTGTACTCGCCAGCCACCGTTAAGCGGTTGGAAAACGCAGATGACTTCCGCGTCGAAGAATAAGTCTCACATGTGATTTGCTGGGCTTACCACCGGGCTACCTTACAGGTTCACGTACATCAACGACAATGGCGTCTCCAGCAGTTGATCCGTCTTCACCAGACGCGCCTATCGAAGATGACGATAACGCAGCAGAGATGCCACTCACAATGGCCGCCTCGGTCGTCCTTGAGCAGTTGCCACGAGATGCGCATAAAGCGCTGGAGACTGCTGGCGAACTTGAGCAAGCGAAAGGTGAGTCTGCCGTACCTTCAACACCCAAAGACGTTCCAGCTTTGCTATCGCACTAGTGCTAGTGTTATTCATGCTATTCAATAGTAACGATACGACTATCTCCCCTCCCCAACACACCACAGCTTCGTCAACCTCGCTTCAAGTGCTCGAGCAATCAGCGCTTTGAGGCTATTGTGCGCTTTCTACGGCGCAAATTGGGACTGCAAGATCACGAGAGCGTGTTTTGTTATGTCAACTCCGTGTTTGCGCCTGGCCTGGATGAGGGGGTGGGGAATCTTTGGCGGGTGAGTGTTGGATTTGTGGCGCTGTCTCGAAAGGTCGTAGCTGACTAGGACTTCTACAGTGCTTTAAGACTGGCGATGAATTGGTTGTAAGCTACAGCATTACGCAGGCATTCGGATGAGCGACGTTATGTTCCGAGCCTTAATGGGTGGCAAGGGCCAGCTCGCCACAACTCATGATCTACGCCAAACGGCTGGAACGAGGCGACGCAGAAGCAGTCCAGCACAACGATCACTTCTGATGACCAAGAGTCTATTGCTGGCTATCAACGATACGCTCAAACTCCGTATATGCCTCCTTCGGCATGGGATATGTATGCTCAGACGCCGGGTAGCTTCGACCCTTGACTTCAGTCCGATACTGCTCGATCGCCCGCCTTGCCTCGCTCCAAACATCGCCAAATTGCTTCACGAATTTCGGCAAGGAGCGGCCAGGTGGGAAGTTGCCGGACATGTCAACCTGCACCAACACTTGACCAGAGCAGCCATTTCCGGCGCCGATGCCGATGGTTGGGATGCGCAGTTTCTTCGTCACGAGCGCAGCGACCTCTGCCGGCACAGCTTCAAGAACGACGGCGAAGGCGCCTGCCTCTTGCACAGCTAGGGCGTCCGCAAGGAGTTTGAGTGCACCAGCCGTGGACTTGCCCTGCACCCTGAATCCGCCAAGAGCATTTTGCCTCTGCGGCGTTAAGCCTATATGTGCCAGTACCGGTATACCTGCCGTGGTGATCTTGGCTATCGCAGGTGCCATCTCCGCACCACCTTCGAGCTTGATGGCGTGCACTCTACCTTCCTTCACCATCTTAATTGCACTCTGTAGCGCGTGCTCGGGACTCACTTCGTAGCTGCCCATCGGCAAGTCGCCGACGATAAAGGCAGCTTTGGCCCCTCGAGCAACACTCCGACAATGCAAGATCATCTCCTCAAGCAGGACCTCGCTCGTATCTTCCATACCAAGTGCGACCATAGCGAGACTGTCGCCAACGAGTACCATGTCCATGCCGGCTTGGTCGGCGACGTGTGCAGAAGGAAAATCGTGGGCGGTGATCATGGTGATGGGCTCGTTGCGCTTGTGCATCGCTTGAAGAGTGGGAATGGTGACCTTCTTGCGCGTGGTTGAGGCGGCGCTGAGTGGAGAGTGCGAGGAGTATCTGATGCCCGTAGTAGCTGCCGGTCCACTCCTTCGGCCGTCATGGTTGCTGTGATGCTCTGCGAAGGCAGGTCTGACAATGTTCTGCATGCGAGGCCACGCAGATGCTCGCAATGACAGTGTGCTGGTTAAGCCACGCGACATCGTTGCTGGCCGGCTCGTTCGTAGGAAAACTTGGTCAAAGAGAAAGATTGATGCGAAGAGAAAGTACGCTCACCTCTGCTAAGCCTACGACTCATCCTTACAGCTGGCGGTGAATTAGATGTTATTGCTGGCTGGGAACAGATGTTCGGCGTGGTTACAGTCCTTGCCTTGTGAAGGAATCTAGGCCGAGGTCAGATCGGCTGCATTGGCTGCCGTTCTTCAGCCCTGCAGGGTACGCACAGACCTCGTACCTATAATTGTTTCGTCAAAGTACAGAGCTACCAGCAATTGAAGAAGCTATAAGGCGACCTACGTCCGACAATGGATGGTTGAGACACTTCTAACCTCTGTCCATCAATTATTTCAATATCGACACGACGCTAGCTAGAAAGCTGTAGATCGCTCGGCGCACAATGTTTCACTCCACCATATCTCCGGGTTTTGGGGCTGCTTGCAGCTGCGTTCGTTGAGCCGATGCTGTGGTAGACTGATACAACGACGTCGGTGGCCGAAGAATGTCGCATGAGACGCCTTGGGTTGTGGACCGTCTAGCCAGCATATGGCTGCGATTGAAGTGCATCCGACATTGCGATCTAAGACCCGAAGCCTCCGAAACCACCCATACCCATTCCTGGCATACCCATACCCATATTGCCGTGGATAGGACATCCAGCACCACCCAATCCAGGAAGGTTGGGGCCTAAAGCAGCCTCTATCATGATGCGGCACGCCTCCTCCAACCGGGGCCATTCCGTGCCATCAGCCCTCAATGGCAAGGGCATTTTGCACAGTCGAACGCAAGTCATGGGGTCGAAGTGGAAAGGCTCGTGCCAGCCTTCGAGGGGTGGGGCCATCCAGGTAGATTTGTCGTGGAGAAGGTTCACAAACTGGATTATGGGTCCGTGTGGGCGCCGGCCTTCGAGCATTGCGTCCACCTCCGCGTCATTTACGAAGTGAGATCCTCCGCCGCACAGGTAGCCGTCCTGAGTCTTGTCTGATTCCACTGTCAGTGAGGTCAGGGTTCAAGTGGGCATGTTCTGGCAAATTTACAGTACGGAAAGCCCGCGACGCATATGCCGCTTGCTTGGACGAGCATACGCTTGACCTCTTCATCGAAGCGGTGAAGCTCCGCTTCGCCCTTAGCTGCCGCCTTTCGCCGAGCTTTCCCTCCGGTGACCTGCGTCATCGTCGTCGTCGTCGTCGTCGTCGTCTTCTTGCTCTTCCTGGGAGCCTTCTTCGTCTCGGGCTGTGGCTTTGGCGCTTTCAAAGCTTGATATTCCGTACCTTGCTGCATGTTTGACTGTGCATACGATGGGTCCAGATGCTCCTGTGCAGTCTGTAATTGCATGCTACTGAAAGCTTCCTGCATCTGCTGCTGTGCGTAGTCAGTAGCCGCCGGCGGTTGTGGAGTGTACATGTTGCCATAATCTATATGATCCTGCCTCAGCAGCTGCATGATATCAGGCTGCGGAAGAGATCGTTGTCTCGGCTGAGGAGGAGGAGTCTGCACAACAGACTCATGACCCTCCTGCTGCAAAGCCTGCTGAGCTTGCTCGGAGCCTAGAACACGGCGCTTCTTGGTGGTCGTTGTTGTGGTAATCGTAGTCGACTTAGCGTTGGACTTCTTCTTCCGTTGTTTGTCCTGCTTTGGCAGCTCTGAGGCAGGCGGTGGCAACGCATACTGTGGCCATGCGGCCGGCTGGTCAAGGCCTGTCGGGTACAGTTGGTTGTTCATGGTGTCCAGTTCCGAAGCGAGGTTGTTCTCGAGGGAGAGGCTTAGGAGTTGATGCGGTTGCATGAGTGACTTCCAGAAAAAAGACAGGCTCCGAGAGTGTCATCGACATAGATGGCCACGCTATCACGCAGCTGATCCAGCATAGCCAGTAACTGATACATTAAGCATCCCAGTCACGGCAGCTTACCCGAATGACCGGTGACAGGCTTACATCCTCCCTCGTGACGCAGAAAATGCGCCCCTCATGGCGAGAATGCCACAGTAGCCACATATCTTAGCCTAGTGAATCTTGCAGCCACCTTGCCGCTTGGCTTGCCCACCTACCGCGTGAGACCGGATCGGTGTCCGAGTCATCTTCGAAAGCCAGCAGGGCCTTTGCGTTCGCTTCCGCGTTCCTTGCTGCTACTTCTGCTTGCCGACGATCGGCCAGTGCGTCCACCTCATCGTCAGAGAGCACTTTGCGGCCAAAGTCTCCTGCACTAGCTTGACGAAGGTGGCTTTGTCGAAGTCGGCGAACAAACTCTTCAGCTTGTCCTCTCAGCAGTGAATGATTACTGGTCCAGACACGAACGTCGGGCAATTTGAGTCCTAGGGATGCACTTGGGTAGCGTTTCGCCGTTTTCATCGTTCTCCTGCTCTTGAGACTTTGCGCATCCTGTAAAGTTCCAGTATGTAGATCCTGCTGGCTACGTTCGAACTCCTGCCGTTCGAGATAGCTGAGCAATTCCAAGTCGTCAGACGGAATCTCAGCAGGCGCCAATGGTATTTCCAGACCAGCGGATCGGAGGAATAGCATCGGCGAAGCGAACGGGTCGAAGTAGTGCTCTGGCTTCCTAAAAGCTTGGCTGCGGAGGGAGTGTAGCCCGTTTCCATCAGAGACGATCCCACCCACAATCTCTCTGGGTCCATCTAGCACATCTACCCAATCAACGAGAGGGTCCTTTAGCGCAGCAGCAACGACGCCGGGCTGCCCAACTCGACACTCGGTCAAAGCAAGCATGGCCGCCAGCCCGCCGCCAACAAGCTCTCCACACACTGCAACTTTCCCTATATGGTCGGCACGGCCAGCACGCGAAATTGCACGCTTTGGAAGCAGGTTCTCCTTGACCCAGTCGAAACCGGTGACAACATCATGGATAGGCATCGGATACGGATGTTCACGCGACAGGCGATACTTGATGCTTACGACTGGGTGCGATTGCTGCTCCAGGAACGCTTTGATGTTGGCATCGTCACGCTCGTTACCGAGCAGTGCCGGCACCCGAGGTAGGTACAAGATGGCCGCTGTTGACCGTGCATCTGTGGGAGAAGCCGGCCTTGTTGGTGTATATATACTACCCTTGTTAGGCAATCGATCGTGACGCAAGCGGTAGGCTTACTCCAGAGTTATGTGGCCATTGCTATAACAAGGAACCGTGACACTCGAACGTGCAATTGTCGACAAGGGTCGGTGCCAACCGGTTACCAACGAACTGCTTCTAACTCTGATGCGTAAACTGTGGCACGTTAGCCGTTCGGACATGCCTCGATGTTCCACTCGCGAGGAATGAATGGCCATATTTCGGCGCGTGAGGTTCGCGAAAGTTATGGAGGCGCTAATCCTCTTTCAGCGGTTCATCGACGACGAGTGGCATGGACAAGTCGTAGACTTCTCAAATGGACAGTAAACGTCAACGCATTCGGGTCATATCGACTTCTACAATGAAAAAGGCCGTTGAGATAATGGGCAACAAGCGTTGTCGTGTACTGCTCCTCTGCCTGCACTTGTTTCAACTGTAAGGAAAAATTATCAACATCAGGAAGTGGAGCAGAGTGTTCAAGAGAGTAAAGCTGGATTCATCCAGAACATAGGGATGGAGGCATATCGTGGATTGTACCATGGCCAGTTCTGTGTCGTGAAGATCGAAACATCGGACAGGCAGGCTATTAATGCCAGAAAAGATGCCAATGGAGAAGAGTGGTGGAACATTGATGCCCTAACCAGCAGGAGTCTTGTGGCGGCTTACAGCACGCGGGGTAGAGTAAATCCGTACCATGGGGCCAGTCACAAGCACCAAAAAGGCGATGTGACCACGGGATGATGGGACAGGAGCCGTTAGCGCCCTGACAGAGCGTGCATCGTTGGTTGTAATAGTAACGTAACAGCGCGAAGACCTGGTAAGCACGCTCTCTAGGCGCTCTTTCCAGGACAAAGCTCGCATGATTCGAACGACCAGCTGAGTCTGTGAGTAAGTCTGCTGCAAAGGTAGAGCTGAGCGTGAAGTATTGCAAAGATGCCTATCTCTGTACCAAGTCAGCAGACTGTGGCCCTCGTCCGTACACTTGGCGGCCCGGTGGAGTTCGTCAAAGATTACCCTGTCAAGCAGCCTAGTCATGATGAGGTTCTGGCCAAAGTACTATACTCAGGCGTCTGTCAGTCCGATCTGCATACCCGGGCAGGCACTGCAGCAGGCGCAGATGGCAAGCCCATCACGGCGATCAAGCTACCGCATGTGGGTGGCCACGAGGGCGTAGGCAGGATCATTGCGCTCGGTACTGGGATTCCGGAACGTGACCCAAGCATTAAGGTGGGAGCACTGGTCGGCATTAGATTCTCCAGTAGAGTCTGCAGACGGTGTGAGTTCTGTTTGGCAGGCACAGAGCAATACTGCCAAGGCGTCGAAGACTGGAAGCCTACAAATCATCTGCACCATGAGGATGGTGCCTTCCAGGAGTACATTTGCCTGGATGCTGGATACATTACACTGCTACCACCTGACGTGGATCCGGTATTAGCAGCTCCGACACTTTGTGCAGGACTCACTGCCTACAAGGCTGTGCTCAATGCTGAGGTCAAGGTGGGCCATTGGGTGGTCGTTGTCGGTGCGGGTGGCGGGCTAGGTAAAGGCCCAGCTGTTACGAACACATGGCACATACTGACGGCATTCAGGTCAATACGCGGTCCAGTATGCGATAGCCCAAGGAGCGCGTGTTATCGGCGTTGACACCGGTTCCCAAAAAGAGGAAATGGTGACCTCTTTCGGAGCCTCATTCGTCGACTTTCGGCAAACTCCAAATATCGTCGCAGAGGTGCAACGTCTTACCTCTGGTGGCGCGCACGCTGTCATTGTCGCAGCAGGCTCATCTCCCGCTTTTGCGCAAGCGGCTTCTATGCTTCGCATCGGCGGGACAATGTGCTGTATCGGCATTCCACCTGGAGGCGGTCATATCAATACCACCGTCGCAGAGATTGTGATCAAAGGATTAAAAATTAAAGGCAACCTCGTGGGCAGTCTGAAGGAGTGTTTGGAAGCCGTTGAGCTGGTGAGGGCTGGCATCGTGAAGCCGAAAGTGTTCGTTCGGCCTTTTTCCGATCTCCCAGATGTATACGAAGAGCTGGAAAGAGGCGATATTCCCGGACGAGTGGTTCTGAAGATAGGAGATGATTTGGTTAGTAGTGCGAGGTTGTAAGTAGTCGTGCCACCATTGTGGCTGCTTTATGAAACTTAATACTGCTGCCGCGGAACAGTTCCGCTTTGTGTTGCGCTTTGCTTGCTCGCCGTCATTTGTTGTCTTCAGAGGTCTTCGAGCGGGCCACTGATGCAGAGCCGGTCCACCTCGTTGGCGCTGTTGCTGAGGAAGACAGATCGGTCGTGTGCGGCAAAGCACGCCAGCATCCACGGCTGTGAGATAATGATGAGACTGCGCAATACGATGCGTTCCGCATGGCCCTTGAAGGTCGAAGCGCGCGGGGACATCGTCTGGAAGACAGTGTACAAGGCTTGCATTGCACGAATACGGACATTTGGCATTAGTGGTTGTTCATGGAGAAGGGCAAGGGCCTCTGGCAGGAGTACATGATGGAAGAGTAACAGCAAACGCCTCCGTGGGTGGCGTCACGCTAGGATGGTAGCACATAAAACGAAGCGCATTGGCGCCCTGATAGCATATGCGCAGCTGCTGTGCAAAGACTGTGACATCCTCTTAATCTTTGCCTGGCAATTTCGTTCGCCAGTGTCCGCCCTTGAGAAAGGTACAATGTCCCCTCGTGATCATAGTTTCTTGCAATAGTACGGAGCTGTAGTATGGAGCTGTGAGACACCTCGCCTTGAACTCAAGGCCACCTAGCTCCTCAATACAGCACGACATGCATTATCTGACAATTCTTCCGACAAGATTAATCTGACAATTCTTCGAACCTCCCCTTTTCCACGGCCTGCTGTACTGGATTCTTAACATCCACAACACCAGTAGCCTTCAGCCTCTCGAACAGCACGAAAAGTCTCTCTGCTTCACGTTCTTTTTCTTCATCAGTCATCTCTGAGACTTGCGGTCTGTCCCGTTCTTCCGCGGACAGCTCCTGTCCGGTAATAGAGTTGAACGGATTCACAGCTTTAGCAGCCGTCTGGCCACCCTCGCCAGCTGTCATCGTGGTCGCAGGAGGCACGCCAAGACCGTGGCTTACAAGGAATCCTGATGCGTACCCGTAGCCTATGTTGTTGACGAACTTGCTCGGGTCCTTGTCGCTCAGCTCAAACAGTAGATTGGAGACGTTGTCGCGAAGTGTAGGCAGGTTCGGCGAAGTTGAGAGCCGCAAAAGGCGTGCGGGCAGCGTGTCCCCTTGGCCGAGTGGCTTTTCGCGTTCATGCTGCTGTGGCAGCAAGCGCGTGCGCATGAACGTACGAACAGCTGGCTCAGCAAACTCGTGCACACGCCTGATGAGCGTGCAAAGGGGTGCAGCGGAGATTTCGAGCTCCTTCTCCGGCTGCACTCTGATTGTCCGGTCCAGGATGTCCACCAAGCGATCCACGACCGTCTCAGCATTTGCCAACGGAAACAGTGGATTCTGGCTCTCGTACTCAGCTGTCGCTCCCGTCGTCGCAGGGTTAAAGTCAAGGTTCAGAAGGGCGTTCAGAAGCTGGGAAATTGGAGGCTGTAATGGTGGCTCCGGCAGTGGATGGTGCAAGATCAGCTTGATCAATGACGGAACTGATGGCGTGAAGCACGCAGCTAGCGCAGGTTCGTAGTACGTCAGGTTGAATAGTAGCTTAAGCGTTTCAGTGAGTGCAGCATCCTCTGCTGCAAGATTTTGAGCACTGTTTGCGATCATGTCTGGTGAAATAGCCTTCGCGTGCCGCTCAACTTGCATGTTGATGCTTTCGGCTAGAGAGTGCTTATCTACCAAGGCCTGGAAGCTGACATCGGTACTGTATGTTAGTAAGAAGAGCATTCGGGACACGAGGAACTCTTCATCATTGCTGTCGAGCTTTAACCGTTCGGCAAGCCGCGGCGCATAGCCTAAGTCAACGAAAGTCTGCCTAGCCGACTCGTTCAGCAGAAAGGCATTCGCTATGCAACGTAATGCCTCCCGTGAAGAAGGAGAGCTATCACTATCGAGTCCATAACGTGAGAGTATTCGAAGACCCTGCAAATGTTCAGTAGATGTGTCAACGTCCGTTCGCTTGACGTACCTTTTGTGTGAGGATAGGGCCCGCAGTCGCAGGATTGCGGCCGTACACCTTAATCTGACCAAGCAACGTCTCCTGCTCTGAGCTGTGTCAGATCAAGTGGGCTTCTGCCAATGAGGCTTTGTCGCATACGCTTCAGGGAAAGTTTTGCATCTTCAAGGTTGCGTTCTAGCCGGACTAGTAGGCGGTCAACCTCAGCGAACTCTGGATCAGGTTAGCAATCTGGTTTTTTACAGCTCCCCGAAGTACAGTCCGAACTTCACTGGACTTTTGGAAGCCTACCTCGCACGAACACAGATTGATTCGACATTGCTCTGCAGACCACGGATGGAATGCCTGATCGAGATCACCTATTTTGAGCGGAGCACAGAACTTTTGGGATGCATGGCGATTTGCAATCGGTCAGAGCCGTGGTCATATAAGGCGAATGGGGGCTGGTTCATTGTACATATACTATATGTACCCAACCGCTGGCGGTTCAGTGCTTTCGTCCATCAAGCTTAGACCCTTCACCGCGCTTAGCGTTGCATTCAATCTACGCGCTACGCGTCTTCCCTCTTCACTGCGAGAGTTCAGATGTCTTTCAATATTGTATGGTGTCCGTACTTTGAGCACAGCGTCTGATTTTAGCATCGTTCGGCGTTTAGGTTGAGCCATGGTGTCTTCGATGTCTTCTGCTTTCGACAGCTTACCGACTCGCCCGCCGACACCACCTCGGGATCACGCGGAGCCTGTCAGTGAAAATATCAGATCTGTGGACGACGGCAACGAGGTTCAACAGGGGCTGACGCGATTGCCCGAAGGCTCCAATCTTCAGGCGGATGCCTCTGCTTCTGCTACATCACCGCCATCGTCGCAAGAACCTCCAGGCAGCGTCAATGCGAAGAGAGTCGGCTTCAGTCCGTCGTTAACTTACCACCGGATTGCCGCTGGCGGCGATGCAAGCTCACCCAACGCGCATTTGCGGAAGCGCAAACCACTTAGGAAGGATGCGCAACCACCAAGATCGATCCTCAAAGCATCAGCTCTCCCACCACCGTCTACGCCGGACGAGGTCGAAGTCAAGCTAAGCTATTTCTCGCCCGAGGAGCCCGGAAGCTTTGCAAGAATGCTGCAATCGATTTTTCAGCAACTTGCAAGCCCATCGGTCTCTGCCAGGCTTGACGCCTACCTTGCCCTTAATGGTACACTGCAAGCCTACGGTGGGGTGCCGGACTCGCAGGCCATCTCGGCGAGGATGAGCTTGCTCGTGCAGTTCCTTACCCGTGACATGGCCTGGAAGAATCACAAAGGCGAACTTAGTGTCAACATCGTCACCCAGGCGCTGAAACTCACAGCTACTATGATGTTCAACTCAACCCTTCTTGAAGCAATGGATTATGACTTCCGGACCTTTATCATTGACAGATGCGTGACTGTGGTCGAGACTGTGGGCATGCCGAAGGCCCTTGTCAAAAGTCACATGTATATGCTTGCCCAGCAGCGTTTCCAGAGTTCCGTAATCACACCGACACGCGCCGACCGCATAATCAGTGCAGTCCTGACGGTCGAAGAACGCTGTAGCGGGAGTAGCATAATCGCCACACGATTGGCCGTGTATCAACGTCTTCTGGATCAAGCACCTCTGAGCATGTTACATCGCATGCGCGACTGGTTTGAGCATGTCATACATGGCATGCTGAGCACAATCAAAGATATTAGGGATCACGCAATCTCGACATGCATGTTGGCAGGACATGTGCTCGGCACCCATTCGCGGGCATCGAGGACCGTGCTGGAGCTCTTGCAGAGTGAGATTAATGAAGGCAAGACATTTTGTGACTACATAATCGAACAGCTCATGCAGATGATCTCGCAAGCGGAAATGGGCGCTTACGTGCCACAAATTTGGTCTACGATCATACTGTTCTTCCGAAACAAGCAGTTCACGTTAGAACGGTGGTCAGACTTCAAGGCATGGCTGAAGCCAATTCAGCGATGCTTGAACTCCAACAACGTGGGTGTCAGGTACCAAGCCTATCTAGCCTGGAACAAGCTTGTCTTTGCGACAATGCCGGACGCCTCAACTTCTCGCAAGATGCTCGAAATGCTACAAGTGCCAATTACGACAGGGATGGACAGGAGTCCACGGGATGCATTCGCTAGACAGGCACGGCAATGGGCTCTGGAAAGCTACTATACTGTCTTGTACTACACGCTTCGACCTGGATTAACCCACTCAGAGGTGGATACCGCGTGGGATGTCTTCGTGCAGCCTGTCTTAGCGGGAATGATCAAAGCCAACGTGGACGGGAGGCGAACTGCAAGCGGTGTAATCGCGAGCCTTTGCAGTACTTACCCAGGCATGTGGAATGCGACCGCCGTCTCTGAGTCTAAGGCCATCATGACTGAAGACCTACCCGGCCTGGATCCGAAGTGGGTGCGATCAAGGCTGGCACGGGTGATGAATGTAGTCGAGCAATTGCTGGGTTACAGCCTGGCGAACCCAGTAGAGGCCACGAACGTTCAACAAATGTGGCGCTGCATCATGCGATCGGTCGGTGCGGCAGGCACCCAGGAGATCAGGAGCTCCAGCGATCTTAAACAGGCTATTGCCTTGATAGTGAACGCGCTACGCAGGTTCTGGGACAGTGCTAACCAAACACGCCCCGCAGCGGAGAGTGGGCCTCTCATCACTTACTTCACCACACTGGCAGAGATTGCCGCAGAAGGCGTAGGGACTGCACGTATGACGGAAGACGTCCTACTAATAGCGCCAGACTCTCAGGTACAAGCGATTACCACTCCTTCGCACCGCGCTTCCAAGCACCAAAGCGCTCCGCAGTGTGCACTTGCGCTGATCTTCGACCGTCTGCAGGCCTCTCCAGCCACACTAGAAAGTTTCTCGGCTATTGAGACCGCGGCCAACACCTTGCTCGAGCTGCTCACCTCAACCAGACGATCAGCATGCGGAAGGGTCGAGCTGCTCGCACGCATCACGAAGAGCAGAGGTTCAATTCATGCGTCACACGCCTCCGCCGGTGTCGCTTCGATCTTGTGGATCTGCGTCGCTCAAAGCGCCTCTACAATCATGGAGCGTCTCGCTTGCGAGGCTGACAACAGTGAGCCTTGTAGCCTTGGCATAGAGCTGCGCCATGCCTCCGCCATCCTTGCTGAAGGATTGCTGCACTTGTCGCATTCGTCTGAGGTAGCCGAGAGAGTTTACGATGCGGTATTCCGACTTCTGAAGTCAACGCGGTTGGTCGCCACCAAGAAGGCTCGCAGCGCTGGTGTAGTCGTTGCAGTTCTGGAACCTTTTGCGGCAGCGATGAGAGAGATCGCCTCGCCCATGGGACTGGCAGTAAGGCTGCGCTTGACATCCGACCTCATGACACCTGCAACTTGGGCGAACAGCAAACAAGAGTTTGAGAAAGCGAAGAGGGTCCTTTGGGGAGTTGGCTTAGCGCCTAACAGTGTAGGACCGTTTAGTCCCTACGTTAGCCTTTATGAGGTGATCGATAGTGCGATGCAAGACGCCTACGACCAACTTGAAAGCTTGGTACATGACATGGAAGCGTTGTCAACAGTAGGAATGCTACTTCGGTCCGCCCTAGCTTTCCTGCAGGCATGTCCGAAGTCATTGCTCGTTGGCGCGGTAGAGAAGTTACAGAGATGCCTTGCTACTTGGATTGAAGACCGGGAGAGGAAGACAGCGCCTTATAGGCAGCTAATCGACTCGGTAGGTGCGATCTAGAGAGCTTCAAGAGTGTTGAGCGCTAACTCGAGCTTAGGTATGCTTAGCAGGACACGGAGTACTACAACTTATCGAATCCTTCACCAGAACGGGCTCGGTGCTCATCAAAGCGCTAGAGCCATTACTGTTAGCCTCAATGCTGTCCCCGCACAAGGTCATGGTGAACGACACCGTCCGCTTCTGGAACCGAACCTTCGGCGAGCAAACTGTCCTTGAGTATCCGGAAAATCTGGCTAAGGTACTGTATCAGAGAAGCCGGGAGGCAGACATTGCTCTTCCAGGCTTCCCTGATAGTCTTTCAGGGCAGCAGGAGACAGCACTTCCGGCATTCTACGAATCTCAACCTGAGGTGTCGCCGAGTAAGCGTTTTACACTGTCTGATGCGCAGATCTTCTCGTCAGATTCGCGGAGACAAGCTATAACAACTTTCGAACCGGAAACAACACGCTCATCGCCTTCAAAGCGGCATCCCAGTTGTGGTCCAAACGTACTCTTGGATGATGTTCGCCGGAGTGCAACTATCAAACCACCATTGCGCCCACGCCACGACGATTCCCAAATCGAGTTCGCACCAGTGGAATCATTGTCACCAATGCCGCAGAATGAGTCGCATATGCTTACAGAGCGGCAAAAGGAAGTCAAGAGGAAGCAACAAGAGCTTGCTCCGCTGTTCCCGGAGCTCTCGTCAAGTCCCATGATGAACCAGGCAAGCACAAATAACGACCCGCACAAGGTTCTGGACTTTCATACGGAAGTCAACCCAGCAAGGAGCAGTACCCCAGACGATCTGCCTGATGCGGATGCACTATCAAGCGATGATCTGCCATCATCCCCGACTCCGTCGTCGGCGAAGGATGTCGAATCGGCAGCAGTTGAGGCAAATGATAATGAAGGAGTTGTCGATGGCGACACAGAAGGAGAATGGTCTTCCTCACCGCCGCGCCAGAGTGCCGCTCACCAAGAGGAGCGGCTGTCTTCGCCATCTCCCTTGAACGAGAGACTTCACTCCGAACTTGTCAATGCCCGAATCCCTACCAAGGACGTGTCGCCAGAAAAGGTGCCATCGAATGCATATCATGCGTCACGCGCCGTCCCTGACAAGGATCTCAGTCACGTAGTTGAACTCGACGATGCTCTTGTATCGGATAGCGTTCTGCCAAACGCGCAACTAGAGCGCGAGGCGCAGGAAGCGGCCAACTCCATGGGCGACATCGAAGCTGGTCAGACCGCGGAGGTCACCATGTCACTTCTACCACCACTATCCGAGTCAGATCAAGCCGCCGCCGCAGAAGTCGTCGCGATCGCACTTGTTGACGCCGACACCACTGTCGAAGATGCTGCCGCAAATGACGTGTCGAGAGTGCAAGATTCTTTCGTCCAAACTCCGGAAGGCTTAAAAGCATCTCTAGTACAGCATGCAAGCGAAAGTCAGGAGAGCAGACAGAACTCCAGAAAGCGTAAGCGCACCTCGTCCGCTGGATCGACGGCGAGGAAGCGTATGAGCACGTCACCAATCAAGAAGGCCTTGGGTTTCTTCTCAAGCTATATTGCCGGCAGAAGGCAGGACGAAGAAGATGAAGACAGAGGAGAGGAGATTGTCGTCGCTAGCAGCCAACCTAGATCACCACCTCAAGCGGATGCGGAGCCTTCGAAACCGTCTTCCCCTCTTGTGGTCATACCTGTCACCTCTTTTGTTGATTCGACAGCCGCATCACCAGGAACGGCAGCTGTGCTTGATCGTCCGAAGAAGCGCGGCCCCGGAAGGCCTAGGACATCGGAAGCATCAAGTCCAGCGAACCAGCGGTCGAAACAAGCGATGCCTAAGACTCTCAAACGACGAGCATCAGCATTGAGCGACGATAATGACCATGACGACGAAAAAGACACAGAGTCTATAGGAGCGAAGCCGACACCCAGCGAAGGTCGTAGGCAGCGCCAACGCCGGGATACTGAGCTCAGACAAGTTGCTTCGCGATCACAAGATGATAGTCCGGCACGTAACCTGCGGAGCAGATCAACTGGCTCAAGGCAAGCGAGCAATGAGCTTGCTTTGCAAGAACAAGATCATTGTGCGGATGACGCGATCACAACGCCGCAGAAACAGCACCAATCTGAGGCGTCTGTTGCTCTCCAGCCGGTCTCGCCTTCTACACCGAAGACGATCCTTGAGCGGCTTCGAGAAGTCCTTGGCGAGCTGCAGAAAGCCGTTCTAGGCCCTCGTGAGGAGAGGGAGATGGACGACGTCTTATACGAATTAAGAAGGGAGTCGCACGAGGCTGCACGGCGCGGGAGGCAGAGGACTGACAGTTTATCCTGAATGGCCGAACATAACCCTTAGGACCCATTTTGGCAAGCACAGGTGGTGGCAGTAACCGTCTCACAGACGGCGGATGTCCTCATCCAACAAACCAGCTATTCGCTTTTCAGGCCTAAGCATATGCTTTCCGCTCATGGCCGCCATTGAACCCAGTCGTCATCTCGTACCTTCATAACCGCACTCCCGCTCACAGGTGTGCCTTGAGAATCTGCCCACCTTCGAACGTCTCACCCGGCTCAAGCTTCTGCCACCCATTCACGGCGCCCACCTCCACGCACAACATCTTCTTGTAGCCATCCTTCGGCTCGAAGTCGCCCATACCCTTTGCCTTCTCGATCCATGGGTTCCACACGACCGAGTCTTCGAGGTTGTCGCGTTGGACGTCCAGGTACGACCTGCCTTCCGAGAGGATGGATGTGGTATCTTGCTTGATGGACATGTAGACGCGGTCGGTCTCGCCGTTGATTGAGAGGGATGGGTTGGTCTGCTGGTGCTCTGTAGCGTTGAGCATCTTGTCGATATAGGTCACGCTGCCAAGGCCGTTGATGGTTGCTTTTGAGATGTCCTGTCGATGTGTAAGCAGAACGTTCGCCGATTGTTAGGCGTTGGAGTTGACGAACCGGAATCTTGAAGTAAGTGTGCAACAGCATCTGGAACTCGAAGCTTTCCTTGCCCTCATTCCGCACATTCAGCATGGTCTGCAGCCCGTCTTTTCTTAGCGTCACGCTGTACACCAAACCGAACTCGTATGGCCACGCTTGCTTTGCCTCGGCGCTGAGCTGAGCAGAGGAGAGACCGAAGTCAAGAGTGACGCTGTCGTCGCCGCCGGATGCACCCTTGCCGGATTCGGAGCTGTTCTCGCCCATATACTCCCATGTCGAGTTGCGTGCGAAGCCGTGTTGCGGGAGCTTGCCGGTTGCATGGTCTTGTGGCGGAGGGCCGAAGCACTGCACAAAGTCAACGTCAACTCTCATCTGCACATGTCGCTTGATGGAAGTATGTGCCTACCGGAAAAACCACGGGTACGCCACCTCTCACAGGCTTGCTGCCGTCCAATTTGGCCGCGTCGCTCACCCAGAAGTTCTCGCGGCCATTGCTTTTCCAGCTAATCACAGTTGCACCATATAGCAGGACCTCGACTGAATCGCCAGTTGGTAGAGAAGCTATAATTCTGCCACGCTCTGAATGCACACTAGGCTGAGGGCCGGACGCAGAGGCGCTAATAGCGGAAGGCTTGTTGGGGCGGTCCATCTTGAGCGTGCTAGAACGATGGTGGATTTTGTTCTTTCGGAAGTGAGGCTCACAGGAAGCTTTAAATCTAGAGGCAGGCACAACAATGGTGGGGCTCCTTTCACTGCTGGGCACCGATCGCGGGGTGTTTCACAAGTGAATGCAGGGCGCTTACCCAGTGACGTGTGTCTGTTTGTGATGAGACTGCTCGTAAACACCGCATCCTGCACTTGTCCAATTTCGAGAACAACAAAGCAGCACAGTGTGCAGCCAGCAGAAGCTGGCGACGACAAAAGACATGGGTGAGGAGTCAGGAGTGCCTTTGGTGTGGCAAACTCGCACGAAAAGATCGTACCATGAGAGGAGTATATTTCTCTCCATATGTGCTCAGTCTCATTAGCAAGTATCCTCGAAACCATCCGTGCTCTGTCAGCAGCACACCTTCCTGGCAGACTGCGCTTTTACGATCATAGCCTGGATCGAAGACTATGCATGACCTTGCCACCTTCTGGGCCCTTTTCACTTGTGCTTTCATCTTTCATTTAGGTGCGCTGTATCTGCTTGGTCTCCTAAGATGTCAGGAGCGCCCATATCACGATCACTGCCATGAAGACTCTACAGGACGTGGACTAAGGCGGACCATACGCGTCACGAGCATCTTCAGCGCCACCATGGCCTTATTGGCACCATACACCATTGCAAACGCGCATCCTCTTCTGGTGCAGCCGGGTTTGCGATGTATCTGCTTCTTCTACTCGTGCAAGCTCTTGGATCTTGCCTTTACGAAGGCAGATCCGCCGCCGACAAGACTGATACGCAAGGATAAGGGAGGCGAACTCGAAGCGGCGTCAATGGAGACATGGAACGACGCTACCACGTACGTCTGGCTTATGTTCGCGGAGATGCGCTACCATAGTTTCGATACAGCCGTCGAGCAGAGAGGCCGCCCTGGCTTGGTCTCGTTAGCTGAGCGGAGAAGACAGCAAGCATGGACATTCGGCATCCCAACGCTGCTGATCATCCTGGTCTGCTTGTTGCCAACGGCAGAGACCAAGATCGCGAGTCTACTTGCTGCCATCCAATTGATTTTCCAGCTTCTACACACCTTGTTGCACCCGAGCTGCCCACATCCGCTGTTTTACATGCCCTTTGCAGCAGCCTCGATGAGTGACTTCTGGACGATCCATTGGCACGCCTCGGCGCCTTTTCTACGGACATTGGCCTACAGTCCTACACGCAAGGTCACTGGCAGTCGAGCAGCCGGCATGATGGCTGCATTCTGTCTAAGCGGGATATGGCACGCGTGGTGTGCTGCACCATTGGCGATCAAGCCATGGTTGCTCGCGTTTAACGTATGGGCGTACTTCATGGGATTCGGAATTGTTATACTGGCGGAAAGATGGCTCTGGGGAACGCAGCAGGGCGGAATGATCCAGCGGCTATGCGTCTGGGCTTATGCGATCGGTGTGGGCGGGTACATGTGGCGGATATTGGAGTGTAATTGCAAGCTTGACTGGGTTAGGACTACGCATTGCACATGACCTTTGTCAAGTAGCAGCATAAGTCGCCAACGAGATATGTCAGCATTTCAGGCCGGGCCGGACTTGTCTTTGCAACCTGAGTCTTGTTGATGCTCACGTCGTTTGTCTGATGTTGTAGGAATAGATAGAGGTGAAAGTGATCATGCTTCATCTCCTCCCCATGCCTGACAAAGTCGCCAAGCCGTCTTCAGCCTCGGTTGGACTTGCCACATTCCTCATCAGACTTCCATCTCTCGACCAGGCATGTCTTCTGCGCCTCTCCCTAACCCACCTCCCCCGGGACAAGGCTCGCGGGTGATCTTGTATCACCAAACGCACCATGGACCGAACGATGGTCCGCCGGTCTCTCTTCTGCCCCTGCTGACCAACAATACTGGCGTTACTCACATCATCATCGCCGCCATCCACGTGAATGGGGAACCGGGCAACATCACGCTCAATGATCACCACTACGATCACGAGCGCTTCGCGACGCTGTATAGCGAAATGGCATGGTGTCAAGCTAGCGGGCTGAAGGTCCTCGGTATGGTTGGTGGTGCGGCTAAAGGCTCCTTCGAGATGCTAGACCGAAATGATCCACAGATGTTCGAGACTTACTACGTGCCGCTGAGGGATATGCTGCGAAAGCACAACTTCGACGGCATCGATCTTGACATTGAGGAGGCCATGAGCATGGACGGCTGCATCCGACTCATCGACCGCTTGCGGGCAGATTTCGGCCCATCTTTCCTCATCACTTTGGCGCCAGTTGCTACTGGACTACTGGTTGGTCAACCGCATCTCTCCGGTCCGGCTTTCGACTACCATGTATTGGAGGCGATGCGCGGTCACGAGATCGCTTGGTACAACACGCAATTCTACAACGGCTGGGGAGATGCCAACACCAGCTTTTGGTACGAAACTATCATCGCCACTGGCTGGAAACCGGAGAAGGTCGTCTTTGGACTTCTCACAAACCCCGGAAATGGTGGCTCTGGTTACGTAGCTCAGCCGCATATCGACAGCGTCCTACGAGCGATGCGTGCGCGGCACCCTAACTTTGGCGGTGTTATGGGCTGGGAGTACTTCAATGCATTACCTGGAGACCGTGAGCGGCCATGGGAATGGGCAGCACACATGTCTCGAGTACTCCACTCTCCTATACCGGCCCTTCCGGCGCCGCAGCAACAAGCACCGATACGACCGTATGGTGAACCTGCTGCCCTACCGCCGGCACCCCATCCGTATCCGGCGGAAAGCGTAAAGACACTGCAGGATCTTGGCTTCACTCAGCAGCAAGCTGTGGCAGCACTCAACTCCACTGGAGGCAACGTTGAGTACGCAGCGGGGCTACTGTTTCAGGACTGAAGCACCGGCTACACTGGAACAGAAGCCTAGGCGCTCGTCACGGGGCGCAACTTCCTCAGGCGGCGTAGCCTGCGCTCTTGCTTCGTGGGATCATTCTACGTACGGCCTCCATTAACGAACGGGAGGCCGCTGACTTCGGCACGGTGGTCACTTGGCGCTCGAAGCTGGTCTGCTAGGCGGCATTGTGGCGCACTCTCCGGTCACGGGTGAGAGTCAGCCTTGCCGGCGGAGACCATGGATGAGACCTCACTTTTCCATCACTGGCCCTGGAAGCGGCCAATACCATCGCCCCTCAATAAGATGCACCTCTTCCGTATGCCGCCATACAGGCCACAACAGCAATGCTTCGCAAGAGATGCCAGCTCGTTGTCGGCTTCAATGACCGATGCTCACTCTCACGAACCTTGTCTCTCCTGGCATCGATCTGGTATCCCTTCGCTACGAAGAAGCGTCTACTGACCCTAACTCACGCTTGGGAGTCATTAAGCTCTTTGCGCAATCGCATAAATGCAGCAAGTCGAGCAGGGTATGTGGGCTTCTCACTGCAGTAAGCTTGTTCCGCGGTCCTCAAATAGCGAGTAAGCAGATATAGCGGCGCAACCTTCTGTCAAGTTCACGTTTCAACTTTTGAGCTATTCCATCAATGCAACTGCGGGCCCTAATGTGACTCGCACTAGTTCTACACTTGGTGACTACTCTCCAGATACAACAGCAAACCAACTGCCGTGAGCATGGGTCATGGAATGAACGCGTGATCAACGCTCGATCACCCATCATGGAAAATCAGAATGGTAGCGATGAGTTCTTGCGGCTCAGATCCCACGCTCGCCCTGCAGTTGTGCTGTAGATGTGGACTCTCCATACTATTCCCGTCAGAGCCGGGCGTGTCCAATGCTTGTCCGGTACACTCCGATACCAAATGTCAGCAATTCATGACAGTCCACACCATCCTCGTTTCGCTTTCTACTCCTTCTGAGTCTCATTACGCTATTTCCCACAAAGTGCTCCTCCAACCGACGAGTCTCCTTCTCACGGGTGTCGGTACTCAACTATTTCGCCTCTGTCACATATGCTTGGCTCGGCTTTCGCGGATGCATCCAGAGAAGCATAGCTGTGAGAATTCCGCGATAATTCGGAACCCCAACAAGCCGAAAGCCATTAACACGAGCGGACTGACGATGGCTGCCCACATCGCCCACACGCACTTTATCCTGTTTTCGGGAACAGCCCTCCCCGGAAACCACAGTCCAGGGATCATTGCCAGCACGGACCAAAAGGCAGCGGCCAGATAGTAGGTGGGCTATTGGTAAGAGTAGCGAACTTGCCTCTCGGATGGACAGTCGCGCATCTTCGGAGGCTTGAACTTGCCCAGTAGCACTAAGGTGCCGGTCCAGAGCGCTAACCAGAGGAAGCAGGCGCCAGAGAAGTGAATGAGGTAGGATACGGCTTGCTCTGACTGTAGATCGCTACTTGGTTTCTGCGCCTCTGATGCATGGCTGTTTCGGCGCTGTGCTCCCTGTTCCAAAGCTATGTCGTCGTTCTGGCAACTGTGTGATGTGAGGGCGGCGTCTGTGAGACGGTTGATGAGGCTATCGCTGTGCTGCTGCTGTGACAGTACTTCATAATGGAAGACAGATCCTTGTGCGGGTTGTCGACGGAGACGGTGCAAGTATGCAGGCGTCATTCTCAAGTGGAGCGCGAAAGACATCCCTCAAGTTGTTCGGCGAGTAGTTTGCAGACGAGGTTGAGCCGAATGGGAATCACACTGGCTCACGTGGGCCAGATGGATGCCTGTTAAGGTTCGGTAAGCAGTCTCAGTGCAATGAGAGGGCGATGTTGGGTCGTTCAACATTACAGCTTCCGCAATCTCGACACTGTAATGGCACGCAGCGCGATCTAGGAAACGTACGTTGCGGGCATGAGATTATATCCTTGAGTGTCGTGGTGCTGTCGTCGCTAACTGTCACGGTAAGTCTTGCCAAGGTCTGTAAGCTGCCCATTATCATCGAGCATCCTGGCCCACCGGCCTACGGTGCCCGTATCCCGCATTGGACCAAACCAGCAGTAACGTTCCACCCAGTCCAGTGTATCAAGGTACTTCACGCTCTCACGCGCGAAGTTCTCAACATGCTCTCTCGGTAACGGAGCGTTCTGGTTCCAGTTAGTCCTACAGACAGTATCAGAGACTATGTGCATCAGCGGACAAATATCACAGCAAGACTCACGCCGCAAACTCCGTAATCCAAACCGGCTTCTTCTGATCCGGCATCTGGTAATAAGTACTCCAAATGTAGTCATAGAACTGACCAAGCTCTACGCCATACCAATGAAAGCAATAGAAGTCAACGTCCGAGCCGCCATCTCGGATGCGTCGAAGAAAGTCCTTGAGCCAACCCAAACCTTGAGGTGCCGACGATATACCCGGACTGCCGCATCGTATGCCTGCCTTACGCAGAGGTTCGATACACCTTAGCCACTCCTTCGCAGCAAATTCGGCGGGTTCATTGCTCTGGTCCGGTAGCTCCGGCTCGTTGAAGCCCAAGACTGCAGACGCGCCCGCGGCTTTGACCTTGCCGGCCAGCTGGTCTATGTCGACATGATTCCATTGCATGGGTATGAAGTCGAGGGACGTCGCGTTTGGGGTTGTGTTGGGTGACCAATTATAAAGCCACGAGATCTTCGAGCCGGGTTTCGTGAACGGAAAGACTTCGTCTCTCCCATGATTGTCTGTGGGCCAGCATAGGCCGCGTTTTGACATCGGCGCCATAGGGGACGCGGGTCCTTTGTACACATACAGAGTAGGAAAGAGGACAAGAAATAGAGCGACGCGTAGATGTGGCATGTCGAACACAGCGAGGCTAGTCGGCTTGCTACGCCAAGAATATCGCGCCGCACTGTACGGCATCATATTACATAGCGGGAAGCCGGGAGGGTGATGTCATGGGTAATCACCAAGAAAGCTGGAACGTCACGATCACATATGGGAACTGTATAGCTGTCTATCCGAATGCCGCCAGAGCCACTCCGAGCTCTCCACAAACGACTGCGCACCGGTATGCAAGCTTGGACTCCACCAAATAAGCTCGACAATATGCATGCGAAGAGAAGATGCCGAAAGCCTTTCCCAACATCCTCCGAAGCCAATACATATGTGACAAAAGAAGATCGTCGCACTCGTGTTTAGCGGGTGTTGGACGGTCAATTGACCGCCCGCCGTTGTTATTGAGCCCAGTTACTGCCAAGGTCAGGGTCCGTGAAGTCTTGATCAAGGACATCGTAAGGGTTTGCAAAGTCGTCGTTGGGGATACTCATCGACCCATCGGACCACGCTTGAGAGGTGAAGCCAATGCTCTCGTCCATTGGACCAAAGTCCATAGATGCTAAGGACGTGGGAGCTGCGGACGCAGTGGCATTGGAAGTGGCGACGGCGAAGTCCTGTGAGCTGCTTGGGGTGTTGAAATAGCCACCGTTGAGATCCATGTCCGGAAACAGCTGTTGAAGAACATCGTTGGTCGGCTTGGGTGCAAAGTCCGCGCCGACCGACCGCGAGGACGGACGGCTACAAAGTGGTAGACCGCTTGCGGTGCGAGCAATATTGTCGCTGACCATTGGTAAGTCGCCCATACGCCAGACCTCGTCGAAGTCCATGAGCTGTGCAGCATCGAATGACTTCTGACCCGTCGAGATGTTGGCATCGAGACTGATAGGCCACTCGGCGTCGGTAGTGATATCTTTGAAGAAGTTCTGCGGAAGGCTGTGTCGGTTGGACAAAGGCGATCCGGAAGCAGCCAGTGCGTCAATGTCGAAGCTGCCCGTGTCCTCCTGAATACTTGGCATGCCGAAACCAAGCATGTCATCCATTGGTGGCATCTCGTCTATTTCTGACTGGGTGCCGGAGGAGGCAGCAGTCAAGGCCGGTTGAGCCATGTTGCTGGCCTGAGAGTCTGTCGGCCAGACACCGAATGGGTTGTTGTTGGGCATGTTTAGTGACTCGGCAGACGGAAGGCTGGACCACGGATCAAACATGTAGTCCTGTACAGCAGATGGCAGTTCGTTCGCATTGTAATTGAGCGCTTCGCTTGTCGTTGACGCTAGACTCTGGTTCGTATCAACTGGGCCGAGGGTGCTGAAGTCCATGTCGAGTAGCTTCTTGTCTCCCATAATAGGGCAGCCACCGGGGAAAGGATCCATTTTAGGCGACGGCTGCTCAGATTTGGACATGCGCCGCTCGGTGTTGAACGGTGCACTGGTCTGCGGGGTGAAGGCTGACGGACAGATGGGCATGTTGTTATCCAGGGCGAGGCTGTCGACAGATCGACGTGCCTTCGCTGACACGGTGTGGTCCGTATGCGCTCTTGGCATTGGAATCTTATACGGCATACCTGCCTCATGGGCCAGATGGTTCTTGCGGTGCACAGGCTTGTGGTGACCATTCTGGAAGACAGTGATTGAGCCTTCGGACTTGGCGGACTCCAGGCGCGGCTTGACAGCGGGTCCGTGAGTCGGGCTGGCGCCGTCGCTGTTCACTTCCCTCTTCAACAGGGAGCATGTGCATTTGCCGCCATGCGGACAGCAACAGCCTTGCTCCTCGGCCACCAGAGCCAGATGGGCGGCATGATTCTCTCCTGTTAACTCGTCACAATACCCGGCCTTCGCCCTTTCCTCCGCCTCGCGCAGATGGATGCATTTCTCCTTCGAGTGATGAGGCTTTTCCACGCCAGCACACTCACAGCTGACGTGAGCTGAGCGTTTCTTGCGCTCTTGACGACAGTGCTGACATTGCGTCACAGGACGTCCTTTCTTCGGTACGTGGAACAGTTCACGGTCTTACTAAGGGTCAGCGACATATCGACGGTCAACAACATTGAGTCCGAGACATACCGACGTGCGTGCAACCGCTGACGCGGTGTCCCTTGAGGCATGATTGGCATGCCCATTTGCTGCCATCCGACTTCACCACCATACCTTGACAACAACCAGTGAGGCGGGCCGCTAACTGCGGGATGCGCGATTTATTGCCCAAAGGCAACGGAAATTCGCAGTACGTGCGCTCGCCGCCGGATTGGTGCGGCTCGCTCTTGTCGTGATCGAGTAAGAATATAAGTAGTGAAAATTCCGTATCCGAAGTGTTGAAAATGCGCTTGGGTATCTCAAATGTCCGTCATCTGGACGGGGTGAAGTGTCTGCGATGCCAAGAAAGTCGGAGGATGTTGGGACGAGGAAGAGTGGAAAAGGGCCTTGACACACCACCAGATGGCGGTGGCCGTGAAGTGGCCTTGAGAACCGGTATGGCCGACAAAATAGCACGTCGAACAGCGAATTATGCTGGATCCGTGGTGAGGGAGATTAAGAACAGGAAGAGGGCAGGCGGCGTGAAAAGAGCCACACTGGGGCCTCGAGACCCAGCGCCACAAGTCGTAGTCGCGGCCGGCGTCACGTTCTGGATCTACTCGACATAGGTACCGTTGCCGATAGCTGATTCGGCATCGCCTAACCGATTCAGCGTCGTCCTACACATAACCCATGGCCTTCTCGTCCGTTCTCGTTCACATTCACGACGACCTGACAAAAAAAGACTCCGAAGGAGCAACTGATTTCCGAACTACAACATATGGCGCACACAGCTCGGCTCCACCTGATGTGACCCCGTCTCCGGCGTTGCAGTGCCTCGCTCCCGCTGATGTTGTCAATCGTACCGTTGATCCGGGCAGAGGTCAGCAACTGGTTGCTTCAACCGTCTTGGGCCCCAGCAGCCAGCTCGTTGAGATCCCACGTCTACCCTGGAGTAGACTTGCCACCATCCCGCGTGAAGCGCTGGGTTTGCATGTCCATGCTTCAGTGCTTTGCTCTGCTCCTTCCTCCTAAGGTGGCGCCAAGCATCGCGCCTAAACCTGCAGGTGAGCGTCGCAACACAGCCACCTTCCCAGAAGTCTAAGTGTCATCACCGTGCCTCATCCATGCAGTTCGTCGCCATCGGCTGCTTACGCACATTGCTGAATAAGTTCGAAAGATAACCACTACCGGGGTTGACACCCGTCGAACCGCTGTAGTAACGCTTCCGAAGTCTCGCGAGATCGACAACTAATGGCAAACACAGCCACATACTACGACCTAGGCGACCTGCTGCATGCGGAGTGCAACTGCGATCTGGTCTACACTCTCCTGCGCCGTAAGATTGTTCCGATCGCCACTTCTGCGCATGGCGTTCGAAGGTAGTGGTGGGATGGGCACATGCCTGCGCGGGCCAACTCTCTGTTTGCACTAGTAGCGTGACGGCCACGGTCATGACGTTGTGCTGTAGCCGTGTTCAGCGGCGGTATGAGAACGTGGCGCTAGGTCGGCCATGCATCACTCTTTCCGAACCATCCACGCCATTTCTTGGGCTTGAGGTTCTGTGACCAATGCCTTCAGTCTTTCCTCCCGCATGAAGTCGTGATCAGAGAACTCAAAGCCCGGCACAACAGTCTCGCTAATCAGCAGACCTTCTTCGCAAGTCTGCCCGCCCTCTACGTCCGGCAAAAGGAAAGATGCTTTGTACTTGCCTCCATCGACAATCCACTGTAACCTCTCGCCTGCCAGAACATTCTGGCCCACGATGAAAGTCTCCACGCGCGCCTTGCCGACCCAGCGTTGCTCCTCGGTCAAGCTCTGACTCCCACCATACCCGCCAGGACACGAGGATGAGGCAGCCTCGTCCGCATGGATAATGACGTAGCGGCCTCGTCCTTTGTGCAGCGTATGCACAGTACGGCCTTTGTTGCGGTGAAAGTGGCCTAGGGAGCTTTTGGGTGTTAGAAGGTAATGGATGGTTGTCATGGCACTCCGGGTATCGACAAGAATGTCAGCTGTAGGGTCCGTCCTTGTCAGAGCGAAAGGGCTTGGAATGCGAAGAGCATCACGGTCCGTCTCGACAAAGTAGCCACCTTCCGGATGATTTTGGAGGCCGAGCAGTTGAATTATCTGCTGCAAAGCCACGGACTCGGCTTGCGAGTCGAAAGGGTCGAAGAGTGGTTCCAGACGAGGCAGAGACGGATCAACAGAAGAGCTGGATGCCATGCTGGAGTTCAGAACACAAGATTCGGTACCGAGTAGGAAAGGGGATACGTGAGAATGGCAGAGCGCAGTCTCTCACCTAGCACAGCATATGCTGTGCGCAATGCTACTCACAAGAATGTGAGCTGTTTCGAGTGCCACTAACGAGCGTACATAGACGTGACAGAAAATGAAATCTGTCTGGTGTTGTTCAGGGTTGAGTGTAGGAAGGAGGGACTGTAGATGCAGAAGGCAGGTAGACTCAATAGTGCGCCCAATCTCCACTTCGGCGGCTTCTTCCGTCACAGGAAGAACGCCGATGGCGAGCAAAAAGCGAGAGGTGAGCACGTTGTGGATTATGAATGGATACGTAGAGGAGGTAGGTCAACAGGAAATACATGAAATATCTGTATTGAAAATGATCGCTTGTTGTATGCTATGTACAATATCCATTGGCGGTAAAGTGCCGTTCACGCGATTATACAAGTAGATTCGTCATAATGCCCATTCTAATACTGTCAAGGAGACCGCCAAGCGCCATGCACCGCGCCACAGCATATTGCGCAGTGCACACGGTAGAATCGAATCGACACCGGATGCCAGGATGCCCATTGTCAGGCTAATCAAGCGCTCCCATTTCGTCGTGAGCCTGTACGGCAGGTCGTCGTGGTGGCGCTGTCCGCAGGATGGGTATCGAACAGCAAGGGACGGCCATACACATTATCTGAAGCGCACCGATTACACACCAGAGTCGGTGGTGTCGACGTCGTTGTTCGCTACTGCGTACGAGTCCCATGCTGTGCAAGTGTCCTGCATCAAGCATGAGTCCGTCACTGTCGATGCGATGTTCTCCATGTTTTCGATGATCTGCAGCGCGAAACCCATAGCAACATGCCAGCCGATGTGGCAGTGCAGCAACCAGACACCGGGGTTGTCGGTTATGTAGGCGATGACCAAGTAGCCACCCTGAGACGCGTCGGAAGCGATAGGCATGACTGCGACGTCACGACGTGGTGGATTGACGAGGTTCAAAGCGACCGAGCTGTCGTACGAGCCAACGCCCTGGCCGAGGATGTAGAAGTCGTGACCGTGCAAATGGATCGGATGTGGGACGCCAATGAATGGAGACTCGATCACGACATAAACCCACTCGCCGAGGTCGGGCACCTGAATGGCCAGGTCGCCAGAGACCGTAGGAATGGTGTTGTTCTCGACGAGTGAAACGAGCGTCGGCTCAGCCCACGCACCCTGGAAGAACACGCCATTGAGTGTCCACTTGTACAAGTTTGGTGTGCCGCCAGCAGCGCCGATGCTGACTGATTCGGAGATCTGGTCCTGTTGTGTACCGGCATTAAGCGCGACGTAGGGGACGAGACTGGCCATTGGTTCGTCGTAGCACCCTGCAACATAGCTGTGTGCTGTGGAAGTTGGCACAGCCGGGGTGACTGTGTCGTAGTTCACAATGGCCATGACGTTGTTCCACGCGGTCATGGAACCGCAGAGTTGCTGACTGTCAGAGCGCATCCAGTAGTTGCCTGGGGCCTGGTTGAACGTGACCAAGACGTCGTAACGTTGGCCGTTGGTCATGATGATAGTGTTGGTTGTGTACGGCACAATCGGTACGAAATCGGCGGCAATGACTGTAAGCTCGTGGCCATCGATTCCAAAGACGAATGTGGACTGGATCGCACTGTTGATTATGCGAAGGCGGTAAGTTTGGCCAGCGGTTACACTCATTTGCCAGCGTTCACCTGTCGTGCCGGCGGCACCATCTTGACCCCAGACGTTCATACCGTTGATGAGACCTCCGTCCACAGTCCGCGGTCCATTCTGAGGGAGCGGACCGACATCCTCGGCGGCGTCGAACATCGCATTGACTGGCACGTGCGTCCAATCCTGCAGCACAATGGTCTGGTCGTCGGTGTAGGTTTGCTCGATGTGGCTCGGTCCGTTGATGATCAAAGGTCCGAAGACACCCTCGTAGGCCTGCAGGGAAAAGTGAGAATGCCACCATGAAGTACCGTAGTTGGTCGCTCTGAAGGTGTAAGTCATGCTCTCGCCTGGTGCGATTGGGCACTGCGTGATGGAAGGAACGCCGTCGAACTCGTTGGTGTAGTTCTGTCGCAGACCGTGCATGTGGATGGTACTGCCGTTGTTCTGTAGGGAATTGGTGACATGGAGGACAATGGTATCACCCCAGTTGGCAGTAATGGCAGGGCCCGGCATTTGGCCATTCACGACAAGCGCGATACGTTCGATGCCGTCAGGAGAGATAGTGGTGTTCTGAATCTCGAAGAAGTACTCCCTGACAACACAGGTTTGCGGAATAACCTCGTATGAGTTGTCCTCCGCAGTGTAGCCACAGAAATTGTCGGGGTCGTCCAAGGGTTGGCCAGCACATGGGACACATGTTGCAGTTGCTGTCGGGGCTGACGAACAGGTGAACGGCGTTGTGCTCGTGCTTGACGATCGTGAAAGCGTCGTGACAGTGCCATTCGGAGCTGAGGTGGTTTGATTGCCTCCGAAAGAACCTCCACGCGCTGTGGTGGTGGCGGCTCCAGGGTTGGTCGGACTCGGGAGGCATGGCCAGCCATTGCATAACGTCGATGTCGGAACGTAGAGGTAGTTGGACGTAACGTTGTAGCCCGGAACTGCCGGTACGCTGAAGTTGTAGGCTGGGGCGCCGCCAGCACCGGTACCCGTTGGACCAGCGGGGATTGAAAAGCTGAACGAAGGTGCGCCAGTTATGCCACTCGGAGGGGCGCCAGCGGTTGCATTGGCGTTTGACGGGTCGCTTGAGCCAGTTGCGTTTGCAGAGCCGGTTGGGGATGTTGATCCACTCACGGACGAGTTGTTTGCAGGGTCGGCTGTCAATGAGGAGCCTGTGTTTGACGGAGCGGACGAGCCCGTCAAGGTTCCATTCACACTTCCAGTGTTGGCGGGATCAGCTGTCGAAGATGAGCCAGTCGTTGAGGGTGTTGATGAGCTCGCCGAGGTTCCATTCACGCTGCTAGTTGGGATGCTCGAGCTGCCGGTGTTGACACCATCAGTAGTGGAGGTAGAGTTTCCTGTGCTTCCAGTGTTAGCTGAGGACGATGACGAGGTCACAGTCGAGGCGGTCAATGTGTTGGAAGCCGTGGAGTTCAGACTGTCGGTTGGAAGGCTAGAGCTGCCTGTGCCCGCAGAAGCAGACGCAGACGTCGACGTTGTGATCGTATTGGACGAATCACTGGAGGTCGTCACACTGGTGCTGCCGGTTGCGGTCTCCGTGCTGCTGTCACTGGCGCTGCCGGTGACGGTCTCCGTGCTGCTGACACTGGCGCTGCCGGTTGCGGTTCCCGTGCTGCTGACACTGGCCGACGATGCGCTAGTTGTAGCATTGCTGGAAACCTTGACGCCAGAGGTTGACCCTTGCTCCGAGGACAAGCCTGTCACGGAGCTGTACAGTTGACATCCGGTGGTAGTAACGGTGAAGGCCACGCAGGCATCGTTGCTGTCGCAAGAGGACATGCAAGAGCTGACACTGGGCGTAGCGCGCTTGGATACTGTCGTGCCATTGATGAGGACACCGCCGTAGGTCTGGTCGCAGCTGACGGTGTATGTCACATTGCCGTCAGTGTAATCTTGGCCATTGAGTGCCGGGCACAGAGTGTTGTTGGCAGCGGTGGTGCTAGATGTACCAGTCGCTGTGGGACCTGCGGAAGTGGTGGTCGCATTCACGCTCTGGATCGGAAGACCTGAAGTGCCAGTAGCTGTCGGTCCGGCGTTAACAGTGCTGTTGGACCCGGTGACTGGCATGGAGACAGTCTCCACAACGGCCGATCCATTGGTAGTGCACGTCCTGCAAACTGTCAGCAGCGATAAGGGTTGTTAGCATATCAAGCGTTGCTTACGTTACAAAGGTGGTGTATTGAGTTTCAGACACCGAACTGCTAGTCGCAGGATCAAAAGCAGTGACGGTAGCATTTGCGCTGTTCACTGGTAGACCTGAAGTGCCTGAGGTGCTGCCTGTAGGACTGGCAATCGAGTTGTTGCTCACTCCCGTAATCGGCGCTGAGACTGTTTCAACAGTGGCAGTTCCATTGACAGAGCAGGTGCTAGATTGGGGTCAGCGTAGTTCTCGGGGGCTCAGTGTGAAGGAACTCACGTCACGAAAGTAGTGTACAGCGTCTCGGAGACCGATGTGCTAGTTGCAGGATCGAAGGCCGTGACTGTGGCATTGGCGCTATTGATTGGTAACCCTGAAGTACCTGAAGTGCTTCCTGTAGGGCTGGCGATCGAGTTGTTGCTCAGGCCCGTAATTGGTGCTGAGACGGTCTCAACGGTAGCCGTCCCATTGACCGAACAAGTGCTTTGTAGAGGTTAGCATGGTCGTGAAGGCAAGGAGTCGAAGAACTCACGTCACAAAGGTGGTGTATAGGGTCTCAGAGACCGATGTGCTGGTCGCAGGGCCGTTCGTCGTCGCATTCACAGCCAAGGCAGAGGTAGTGTTGGCTGAGCTGCCTGATGTCCCAGTGCCCGTAGGCCCAGCTGTTGGACCAACAGTGACAGTACCGTTGTATTTCGTTGACGTGGACGTAGCGTTCGCAGAATTGAAAGCAACACCTGTCCCAGATGCAATAGCTGTGGGGTCAGCAACAGCGGTGCTGTTGGATCCGGTGATAGGCGCGGAAACGGTCTCAACGATAGCTGTCCCATTATTTGTGCACGTGGTCACGAAGCTAAAGCAATGTTAGTGCTGCAAAAGTGTAGAGGAGCGGGAGTTGCTTCATACGTTGTGTAGCTCGTCTCCGACACCGATGAGGTAGTTGTTGGCGCAGCAGTCGTGGCGTTGGCAGATGGCGACAGGGTGCTCGAAGCTCCCGTTCCTACGAGGCCGGTGCCTGACGGCGTAGCGTTGGTTCCATTGCTTGACAACGAGACGGTGCTGGAGACGCCGGTAGCAAGGACGCCGGTACCGAAGCCGGTCGTACCATTGGAAGAGATCGTTGGCGTCGCGCTCGCTGTTGTCGGATCGTTTGAGCCCGTGACCGGAGCCGACACAGTTTCAATGACCGCTGTCCCGTTGGTCGTGCACGTAGTCACGAATCTGGAAGCTGAATCAGCAGCGTACATTAAGGGAATGAGCATTCGACTGTACTTACGTGGTGTAGCTCGTCTCCGTGGGTCCGGCAGTCACTGATGAGTTATTTGTGCCGTTGGCCGATGCAGAGATAGTGCTAGAGACTCCTGTTGCAAGCGCTGTACCAAAGCCGGTTGTGTTGGCAGAAACAGTCGGGATGCCGCTGGCACTCGAAGTAGGGTCTGAGCTAGTGATTGGGGCGGAGACTGTTTCTACGATGGCTGACCCATTCGTGGTGCAAGTGCTACGGACGAATGTCAGAACAGATACATTGAAGCATGGCGCCAGGAGTACTTACGTTACAAAGGTGGTGTAGCTTGTATCGCTTGGTAGCGTGATGCTGCTGTTTGCAGTCGTAGATGCAGAGCCGGAAATCGTGCTCGATCCTGATGCGGTGGGAAACACAGCGGGAGTGCTGTCGGTGCCGTTGAAGGATGAGGTGACTGACGCGGACACCGGCGCGGCGGAGGTAAGGCCCGACGGGTCGGCGGTCGAAGTAAGCGAGCTGCTCGATCCTGAAGCGGTGGGGAAGGCAGCAGTACTGCTGTTTCCGGCGTCCAAAGAAGAACTGACTGATGCAGACACCGGCACGGAGGACGTAAGTCCAGATGGGTCGGCGCTCGACGTAGGCGAAGTGCTGGCTGAGGGTGAAGAGCTTGCAATGCCCGTTGGGTCGGCGCTGGCGGTAGATGAGCTAGTGGCTCCTGACGCAGTCGGGGAGCTAGTCCCCGTCCCGTTTGCGGTAGCGAAGGATGAGGCGACCGAGAGCGAAGAGGAAAGGCCAGTCGAGCCGGCGGTTCCTGAGACCGAGCCACTTGCTCCGGTGGCCGTCGGGAGGCTGGCAGTGGTGTCGTTAATGTCACTCGCAGACGATGTGATCAACGCTGTGCCAGATGCTGTCGAGCTGGTGGCAGGTGTAGAAACACCGTTACTGGAGGGGCTTGTGGGATCAGTAGAGGCCAATGAGGAAGAGGCACCGGTGCCGCTGGCGCTGGATGAAGTCGCCACGCTCGCATTCGTGTTACCCAAAGACACAGAGCCCGTCAGACTCGCTGTCGTTGTGGCGGACCCAGCGGGTGTCGTCGTGATCGAGCTACCGTTAGTGGTCTCTGTTCCTGTAGTGGTCACTGATCCTGAAACGGAGCCGCTGCTTGAGCTGTCTGTCACGGAGCCAGTTGTTGCCGACGAACTCGAGCTTGCTGGCGCAGAGCTTGACACGGAGCTGGAAATGCCGGAAGCGGAGTCTACGACTGAGGTAGACGAGCCAGACACCGAAGTAGACGTTGCGGAAACTGTCACTGAGCCCAGAGTACCCGATGCCGAAGTCGTAGCGGAGCTTGGAGCGGAAGTAGTCGTACTATTGCTTGCGACCTTTAGTGCAGCAGTCGTTCCAACCTGTGTAGTAAGCCCGGTAACATCACTGTAGAGTGTGCACGTCGTTGAAGTCACAGTGATAGCAACGCAAGCTTCCAAAGCATCGCAAGCACTCATGCAGGAACTCACTGTGACAGTATCACGCTTCGTAGACACGCTGCTCGTGGAATTGATGACCGTTCCACCGTAAGTCTGGTCACAGCTGATCGAGTACGTGGTGTTACCATTAGAGTAGTCGGTACCGTTGGAAGCGGGGCAGACAACGTTGTTTGCGGGTGTCGCGGTAGATGTCGCGCTTGGGCTTGACGTCGCCGAGGAAGTCGTGGAAACAGCGCCGCTGGAGGCGCCGAGCGAGCCTACACCAGAGCTCGTCGGTCCTGCAGAACTTATCGCATTGCTGCCAGAGACTTGTTCGCTCGAGCTAGCACTGCCGGATGCTGAGCTGGAAACGAGCGAGGAGCTTGGGTCGCTGGTTGATGAGCCAGACGACAGTGACGTAGCACTTGAGGCGGTTACGCCGGTTGATGCGCCGGTCGAGCCTCCAGCAGAGTTTGTTGGGCCTGCTGAGGCAGTCGAGTTTCCACCGGATAGCTGTCCACTTGAGGTGGCACTGCCAGACACCACACTTGAAGCGATCGAAGAGCCAGTGCTAGAGGAAGATGACGCTCCAGAGCCAGACAGGACCGGGCTGCCGGATAACACGCCAGAGGACGTCGCGGTCGAGCTTGAGCTCGTGCCAGACGGTCCTGCGTTCACCGTGGTGTTTCCGGCGGCCGATGCTGAAGCGGGGCCCGATACTGACGCTGACGCGGTGGAAGGGTCACCAGATACGGTACTGCTGCTGGAGCCGGAGAGGCTTGTGCCCGAGGATGACGATACCGATGGACCGTTTGTGGTAGTCTGGCTGGTCGTCGAGGAGGATCCAGTGGGACCGTTCACAGGCCCAACAGTCGAATTGAAGGAGCCCGTGGATGAAGAAGAGGAAATAGAAGTAGAAAGCAACGTACTTGTAGTTGACAAAGAGCCCGCTGAAGCGGTGCTCGAGGTGGAAGAAGACGAAATGGTCGAAGATGCAGGTTGTGTGGTCACGGTTGCCGTAGTGGTGAGGGTCTCAGTGATAGTTGCGGTGATCGTGCCAGCGGTGACGGTAACGGTAGTCCCGTTAGCCGTGATTGTTTGTGTGCTTGGCCCAACGCTCGTATAGGTGGTAACGGTAGTGATCACCGTGGTCTGAACTCCGCTCGTGGCAGGGTCATTGGAACCAGCACTGGAAGATAGACCAGTGGAAGACGCAGGCTGTGTGGTCACTGTCGCTGTAATCGTGACCGTCTCGGTGACGATTGCAGTCGTCGTGCCAGCAGTCACGGTCACAGTGGAGCCACCGGACGTGATGGTCTGCGTGCTCGGTCCAACGCTGGTGTAGGTTGTCACAGTGGTGATCACAGTGGTCTGAACTCCGCTCGACACCGAAGAAGATGTAGCCGCTGCGTTTACTGCAGATGTTGCAGAGCTGCTGACCGAGGAGCTGAGACTGCTCTGGGTCGGGTCACTCGCGCCTGCGCCAGAAGTCGAAGACGTCGTCGACGCTGGTCGTGTCGTCACTGTTGCGGTTGTTGTGACCGTCTGGGTGATCGTGGCAGTTGTTGTGCCGGCGGTGACAGTAACAGTCTTGCCATCCGACGTCGTGGTCTGCACATTCGGTCCGACGCTCGTGTAAGTTGTGACTGTGGTTGTGGTAATCACAGTCGTTTGAACAGGAGCTCCATTGCTGGTGTAATCGGATGGCGTGTAAGTTCCATACGGCACCGCGCTGAGAGTTGTCGAAAGGTCGCCGTTCCCGGTGCTGCTCAATGACACGTAAACCAAGCTAGAACTGCTGCGTCCACCGTTCGTCACGGCATTATTAGCGGAAGAGGGCGAGCCATTTTGGCCATTAGTATTAGAAGTTGAAGCGCTTGACGAAACAACACCAGAGGCGGAGGCTTGAGAAGCTGGGTTGGAGCCGCTGCCACCATTCGAAGCAGGGTCAGCGGCAGAAGACGTCGAGCTGCTACCACCGTTCGCAGGCGAACTGCTAGGGTTGCTGGCGCCGTTGGCTGCCGCGGTTGTGGAGGAAGAGGGGCCAGCGACTGCATTGCCCGAGCTTGGGGTCGCGCCACTGCCCCCATTTGCTGGTGCGGCAGATGACGCTGCTGGGTCAGAGGACGAACCTCCAGAGGACACGCTTGGGCTACTATTACCGTTTGCGGGCGTGCCGGCGGACGTTGATGAGCCTGCAGCGTTATTCCCCGCTGGAGAGCTGGGGCTAGAGCCTCCATTTGCTGTGGTCGCGGAAGCAGCAGCGGATTGTGAGCCTTCTCCATTGGACGGCGAGCTAGGGGACGAGGCACCATTGGCAGGGGAACCAGCGGTTGACGAGCCTGCACCGGCACCTGCAGCTGGAGAGCTGGTTGACGAGCCTCCGTTCACGGGAGTCGCAGGAGCTACAGCAGGTTGGGTCGTCTCACCATTTGGTGTTGAGCTAGGGTTCGAGCCCCCGTTCACTGGCGTGGTCGTGGGGTCCAATACGACCGGGGTGGTTGATGGCGAACTTTGGGCTGCGCCACCGTAGCTGTTCGTCGTTGAGTTGGAGTAAAGAGGCCTTGAGGAGGTAGCATTCGACGACTTGCCCGTTCCGGACGCGCCAGATGTTAACAAAGACACTTTGCTAGACGAAGAAACTGGACTGGAGGACGCGGAAGTTGTAGGTGACGCACTCGTGATGCTGTGGGAAGAAGTCGTCGAGGTAGATGCAGTGACAGGGTCGACGGTAGCCGAACTCGATACGCTGCTTGAGCTCGATGTGGACGTGGAAGATGACTGCGACACGCGTTGGGTGGATGATTCATGCGTCGAGCTTGTTGAGCTCGAGTGTTCATCTTTGTCATGGTTCCACGGCCAGTTCGGTGCTCCCCAGTTGCCAAAGTTGCCCCATGGACGACCGATATTGCCGAAAGTATGACCCCAGCTGTTCCCGCCCTTCCTGCCGTGATGCTCTTCCTCCTGCAGGTTCTTGATCTCATCTACTATCCTGCCAATCGCAGCATTGTACTCATTCTTGACTGGCGCTCCGTGTTGCGCCGAAACTGCACTTCCCAAGAGGATGAGGCCGCACACTGCAGCCCTCATGTTTACTAAAACCCAAACTAGTTGCCAACGAATGTGTAAATCCCCAACTTAGGGGTATGTGAAGAAATCGCGAAGCGTAGTTAGCGAGTGTGATGCGAGACGACAGGCCCGTAGCGAGTGAGGCCAGTGTCTGCACGAAAGAAAGAAAGATAGCGAGAGAAATTATGCGTACAACACGCAAAGCATGCAGAGATGGAGGGAAGGAGAGTGGCTGTCTCGAGCCGTCGGACACCTACATTATGTTAGACGCCGAGCGCAGCCTCCATTTGGTGCCATCAACCGTTGAATGAGGTCCGTGATGAGACGAAAGGGGCATAGTGGTAGACGAGATTGCCCCTGGATGATACTTCCTATCTTCGGCCGGTGACAAGGGCGTGCCTCCACTCCCATGTGAGACGTGCATCAGTGCGGCGCCCCGTCGATCCAGTCGAGACGCGATGTCGAGTAGTGGCCGTTGGCGATGTCTCCGAGTCCCGACGCTTGAGGCTTGGTCAACGGTTGTGGTTCGTCAGAAGCAAGCCGTACCTGCGTCTGCCGCTGTCGCGATATGGCTAGCTGCCGCTCCCTGATTCCTGTTTTTAACTAGTCTAGAATGACCCTCCCTAAAGCAGGCTGTTTTGCATGGTCGCGTGTCTGTAGGCGAACGACGAAGCGCCGGTGTTCCCAGTCGCAGGACGAGGCCGCCTAGTCGAGAGACGCGACAAGTCTCTGTCGGTTTAGTGTATTGGTTCTTACTGTCATCAACCCCGACTTCTTCCAGCCCACTTTGCCATCATGCAAGCAAGAGCGTCGTCGACGAATTGGACCATGTCCTGTAGTACTGTGGTGTAGCCATTGTCCCAAGGTTTGACAGCTCTGTGCAACAATCACGAGACGTGGTGGCGACGCCGGCGCGGGAGTACGCAGGCCTCCCACCGCCATTGATTGTGGTGGCGCGATCGCAAGGCTGACCCAGTCGTACGCGTGTGCTTCCGTATTGCCGCGCCGTACTGTGCACAACTGTGGACAAAGTAGCTCAGGAGATTAAGCCCGCGAGTCAACGATATTACGACTGTACATTCAGCAAGGTTCGCCCTTGCTTGAGCACGCTTTCGCCACTATGCGGGGTATGAAGCAGGAAGAATACCTCGAACCTCCACTTCTCCTCCTCGACAACGTGCATATCTATGAACAAACTTTTGTCGACTATGCTAGGCCTGTTATATCGTTTGTCAATCACTCGCCGCCAAGTCTGTGATACTTCGCGGCTCCGCGAGAAGGCTGGTGGCGGATCCTGTTGACTACCCTTCCTCGCCGGCTGCGGAGGGATCATCGACCCGTAGACAATTGGAACTTACGGCTCTCCGGCATCCTATCCTTCGCACGTCATCGATGTTGAGAAGAATGCTGTTGTGGACATATCGAACTTCATGTCCGTTCGAATAGGCCAAGAGGCCCACATTTCTTCGGCATGGATGTTCCTACTACGAGTGATCCGCTTGCTCGTTCTGAGAAAGGGGAACTCGTTTACGCGGGTCAGGCGGCAGTGAGCGGGACTCGGCAAAGGATTGCCGCATCAGCGAAGCGGTATGTATTGCTCTTTCAGTCTGAACAATTAGCGTAGCAATACTGTAGCCGGACGTTGTTTGAGATTCTACAAGCATCGCTCAAGCTCTCCAGACGCGGAAATATCGAAAGCAGCGATGGTTCTATAGACGATACTTTATTACCAGCCAAGAAACGCAGCCGCTGAAAGTGACTGACCCACCGTCAGCATCGTATCCTTGACCATTTCCAGAAGTCGAAGGCTCGTTCTTGGCTCGCGCTCTTGAGTTGTATACGTACTCTCTTGCCAAGTTGCGGGCCAGTTCGGGACGTTTTGCAACGTGTTACTGCGCTTTCGGGCTGACCGCGTGTAGGAGAACAGTCGTCAGGAGCGGTCCTTCAACGTAAAGCGAAGTCGTCGCATTCCATGAAAGAATTGCCTGCAGCTACCATGCTTTGGCCGCCCCGACTGCACAGAGAGACATCGACACTACGATTCAGGCGCGCTATTTTTGCTACTGCAGGTACTATGCAGGTACACTGCAGGTACCCGTCGCAGGCCCAGCTTGTCATAGACGTGTGGGAAGTGACAGCTTTTGTGGATATGCAAAGCGCAGCTCCCGCGCGGAGTACGTCAGGCTCAAATTAAGAGCGGGACTCGTACACCGTTCTGCATCTCGACACGGCTCTACTTGCCGAGACAGTTGAAAGGCATCGGCCTTGGAGACGTTAGTGCTTGTACGCCAACACAAACGTGGCTTGCGACTTTGTTCTTATTGAGATTGGGTTGCCGCTACCCGGCCGCGTCCTAACCTTCTCCACTCCATGCGATCTAATTTCGGCTCGGGAGGCAACTTTTCGCCCAGAGTCCTTTTCATTTCCTCTAGCTAGCCACATTGTTCAGATCGCAAGTCTAAACGGTAGTATTTGTTGCTCGGTTCCGTCTGGCAGACGACCATCCTCACCTGTTTTCCTGACGCGTCTTCACGCTCGGCCGAGTCGGGAACGCTCCGCCGAGCCGGCTGAATGGCAATAATAGTTGTTGCTTCTGCAGCTTCTATACGTGGCCAACAGGAGAACGAGAACGAGTAACATTGTGCCGCAGACGCGATTAGCAATTCAGTCGCTTGTTGAACCCTTCTGTTCTGAAGCTCTACTTGATGACGACCTGAGTCCATATGGGAAAGTGCCATGTCGCTTTGCAAACGCAATCTTGGGATCTGTGGAGATAGGCTCTGCGGCCTGCATGTTAGCACTGCCGCCATAACGAAAGGTTTGAAACATGCATCGAAGAGTGACCTCCTCGATCCATGAATGCAAATAGTCGCGCGTCTTGTTGGTACACACATAGTCGTGTTGCCAATGACGGACTATGTCTTGGCCGTACGAGGATACAGCTTAATGATGTTGTTCACGATATTCTACTACGGCTTTACAAGCTGCGAAGACTGGCTGGTCAATGAACGCCATCGGCCTTTGACACAAACTTTCGAATGAACCTTAATACTGCCCTGGAGGCTTGCCATAGCGCTCGTTCTGTATGATCTCGATCCAGTAGCCGTCAGGGTCCAGGACAAACGCAACATTCTTCATCCTTCCATCCGTGAGTCTCTTCTTCCAGCTGACACCCTTCTCCTCGAGTCTCTTGCAAGCCGCCTCAAGATCATCGACAGAGACGCAGATGTGACCAAACCCTTGAGGTTCGCTGTTCCCGTCATGGTAGACCTTGCCCTCTTCCTTCTCCGTGCCATAATTCCAGGTTAGCTCAAGCAAGCCCTCTCGCTCTGCTGTTGGATTGACGCCATTCGCAGTTTTATCGCCAGCAGGCGGTCCATACCCGAGAAAGTAAAGGTTGAAGCCCGCTTCCTTGGCCTCGTTTGTCCGCATGAGCCTCATGCCCATGATGTCTTGGTAGAATTTGAGAGACACCTCAGGATCCTTGATGCGAATCATCGAATGATTCTCCCTGTAGGTTGACACGTCGGTTGTGGTAACGTTCTCTGTTTGATCGACGGGATTTTGTGAGATGATCTCGACCCAGTAATCATCAGGATCAAGTGCGAATGCAATGTGGCGCATCCGGCCGTCTGTCAGTTTCTTCTGGAAACGGTAGCCTGGAACGTGTTGGGTGTAACCGTTAGCAGTGTTTCACACGGCCACGCGACTTCCCTCGTCATTGGATACCTACCAGCATCCTCGATGCGCTTGCAGGCCGCCTGTATGTTGCTGTCAGCGCATGAACGTATAGTCAAATATACCTGGCGGCTTTCACCTGTATGTTGTCCACACCTGTTGAGCGTACAATTAGCAGAGCTCGCTAGATACATGCAACGGCTGCCTTCGTCTCACTTACTGATACACAAGTGGCCGAATCCCTTCGGCTCCTTGTTACCATTGTGCGGCTTGTAGTTCGGGTCGTCCTCAGTACCGTAATTGTGTGTCAATCTGCAAAGTGGTGGGTGCCACCATCAGCAAAGTTTCAAGCAAAGGAAGATTTATCAACGATGATGCCGTACTCTACGATCCCCTCCCTGTCCGTCCAGTGCTTGCCATGCGAGGCGGCCTTGGGCGAGTCGAAAGCTAGGAAGTAGAGCGCAAACTTGTTCTCTGGGAAGTCGAATTTATTGACCAGGCTCATGCCCAGGTGATTGTAGAATGCAACACTTTTCTGTGGGTCTTTCACCCTCAGCATAGTATGGTTCTGGAACAGCGTAAGCACATGCGGCTCGGTCATACTGCACGACACAATACCTACGAATTTATAGGTTGATGTGTCCGTCATGGCTGCGGTCGACGTGGCAGTGTATGTTCGAGCGGTCACAATCGATGATGTGGCGATCTTATTTGATGTCGCAGTTACGCTTGTGTTGAATTGGGAAACGATGACTTTTGCGCGATTCAAGGCAGAGAGCATGCCGAGGGTGAAGAACGAAGAGGAAGTGATCCTTGCGTTATGTCCGTATATCAACTATGCTTTGCACTGCGGTCTACAAATGACGTACTGAACGATGCCCCGCATGATGTCCAAATCGCTGATGTGTTCATCTGTGGCAGTGGCCTAATGGATAGGCACAGGCCGCTGGAGGCCACAGCAACAGTTTGTTCATCCGGGAGTCACTGTGATGGCGAACAAGGTAACAAATGTGTGACACCGTGCTGAGGAAGCGCTTTCACCAGACAGCTGGGTTACTGTAACCACCTTGATATGCACGCCGAGAGACCTTCTATCCACTCGATTGAGAATCCAACATAAGAGTTACACACGACCTTCGAGATACTGGCGGCGCTCAGGGCTTCTACGGCGTCACTGCGCTTAAACAAGTCAACAGAGTATGGAAGGAGCCCCAACCTTTACGGTGTCTCCATAGTCACGTGACTGCGTCTCCAAGCGCGCTCCATTGTCTGTGCCGCTGACGTCAGTTTATTGACGCGCAGCAGCGATGAGGAGAAGAACTACTTCGGCATGTTTGTGGTCTCTTCATTGTTGCTTTCACCCGTCGTCGCCACACTATCGCTGTGATTAACATATAATCTGTGACGTGATCGCCGAAAAGTGGACTTTGTTCGTTAGAAGCAGCAATCGAACGGCATGATGGCTCTTAAGGAGCGTGACCCAAACGCGGTGGCTCCTCAGAGAAGGCCGAAGGGTAAGTTAGCAGAACTCAGATTAACCCAGAACTGACGTACAGATTAGTCGACTCTAAGAAGGATTGCAAGAAAAGCCCCAAGTCATCCTTAGTAAAGAATACCCCGGTGACGGCAAGCGAGCTTGCCGACATCTATCTGGACCATGAAGAGAATGAGACGGTCCCAATTTACGATAGCTGCAATGATGTTCGGAAAAAGGTAAAGGCATATGTCAAGAAGTCTGGCACCAGCCAAGCTGCATTTTGTCGCGAGTTGAGCGAGATGATGCCCGAGAGCCATGTTCAAGCGCGCCAAATGACCAACTTTATGAAAATAAAGGGACCAAAGGCTGGTGGTCACAGTACGCCTTATTTTCCATACTGCGACATTTAGCAATTGACGTTCTGTTGATATATTTTTCTATGCGGCCTACGTCTTCCTGGAGAAACTGAGGATCAAGCAAGGAAAGCAAAAAGCTGGCAAGCGTGAGGAGATGGAAGCACTTTGGTTGAAGAGTGGCGGCTTCCCCAGGGAAGGGAGTCACAACCAGCAATATACAATGTTTGGCGATGAGCGACCAGTAATCGACGAATACGGTCAGCTGCAGATTGTTCACATGGGCGGTGGACGTGGGTTTGGTCGCCGCAGTAGGCTGCGTTCATAGCACGCTTGAGCCGCCGCTATTGTGAGGCATGATCAGCCGAAGGTCGAGACCTCTGCCATGTAAGATACGGACGTGTATGATATATCATGTCTGGTATATGACGTGGATATGGACCTCACTCTGGTGAAACGTTTATGCTTGGCCACGACGTGACGCGCGTTCCGGACTCTGACCACCACGGAAGAACACGAGCGGCGGTATGAACTTTGCATTCAGCTGACCTTTTCAAACGTTCAGCAGCTTCACATCACGAACGCGTCTACAATGCAGGAGGTGACTTACGTTTGAGATATTTTTGGGCCAAATTTGAGACAACCCGACGTTGCCCTATTATGAGACCTTGTGCACGAATGGTTGTAGTATCATGGCACACTCGGAGCATTTGGTGAGTCTAGAACCACGGCTATATTAAGTTCCACAGATGAGGTCTGTGGTGTTCCCGCGCGGGACGCTCCGAGTGGATACCGTACCCCTGTAGAACTTGCTGCATGACTTCAGACTGAGGTGTGGATCGAATGGCTCTTGTTTAGCAGGAGAACAGGAATCCAACCCACCCTGGCTGGATGTTGTATACACGTCCTGCGACAAGCTTCAGAAGACTGTTGGGGGCAGCTCCGGCGCCGAAGAAGAGTGTCCCATTGTAATGCGACCATGGTGCCAAGGTGTTTCAAGCACTCGACGCAATATATATTGACCCTCGGACCTAGACTGATGGGGCTGCGCTTGTGCCAGCACGAGGACAGACGGGCAATCTACTAGTGAGAACATGCGGTGCGACGGTGTTAGCGATAGACATGATCTGGGACCTGCTGTACCCCGGAGCCTGTGACACTGACGGGGCTCTCACCATCATGCTACGTCGCCACGTGCGCAACCTCCTCCACGCTTTGGTGATCTCGTCGTATGATATACGAGACGTCTTTAGCCGGACATATTTCGACGAGTCGTTGACCGCTACGTCCGGAGAAATTTCCTGACGCATTACCTAGGCACAGCAATAATATATCTGACACCGGATTCCACTATTGCGGTTGCGCATGATGAACACACATCAAAGTCGTATAAATCGACCACGCTTCACGACGGTCAGCTTGTAGTCTTGTTGTTCATTCCGTTTGCTCCATTTCTAGCTGCAGTGCAGTCCAGTTCGGTTAAGTTCTTTCTTTTGACACGATGCGTTCCTCCTTTCTCACTGCTGCTCTCGCCCTCTTGGGCTGCAGCAAGGCTGCGCCGCTTGAGAAGCGCGCTGCGTTGACCCAGGTCACCAACTTCGGCAGCAACCCGACTAACACTTTGATGTGAGCTACCAAGGGTTCTTGCAGACAGCGCTATTAGCTCCAGTGTCGAACAATGACTGACTATCTCAAGGTACATCTATGTACCAACCAAGCTAGCCGCAAACCCTCCGATCATTGTAGCCATCCATTACTGCCAAGGCACGGCACAGGCTTACTACCAAGGATCTCCGTACGCTCAGCTGGCTGACCAGTACGGGTTCATTGTCATCTACCCACAGTCGCCGTACAGTGGTACGTGCTGGGACGTGTCTTCGAAGGCATCTCTCACCCACAACGGTGGCGGAGACAGCAACTCGATCGCCAATATGGTAACCTACGCTCTCTCCAAACACAACGGAGACACCGCCAAGGTCTTCGTTACCGGCTCCAGCTCTGGTGCGATGATGACCAATGTCATGGCCGCTACTTACCCTGAGCTGTTCGCTGCGGCTACCGCCTATTCCGGCGTACCGGCTGGCTGCTTTGTCTCTAGCTCTGGCCAAGTCGATGCCTGGAACTCTACCTGCGCTTCAGGCAAGGTCAATGCTACACCGCAGTACTGGACGAATGTTGTAAAGAACATGTATCAAGGCTATACAGGGTCTCGTCCTCGTTTCCAGGTTTACCACGGTTCGATCGACACTACACTGTACCCGCCGAACTACAACGAATCCGTTAAGGAGTGGACTGGCGTCTTCGGCTACAACTACCTGGCGCCACAGACCAGGAAGGCAAACTTCCCTCACTCCGGCTACACAACCGACATCTGGGGTGTCACCACGGCGAACCCACTGGGTACCGTTCAGGGTATCTACGCGCTCAATGTCGGCCACACTGTTCCCATTAATGGGTGAGACCCAACTGTCATCGCTAGTTTGTTGGTGCCGCTAATTCTCCGCAGCACGCAAGACATGATGTGGTTCCAGCTCAGCCCCTATGCCCCAAAGAAGAAGAGAGACGCAAAGCCGGAGGCCGAGGGTCCCACACCAGTGGTAATCGAAGCGAGAGCCACAACTGCGACGACTCCTCGTGTCACTGGTACCTCTACAGGCGGAGCCAACAGTCTTAACGAGGCTTTTGTCAAGAAAGGCAAGCACTACTTCGGCAACATCGGTGATCAAGGCACGCTAGGCAACAGCCAAACGCAGAATATAATCAATGCCGATTTTGGTGCTTTGACTCCTGAGAACAGCATGAAGTAAGTGGCCGAGAGTGCGTGTCGTGGGAGCAAAGCCTAACTTAGTGCAGGTGGGATGCCACAGAGCCGAATCGAAACCAGTTCACTTACACAGCCGGCGACTACCTCGCTAACTACGCCGTGTCGCACAATAAGACGCTTCGCTGCCACAACCTGCTCTGGCACAGCCAGCTTCCTAGCTGGGTCTCTGCCATCAGTGACAACGCCACTCTGGTCTCCGTCCTCCAAAATCACATTGCCAACGTAGCAGGTCACTTCAAGGGCAAGTGTTACGCTTGGGATGTGGTCAATGAGATCTTCGGCGAGAATGGTCAGCTTGAATCCAATGTCTTCCTCGATGTCATTGGTCCCAGCTATGTCAGCATTGCTTTCAACGCGGCGAAGAAGGCCGATCCGTATGCAAAACTGTACATCAACGACTTCAACCTGGACTCTGCGACGTATGCGAAGACAACCGGCCTGGCGAGTCAAGTCAAGAAGTGGCTGGCCCAAGGTGTGCCTATCGATGGCATTGGCTCGCAATCTCACCTTAGCGCCGGTGTCACGGGTACTCAGGCTGCTTTGCAAGTCCTGGTGAACTCTGGTGTGAGCGAAGTCGCTATTACGTACGTACCGTGTGACCCGAATGCACAATAGGGTCAAGCTGACAACGTGTGTAGAGAGCTTGACATCGCTGGCGCAGCCACCGCAGACTACGAAGAGGTCGTCAATGCCTGCCTAGCTGTTCCCAAGTGCATTGTAGGTCTACGACATCGTGTGCGAGGAAGCGTGATCCGGCTGACACATGACCAGGGTATTACTGAATGGGGTGTTGACGACTCGCAGAGCTGGAGATCTAGCAGTAAACCAACCTTGTTCAGCAACTTCCAGCCGAAGACGGCTTATACCGCACTTGTCAACATGCTGAAGTAGTCGCATTGGGAAAGACAAGGAGTTTCGTGGACTGGACATCGGTCGCTGACAGAAGTAACACTATTCGATTCGAACGATCACTTGATGTTGAGCAGATTGACCGCAGCCTTATTGTCTTCCACGCTCGTATACTGCAGAGGATAGCTGGGAGAAGTTGTAGTATGTCAGTCCTTACATGATTTGGCGCATTTCAGTATTGTACGTCCACTTCTCACGTCGTGATATCTGCATGCGTCCGTCTTCGGCAGCAGACTGATTCCCTGCCTCCGTTTCGGCAGGTCGTGGGCCGGCAACGCAGCCGGTGACGACCCCACCTTTTCAGCGCATCCCACTCTTTACCATTCGGCAAAGTGATGAATGGAGCGGTCTCCGGCGGGCGGGCATCATCAAAATAACGAATCAATAAGCAATTCACGATTTGGTCATCGCTGCGCCCGCTTCATTATATTCTCTCGCTGGACTCTCGATACTCATCGACTGCTACCCTACCGTTCTCAAAGTGCCTTCACTGCGCAGCGCCGCAGTCGCTGCCTCCAGGCTTCCACTGCGCCGAAGCCTCGCCGTATCTGCGTCTTTCGCAGCCTCCCATCCGTGCCCGGCCATCCGCCGCAACTTCTCTGCTCAACGACGGCTTCGCAAGATCGTGCTCTCCGGACTGCTAGATTACACTCACCCTCCGCTATCAGCTAAACTATCACTACCCACCATGGCGGCCGCCGACAACGTCCGCGGCGACATGTCTCTGGACGACTACACATTCCCACACTCACGCCTACGACGACGGATCACAACACCCGATCGAACACCACTCGTGCTCATCGCCTGCGGCTCCTTCAGCCCCATCACCTTCCTTCACCTCCGCATGTTCGAAATGGCCGCCGACTACGCCCGCTTCAACACCGAGTTCGAAGTGGTGGGCGCATACCTGTCTTGCGTCGGCGACGCATACAAAAAGACCGGCCTCGTCAAGGCCGAGCACCGGATCAACATGTGCAGTCTGGCGGTCGCGCAGAGCTCGTGGATTAGCGTTGACCCGTGGGAGGCCTTGCATGAGGAGTACCTGGAGACGGCGAAGGTGCTGGATCACTTCCACCATGAGATCAACGAGGTGTTGGGTGGGGTGGAGACGCCGGAGGGCAGGAAGCAATGCCGTATTGCGTTGCTGGCCGGCGCGGATCTGATACAGACCATGAGTACACCGGGCGTGTGGGCGGATAAAGATATTGAATACATTCTGCGGAACTTTGGCGCTTTCATCGTGGAGGTAAAGCATATCCATGCTGCACCGAACGGGCATCGATACTGATTTGCATTGCAGCGCTCGGGCACCGATATCGACGAAGCTCTCTCCACCCTCCAAACCTACAAATCCAACATTTTCGTCATCCAACAACTTGTGCAAAACGACATTTCGTCTACCAAGATCCGGCTTTTCCGTCGGCGAGACATGTCTATCAGATATCTCGTCCCGGAGCCCGTGGTCAATTACATCGAGGAGCACGACTTGTACGAGGAAGACGGCGCCGCAAGTACCGGCTCCGGCAGCGGTGACAAGCGAAAGCCGGGCGAGAGCAAAGGCGTAGCAGGCCCAAGCTCTGCTGGCTGATTTCGCCTCGAAGCTAGATTCTTGCCTAGATCGTGTGAGGGTGGTTACGTGTTGTATGAGCGGCGTTCACGGCGTCCGGGTGTGTGACTATGTGACGATGGGAGGCGCTGGCGATGCGAAATGTATACACATTCATGATGAGCGGCGAATAGCGTTCGCTACAACAGCGAAGCAGCCAATGCGGGTATCTCGCAATACAAACACGACGTCATTGCGTCTTTCATGCAGCTCACAAATTGCTCGCGTTGCCGTTTCGTTAATTCCGAACACCACCGCTTTGCCGATCAGACCGCCAACGCTATGCACTCTGTCCGAAAACGAGCAGCACAACCGCAAAACCATAGTGAGAACAAGCCTTCCTGAGCTGTACCCTTCCCTGCGCCGCATAAATGCAACAGTCACAATCGCAAGTCATATCATCTTGATCAAATGCCTACGCGCCCTCTTCGTCCGTCTCACTCGCGCCTCCTCGCCCTCTCCTGAAGCCGCTCTGTGCCCAGTAGATGCCAAAGCCGACCAGCGCCAGTACGATGAATAGGATGATGATGATCAGAAAGACGACAATGTTGCCCGGCATCCTGGTGTTTGAGCGGGCTCGGGAGCCGGCAGCGAGTGGCGATGGTCGTGCTCGCGGAGCTGCAGTATGCGGGCGGCGTTACGCCTTCCTTGTGTATGTTTGTCCCCTAGCTGTGTGGTATTGCGATGTATGAATTGCACACGTGTATACGTATTGCGCTGGGTAACGAGTAAACGGGGGGTTGTCTGTAGGGTCGTGTGTTCGTCTAACGTATGGAAGCTGGACTTGGGGGTTGATGTTCTTCCGAAAGTACGTTGTGTTTGAGAGACGAACGGATATAATGGTGCCTCGATGTAGATAAACAGGACGACACTTACTCTCCTTCGACGCAGCGTCGGCATCTTTTGTTTACATTGTGTGACGGATATTGCAGTGGTTGGCTGCTTCCCAGCCTACAAATTGTTGGCGGAAATGGCTGGCGGGGCTGGGAGCACCGATGCTCGAGCGTAAAGCCCGACAGGCCGTCACGGATACAACATCACGTACTTCGTAACAACCAAGTTGCTGTCGTCTTCTCTCCTCATCCTCCTGCTGCAGAGAGCAGTTAATAGCAGAGTCTCGGCACGAAGGTAGCATGTAAATAGTGGCATGTGAGGATTGATCGCGGGCCCCGCTATCGGCAGCGGGCCGTTTCGGATCTCGGCAGTACCGACGCGGACGTTGACGTGCATGTGAAGGCAGGTGAGGCAGAAACACTTCCGTGCAAACACTTCAACTATAACATGTGTCAAATGTACAGTCAGGCTAGGAACAACATTACTACATCAGAGCCTGCAGTTGCACTCTACAGCTCACCCTAAGCTGTTGTACCGATCGCTCTGCAAGCAGCATATTATGGACGGCGCGAACACGCGCGCATCGACCGACAATGCAACCATCGAGGATGTCAGCGATCCACTTCTGGAGACGTTGAACAGTGTGCTACGTCTGAGCAATCGACCAACGCTGGCACAGCAGAACGCCGAACGACCACGCCGCTTCTCGGACACTGACCGTGGAACTACCACTACCGCACCCGTACTGAGGCCAGAGCCCATTGCTGTTAGAAGCAGAGATGGCTCTCGATGGCTTCCCGCACCTGACGAGCAGAGCCATCGATACGGTGGCAAAGCCTCCATCTCTGACGGACTAGATCCTGCATCTGGACCATCGCTGAAGCCGCACATTTGTCACGCCACCGAATGCGCAGTATCCAAGGTGTTCGCAACGCCGGAGCTGCTGGAGCTTGTCTTGAGCTACTTGGACACTAGGAATGTCCTTGAGGTTCGACTAACAAGTCCTCGATGGGATACGGTTGTTCGCACCTCGCCTGAGCTCCGACTGCACCTCTTCTGTTTGCCGCAGTTCGCTCGCCTGGGATCAGATTTCCAACTGTTGCCGCTGTGTATGCCAGGCCTCGACGTCAAACTTGGCGAGCCTCTGCATCTGGGACAGTGGGTGCACGTGAGCATGACAGCCCGCGCGGCTCGCTACATTCTTCCGAACTCCAGTCCTACCAGACGCGTGCGGTCTCGGTCAATCTACGAAGGTCTGCGCGGCGGGCTTGGCTCGAGATCATCTAACACCAAGGCTGACTGGCCTACGTCTTCCTCAGGACTCCCTGCCAAGGGCCTGCTACGCTATGAAGGCCTCCTGATAGGACAGCCGCCACCCATCAACATGCAGGCTTTCATCGTAAGTCATGATGACACCAAAAGTTTCTCCGCGAAAGGTAAAGAGGTTGAGCGATTGGATGACCGTCCCTTCCCGTGTGCGAAGCTTCACTGCGACGCAGGCATCTCCTTAGGTTTCCTCGCCGAGACTGTCCAGTCGATACTAACGGACTCGAAGTTGAAGTCTGGGGAGGTCAAGGTCTTGTTCAAGACGATTGTGTCATTCTGCAACACAGACTCCGCTCCAAGGAAGCGTAGTGGCACGAGAGGCGTAACCATGATCGGCTGAATGTACGAACAGGCTACTCGCAAGGAGCACCGCCTCGTGTATGCAGCTACCCACGATCATGAGGGTGCTCGGGCCGTGCTCGATAGCATTTGATAGGATATGAGCCGCCGACATCATTTTTGCCAAATCGAGCAACCCGCCTGCAACACGACCCTGCTCCGGAAACCGCGGAAGAAGTTCAGAAGTGGGAGACGGTGGCGGTATGGACTTGCTACTGAATGCCGGCGAAGTGGAAAGGGTCAGGTGCTTCGAACACGACTGCGGTCGGCAACGCATCGTCCATGAGGTGCCTGTCCATACTGGTAATGAACGCAGCGTTGAGGTCGACCCAGAGTACCATGCGCTCGAGCAGCCCGTTGAGACCGAGAGTTGGAAACCCACCACGCAGCTTCAGCATCATCTTCAGGCCTCTCATATGCGCTGCGAATGTCGCTGAGTCGCCGAAGATCGCTTCGTACGCAGCCATTTTCATGACGGCGGAAATGAGAGCGTCGCTGGTTGCTCGCTTCTGGTCGGCAAGCGCCAGGTTGATTTCGGTCAACGCTCGGGCTTTCAGATGTAGTAGGTCTAGCGTAGCATTCTTTGTAGGCTGTACCACGGCGAAGTGAGAAGCGCCCATGAGGAGCACGGCATACATGGCCGATGCTTCCGTCATCATGAGTGGTAGCTGTGGGTGAAACAAGTGCCTGATCAGTCATCCATACGATATCTTCGGCGTTCATGGCAAGACTCACCAAGTTACGGCGAAGCAGGCCTTTCGAGGCGGGCCCATCCAGCTCTGGTATATCCACAGCTATGTTCTGTACGTAGTGTGCGAAGATCCTAGGCAGCTCTGGTTGATAGTCAGCTGCAACCACCCAGAACGGGTCCTGAAGGTGGGATCCGGCCGGCAAAGTTGGAACGCTAACGGCAGATGAGCTAGAAGATGATGGACCAGAGTCACTGCTCTCTTCGCTGCTACTATCAGTGCGACGCTTAATCTTGCCCATCACTGCAGGCGAAGGTCTTGTCTTCCGTTTGATAGCGACGGCAGTATCGCGGTGAATGTACGGCTTGACGGTCCATGTCTGCAGGTCTTGAGTAGCACTTAGAGTGCTTGACTTCAAATGCTGAACTCGCGTTACATGTGCCCTTACGGCTCTCTTCGCGGGGCCCCTGCCTTTTGCAGCTTCAGTCCCAGTGACTGGGACGAAGCAGAAGGTGTCTTTCGAGGCTGGCGAGGGGCCTTTCAACACCGCCGTCACGGCCCTGGAGTGGGAGGAGTTCTCCAGCATGATTGATCACACTGCGTTACTGCAGATGGAGGTGACATCGGCCACCATCATTTGTACAGTAATTGCGACGCCTTGGCGCTTACGGAAAGTGATACCGGGAACTGACGCAAGCCCCAGCAAATGAAACAACTGAGCTGACATCGCTGTGGATTAGCTAAATCCTACAGTCATCACGCATGCCGGTGCCGGTGGTGGGGTCATCATCCACCGGTTCGGTACCGCTTTCTCTGAGCGGTAGCATGGGTCTCGACTCCGTTTAGTTTGCGGATACTAAAGCCAGGTGTGTGCGCGTTTGAACATGACATGAGAGAGATTTGGGAACCGCTAACAACCTGATGGAACAAAGTACGAAGCAAAAATTAGGAACGCAGTCTCACTCACACCAGAAATCCATGCCATGCTGGGTGTTACCGCTCACAAGCCTTCCTTAGCTCGATACTCATGTACCTGACCATAAGCTGGCAGCTCTACATGCCTGTGACTTCGCAACCTCGGAACTAGTGTTCGACGACCATGCTGTCTCACTCAATCGGCGGCACGAAGTTCATGATGAGTATGTACTTCAGAGTCTGTGAATCCATTGCAAGTGGCATCAAGAGACACCACAATACCGCCGCCTTACTTTTCAGGCAGTATGTCAACACTTTGGTAATGCTGTCAGGTTCGGGGCAATTGATCTCATGAAGCTGTATGGCCGTTTTAAAGATGATGGTCTGCCATGATATCTTCCGATGCATTCTGAGAAATAACGTACAAGCTCGCGTAATGGCTAATGTGCCGCTGGTATCTTACAAACTACTGTACCCTTACTCCGAATAAGCTGGCAGCTCCTCCATGGCCTGAAACTCCTGGATCGGGATATCGTAGCCCAAATGGCGCTTCAACAGCTCGTGCGTGACATACCGCTCCGGCGTATTACCTTGCGCATCCACAAAGGACACATGGTGGTTGACGTCGCTAATGCGCTGCAGCTCGTTGGCGTGTCGATGATGATGTGGACAGCCGTCCACACCGATGAGGAAGATGGTGACATGCGCCCACGAGAGACCAAGCAGATCCAGCTCGAACTCATCCATGTCCGTCGCCTCGCCGTCCAGTAGAAGAAGGAGGCGAAGCATTGGCGTCTCCGGACCGGCTTGCCACCCGTATACTGGATGGTAGGTAGCGGATTCGGAGTGCTTCTGGAAGTGCAGTTCCTTGATCTTCTGCCAGCCGGTCATCACCCTGGTGCCACCTCCAAGTCGGACATTGCGCCACATAGCGTCCAGATTGCGGAAATTGACGGTGCCGATGTAGGTCGCGCGATCGGAGAAGGTGGTGAGATCGTAGCCGGCCGACAGGTGATCATGGTTGGCCATGGCATCAGTAAAGCGACGGATGACAGCTTTTGCAACGTCCTTGTTCTTCGGCTGCGTAGACCGAGCCCAACGCGTGATCAGGTACTGATCGTATACCGGTCTCACCGGGTCAAAGTCCATGCTGCCAGATACGTCGAGAAGTATCATCGTGTCATCGGTAGCCGTCTCAGGCCGGTCGAACGGTCTGAACGGTGGCGGCATGACTTGCTTGGAGTAGCCCTCAGACGTGTGCTGGAGATGGCAGGTATCATCGGCGGAGAAATACATTGGCGGCGGCTCCACAGCTTTCGCCATCCGGTCACGAGCCATGTTCATCTCGGAGATGTAGTCTGGCTTCATCCGTGTAACGACGCCACTGCCCTCGCGGTGGTTGAGAACCCAGTACAATCGCTCCTCAGCCGTGTCTTCGTAGCCTCGCCACGCCGGCGTGATACCACGCCAACCAGCTGCCGCCTCGATAGAGAACTTAAGCGGGTTAGAGTTCTGGTTCGCCCAGGCCACTGGGATTGGTTCGAAAAAGCCAGCGCGGAGGAGATGAAGATACTGTATGGGTTGGTGTTGGCGAAGGTGAGCAATCTTTCCGGACATTCCCATGTGCTCCTGATAGGCGGAGACTAGAGAGCGCCATTGATCATCTGGCCATCTCCCGTTTTCTTCTGTTAAGATCTGGTCGCTGAGCGACCTGCCTTTATCAACAGCTTTCTCGACCTTCGCGATGGAGCGTTCCTCTGAAGACTTGATGCCGATCGACTTCCGAAAGCTCGCAAACCGACCAGCCTTAGGCTTCTCCGAGCCAGCTGGAGATGCTGCACCATCAACCGCAGAAGCATCGAGTGATTTTGTGTCAATCGGGCCCTTCTCGCTCATCTTCCTGCCCGACTTCTTGTCGTCGACCTGCAACTTAGAAAAGGCATCCTTGAGCACGTCATCAGCGGCCCAGATGTTGTGCTTTGGTTCCCGAGCATCGATGTTTTCCTGCGCTTCCTTGTTCAGCTGGTTGTTGAGATTGATGGTTTGATGGATATTCTGCGCGTGATACGACGCAATCGGTCGAGATGGTCCGCCCCATGTTACTTGCCTGTACCCATACGGCGACATGACTCGCCACCTGTACGGGTTCGAGGTGAAGAGGGTGTTGTTGGGATTGTCATTATAAGCTTTCTCGCCGGGGTACATCACGGCCTCAGACCACATCTTCTGTACACCATAGCGATTCCACTTGCGCATCTGATACTGATGGATGGGACATGTGCAGTAGTATTCGGTCTCATGCTCTGGCTCAATATCGGAGTTGTAAATGCCGTACTTGTACTGCAAAGATTGCAACATCTGCTGCATCTCCTGCTCATCATGCGCACGAACATGAGCAGCTCGGATAACCTGGTTATCGTGTTGGCGATGTTTTCCAACGGGTGGTTGACCTGAGGGAGGTGCATAAGCGGAAGGTGCAGTGGTCTTGCCGACGGCGCCGTCCGGAGCTGTCGAGTTTCCTACGATTGGTGTCCCCGACGGTGGGGCATATGGCGGCGGTGCGTATGTCTTCGAGTCGTTGGAGTAGTGAACCGCAGAGCTTGACAGATCCATGTTCGTAGATGGACCGTGGTGCAGTCGGTCATGGTTGCCACTGCTCGTAGGAGCCTTCTGCATGCCCGACAAATCTCCGTACGCAGAGGGGCCGTCAATCGGTACGTTTGTCGACGGGTCATTGCTGGGTACTGTGCCATCCATCCACGGAGGTTTCTGGTCTGAGTCGGCGGTGGCGAAGGGTGCCTTCTCGTCGGTCTGACCGTAGGAAAACGTGGACCTCTCCGCACTTCCGCTCACGGTGCCCTCATCGAATGTAGTGATGAATCGGATCGCTTCCGGTGAGTCGCCAAGCAAGCCTCTGAGATGTTCGGCAGCATCCTGCTTGGGGAGTGTATGCACATAGGAGAGTATGTCATGTAATTCTTGTTCGTCCACGGGCAGGAGCGTAGCAAGCTGCTGCGTTTCGGAAGTTGTGGTCGCCATCGGACAGGATTGCTGTACGATGAAGAATACCAAGAGCGAGCATGAGCTTATCTTTGAGCTTGTCCATCTTTAAGCACGAGAGTGGCGCAGCTGCGGTTCAGGCTCACGACGAAGGAGGAAGGAGGGTGTGACCGCGTCATGAGGTCTCGATCTGCACAGCCTTGCCGCGTTCCGAGCGGAGACCACGCTTGCCGTTCGTCTCTCATCTCTCCAACACAGGGCATCTTCACTTCCTGCAGTACATTCCTACAATAGGTTTTGAGGCGTCCTACCGGATCGGGACAATTCGTGCGGACCAGAGAAGCTATTGCACCGACCAAGGCTAGACGGCTCATAATCGGAATTCAACATCGTTGCAAGCATGTTCCTACTGCAGTCGGTACACGATGCGAATATGTTGCATACCAGACTCGAGAGATGATACAATTACAACCACGCTGTGAGTCGGGCGTACAACCCCCAGTCAGTGGAAGGTCCCCTCGTTTCTTTCTGTATCGGACCTTCAATGCTATCAGTGGCGCAAGGCGTTACTGCGCAGGAATGCACAGTCGCCACCAAGATGTCTCCGGCGTCACACATCTCATCGTCGTGAGCTACGTTCCACTTTCTCATCTGCTCATGGCTGTCTCGTTTTTCTGCAACCCAGCGTTTCACGGCTCGAGAAAGATTGTATCACAGTTGTCCGTGCCTTTCCTCTGCTTGCTGGGGCTGTGGCTGGTCTATCGTCGCCTACATGAGCTTGGCCTACCGTCATACCGCATCACATATACCTCGCTCGAGATCAATCTTCCTAAGACACCGTCTGCCAAACAGCTCCCGGGTCCTCTTGCGGATACTGTGGTCATCGGCAAGTTGAGCTCTCAAGATACGACCTGGACCAAAGAGCTTGCGCCGAAGTAAAGAAGCACCGCTAGGAATTGTCAAAGGTCGGGCTTACTGAAAGATTTACTAGATGGCAAGCAGCAGTCTATACAGTCAATGATACGTCTGCGCCTCTGCACACAGCTTACAACAAAGGCAGAGAAGCCAACGCGTACCTCACATACATCATCGACGCGTACCATGACCTGCCCGAAACGATAGCCTTTGTCCACAGTCACCGCCAAGGCTATCCGGCCGCCTGGCACACCGAAGGCCTCAACCACGACATCGTGAAGACTTTAACTTACCTCAACACCACCCATGTGCAAGCCGAAGGCTACGTCAACCTTCGCTGTCTTCACGATCCAGGCTGCTCGCGAGACGGGCGCATCGAACCGTTTCGGCATGTCGGAGAACCCCAGCCTATGGAGCGCGATAGTCTAGCAGAGGTCGCATGGCTCGAAGCGTGGCGTGGCTTGTTCCCAGGACAACCAATACCCTTCGAGATCGCAGCTCCGTGTTGCGCACAGTTTGCTGTTAGTCGGGATGAAGTCCGCAAGCGGCCCCTAGCGGACTACGAGCGCTTTCACCGCTGGTTGATGCATACCACGCTATCTGACGACATTAGCGGCAGGATAATGGAATATGCTTGGCATATCATCTTCGGCCGGGACTTAGTACAGTACGCCTGTTGGTGGCGGCTTCGTCCGTCTGTCTCTAACTGACTTACTAAGCAGCTGTCCTCCCCCCCAACGGTGCTTCGACCTTTTGTACGGCAGCAAACTATATCACTGAGCGACGTAAGGGACGGAGCGGCACGTTTCCACTATGCAGCCAAACATTCGTCGGCACCAGATGCCGAACAGTGCGTCCGGCACTATTGCTGCGCTCTAGCGCGGTAGGCACGGGAGAACGCCAAGAAGCTGACGATGCCCGTGCATTATCACCGGATACTGAAACTCTACCTCGTCAACTTCCTCACTTATGAACTCTATGCACACAACAGAAGTCTGAAGACTGGAGCTGACGTATCCAGTGTGTTCTCTCGCTCTGCTGCGTCTGGACTGCGACTTCAACAAAGCAATAGTAGCAGACAGCCAATGGTTGCAGTCTACACCACACACGTTTCCTTTGTCTGTCGATGTATCATGACGACCGCTTCGAGCATGGGTGGATTAGATGGTAGCTCTTTGTTCGCACACCAGCACTGTGATATAATACGATGAATTCTTCAAGCGCAGTATTACCTCCAAGCGAGCATTCCCCCCAAACGTAGCAGTCAACTTGCAACACCTAGTCGAGGGACCCGGAATCAATCGCTACAACCAGAACATGTTCACTTACGTCTTACTCGGCCTTGGCCTCACCGCAGTGGTCAACGCCATGCCAGCCGCGACAACCCCAGCAACCGTGGCAACCGTCTACACCACCACCTCAGTCTCCTACTCCACCTCCACCCTCCCAAACTCCGACTGCGGCCCCTTCACCACCGTCCCATCCAACTACGCTTCGTGCTCCCCAGGCTGCCGACCCATCCAAATCCCTGGTCTCTTAGCCCCACCTAACTCCAATTCGCCATACAAGTGCTCCGACCCGCCGCAGTTGATTACCACTGCGAGTACGGATGTGGGGACGGTGACTTGCACGGCTGGCTCGACGGTTACGACGATGACGCCGCTCTGGGGGAGTAAGTGGCAGAAGTGTACGGTGGCGAGTACGAGTACCTCGAGCTAGTATCGTGGTACCGGTGCTTCTGAGACAGAGATGAGTGCTACGACTTTCACGGGTGGCTTCTACTTTCTCATCCATTGCTTCTACCTCTTCATCCGTAATTTCGACATCTTGCTATTGGCTTCGAATCATATGGTACCTGAGATCTTGCCGATTGCCTCGTCCTTTACTGGTTATTTCCGACGATATGAACGAATATGTGCTCTCTTCTTACCACTTCCCAATATCGCTCGACTACTTGATACCGTGTTCTAGTCACGAAGTCACGCAGCGCTGATACGACTCGTAAGCCACGTTTGCAGGGAACGGTCTTAGAAGTTCATTATAGCTAGGCAGTCGATATCTACTCTACATACAGTGATATCACGTCGCGGTTGGGCGCACTTTCAACCTGCCTACATTCCTTACAAGTGCTTCTCATTGACCAACGTAATCCGATACCTCGCCTTCCCTTGATCCATATCCACGATCGCCTTGTTCGCCTCGCTCATCGGGTACTTATTGATCCAGGGATGCAAGTTCTTCTCCGCCGCAAATTTGAGCATCTCCTCAATCTGCCACGGCGGCCCAATCATACTGCCACCAAACTTGACACCTTTGGCAATGAACGCAAAAGCATTCATATCCGGCAACTTGTCCTCGGGAGCGCCGACTTGGATGAACGTCCCTTTCACGCGGAGCAGCTGCAGGTAGTCCATCAACGGCATCTTTGGCGACGACACGGTGCAGACAATCAGATCCAGACTCCGCGCGTGATGCTTCGCCCAGTCCTTGTCATCGTCAGTGGCGATATATTCGTCTGCGCCCATCTTAAGCACATCGTCCTTCTTGTTGTGCGATCGGGAGATACCGACAACCTTATCCGCGCCCAGTGCCTTCGCGAACATCACACCGAAGTGCCCTAGTCCGCCTACACCTATTATTCCCACCTTCTTCCCCGGCCCACAGCCGTTGTTCTTGAGTGGGGAGTAAAGCGTAACACCACCACATAACATTGGCGCCGCCTCCTCCGATGGTAAAGATTCTGGAATCTTGACTACAAAATGGGAAGGACAGCGGTGATAGTCCGCATACCCCCCGTACGAGTAACTCCCATCCGGGTACTGATCCGCGAAGGTGTTGACGGTATGTTGACAGTGGTTCTCCAGACCTGACGAGCATTCCTCGCAGTCGGGCTTGAGGCAGGAGGAGTTCTGCGCGCCGACGCCGACGCGGTCGCCAACTTTGATTCCCTTTTCCGCTTTGGAGCCGACGCGAACGGCTTTGCCAACGATTTCATGGCCGACGCAGCAGGGGTAGGGTGTAGGACCCCAGCCGGAGCGGAGGGTGTCTGGTGATATCGTCAGCATAGCTGCGTTGATGGGAGTGGGATGGGATTGGGAGGCTTACGTAGGTCAGAACCGCAGATACCGCAGTGTGTTATTTGGATGTCGACATCGGTCTCCTCGAATGGCTTCGGGTGAGGGAACTTGCCCCATTCCATCTTGCCTTGGGCGGACTCGGGGCCCTTGCCGAGCCATCCTTCGAAGCTGTAGTCGTTAGACATATTGGCGTGTGACGTTTTAGTGAGCTTGAAAGTAGTGTTTCTTCAAGTGTGCTGGATGGAACTACAAAAATAGCTGGAAAGAGGTTGAGGGAACAGTTATACTTTACTTCGCCATGAACAACGTCCGACTTGATGACATATGCGTGCCACAATTCCAATGGGCAGATCGTATCGATAACAGAATATCGCCGCGATCGCCGCACCAGCCGAGTACTAGAACAGCGTGTTCGTGCCATTACGTCCTCTCCCATATGAGGGTTCATCGTCCCGGAGCAAACTCCGCGCGGCAATTGTTCATTCTCTTCGAAGCTTTCCAGATCTCTGCAAGGGACAGCATAGGTGACGTCGCTGATGCAGATCTTCACGTCCAAGGTGGCGGCTAAAGTGAGATAGCAGATAGGCGAGCCGCACCGCTACGTGTATGCGCTGTTTCTGTAGAGTGTGGACAACAATGTGCAATGGGAAGATGAGGGAACAGCTATGCAGGATGCATAAGACGGCGTGAGAGTGAGAGAGAGAGAGAGACAGCAGGATCTGGAAAGGGACGAAGGATCAACAAGCGTAAGCCACCTTGGAGGCACCACGTGATACTAAGACGGTGGTTTGCGCACGTGACGTGATATAAAGCACGCTCTTTTGACCCTTTGAGCAAGGCGGCAGTAAGCGATGCCAAGTAGAGCATTGACAAGACAATCGCTCCTGCGACGGGCGCTGGTCATGCGAGCACCCTACTCCCTGTCTAGCCTAACCGCCGGCATCTTCTCAATATCCCCAATGTCCACCTTATGCCCCAGCAACTCCCTAATGTTCGATATACCGTACTTAATCATCGTCGGTCTCTCGAGCGACAACCCAAAGCCATAGCATCGTAGATCTTCAGGCAGTCCCATCGCCAACAACATCTCCGGCCGGAACATACCACTATTCCCAATCTCGACTAACTTGCCTAGCCCCTCATGCCACGCGTAGACTTCCATACTCGGTTCCGTGTAGGGGTTGTACGCGGGCTTGAACTTGAGATCCGGGACGCCGATATTGCGGAAGAAGCGTTTCAGGAACGCCTGTAATCCACCCAACGTAAGGTTGTAATCCGCAATGACACCCTCAATCTGGTGGAATTCAGCAAGATGTGTGGCGTCGACCGTTTCGTTGCGGAAGACGCGGTCGATGGAGAAGTAACGACACGGACGCGGATTAGCGGCAAGGCGATGCAGACAGTAAGCCGAGATGGCAGTGGTATGGGTGCGGAGGACGAGACGGCGCGTTTCGGCGTCGTTGTAGGGGTAGCGGTAGCCGATCGAGCCGAAGGCGCCGTCTTGGTGCACGCGTTTCACGTTTTCAAAGTACTCGTTGTAATCTAGTTTTGATGTCGTTTCAGCGGCGCGGGTGGCGGGGTCAGAAGATGTGGGTTTGTCGCTTTCGTCGTCATCTTCTTCTGCCGTTTCCGCCAACACGACGTCGACGGACTCGTCTGCGCCTGGTGGTCCGGCTTCGGCGGGGTCGGAGACGTAAAAGGTGTCCTGCAGGTCCCGGGCGGGATGTTGTTGCGGCACGAAAAGGGCGTCGAAGTTCCAAAAGCCGGAGTCGACGAAGCGTGCCGTTGGCATCTCCACGAAGCCCATATTGAAGAAGATCTTGCGGAACTCTTCCCGGACTTTGTTTAGAGGGTGCAAGGCGCCCGTCCCGCCGTGGCCGGCCTCACCTAGCACACCTCTCGCTTTGAAGTTGTATGGTTTGAAGGTGGCCGTCTTCCAGCTGCCATCCGCGATCATCTCTGCCGTCAGATCCGTCACCTCTACGGGTATCTCTCGCGCCCATCTCGGTCCTTTTCGCGCAATGTACGTGATCACCTTTTGCGTCGCCACTAACTTTCGCTTCTGGTAATCCTTGAGCAGCTTAGCATCCTCGAAAGCGTGGTGCTCCGACGCATACCGTAGTTGCTCTCTCGTCGTATCCGTCACCGAATCTGTGAGTGGCACGAAAGCGTCGCCATCCTTCTTGATCCACTTCAGCTTGATCGCATTGCCCTGCCCGAGCTTGGCTGAAGGTGTTGATAATGCTTGGTCCTTTGGCGACAGCTTGCCAGCCTTGTGTACTGCATCCCAGACCTTGTACTCATGGCTGCCTTCATCCACGATATCTTGGCCTTCTTGTGTCAGGACGACGTGCTCCTTGTCGTTGGTGTCATATTCGACCATCTGCCGACTCGCTAACCGATCTAGTGCGGCCTTGATCTCGGCTTGTGATGTGTGCGGGAAGAGCTCGTTGGTCGGTACGGTTTCATGTTCGTCGACGGCGTTCAAGATTTCTTGGGTAAGGTCGCGGTCGCCGCCATTGGGGTGGAGAGGCACTGGCACTGGGCCTCTTGTCCCGGGCATGGCGGCGGAAGGTATGCGACTTGCTTTAGCTGTTGTAAGTTCACTACGGTAAATGTTCTTGTGCTGGGTTACTCATCTGTGCACTCAGGAACATTTCATGAGGCATTGCATGTAGCCTGCATTAGCGTGTGTGCACGGACGTTACTGTTGTGGTATTCGAGATCGCTACACATATCATGTCGTGTCAAGAACATAACAAAGATAATGCTTAGGGCAGGCTGTCCAGAAAAGCTCTACTGATCTAGCGCTGCAGCATATGTATCGTGACTGCTGTCTACCTTCACTTCCATCCAGCTGCCGTAGGATCATGAAGTCAATAAGGCCTGACACAATATGGCCTCTGCAGCATCTTCTCTTCTCGTCGTGAACCAGTCTAACACTGGCTGAGACTGTATACTTGAACAAGCAAAGGCCCGAGCCTACAACCATGTCCTTACCCTAAGCTTCCACCACTAGGCACGGTTACGCAAGGCGGCGAACCTACTAAGATCCGCACACAGAGCGAATCTGGCGCTGAGTGCTATCGTGGTCCTTTCGAGCGACGAAGTGGCATGATCAAGGGTTGTGCTATATCGACGGCAGTCTCCCCGGGACGATGCACAGCAGAAGAATGTTGCTCAACGGATGTGCCTAAGATTGGCGGTTGAATGGCATGGTGTCCTGCAGTCTCTATGGCTCAGCGTCCCATCCTGCCACATTCATACCCACTAAGCACTGGCCTCCACCATACGTGGCAAATCATCCAGCTTCAACCCCGCCACAGCCTTCTCCAGTGCTCCCATATCACTAACCTCCTCTACCTCCCGCTCCTGCCTTCTTAACGGTCCCCATACAAACCGCAATTGCGCCTCGTCAACCACCCTCCTCAACCCCACGATCAACGGCGAGCCACGCTTAATGTACGCATCAATCTCCACCGTCTCCAGACTAGGCAGCTCATCAATGAGACCCCGCAACAAGTCCATGCAGAACCACTTATACGTGTCCTCCGTAGCATTCTTGCCTCGAAAGCCATTGAAGAAGCTCTCACTTGGATCCAATTCCACGAAGATCTTCAGTGTCCGTAAGCTTGTGCAGTCTGCCAGGCCAAGCGTCTCCGTAACCTTCTGGCACCGTGGCGGTGCGCTCCAGCCTTTTCCAAGTCTGATTTCGAAGGTCGTGATCTCTGCGCGGTAGTGTGGTGGCAAGCGGGAGAGAAGAGGTTTCTTTGTGTTGAAGAAGCGATCAGAGTATGGGAAGAGTAGCATGGGTTGGGAGTAGAAGACTCGATGCGCTTCTTCATGCATTCGTTTAGAGACGAGAAAAAGTGCGAGGCGTGGGATGATGGTGCGGTAGTTGTATGGATCTGATTCATGGCTTGTCAGAGTACTATATGGAGGTGGTGAGGCTGTTGGGATAGGATGGCTTACCTAGGTCCAGCGGCTTGCCGATGTGAAGCACATGTTCTAGTATCTGCAAGCGCAGCTCCGCGGGCAGATCGAAGAAGCGAAAGGACTGCTTGGGTGATGGTGAGGACGATCTGCTTGGGTAGGCGCTTGAGTCGGCCGAGGTGGCGACGCTGGTGGCTACGGAATCGTTCTTCTTCCGTGGCGGCATCGTTACGTAGGAAGAGCGGTATTCAATAGGTATTCAAAGAATAGACAAGCTCTTACAGTGCTACAAACGAGGAAGTAGTTGTTGGGCACGCGACCTTGACGAAGCCACCGGCCATTGCGGATGATCCGCTGACGTCTATGCAGCCATTGTGACAATGGCTGCGTCGGCGAGCGAGTGGTGGTTGGTAGGTCGAATGAGGCTCTGCGCAGTGAAGCTGGATGACATTGACAAGACTTGATGTGTTGATGCAGAAGACAATGCTAAAAGCAGTACTTGATGTAGGTACAGTACGTCCCCGCGGTTCCAGAAAGGGCTGGCTTGTTTGCTGATAACGGGAGACACAGGGAATCTTGACTCGTCCTCTGCGCTTCTTTGTACAGCCTTTGAGGTTCCGTCTGCCCAGCTGATTCAGCTGCCGATCCAGGTGCTGCTCGGTTGGAGTGCGGATGGGAAGCCTTTTATCTGCAGTGGGGTTCAAATCAACTTTGTAGAAGAAAAGAAAGAAAGCCCAATGGAAAGACGGAGCGGAGAGTTTTGAGAGGCGGCGATTGGGAGAAATGTGAGCCTTAGGCCGCAAAAACTCACTGTCAACCACACGACTGAACGGAGCACTGAGATATAAAACGATCAAGCGATGTTAAGAATACGCTTATCTCACAGCTTGCGAGCACACTGGTAGGACTGGAATGTTATGGCTAAAATCAGTGTCGAGACGGCAATACTTCGAAATTTGTCCGCTTGCAGAGACTCCAGCGTGCCTTCCTTACCTGGAAAGCGCAGCGGCTCGGACCTCCAACTTCGATCAAAACTGTTGACTGAGATCCGTGCACCTGTAAGATGCCTTCCTTCGCCATAGAGGTCCCCGGAGAGGCGAACCCACTTACCGAAGAGCAACTTGTTCACACTCTTGGCTCGGCTGCCTCGTCCGACCAAGGCCAGATACGTAGCGCCACGACCCAACTTGAGCGATGGGAGCGTAGCGAAGGCTACTATAAGCACCTTCAGAGCGCGTACCTAGACTCCAGACTACCCACTGAACTTCGCTATCTGGCTATCATACAACTCAAGAATGGCATCGACAAGTACTGGCGAAAGACTGCAACTAATGCCGTCTCCAAGGCGGACAAAGCAGCCATCCGCTCTAGGCAGCTGGACAGCTGCCTAAACGAGACCGATGATCGCCTCGCGCTGCAAAATGCCTTGGTCATCGCGAAGATTGCACGCTTTGAGTACCCTCACGATTGGCCGGAATTGATACCGGCACTAACGAACATTATCCGAAACGCTTCCCAGATAGCACCACTACAGCTCGTAAGGGCGCTTCTGACACTGCTACATATCATCAAAGAGCTTGCGACTGGACGGTTACAGCGGTCACGCCAGAACCTCCAGGCTGCGACGCCAGAGCTGGTGCATGTGCTTGGCAGTCTATACAGCCAGACTGTCCTTCACTGGCAGCCTCAACTACCCCATGACCTGGACGAAAGTGCGATAAGGTTAAGCCTAATGACCATGAAGGTGTTGAGACGACTGGTGATCGTAGGCTACGAACATCCGCATCGTCATGAGGAAGTCGTCACTGTGTGGGAGATGACACAGCAGCATCTGTCCAAGCTCTTGGGAATGCGGTCGGAGATACCCGCATCAGAAGTGTTTGACAAGCTCACGCTGCAATTGGCGAAGCTACACCATACTATGTCCATGGAGCATCCGGCGTCATTCGTTCTCTTGCCGAACAGCGTCGACCTCGCTCGCGCATACTGGACCTTCGTCAAGACATACGGTGAGCAGATAGGTACTGGAGAGACTGTCAGCATAGCCGTTGCTGATGGAAGGATTGATACCAACGGAGAGCCAGACGAGAAAGGGCACGCCGAGAAACTCTCATTGCGCGGCTTGCTAATTCTACGGGCTTGTGTGCAGATGGTGCACTATCCAGCTCAGGCGTTCAAGTATCGCACCGCTGAAGACAAGGAGCAGAAGAACCAAGCAACCGAGCTGTTACGCACCGAGCTATTCTCGATTGCGTTCGTACAAGAGGTCTTCCAGTCGCTGGTCACACGCTTCTTCATTTTCCGCGCGAAAGACCTCCGCGAATGGGAAGATGAGCCCGAAGATTGGGAGAAGGGCGAAGAACACACCGGCTTAGCTGAGGCTTGGGCATACGAAGTCAGGCCTTGTGCAGAGAAGTTATTCTTGGATCTGGCGATCAACTACAAGGACATACTTCTACAGCCGCTCCTGCAAGTCTTCTATGAAGTCGCCAAGCCAGAGCACGAAGATGTCATGTTTAAGGATTCCGTTTATACTGCCGTTGGCCTTGCCGCGCCCATACTGCACGACTCGCTCGACTTCGATGCGTTCATCCGAGATGTTTTGGTGCAAGAAGTGCAGAAACAGACTGCAGGCTACAACATTGTGCGCCGGCGAGCAGCCATTTTGCTCGCGCAGTGGATCTCGGTCAAGATCAACGAGCGACAGCTCGTCTTCCAGATCTATAACTTCCTACTCGACCCTGACAAGGAACTCAACGACTTAGTCGTCCGAGTCACCGCGGGTAAACAGCTACACGCCGTGATTGACGACTGGGGTACGAAAGCCGAAGAGCTGCAGCCGTACGTGCAGAGCATTCTCAGGAGGCTCCTGGCGCTGACAATCGAGGTCACCTATATCGACACACGAATGGAGCTCCTCAACACCGTCTCTGTGGTTGTGGAGAGAATGGAGCATCGTATCTCTCCGCATGCTGACATGATCATGGCTACGCTACCGACACTCTGGGAGAAGAGGACTGACGATGTCCTGCTAAAGCAAGCGATCCTTAGTTTGCTAGTCCGACTCCTCAACGCCATGAAAGCGGACTCCGTACCCTTCCACGGCATCATGTGGCCGATCATTACCGCTACCATGAAGGCAGGGCCAGAGATCGACTTCTTCCTGCTCGAAGACGCTCTGGATCTTTGGGGTACGATACTCGTGCAGACTCCACGGCCAGCGTCGGACGAGATACTTAACCTCATGCCTGAGATCTTCCGAGTCTTCGAGTTCGGCTCAGAGGAGTTACGCCAGGCTCTGCAGATCACCGAATCGTACGTCGTGCTTGCTCCGGCTAATATTCTACACAACACTCTGCCGCTTCTAGACCAACTACGGTCGTTGCTGGACTCTCTCCAGAGCAAGGCAGAGGCTAACGGTATGGTCTGCAACATCATCGAACTCCTCATCCGCTCCGCGCAGAAGCTCGGCGGCGAGGGTGCCGTAGCCGAGATTGCTGTCTCCATGACCCGGAGTCGTTTGTTACAGACACTACTTGTAGGCCTGCGAGGCAGCTGGATGGCCCACTGCACCACCGGTCCCCTGGCGAAGGAGCCGCCTGTCGATGGTATCGTAGAGACCGATTACTTCGCCGTCCTTGCCCGGCTCATTCTCGGCTCGCTTGACGGCTTTAGTGCGGCCATCAGGACGGCTTCGGCGGGCTTCTCCAGTGACAACGTGGACGTAGAAGGCACGATGAAGTGGCTACTGGAAGAGTGGTTCAACCACTTTGAGAACGTCGGCGATCCTGGAAGGCGGAAGCTGATGTGCTTAGCTTTAACCAAGCTGCTCGCGACGAACCAACCTTTCATTCTGCTGCACCTGCAGTCACTCATGACCGTCTGGACCGACATCATCACGGAGCTGCGCGAAGGCGCGGAGGACACGACAGGCGACTCACTGGTCTACGCATCTGCTGCTGCTGAAGCCAGCTCGGAGGGTCTTGAAGCGCCTGAGGATGTGCGCAGGAGGGAGTTGACTTGTAGTGATGAAGTGCATACGGTCAACCTGCCGGAGTTCGTGAAGTTTTACTTGGAGCAGGCTGTTGCTGCTGCGGGGGGGAGTGAGAGGTTTCAACGGGAGTGGTTGGTTAATGTGGACAAGGAGGTTGTAGCGGCGTTTACGCAATTGGGAATAATATAGGACAGTAGTATCTAGCAGACGGTGGCGCGAGAGATCGTAATGTTATGCAAGCCGAGCAGATATTTCTCACCGATCCGTATTCGTGGGAAACCTACCTCGAGCAGAGTACGGAGAGCTATGATTGCATGCACGCCGTATTCGAGGTCCATCAGCGGCACTGTTTCCACAGGCTATTCTGTCATACAGTGACATGCAGCTTTGCGGTCAGTGACCTGGAAACAGTTTACTGAAGCGATGCCGCTCTCGCACCTCATTGGCGCGCGAACTGCCTGTGCAGACGACGTGCAGCCAACATTCCAAGCCAAGGGCGACTAGGTCCAAAAGGAGACGCTGCAGGACCGCGCAAGCGTGCAGAAGTCCACTGAGTTGTGCGAAAAGCTGAGTGCAGTCGCTTGTCATCAACAAGTAACATACTCGGGCATAGTAGATAGTCGTTCGAGGAATGCTGTAAAGAAAAGAGAAAGTTATGCTGTCAGAAACGGCAAGCGCAACGTGAATTCGAGGTACACCCCCCACGTGACACCGCACATTTACCGCCAGGCATTACATCACCGAGGCTTGCAATTCGTCTGGTCTTGCTGCCAAGGTTGCGCTGAAGGGATCGACCTGCATCTTCGCCATGCACCTGCGCCCTTCTCCTGACTAGCTGTCACCCACCTCCAACGGCATCGTCATTGCTCGGCGCTCGCACAGTATCCTTTCATATCAGCTATAGTACTGCCTTCGCGACACAGCAGAGGTCCCTAGACGCAGCCTTGGCTGATCGATGCGCGCCTCGCGCAGCGCATACGCACAGCTGCAGCCGAGGGTGCCTCGACGGCGTGCGCAACGGAAGCGGGCTGTGCGACGACTCTCGGTTGGCACTGGGCGCCATTGCTACGCCACGTACGACCGACTTGAGTACATCTTTGGCGGGTTGGTTCGAGAAACTCGAAGCAGAGACGGAACAAAACGACTGGCGGCTCGAGGGAAAGAGAGACCGTCTGAGAGAACCCGAAGCTGCAATTCACGCAGAGAGAGGGAAGTGAAGTTTGCTGCACTGCTTGTTGCGCGACGATGAGATAGGAACATGAAGTAGGCTGCAAGAAGATGCCAGGTTTCCGCAGGCCGCATACCACGGCCTTTGCGCCCCTTGATGAGAAGAGTTTCGACATGCTCGAGAGGGCGTTCCAGGGTGCTGAGTACAAGCCCCTCAATGAGAGCATGTTTAGCAGAAGCAAATCGATCAAAGAGAAACACCGAAGCGTACCGACGACGTTTGCGGATATTCCGAGCTCAGACGAGGAGGGTAGCATTGATCTGGACTGTGATGTAGATACGGGCGTCGACCATAGCAATGTTACTTCCCGCGGGATCGATCGAAGCAAATTCAATAGCGATAACAACCACCGCCCACAGACGCCGCCTCACCTGATCAAGGGCGGTACTGGCCTCCCTCCTACGCCTCCGACAATGGCAAATTCTGACATAGCGGAACCTCGCGCTGAAAGTCTTGCGGCGAATGTTCAGTTCGCTGATGCTGTGAGGGAGGCGTTGCGTACACAGAAATCAGGCCTAAGCACGCCCGGGCGGAACCTCCCCACCCCCGATCCCTCTCCGCCGGGCACGAGTGGAAACTTGACTTCGCCAACATTGGATGCAACATATCTTCACCCTCTGATCGCGCATCGCCTAAAACAATATCCCAGTTCAAGAGCCGAATCCTTCTATACCGCACGCGAACATTCAAGCCGGAGCCAGCTGCATTTACCGCAAACGCCTTCTCCCGCGCCGCTGCAGCACTGGATGGATTCGACACGTGGGTTACGGCTCGCTAACGTCGATCCCAGTATGGCAAAGCGAAGCGCCGTTAACGAAGCCAGGGAGATGCCCTGCCGTCGGGATATCACTGCAATCTATCACGGGCACCCCGGTCCAGCTGCTTCTCCATATGATCCTCCGGACACGCATGAGGTGCCAAATCGCCGGATGATCACTGCCATTCACTCTTTAACTGCCGCGGACCGAGTTGCTTCTCCACTCCACACTCCGGATTCGGATGGCGACGTGGACAAGCACATATCGTACATTAGCAATGAGGAGGAAGCTGACCCTTCTCCGAACCATAGGGGCAACCTACGTGACTTGCAGGGCCTCGCCGCTTCTTCCTGGCTGGCGAGCGGGCTGACGCCGTCGGATCAAACCAGCGCCGAAGATGTCAACAACTCCGTCTACAAGCAAATTCAAGAAGAGAACGTCAAGCGACACAGCGCGTTAAGCCATGGCAGCGCGGCACCCGCAGGTCTTCACTCGCCTGATGGACGTCAGCATACGCTCAAGCGTAGCGCGAGGCACGAATCACTTCGCAATGTCTCGAGAAGCGAGAATAGCCCACGCACTAGCCTTGATACAGCGCCGAAGCAACTACGCCATAAGAGGGCGCAAATACCAGCTAAATCCTTCGAAGCGTCTCCCGTCAGGGAGTCGGGTGCCGCAGATTCTGACCTGTTCTGGTGGGCTCGTAGTGCAGCTCCCATGGCGGTCGAGGGTTTACCGTCTTCGCTGACGGATATGAGTGTGCATCGTAAGCAGCAGCAGCAGCATCACACTTTGTGCCGTGTGTCGCACCGTAATCGACTCGAAGACACCCTTACCATTAGACGTCTCACTACGGCGAAGGAGACTAGTAACGATCGCTTGCTGGCTACCTCATCGGTTCCATCTCTGCTAGGGTTGAACAACGCAGCGAAGCAACAACGCCACACTCCGCGCGATGCACAAGTTGAACAGCATATTCCTGTTCAGCCTGTTGGCGCGGGCTTCGACATTGCCACGCCTGACGAGGAACTACTCCACCCGGGATTCGAGGCATTGCCGACAGCGTACCATTCTCGCAAAGCCTCCGCCGTCTCCAATGACTCTCGCAGACAGCGCGCCAGCATGGACACCAACGGCGGCGCTTTCATGCCGTCCTCGCCACGAAAGAGCTTCGACGCTCGCTTCCTGCATCCGAGCCCTACGCCACTGTCAACCAGTCAGTGGTCGGAGCGAAGCGAGATGGAGGTCTGCGAGGCTCAAGGCATCAACATCTACCCACACCACAACGAGAGTCTGTTAGTGGTGCAGCATGTGTCACGACCAGTGAGCAAATTGCCGTCCACGTCGTCGACGACCGCCCAGCTCAATCGTGCTGAGCATATGCCTTCGTTCTCAGCACAAATCACGCAGACGTCACCGACTGATGGCGAGCACAACCCTACCATCCACGTCGATAGCCCACTTACGAACCCTCGTTCGGCACCAACGCCGCCAGCCTTCAAGATCATACCTCCCACGCCGAACAAGGAGCTCCTAGAGCGCGAGCGTGAGCGCGAGCTTGAGCCCGATCATGACCACGGCAGTACCACTTTCCAACCGCGTTCAAGCCTAATGCAGCGCGCGCGCCGCTTAAGCGAATCCTTCATTGAGCAACCCTTTCTCACGCGCTCCCTCAGCCTACGCAAGCCTAAGCGTCCGAACACCGCCGATGAAGACCGGCCACAGAACCTGTCGCCGCTCTGGCAACCACGCCGTTTCTGGGATGGCTACGACAGTGAGGAGGAATTGTATGATAGCGAGGACCTGGATGGCTTACCCATTGGCAGACTCCCACAGGGTGGCGATACCTCTGACGTCGAAAGCGTTAAGCGTCGCGCTCTCTGGCCGAGACAGATGAGCGTGCGTATGCCTGGGTTCAGGGGCAGGGGTGGCTTTCTTGTCGGTAACAGTCTCGGTCTGGATAGGCATGGAACCAACAACCGCCGCCATTACGTGGTGAAGAAGAGCAGTTCGGGTGGGATGGGCAGTCGCGGCTCTTATGTGAGCCAGGGCGTTGTGAGGAAGCGGCCAAGCGAGGACCAGCTCACCCGGGCAAATGGTGAGAAGAAGACGGCGCGTCCGTCTGTTTTGAGCAGGAGTTTGAGTGGGATTCGGCGGAACAGGGAGGAGCGGGAGAGGGAGAAGAGGCGTCGTCTGCTCAAGGAGCAGATTGTGCATGGGCAGCGACAGTGACCGATTGTTGTTGTTTTGACGATTGTACGGACTACTCACGTTTGGATGCGTTTACGATGAGACGAAGCGTGTACTCGTTGTTGGTTTGCACTCTCTGTTTTGCTTGAGTTGTCTTCATCTGTACTTTAGCACGCTCTGTACGAGTATTGTCCAATGTTTCACCGTATCACTGATACGCCCAACCCGATGGCATTTCACGTATCTCAATACCACTTCATAGGGAGCAGAAGAGCCTGTTGCGCGGCTACGGTTCTGGAAACATGTCCTCTCGGAAAGCGTCGAACCACTTATTGCCATGCATCCCACTGCGATTATATCCATTCAAATAGTTTTCAACGGAGCAACAGCAGCGTAACGCGCTACTATGATTATGGGAAGTCGCTCATCCGGGAGCCAAGGTATTATTTGTATCTATATGCACTGAGTACGCTCCCAACCCTATTCTCTTGCCAAGAGCAACGGTGGCCGCCACCTCATTTTATGCTCTGAATCATTTCCTTCAGATCCTTAGCTGAATCCTTTACCGCTTCCTGTGCGCGAAGAGACCACGCCGTCATCTGCAGCCACCCGTGCGTGCAGTCTTCGTAGTGACGCCACTTAACGTCCACGCCCACCTGAGACAGCTTGTGGGCATACTCGACACCTACGTCCCTCAATGGGTCGAAACCGCTCGTGAATACTCTCGCTGGTGGTACGCCCTTGAGCTCGTCGTTGCTCTGCATACCTGGGCTGATGTACTTGAACGCCGGCGTAACGCCGCGGGGGAGGTAGTGGTCCGCGAAGCTAAAGATGCCGTTGCACTCGAGGTACAGTCCAGTGTTGTTCTCCGTGGCGGCCGGTGTGTCGAATGGAACGCGGGCTTCAGGGTAGTACAGCATTTGACCAGCGATGTTGCCCTTGCCCTCGTCTCTCCTTCGGAGCGCAATCGCCGCGGTCATGTTCCCACCAGCTGAGTCGCCGCCGCCGAACACAAGGTTCTTCGCAACGCCGCGCTGGGAGCCAAAGTCGCCTTGTAGCGCGTCAATGATGGCTGAGTACTCATCCAGCTGTGTCGGGTAGCGAAACTCGGGCGCGAGACGGTAGTCCGCAGCGTACACCTGAGCGCCACTCTCCTCAGCAAGAAGACGTAGTCCATTCTCAAACTCGTCGACGGAGCCTACAGTGTAGCCACCGCCGTGGAAGTAGATGAGGGCTGCAGCGCCATTGCTTCCTTTGGCGGCTGCTTTGGGGTAGAGGACGCGGAGTGGAATGGTTCCATGAGGGCCGCGGATGGCTGTGAACTCGACCTCATCGATTGGGTGGATCTTCTCCTGGGGTATGGCGTGAATGCCGAAGACCTCGAGGTGGTGACGACGTTCGGCGTGAAAGTCTTCTTCGCCGCCAAGATGGAGGCCGGGGTTGTCGCTGAGAAACTTTTGGATCTCGGGATGGAGTGAGGTCCGGGTGCCGGTTGTTGGGATGTCGTGGGAAGTCATGTTGACAGGCTCTATGGTTGGGATATTAAAGGTAGCAGTAGTACTCTAAGCAATTTGACCTTCTGCAAGCAGATGAAGAGGAAGTAGACTACCTTGAAAACCTGATATGCGCTCGATTGCTACAAGAGACACCGGTATTGCAGGGTCGTGTTCTATCTTGTGCCGTACAGACGTGACGTGACAGGGCGAAAATGATGTCTGTTCCGAGCTCACCGAAGCCCAGATCCACAGCATGCTTTCGTCGTCTGGTCGCCAGTCTTTGACGATGCTGGAAGTACGGCAAACCGATGGAAGCCGATCATCATGCAAGCGTCATTTCACTGCAAGCGTCCAGCGCCATTCGAACTATACCGGCAAGTCGGAGCCCAGTCCGTGGAGATGGTCAAGTGAATGAAACAATAATGATTGTAGAATGTATGAATTGATCGGACAGTCAGCGCGGCATACAGTATATATATGTCGCCTTTCACATGACAATCTCAGTTCTTCGCATGACAGCGCATGCTTACCTCTTACAACAGCAGGGTATTGCATACGTCTGTGGCCGCCTGCATCTTTCGCTTCATCCTCCATCTTTGCATGGCGTCTCCCTCTTCGCAGCATCAGCATCACATAGGCAGCATAAGTCTGGTAGCAGCGTTGCTCGCTGTGCTTGTGGAAGCCATCGCACCCCACCCTCTCACAGTGCCTGATGTGGTAGACCATCAGCAACCGGTTTACTACCCGTTCATCTGAGCCCGAGCTCTCGCAATTTTTCTGCCTTCGTTGTTTTAATAATGTAAAACTCAATCGCGGACAAGTAGTCGCCCACCCAGCTCTTCCGAAACCGACGCAGACCTCGATCTGGAGGCTTTGTGTGACCACATTGTAGAGGTCTTTGGCGGTCATGGTTTCGAACTTGAGCTTGACAAGGATTCAGGGAAGTAGCTGTACACCTCAACGTTGATTTGGACCGTTGAGAAGCGCGTAACTCGCATTGCTGAAAGCATAGAGGGAGTCTGCACTTTACGTTCACACAGGCAGGATAGTATATTCTGGCCGAACTATGTCTCCTAAGATGCCTTGTCAAGATACTGTCTTTAACGCTACAGACCATCCTCCTTCTCCGTATCGCACCTCGCACTTACCCTTCGTTATAATATGTCGCTTATGCGCCCGTACGACGACCTTTAGCGTTTCGTTTCTTGCAGTCGTCCGAATCGTCCGAGTCGTCCGACATTTCGAAGCCGGCCGGCAACCTCCTCTTTCCGCCCCACACGCCCCACAGCGACACCTTAAACCCGATGCCGGTGTAGTAGTACCGCTCGCCATGCTTATGCAAGCCGTCGCCGCACCCCTCCTTCCTGCACCGCCTCAGATGGTAGGACTTCGAGGCCCGGCTGACCGTACGCGTCACGAAGTGCAGCATAACCTTTCTGAACCCTAGGGCTACTACCCGCTCGCGTGGTAGCATGCGGTCGATAGCGTGAAGCTCGGCAGGTTCGAAGTAGCCATGCACGCCGTTGACCCTAAACCGCCGGCAGATTTCGTTGATGATTCTCTGCATGACGAGGGCCTCGAGAGCTTTAGTCCCCATGGTCCTAGTGTTCTCTTCAGCCAGAATATGAGGGATGAATGTGTCGACGATCATCTTTACCTCTGTGGAACGGATGGCTTGCATGTGGAGAGGTGTCGAAGTCGCAAGCTCAAGCATAGCGCCTTCGACGAGGATCTTTAAGACCTTGCGCATTAGCTCCGCATCCACTGTGATTGGCTTAGTCTCGTTCAGAGCAAGCTGCCTGTCAAGATCAGCGTTAGCCCGCTCGAAAGTCTCGTTAGGACTGTACCTGTCATTGCCAACAAGGCTCCTATCGTAGATGCCGCCAACTAAGCCGAATGTCAGCGCGTCCACTGTCGCTTCGTCAAAGAAGCGGTGACGGCAGAAGGGGCAGCAAGCGTCGAGCAGACCTCTGGGACAGCATTCGTCCACGAGCCCTCGACTGTCGGCAAGTGAGATGAAGCAGCCTCGGCATACCATCTTTTTGTGGTCGCAGCAATGCAACGCCAGGACCGCCTCGTCAATGTCCTTTAGTGTCTCCAAGCACAAGGGGCACACGTCGTCCACAATATCCTCGCCGTTCACGACGCGACCAACGGTGTCCTCGAATTGGTGAAATGGCAAGATTCTCTTCGGCATCCAATTCTGCTCGACGTTCTGTACTCGATGGTCCGGGTCTGTGTCGCACCAGAGTTGGTGGTTGATATGGCGGACAGCTTGATTGGAGCGGCGATGAACGACATCACTGCTGTCGACGTACCACGTATGCTGCTTCAAGTCCAGCCGCTTAAAATCCTCAAGCGGCATAATGTAGGTCCCATTACTTACCTTTATCCTGTCCACGCCAGTGCTCAGCATAATACGTGAACAGCGCCAGATGACGATCGTCGCTTCGACCTTGCCACTCGGGTGCCTGTAACGGTAAGTCAGCGTCCTGAGGTTCGTGCTGCCTTGACACCTAATCATGACTCCCATGTCATTCTCAAGCCGTATGGGAGCCGGGCCGTCTTGCAGTAAGTCCAGGGCAATCTCGTTGTACTGCCTGCTGTCTCCCTGAAAGGTGACCGGGTAGCGAGACAGAATGCCAGTAGTTCCCCATGGGTCTCCGGTGCTATGGTAAATTACAGCCTGGTTCTCGACAAGTGGAAGAGGCTTGTACCTGGTTGGTGCGTCAGCGACTGACGGCAGGAAGAGCTCGAAGCCCTCCAACTCATCACGCTCGAGGGAACCGGTATAGAGTGTGCATGGGTAGATAATGTTGACGGTATGTATAGGGCTGAAAGGAGTAAGCTGGATCAGGTTGGCTGATCCCGACATTGTTGTGTGACTTTGTTGGTTGTAGGGTGTGTAGAGCTGTGCTTAGGTTCCTAAGGCTTTGGGTTCTTGTTCGTCTGCTTGGCTGTTCAAAGGTTTCCGAGAGGCTAAGTCTTCGTTGGTTGAACCTTGGCTTTTCAAAGATCCTTCGTGCGTGCTTGTATGGCATTGTTCGTCCCGTGAGGTGTTCACAAGTGTTCCGCGTAGGGAACAAGGAATGGAAGTGTATACTCAACAATGCCATCCACCTCCGAACAAAGAGTATTGTTGCGGTGCTTGCAGTCTGGTACTCGCATACCCATTTCTCGATTTGATTGGACGCTGAACCGAGAATAATCGGACGCGTGGTAAGGACATTTCAATAGAGCCAGTGCCTGCGGCCACCTGCCAGCTGATAGCATTGGACTGGCCGCGGAGCAGCATCATCTGGCCGAGGAACATGGTTCATGGCGTTGTTGGGGTGTAGGTAGCTTGAATGCAGGGCGGATCATAACGGCACGTCGCTCTACGTTCTCGTGAAATCTCGGACAACTGTGGCCGGTCGTGTTGTCTACGATGCTGATATGCCGCGAATGGTCCCAAAGTATATACATTAATCCTAGTGATGTCAGGGTGCTCGCTCGGTGCTCGTAGGGACGACTAGTCAGATCCGCTACAGGAGACAGTCATCGACACAGGTTTTGGGAGTGCTCGTGCTATAGGGGGGCATGTCGAACGAGCGTGGAGGTTGAACAGAGCAACAACAGTAAGCAGAGATGGCTATGTGAAGACAACCGGAGAGGCCATGTCTGGCAAAGTTAAGCAAGACTGCGCCTGTATCTACTAGGCACGATTCGCAACCTTCCAGAATGGTCATGCAAGTCTGACGTGCACTATAGCGAGCGGACAGCATGTCTCGAATGAACAAAGGTGTTCGAGAAGCAAGACAGCTTGGGACACGAATGAAGCGAATTCGTCCACCCCAGGCCCGTGCGCCTGTCAGAAGCCGAGACCTCGGCTGATCAGTCCCTGCCGACGCATATCTCACCATGAGACTGCGACAGTCCCGTGATTTACAATCGCTACAATGATAGAGCGATGAGCGACTTCGCGGCAGCGCAGCAGCGTATCCTCGCCCGCCGCGCAGCCCGAGACGCCCAGCTCGCCGCCCAAGCCACCGTCGAGCAGAACGCCCGAAACGCGCAACTCTTGCGACTCCCGCCCGCTCTACGTGTGATCGCACATCAAACACTGAATGCTTGGGACGTGATCAAAAGCCCGTACGGCACGCGCCCGGCTTTCCGAGTAGGACAGGTCGATGCTGAGCTACTGGATGAAGATTTATTGGAGTTGCTGCGCAAGCAGGTTGGCGAGGGATTGAAGCTATTTGGAAACCACTTACAGGATGATTGGGGTGCGGAGATCGCGTTGGTATTGCAGAGTATCTTGTGGAAGCTTGCAATCTGGGACCACGGAGCCAGCTACGGCGCATCGCTGCAGGGTTTGCAATACGTCGATGCGCGTGGCAGCGATAGCGCCAGAAGGAAACCGCCGACGGCATGGCAGAAGATTTCGTACGGACTAGTCACAGTTGGAGGACGATATGCTTGGACGAAATGGTCCGACTACCTCTCGAACGCAGAGAACGGCTACGATGAGCCGAGCCCACTAATCCGAAGCCTAAGCCGCATAACCACGCTGGCGGGCACCACGCACGAGATTGCGGCCTTCACCTCCTTCCTCGTCTTCCTATACAATGGCCAGTACAGGACACTTACAGACCGTCTACTACGGTTACGACTCTTGCCTTCATCCAATGCGACGAGCAGAGAAGTCTCCTTCGAGTACCTCAACCGCCAGCTGGTCTGGCATGCATTTACCGAGTTTTTACTCTTTCTACTACCTCTTGTGGGTATCAGCCGCTGGCGCAGATGGGTCGCTCGAGCCTGGAAAAAGGCCAAATCTAGCATCACCCGCTTACGCACAGGCACTTCGTCGGCCGGGCAGGACGAAGCAGAGGACGGGCAGAAAGGCGAGCTGGCGTTTCTACCCGAGCGTACATGCGCGATATGCTATCACGACCAAAACCCAACAGCCGGGCGTTCAGAGCAAGACGTCATTTCCGCCGGCGCAAATAGCGGCATCATCGGTAATGCCAGCACAGACATTACGAACCCGTACGAAGCAATTCCGTGCGGATGTGTTTACTGTTTCGTCTGCCTCGCGCAGCGCATCGAGGCCGAGGAAGGCGAAGGCTGGATCTGCTTGAGGTGTGGAGAGCTTGTCAAGGAGTGCAAACCCTGGGATGGAGATGTGCTTGCGCCACAGCAGGAGGCGGCTGCGAATGGCTCGGAGGACGGGGCACGGTCGAGCGGGAGGAAGAGTATTGCGTGGGCTGATGAGGTGGTGGAGGATGAGCGGGAGCAGATGGAGCAGATGGAGCGGACGATGAGTCATCTTGATCCTATCCCTGTTGATGATGAACAGGAGTGGGAGAGGGAAGGACAGAATGTGGTAGAAGACGAGGAGGAGGAGGAGCCGAATTAGTGGCACGAGCATCCATCATCACAATATCACTCAATCCCGGTCCTTGCGCCAGGCACGAATAAAGATGGAGACCTCGCACCGAGATGGAGTTGACTTCGGCCTGGCTCGTATTAACCGGACCACACACGCCTGTTCAAGGGCTCGAAGTACGCCGAGTTAACTATTCATGATACAGTCTAGCCTCGCCTCCATGCCAAACACACATATCAGGCTTTGGGGGGCAGTCGAAACATGGCTACTCTTCACCGTACACTCAAACTTCGCCCCGCCGCCATTCGGGCGTTTTTGTCACTGGATCACTTGATATTAGTCTCCAGATCTAGCTCGACACCGTCGTCAACGCCACTCAGCTCGTCAGTCTTGCCGACCACCCTTCATACCGAGTGCCGCACGGTGTAGGGAGGTCGGACACAGTGCAGCCATCGCGATGTTTCTCATCCCAAACCAAAGCTTCCCACCCCATCCGTAAGTCTCTTCGAAGTTCCGGTAGGTCTGCAAAATTGGTGTTGACGTTTGCGTTGGACCTTAGGCGGGATTGGCCGTCAAATTACATCACGTTGACCACCCCACGATATGCAGGTACGCATCTAGCGCGATACAACACATGGTTTGCCGAACTACGTAAGCTGATCATTCAGATGTCACTAGAGCTTGGCTGTACAACAATAAAGCTTGTTGGCCTATTTTACTCTCAGAATCTCTTCGACCAGGATTCGGCTTCCATTATCTTCCGGCAGTATGGCTCTCCAAATCAAGAAAGTAGCCATGATCGGCTGCGGTGCGATGGGTGGCGGACTGGCACAACTTCTCGCTGAGAATGACTACGAACTACTGCTCGAAGACCCGAGTGAGGAGCAGATGGATGCCGTAATCCAATCGGCCAAGAAGACAAGCTCTAAAGACACATCAAAGCAATTCTCCAAGTATAGCGACATGCAGAAGCTTTGCGATGACCTCGACCGGCCCCGAGTCTTCCTCTGGAGCTTACCGCACGGTGGTGTTGGCGACGGAGTCCTCGGCAGTATGCTACCGTACCTCGAGAAGGGAGACATCATCATCGACTGCGGCAACGAGCACTGGGAGAACACTGAGCGGAGACAAGGCAAGTGTGTCACGAAGGGTATTCGCTACGTTGGGTGCGGTGTTAGCGGTGGCTACCAAGCAGCGTACGCTTTCCTCAATCTACAAATGTAAAGACAACGACACTGATGACTCAACAGGAGACGCGGACCTTCCATGTGCCCAGGCGCGGATGATGAAACGCTTGAGCTCGTGCTACCAATGCTCAAGAAGATCGCCGCCAAGGCTCCAGACGGCACTCCCTGCGTCGCTCCTGTCGGCACCGGTGGCGCAGGCCATTACTGCAAAATGATCCATAACGGCATCGAGCATGGCATGATGAGTGCCATCGCCGAAGCCTACGCGATCATGCGTGTCGGTCTGTCCATGTCTCTTGATGAAATAAGCAATGTCTTCGACGAGTGGAACAGCAAAGGTGAGCTACAGCAGACCTTTCTCATCTGGATCAGCCGCGACATCTGCCGAACCAAGGATCCGAAGACGGGCGAGTACGTTCTCGACACCGTCGAGGACAAAGTCGTCCAAGACTACACCGGCGAAGAAGGCACCGGTATCTGGTCAAACACCGAAGCCGTCGAACGACACGTCCCAGCTCCGACTCTCACCATGGCGCACTACTTTCGCATCGCGTCCGGCGATCGTCATCAGCGCGCCACCATTCAAAAGATATTTGGTGTCGGTTCTGGCAAACCCAACGACGACCATACCGCCGTCTTCCCACCGCAAAAGCTCGAAGGTGTCTCTGACCGGAAAGCCTTCCTCGAAGACCTCCGCATGGCCGTCTATACTGCCTGCTTAGCGGCATACTGCCAAGGCATGATCATCATCGACAAAGCCGACCGCGCCAACCATTTCAACGTCAATTACACCTCGCTCCTCCAGATCTGGCGCGCCGGTTGCATCATTCAAGCCGACTACATCAACGAGAAGCTTTTACAACCTATCTACACTTCCAAGAAGGAGAAGCCGGATGAGATTAACCCCCTTTACGAGTCAGATGTCGCAAACGATCTCAAGCGTGGGTTTCCGCATTTGAAGAAGGTTGTTGCGAAGGGTGTGGAGGGCGATCATGTGATTCCGGCTTTGAGCGCGACGCTGGAGTATATCAAGTATCAGACAAGTACTGACCTGCCGACGAGCTTCTACGAGGCGCAGTTGGACTACTTTGGAAATCACATGTACGACAAGAAGGGGGATGATGAGGAGGGCAAGCCGACGGAAGGCAAGTACCATTACGAATGGAAGCCTGTCTGAAGCCGTCCAAACCTTTAAGATGGTAGTCTGCGGAGGTGGGTCAATTCGCGAGGGAAGTACGTGATCAGCGCGCAGACGGCTTTGGCGGCGCAGGAGCCGGTACATCATCCCATTGTGCATCTCCGCATGTGGTGCCGATGCGCCCTCAGCTGTTTGCCTAGTAGTATAGAGTATGGTCTTCGCCAGGCATCCCGTAACCACATAAGCTTGTCAGCATCGGTTGAGGAGCATCTACTCTCTATACCGTTTTCGGTCTGCCCGGGTATGCGGTGTACACAAACTCGTGCAGGATTGCTAGGATCCGAGCCCGGATGTACAGCCATTCTAGGCTTGAAGGTGTGGTACCTCATGCATGTGGAGCTCCAATCCTTGCTAGAGCGTTTGGGAAAGCTTGAAGATGTCGAGAAAGCTTCGAGCATCAACAATGATCGTCATCGTGCATCACAGCGTGCAATCAATCCACCACATATGTCACGGAAATGCTTATAGGTCGAACACGATGTTGAGTCTGCGGTGGCCTTCACCACAAGCAGGTAGTCCTGCCATCCAAGTCATATACCGGCAGCATCGACGCTTGTTGAGGTATGCTCCCGACTTGCACTCGCAATCAAAGACTCGCATATCGCCGACTGTCACATGGGACGCTTTGTATCAGATTGGGACAACAATCTCGAACCAAATCCGCAATGCCGAAGCCTAGCAAGTTCGCACATCTGCCGCTCTCGACCTCGGGACCGCAGGAGTGTGCTCTCACTGGCTCATCACTCCTGCAAACACCGTATCTGAATAAAGGCTCGGCATTCCCGGAGTCTGAACGAAAAGAATTCAACCTTACTGGCCTCTTACCCTCCCGCGTTAACACCCTCGAGGAGCAATGCGAGCGCGCATACGACCAGTATCAAGCCCGGAGCACGGCTATTGGCAAGAACACCTTCATGACGAGCATGAAGGAGCAAAACGAGGTCCTGTACTACGCTCTAATTCAACAACATCTGAAGGAGATGTTTCCAGTGATCTACACACCGACGGAGGGTGAAGCCATTCAAGACTACAGCAGATTGTTCCGAAAACCCGAAGGCTGTTTCCTGAGCATTGATCGTCCGCATGAGATCGAAGAAGCCCTCGACCGATGGGGCCTGAGCGAAGACATCGACCTCATTGTCTGCAGTGACGGCGAGCAAATCCTCGGCATCGGCGACCAAGGCGTAGGCGGCATCCTGATCAGTATAGCGAAGCTTGTCATCTACACGCTATGCGCCGGCATACACCCTAGTCGAACATTACCGGTGATTCTGGACGTCGGCACGGACAACCATGAGCTGCTCAACGACGAACTATACCTTGGTCTTCAGCGTCCGCGCATCCGTGGCGAGGAATATGATCGCTTCGTGGACCGCTTCATTCACGCCTGCCGCAAACGCTTCCCAAGGGCGTATATCCACTTCGAGGATTTCGGCCTACCTAATGCGCGAAGGATCTTGGACAAGTATACGCCTGAGATTGCCTGCTTCAATGATGACGTGCAAGGTACAGGCTGCGTCACGCTTGCGGCAATCTACGCAGCGATCCATGTTGCGAATTTGAAGATGCAGGATCTGCGAGTCGTCATGTTCGGATCTGGCACGGCGGGTACAGGCATTGCGGACCAGATACGAGATGCCATTGCCGTGGAGAGCGACAAAACTAAAGAAGAAGCGATCAAGCAAATATGGTGCGTTGACAAGCCTGGTTTGCTGTTGCAGGGAATGAAGGACGATCTTACCCCTGCTCAACATCCGTACGCAAAGCCGGACAATGAGTGGGAAAGTGTCGAGCACAAGTCGCTACTCGATATTGTCAAGGCGGTCAAGCCGCATGTGCTTATCGGCACTAGCACGAAGCCCAAGACGTTCACGAAGGAAGTGGTGCAGGAGATGGCGAGGCATGTTGAACGTCCAATCATTTTCCCGCTTTCGAATCCGACAAGACTGCACGAAGCCGATCCAAAAGACTTGTATGAGTGGACGGATGGTAAGGTTCTGACCGCAACTGGCTCTCCGTTTCCGCCTGTTGATATGGGCAACGGCAAAAAGCGGGAGATAGCCGAATGCAACAACAGCACTTGCTTCCCGGGTATCGGTCTAGGCGCCGTGCTCTCCCGGGCCAAGCTCATGACACCCTCAATGCTGGTTGCGGCAACGAAAGCGTTGGCGGGCCAAGCACCAGCGTTGAACGACCCAGACGCCGGGTTGTTGCCGGATGTGGTAGACGTGCGGGAGATCAGTGTCAAGATTGCTGCCGCTGTCATCAAACAGACGGTGGTGGAGGGCTTGAACCAGGAGACAGATATTCCCAAGGATGATGCGGACTTGGAGGAATGGATCAGGGAACAGATGTGGGATCCAGTGTACCGAACGCTGAAGAAGGTGTCGAGGGAGGGAGCCAGCCGGTCAGCGAGGGGTGAGGCTGGGAGCAGGGGCTCAGCCAAGGCATGACGAGATGAACCAGAGGTGCAGCGTCTGTGTTGTTTATGGTGTATACCTCACCAGTTATATGCGAAGTGAGGTGGTTTAAGGTACCTTGGCGCCCAGCCATTCGAGCGTCCCGTCTCTTCCTTTTCAGCTTCTCCTACTTTGCTAAAACTCTGCGTGATCATACATACCATCTAAGAGCCTGCCCTCTTGGGAGTCCGCTCGGTCCTGTGCGGTATAGGCGCATATGCATCCGCGCCATGACCGTGATATCTGTAGGATTATCTCCGACCTCGCCGCCTCTGCGGGAATAATTCTGCAGCAAGTAGGAGACGCAACACTCATCAGTCAGCGCGATCCACACGACATCCCGACAACTTCCTCTAACCCCAGATCCATCTTCAGGCGTCCAACGCGATGCCGCAGCGTTGCTCTCGTATGAGGACCGAGTGTAGGCATTAGGTGGGTACCACAGCATCCTCACATATCTTTCTCCGCGGTGTACCGCTGTTATCAGAATGGCATATGGCCATGGTTCCTTATCGCTCAGCATTGCAGACAGATGCGTTCTACTGCACTAGTCGTATAGAGACGAACGCTTATAGACATACTTATGGCACTAACACCAGGCCAAGTCGATATTATCCGCTCTACTGTTCCTGTACTCAAGGAGCATGGCAACGATATAACCAAATCATTCTATGAGACGCTCTTGGCTGAGGTACCCGATCTCAACAATGTCTTCAACCAAGCCAACCAACGGAACAACCACCAAGCCGCGGCCCTCGCATCTGCGCTCTACGCCTATGCCTCGCATATTGATGACTTGGGCGTCCTGTCACCGGCCGTCGAAAAGATATGCCAGAAACATGCAAGTCTGTACATCAAGCCAGAGCAGTACGACGTTGTTGGGACGTACCTGCTGCGAGCTATGGGCGATGTCTTAGGATCAGCCCTGACGCCAGAGGTGCGGGATGCTTGGGGCCAGGCGTACTGGCAACTAGCCAACATAATGATCGACCGAGAGGAGCAGTTGCTGGGCGATGCTGGAGATTGGCGGGACTGGAGAGACTTCAGGATCGCAGACAAGGTGCAGGAAAGCGAGGAGATCACAAGCTTCTACCTCAAGCCTGTGGACGGCAAGCCATTGCCGCCGTTTCTGCCCGGCCAGTATATCTCGGTTATGACGGACGTACCTAAGATGCACTATATGCAATCCAGGCAGTACTCCCTCAGTGACACTCCAGACCCGAGTTACTACCGCGTCAGCATCAAAAAAGAAAGCGGGCTCGATCCGCATGCGCCAGATGCGGAAGCTCACCCTGGTTGGATCTCCAACATTATGCACAGTACGAAGTCTGTCGGCGACCTTATCAAATTGAGCCATCCAGCTGGCGAGTTCTTCTGCGATCCGCAGAAGGACATGGATAGCCAGACGCCAGTAGTGCTAATATCTGCCGGAGTAGGCGTGACGCCAATGATCTCCATCCTCAACACATCGATCAAGAAGAATCATGAGCAGAAGATATCGTTCATCCACGGTGCGCGGACGACAAAGTTGCAAGCCTTCCGGCGACACGTCCACGAGGTTGTTGCACAGCATCCCAACGTCACCGCTTCAATCTTCGTCAAGACACCGGACGCCAGGACTGATACTGAGGGCGTGGACTATCGATTCGCGTCCCGAATTCAGCTTGATGTACTAGACCGCAGCAAGGACCTATTTCTCGACGATCAGAAGACCAAGTACTTTGTCTGCGGGCCGGAAAGCTTCATGGCCGATGCGAGCAAGAGCCTTCGAGCTAAAGGGGTGGATCAGGAACGTATCAAGATGGAGGTCTTCGGTACCGGGCCGTTGTTGAGTGATTAGCAGAAATTATCTCAACATTATCCCAGCGTACATTGGGTGTGTATATAAGCCTACAATACACTCCATGCTCTCTGTCGCTGCTACGGCATCTCTTTTATGTTGTCGGGATGGCTTCGCGACAGACACTCGAAGTTTCTTATGGGATTCAGCTGTGAATATGGGCGCAAGCCTACAGTTTCTCGTGAGAGCAAAGATAGCACAGGGACCGCACCTTCAACGCTACTGTAGCCGAAGCCAGGCACGTGCACCGCACTCGCAGGTACTCGGACAGTTACACTGTTACTCACACAAGCAATGAGAATCGTTGTCTTTGCGATAATCAACCACAAGTATAAGCACCGTCACTATGCTTCAGTCAGCGGGATGGTCCTGCAGTGATACGGACGGTAGGGGGCAGCGGCAGAACTTACATTACTAACGAGTGACCGGTGATCCAGGCCCTGCAGTTGACCAAGTCAGCTTCTTATACTGCATATGAGAGCGTGCTTGCTTACGACTCGTCACTGCAGAGGAACAACGCCGCATCCGCAATATCTTCCGGCCTGCCTAGCGAGTTCCAGGGGTGTCTGCTCGCCAGCTGCGCTTTGTTCGCCGCATCATCGGTGAAATGCTGAATCATGGGACTCTCAACGAAGCCCGGACACAATGCGTTAACATGGATGCGATCTTGCGCGTAGTCCAGCGCCATCTGCTTGGTCATGCCAACAACGGCAAACTTCGAAGCTGTGTAGACTGGAGTGTTGTTCAGCGCAATGAGGCCTGCCATCGATGCGGCATTGACTGAATAGACAGTGACATCAGTGGCAGCGTCTTACACGACAGACAAGCGATTGGAACTTCATTGACGTACCAATCCAGCCTCTTGTCCGCTCGCCTCGTGCATTTGGCTCGCGAGGTTCCTGGGCGAGCATCTGCTTCAGAGCGTACTTGCAACACAGCCAGACACCGCGGCAGTTGATCGACATCGCCCAGTCAAAGTCCTTGGTAGGCAGGCTATCGCAGCGAGTCTGCATGGCGTGGCTAGTCTCCACCTGAAGAAGGATGGATAGCAGGGTCAGCTGCGCCTTAGACGATCTCGAAGGGCTAATATATCGTCTCGCTTACTGCGACGCCTGCGAAGAACAATCAGCCACATTTGGGATACGAGTCGGAGTGTCTCTACCAGCATAATTGCATATGATGTCGAGTCTTCCGCCCCACTTGACAGCCTGCTTGACCAAATCCTCGATCTGACTCTCATCAGTCACATCGCAGCTGACGAAGGTGGCACTATCTTTGCCGTGCTGCTTGCTGATTTCGTCTTCAACACCAGCGGACTTCAGATCGGCACAGATGATTCGCGCTCCAGAATTAGCAAAGCGAATGGCTGTGGCCTTTCCTAAGCCGGAAGAAGCTCCCGTTATCACAGCGATACGGCCTAGTAGCCTGCTGTCCGTTGTGGGAGGCGACATGGTCTCGTTTGAGGGGAATTGGCTCAACGTAAGATCGTTAGAAATACGTCAACAAACACTAGCTGAACCTCTCCATTAGACGAAGGAGCTCTGAAGGTATGCATGTTGTCGGCCAGCCCGAACCTGCACCGAGGTTCTGGATGAGGGACAGCCTCCATGAGAGTCTGGTGGTCTTGAAACCCCGCCCGCCACGGCAAGGGTATGTGTCAGCGTTCGTTGCTGTATCAATTTCCAGATTCAGTCTCCTGCCAAAATATCATCATGAGGTAGTCCATCGTTCCTGTAGACAGCAGATGACCTCGAATGTGTCTAAGTTGTTGCCTAAAAGGCAGGGATACCGGCGATAAATCCCATTTCAACATTGTCTGGCATACATGTAAGCTGTTCCAACGCCGATGGCGCTCCGCAAAGGCTTGGTGACAATGGGAAGCGTGGCCATGGTCAAATTCACCGACCCTCGCTGCTTGTTGATTGTCAATGCAAACCCCACTAACCCGGTGAGCCGAGCACCGCGAGTACCAGTAGCAGTACCAGGAATGGTAAGGAGTCTGTATCGACATCAGTACACACAAGAAGAGTTCTATAACCGTTACAGACCACACGGCTAAGTATTAGCACGCTTAGTCTGCAGGGTAAGTCCATAAAACTCCCTCGCCGCAAACCGCATCATCTCCGCTCCAATATCGAACACGCATAGTACACTCTTCATCCAGACATCTCCCAGGATCGTCAGGCCGCCCGAGTTGCTCTGCACGCCACTGATACATAAACCCTCCTCAACTGCTATCACGAGATCTGCTACACGTTAGCTGAATTGGCCACGTAATCGCAACAGGTAACAGTGAGCTTACCCGCAGGATTCGCGTAGAAGATCTTGTTCGCGATGCTCACGCCAAAGACTGGCGCAGTCGCCGTGCACTCAACGACGTAGAGACCATTATCTTCGTCAAAAGTGCCCGGAGGGTCGAAGAGGTCCGCAACGCCTGAGGCGACGTAGTCTGCAACCATCACCAGGGTGCTTCCGGAATCTACAATCGCTGGATACGGCCCGTTGGCCTCGGTGTCGCCCACGATGTTGATCTTCCGTGGGTTCGTGGGTGGATCTGAGAGGTTGTAGGTGTTGAACTGCGTATTCGGGCTTGCCGCATAGGCATATCCGTCAATGGGAACCGTGTAGTAAGTGTAGACGTACTGTCCATTCGAGTCGTTGACGCCGTATGGTAAGATAGGTACGCTGGCAAAGCCAGGCGAGTATGGCACATCTGGAAGGCCACCAAATGCCATCACTCCTCCTTCATCTGCAATGGCCATGCTGTATACTGGCGGAACCCCTTCGGTCTGCACCAGATTGTCGAAGAGGGTATTGTACTTGAAAGCCATCTGGCCGGGATCGTTGTCAGGATCCGAGCCGGGATAAGCAGAGGTCAAGCTGGAATAGGCGAAGCCGACCAGACCAGAGGAAATCCCATCGCCGGTCCATTCGGCGTACTCGGCGATGGCGAACTCTTGACGATCAACGGTGATACCGCCGATTGTGAAAATCTCGAATCCCATGGTGCCCGTCAGCCGCTCACCGTCTGCATAGCTGATATTGAAGTTCTGATCCTGTAAGGGCCCGATGTATGTTGCTGACTGCTCGTACGGTGGGCCGAAGCCGCAGTCGCTCTGAGCGCCATATCCGCAAACGAAGTCTGGAGCAACCAGCCATGGGTCGCTGCTGCCCGTGTCAACCACCATCTCGAAGCTCTGTCCACCCACTGTGACTTGTGCCAGGAATGAGGAGCCGGCAGTGACAGGCGTCAGATTTATCGAGCCGTTCTGCGACAACTTAGCAAGGGCTCGCACTCTTCGAAGGATGTCACGAACCGTCGCTCTTACTACACCTGCCTGCCGCCTTAGGGCTTCCGCGTATATCGAGCTTGGCGTCCACGAGGTGGTTCTCTTCAGGTTGATAGTCTTATCCGTCACTTGTAGAGGCGACAAGGGAAGCTTGACGTCCCGCGTGGGAAGCTCAACGAGGTTGAACGACTCGCTGACTCCCGGAAAGTCTGGTATGGTACGCTGAGCCTCGTGAGCCATCGCTACACCCACTAACAGCACTAAGCCTGCTGCTGATACCGCCGCCGCCATGCTCAAGCCCCGATCTGAGACGCGATGTTTACGAGGTGAATGCGAGCGCAAAAGCCTGAGAGCAGCGACGATAGTTTCGGCTCGCTTCGGTGTAACGATCCTCGAGGTGTCGTTCGGCGAGTGTTCAGCATTGCCACTGCTGAGGCATCGTAGCAGCGCTTGTAGGTAACAATGATGATGCACAATCCCACGTATGACCGGCTGCTGGCTGTGTTGCTCCCATTTCGGCAACACGAGGCTGGAATGTCGCTTCGATCCACCCTGCGCACAAAGGAATGGAACACAAAACAGCTTCCAGGCGATTGCACGTTGCACGAATACCCACATGCTCGGAGCCTCGACGATGTACCGGTGCGCCGGATGGCTGAGGAAGAATTAGGATCTATTCGCTGTAGGATGTCTAACGTCTATGACTGCTCTATGTCTACCCCTTAGGGACGGACAACTTCATACGAAGAACACGTCGCTTTTCGCCTGCTCTGTCGCATCAGCATCGCTGTGATGCAGCAATGAAAGCGCGCTCACCACGCGTTGCGGCCCCGGACGCCATTGCCCGAGTTTGCATCGCCGGCACGCATGTATGCAACCCCAGCAAAGATAAACCATAACTCCTCCGCTCCATGCTGAAGATGCCGCCTGAACAACCATTATGAACTGCGGTGCCAACTCATTACCGGCTTACCACAAAGTGTAGCCACCGTCGATGAGGCAGTTGTTACCAGTCATGAAGCTCGATCCGTCACTGGCGAGGTAGACTGCGAGACTGTTCAAGTCGTCCACCGCACCGAGCTTCTTCAACGGAGTGTGATCAACCCAGATCCTCTTCTGCGCATCAAGAGCCGGCACACGGTTGAGAGCCGTGTCCATGTAACCCGGGCTGATGGCGTTGACGCGGATGCCGTAGCGTGCCCACTCGGCAGCTACGCTCTTGGTGAACTGGACCACTGCGGCCTTGGATGCGTTGTAGCAGGATTGCTCTTGCGGGTAGTTGACGACGGAGCCGGACATCGAGGCGATGTTGATGATACTGCCACCCTTGCCACTGCGGATCATCTGAATACCGCATGCTTGGTTGGTGAGGAAGGTGCCGGTGACGTTGATGTCGATCAGGCGGCGGAACTTGTCGTGAGGGTACTCCTCCGCCTTGATGTTTGAGCTACGAGCAGAAGCGTGTTAGCAGGCATCAGGAGGAAAGAATCCGCTCCGGGCTCGCACTTACTCTGCAATGCCGGCGGCGTTGATGAGGATGTCAAGCGCGCCATAATGGTCAACCACATCCTGCACGGTCTGGCTCATAGCCTGACCGTCGCGGACATCGACACGGTAGAAGCGTACGTCCACACCGGTCTGCTCACTAAGCTCTCGCGCCGCCTTGTCTCCGAGGTCTTGCTGCACGTCCATGATGGCGATACCGCGGCAGCCGGCCTCGGTCATGGCCTGGGCCATGTTGAGTCCAAGACCACGCCCACCGCTATGTGAAGGGTCAGTGAATGATGGCAAACCTCTAGGCTGACGAAAAGGCGGCTTACCCGGTGATAATGGCGACCTTGTTGGTCAGGAGGAACTTGCTGAGCGTTGGAGTAATGTGCTCGTATACGGACGGTTTTAGCGGGAACGCCCTCTTCTCTTCATCTGTACCAGGTGGCGTGACTGGACCGGCCGCTGTTGCTGCCGGAACACGGATGGTTTCTTCGGTGCGGTTGCCACCCTCATAGCTAACGACGGGAACCTCTGGGTCGCTCCTCTTGATGCTAGTTGTGAAGGTGGCGCGTGTGACAGGAGCGATGGAAGTTGATGGGCGGCTGATGGCGACGGTGCGCCTGCTGGCGAGTCTCAGGGTGGTTCGAGCGAACATCTTGTGTTGTGGATGTTGTAGGTTGTGGCTTCACTAGCAAGTCCAAAACTGGAAATGCTTGGACGCTATGAAAGATAGCTGTAGATGTATTGGTTGTTGTTCGACGTTCACAGATCACAACTTTTGCACAAAGTGCAAGTGATAGGAATTCAGAAGGGTCAGATTTCTGCAGGTGTTGTCGTATGGTGAAATTGCTGAAAAGTGACAAGATCAATGAATCGTTGAGGCTAGCGCACGTGTCCGCTGGCGAATGGAAGGTAGGTACAGATAGGGTCGAAGAAGGCGCGGTGTCGAATGTCGAGATAAGCAGAAAGCGGTCAAATGAAGCAGGAGTGAGCGAAAAAAAGTGAAGCGTCCCTCGAATGCTCAAATGCTCCCAATGTCTTCAAGCAGGCGCAGATAACGAATGCCGGGGACTGAACGAAGACACGCCGAGCGAGACAAAGACTCCAAGGACACGACACAGACCTACCTTAGAAGGCTGACAGTCCATAGCCAGGCCTCCCTTTTGTACTTGACCGCGGAAGTCGCACTTCGGTCAAGACGAGCAGCAAGACCGCGCCGGACCCGCTTTCTTCTCACCCCTTTCTGAGCTAGAAGCATTCGTGGCAGTGTGGTAGATAACGGGCCGTGTGTCTTCCCCGTCATCAGACACTCAAGCGCGTGACCCGGGAGCGTTGGGAGGGAGCGGCGCCTCAAGATGAAAAGTGGATGGAGTCGATGGGGTCGTGGCCGTGGGCAAAGATTTCTATGGCTCCGTCGCTGCCCCCACGGCACCCACTCCTCTTTCCCGACGGGTTGATAGTGGATCGACAGGGCAGCCGGAGACCCGCTACCCTGGAAAGCGCGCCATGATACTGCGCCAAAATAGACAGGTTCTGCCGGGTAAATTTTAGCAGGTCTTGATCTTCCTATAGCGTCAGCAGCCGCAAGCATTGACTGGCCGCGAGATGAGCGTGAGATGTGGTGTGGCGTCGAAACTGGCGTCTCGGTCAAAGGCCAAATGCGAGAAGGCGATCGTCTGTGCTTGACATTTCGGCAGTAATGGGCGAACAAGCCGAGCCTTCCCCCGTGTCGAGGAGTCGAGGAGTTGCCTCCGAGAGACGTTCGGCACACACCTTCATGATGGTCTGTAACTCCATCGCATATATATACGATAAGCTTGCCACCAAAGGCATCGTGAACGGCATGTGACCACATACTTGCGTATACCGAGAAAGAGCAACCTCTGAAACGCGATCTCACCACGCATGCTCGCGCTTAAGGATCGACAGGTGTAACCGCGTGCTTACGGCAGTACTGGAAGTTATACATGCAGCACTTTATCGGAATAGAGATTACCATCAACATTTTTGGCCGTATAGCTGCTAGTTTGGCTGGCTCGCCCGTTTCCGAAGGAAGTATTAATATGAACACGGCGATCGAGTCGCCAATGCTACTTGCTTGAAATCAGACCTCCTTTGTGCACGATCTCGCTCTTCCCAAGCCTAGGCGACGGCTCAACCAACAGGATGCTTTTGTCTGCCCGTAGCACAAATAAATGGTAGGTCACGTGCACACGACTCTCTTTCTTATGCAGGCAGCAAGCGCAGAACCGCATCTGCCCGGACCATTGTTCAGTGCTGTCTTGTCCATGGCACGATTTTCATCTTCCACAACTTGATTTCAGTACTTGGCATAGCGAACAATCTATCCCCCTGTTGTCGACCGTATCAAGAAAATGGACGAACTATCCACTCTCACGGCGGATTCTTCAGTCTACGGCGGAGCTTCGAACAACATCTACGAGCTGGTAGCGACATGTCAGCGTCTCAGGATCCGAAACCGCTATCCTACTGGACATATCAGGGATCCACCAAGTCAGTCCCAGTTCCCAAAGCCGCCCAAGGACTTCCGCATTCACCCATTGGCCTTGACCTGCCGCTCAATCAAGCGTGAATTTGCACAACTATATGCCGAGCTTGCGATCGTGTCGGCACCGCTCGAGGCTCACATCTACAACTTCGACTTCAGAGCGCTCCTACCGTTCCTGACAGTGTACTCCGCCTTCACATATTGTAAAGGTACGGAACGTCCGCTTAAAGTTGTCTTGCACATAGACACTGTACCGACTTACGCAACGCTCAGTAGGCGACTTGGACCGTGGTGCAGCCACAGGACCTCGATTCCCCACAATCACTCATCATTCGCCGTTGAGGACACTTACTACAATGTTGAACACAAGATAGTCGCCGCCCCTGGTACCATAACGACAAGTGGCGCGACAAGTGCCATTTGCTTAAGCTCAAGTTTTCACGAGTAGACATCCCCCAACCGTGCTCGGGGTGGGAGCTAACTTCGATCGACATGGCTCTATATCACGAGCACAACAGAACGAGAGGCAGAAAGTACACCCTAGGCGCACATAACACGGCGCAGAGGCTCGCGCACCGTCGTGCGGTGCGTGACCGCCCAGCCTAGATTCTCAAGCTCTAAGAGTCCCAACCAGCGAATTTGCGCCCGGCAGGCTGTCACCGACATTCGGAGACTGGTTTGGGGTTGCGAAGGCATGCTACAGTGAATGGGCGTTTGGTGCTGTGTATGATGTGCTCACAATGCACACCAGTGCCTGGAAGGCCTAAGTCTTCCGATTGCTCACCAATTTGCGAGGCTTGTAGTACTTCTCTACCGAGGCGGGCTTGTTTGTAGTCTATTTCAACCTGGCACCGGAATAGGACGCTCTCTGCGACGGGACTGCTAGTGCTCAATTGCTGGCACTGTAGTCACTGCATTGTCAGGACTTCGCCTTTCAATGGTTGGCCAAATCGGTGCTGTCAACATGCATAGCCTTCTCCAACATTACCTTTGACAACAAGCCACCCGAGCTGCAACAGTGACAGCACCACTCCTCCTCACGCTATCCCTGGAATGCTGTGATGGACTCTACGCGCTCGTAGCTTTCAAGAAGGCGGGCAACTTACCGATCCACCACGTAATCCAGCAAGCACCAAGCCGCACACACGCCGACCTCTTCTCTGCCTCCCGCACCAGCAAACAAGCCCATGCCGAACTTGCCGACGTCCGCCGCAGACTGCTCGCCTCAACAGTCCCCTTCACCATCACAATCTCCCATCTCAACTTCAACCCCCAAACGACCTTCCTACAGTCTCTTTACGTGCCCCAGCCAACAATGACCCTTACCCCCAGTCACCGAACCCTCGCACTCCCTCTCAGCTCCATCCCACCCAGACGTCCGCAAACTCTACATCCACCTTGACATCACGCCCAACTACCACCCTTCCCACCTACAACTTCATCAACGGTACACGCACGCCACCTTCACCCACGCTTCCCTCATCCCTACAAGCTCCACCTCCACCTCTTCATCGAGGACGCTCGTTGAAGTCCACATCAAAAACGCCAAATACTTTCCCTTGTACTCAATCCTCATGCTCCCCAGCAGCAGCAGCAGCAGCAGCAGCAGCGAGACTTCCCACCCTCTGCGTAGGTTCCACGATCTCATCAGCGACCTAGGTAATCTGTCAGCGGAGAAGTCGCGGCATATGCGTGCTGCGCTATCCGCGCGGTTATCCGACAGTGACGGTTTTGAGGAGGAGCAGTGGGGCTTTGATTCGGCGTATGCCGGTACGTTGTACGATCTTTTGTTTGGGGGCTGTGGAGTTTGGGCTTGAGGCGTTAGGTAGAAAGGAGGACGCGGAAAGGCATGACAGGGGTTGAGTGAGAGTCATATTTGACGAGCTAGAACCTTCAAGGCGTGGAGTGCGTCAACTCTGGAGCACAAGCAAGATGGACGAATTGGGGCCTCAGAGCATGTATCAGCTTAGTTCAACAACAACAACCAAATATCAAGCTCAAACCGCTCTGATTTGTGTCTCTACTCCCACACTCCCGCTCAAACCACGTTCTCACAACTCATCATGCCCCTCCGGCTCATCATCCCCATAATCCGGCATCCCCCCCGCACCCCCACCCCCAGCACCAGCATACAACTTGCTCGTAATCGGGTAAGCGACATCGCTCAACTTCTGCTTCTGCTCCTCAAACTCCTCCGCTTCGGCAGTCTGCGCGTTCTCCTCCAACCACGCCGTCGCCTCCCGCACCGCCTCGAGCAGCGTCTCCTTGTCATCCTCCTCAATCTTCCCACCCAGACCTTCCTCGTCGTTCACTTGGTTCTTGAGGCTGAACGCGTAGTTCTCGAGGCCATTGCGCGCTTCGATGCGCTCGCGCGTCGCCTTGTCCTCTTCGGCGTATTTCTCCGCTTCCGCGACCATGCGTTCGATTTCTTCCGCGCTGAGCCGGCCTTTGTCGTTGGTGATTGTTATGGACTCGCTCTTGCCTGTTCCCTTGTCGCCCGCGCTGACGCGGAGGATGCCGTTCGCGTCGAGTTCGAAGGTGACTTCGATTTGTGGCTGGCCGCGGGGAGCAGGAGGGATGCCGGAGAGTTCGAACTTGCCTAGCAAGTTGTTGTCTTTGGTCATGCTGCGTTCACCCTCGAAGACTTGGATGAGGACGGTAGGTTGGTTGTCGGCGGCGGTGGAGAAGATTTGGGATTTCTTGGTAGGGATGGTAGTGCCGCGTTTGATAAGGTGGGTCATTACGCCGCCCGTGGTTTCGATACCGAGGGTAAGAGGGTTGACGTCCATGAGGACGACATCTTTGGCCTGTCAATCACGTGTCAGTAAAGTGCATGGGGTGGGATCGTTGTGTGTGTTGGCATACCTCTTCTTCACCAGACAAGACACCTCCCTGCACCGCCGCACCATAAGCGACAGCTTCATCCGGGTTGATGCCCTTGCTCGCTTTCTTGCCAAAGTACTCCTCAAGCATGCTCTGCACCTTCGGGATACGGGTGGAACCACCAACGAGCACGATATCATCGATATCGCTCTTCTTCAACTTCGCATCCTTAAGCACCTGCTCGACCGGTTTAAGCGTCTTCTTGAACAGATCGTTATTCAGCTCCTCGAACTTGGCCCGGGTGAGCGTCTCGGAGAAATCCTGGCCCTCATGGAAAGCTTCGATTTCAATTTTCGTGCTCATCTGGCTGGACAGGGTGCGCTTCGCCTTCTCCACTTCCCGCTTCAGCTTACCCATCGTCTTCGGGTTCTTGGAGATGTCGGTATCGTGCTTCTTGTTGTACAACTTGACAAAGTAGTCCATGACGCGCTGGTCAAAGTCCTCACCACCCAAGTGAGTGTCACCGGCCGTGGCCTGGACCTCGAACACGCCTTGGTCGACGGTTAGAATGGAGACATCGAAGGTACCACCACCAAGATCGTAGACAATGATTTGGCGTTCCTGATCGGTCTTGTCGAGGCCGTAGGCGAGAGCGGCTGCGGTGGGTTCGTTGACGACGCGGAGGACGTTCAGACCGGCGATGGTGCCTGCATCCTTGGTGGCGGCACGCTGGGCGTCGTTGAAGTAAGCGGGGACGGTGACGACGGCGTTGGTGACCTTTTCGCCAAGGTAGGCTTCGGCGACCTCCTTCATCTTACCCAAGATCATGGAGGAGACTTCTTCGGGGGTGAAGGTCTTCTCGTCGCTGTGAGCACGTTAGCTGCAGAACATCAACTCGAAAGGCTTGATATAATGCGTACCCTTTCACCTCAACCTTAACACGTGGCTGCCCGCCCTTGTTGACAACAGTAAATGGGAAGTGCTTGATGTCCCTCTGTACATCCCTGTCGTCGTACTTCCGGCCAATCAATCGCTTGATGTCGTAGACTGTCCGGCCGGGATTCGACGAGAACTGATTCTTCGCTGCGTCGCCGACAAGCCTCTCCTCGTCGTTCCACGCAACCCACGATGGCGTTATCCGGTTACCCTGATCGTTCACGAGGATTTCCACCTTGCCACCCTTCATGATGCCAACACAGGAGTATGTTGTACCGAGATCGATACCGATGACTGTTGAACGCATGTTTGTTAGCGAAGCTCGTGTTGATTACGATGTCGGTCGGAGCATACCTGGGCCGGTAACGGAAGTGTCTTTGACTGGGTCCTGCTGCTGTGCTTGTGCGGAGGGAATCATGCCCATAAACAGCATTGGCGCGAGTAGGACGGCGCAGACGTAGAAAGCGGTCATCCATGGCGATAGTGTTGGCCGTGATGGACGGCTCTTGTTGCGTGAGAACCTCGCCATCGTTGCGGCTCGGTGGTGGTGGTGGTCGTGTGTTGCTTCAGGCCCGCTGTGGTACACCCCAATGGTGGAGAGTAGCTCTTAGATGCCACACACAAGTGATGAGCAGAGTCCAACGGTATGGTATTGATTGTTAGATGGTGTCGCAGACGTGCCAGTGCGTTTTATGTATATGATGGGCCGGGAAAGGCCAGCTTGAAAGAAGAGTTGACTGATTGGCAACAGCGACACCTGGCATTAATTCCGTCTTCGACACTTTTCCAAAGGCCAACTTTCACAAGCCAGCTCTGACATCGAATTCTTGGCAGGGTCACTCACTCCTCTTGCCTTTCTGCCAGCCAATCAGTGTCACCATTCCCCGCTCACACCTCCGCTATCAAATATGGATCGCTTCCAACTCTCCTGCACTATTCACTTCATGCCTCGATCACTTGGACTGAAACTTGGCCGATGGACGCTGTATCTTAAGACTCTAATCAACCAAGAGACCGTAATCAACCAAGATACCGTTGTACTGTGCCCAGTGTCAACAGCTTGAGAGGGCATCACGGCGTTTTCGGATCTCTTCCACACCACAGCATGTCCCAGCGCTCACAACTTCACGAAGCAGCCCATGCTCGGACCCAGAGTGGAAGTCGTCCCACTCTGGCTACGCAGCAGCACATCTCAGTGAGTCTGCAATAGGATACTCTCCACAAATAACAGATCATGATGGGATACTTGAAGCGTTGTTCACTTTCAAACGTGGATGACAAGGTATTGTATTGTCTTTGTATCGTACCTCCTCACTTGGTACCTCGCAAGATAGAGAACAGGGCGAGGACGAAGAGTTCCCGACGCTATTGTGGGATGGTAGGGTCTTGTATCGTCTATTATGTCATCAGGTGTCTTGATCCATCCTAGGAGACAGGACCAAGAATAGCAGTATTCAGCACCAAACCGAAGAGCGGCTACTGCTGGAATCGCTTGAGAGGGCCTATGAGCGTTTCGGAGCAGCTGCCGTTGGGAGAAACACTCCAACGGCACAGTGCCGCCAAACGCTGCTGAGCCGCCCTGGAAATAGTTATGCTCGCCGAGGTTTTGTTCACATGAAGCATGTCTGCTTGTCCAAGGTGGTATTAAAAGGGTTGCGTAAGCCAACGGAATAGCGCGGGCATAGGCTGCTGAGGTGCCTAGCAATGCTGTTTGGCCCCACTACTGCGGTGAAGGGAAGCGTGTCTGCTGCTCGACGGGGCGAACGTGTTGGTATCTCAGCGCAGTAATGCAGGCATAGGCTGCCGAGGCCACCCAAATATTGTCATGCTGAACCCTGGCCATTGACCTGAGAGGCTTAGCGCAACGCTGTGCGCAGCTGGCTCATATCTACCACGCGAGGGCCGCTTTGCAAGCGCTTGACGTCCTCCTCAGACGCCAAATTGGCCGACTGTACGCTCTGCAACCATGCGGTTTCTTCATCCTCCTCTCCTACGGCTGCCCCGTCTTGATCGGCCTCAGTCGGACTGTTATCCTCATGCTTTGCGCTGTGTCGCCGACCATGCGTGGTGGCGGCCAACTGACGTCTCAAGTCAGCGGCATCCGCTTGTGATATATCTATCATGTTGCTGCGCCAGTCATCAGTATATCTTCTTAACCCATAGCCATATCTATGCTCGATCCTACCTCGCCGCTTCAGCAGTAATTCGATCAAACGCCTCCCTCTGCCTCCTCAACTCCTCCTCGTCCGGCTCCGCAAACTCCTCTCCTCCAACGCCGCCATACTGGTTCTGCTGAGCGTGATCTAGCAGCGGGTCACTTTCATCGACCTGCACGACATACAATAAGCAAACTGTCTCAAGCCGGAAAGTGGGATGCTTCTCCACCTACTTCGTGCGAGGAACGCCGATTGAGGCCTAGGCAGGATGCACAGATGCCCATAAAGAATGTGATGGTGACAACCCTTTACAAGCAAGCTAGTTCTACCACCCTGCTAGCTTGCACAAACGCCTGTCACCGAGTCTGCCACTCCCTCGCCGCTGCATGGGCGGACAGAGTGAAGGGCCACTCGTTGGGCATGAGCGGCAGTGTCAATGCGTGATGCGTGATGTGAGGTTGACATCTGCTTGGCTTGGCGGTGGCTTTACACTTGAGATTGCACCTGCAATCTCCATGCTTGGCGGGGAGACATCTCCTTTTGTACGACCATTGAGGACTGTGACACGTATGGGCACACTCTCGCAGCCACTGTGACGTGACGACGAGAATGACAGTCATGGACTAAGAGCCCAATGAGATGGTGATATATCACTGTCAACCAATGTCGACCAGGTGAGTGGGCTCTCAAGAGTACCATGACGGGCTCCTCAGGTTGCTGCACGCCACCCATTTGCGCGCTTCCTTAAAAGGCTGACTCCTACCTTGTTGCTCGTTAATGTTTGATGTTATGCTGCTTGTTGCAATTGCAAGGGTTTGGGTTCGTTGATGGCTCTCAAGCTCTGCCTCAGCCGTATGAGAGAATTAGGATGTGGTACGCGATGCCCGCTCACATTCCAGCTGCAACCACTTTGCCTTCCTTCGGGCAATCTAAGTCAACAGAAGAATGCATGAACTGCAGGCTCGGGCTCCACGGATGTATACCTCCCGCAATCGAGTCGTCATATCAGCAAGGGTGGCCGGATAAACTCGCTGATTCACATACCGACCGCACACTCGGAATGTCCCAACTCTCAACATGAGCGGCAGATCCTAGTAGCTGCTTTGTGCCGTCCGTTTCATGGCAGGCTGGAGTCCATCCACCGCAGCAAGGCCTTGCAGACTGGGGGAAGCTACGTCGCACCCCTCGTACTCAGCCTACCCATTCCGTATGCTACCTCCTGTCAACGACCAGCCTCTGCAAGGCGCTCTCGACGGCTGGACGACTGGATGCCTCGCTTGGCGGCGCATGATCGATATGGAGACTGTCATGCAGAGTGTATAAAGCACGTCAAGACTGTCGATGAGACGTTCGGCAACCAAGTTCTCCTAGCGGAACAATAACGCTCTTTGCTTGCGAAAGTTTGGGAGACCTTGTCATTCAATACTCTACATTTGTCATTCGTTACAGCAGCGTGGCAAATTGCCATGTATCAAACGTTCTTTACAACGGCGTTGTGCCTATCACTCATTCACACAAGTGTCGACGCTCGAGCATATATAGCACCAGATGTTGACCAAGCGCCGGCGGTCGGCAACGAGATCGAAGGCTGGATCCCAAGACTATTCCGGAAACAGCTTCGACACCGGGCAACCCTGGACATGACCTGCAATGAGGATGCCTATTATAATTTCGTGTCGAGTGTCCCGGATGCTCAAGGGTTCTGCGAGACATATGTCAACTACCCTAATACTACACTGGTAGTAGAGTACACGCCGACAAGGTAGCCCGTTCCACCATCGAACCCTATATCCCGCTAACTGTAGCCCAGCACATACACCAACCTATACACCACCGCCGTTGTCACTTCCACTGAGATTGTGCGCACCACGCCAGGTTCGACTGTGACAGTAACGCAGACAGTGGGTGTGGTAAAGAGAGACGCTCAAGTCACGCAGCACGCACGATGGAATCAAGCACAGATGGCATCGGCTCTTTCGTTATTTCAGAGACAGTACGCCGCTGGTAGCCCTAGTAGCACATCGATGAACGCCAGCGCAGCGGCTGCCTCTACGGCTTCGGCATTCAGCAGTGCTTGCGTTTGCCATACGGCGATTGGGGGGCCTGTTATCACCTCAACGTACACTAACGAAGCTATTGTTCGTTTGGCCAAGCCCCAGATGCAGAGTAATCCTAACTGACACGTTGTACAGACAACGACGTTGGCAGCATTCGGTCTAACTACTACCACGACAACGTCCACTCATACCGATGCCACCAGTCTCACTACCACAACCATCGTCATTTCGGCGCCCCCAAGCAGTACAAGCAATGCCGCCACGACGGCTACTGCCGCTACTACAAGCAGTCCAGTCGGTGCCACTCCTACTGCCCAGGCGATTGTCTGCCCCGACGATGACGGTCAAACGGTTTCACAGATGGTCGGCCTGGAGCGCTTCGAATACATGGTCAACTGCAGCACCGAGCTTACGTCGACCAACTTCTACGGCGCCCTCAGCTACAGTACATTTGGCCAGTGCATCGGCGCTTGTTCTTCAGCGGATGCGTATTTCTCGTCACCTGTGTGCCAGGGTGTGTCGTATGGTCACAGTGCGAACGTCGACGGCTACAACTGCTTCTTGAAGACTTCATCGAATGGCAGCGTTCCCGATCCGGGATTCGACTCTGCCGAGCTTCTTCGGGTCTGGGTGCCGGAACCGGATGGCAGTACCAGCACCGAATCCGCTCCTTTTGCGACCGCAACACCAACACAGAATGCAAGCCAGCTAAGTGCTATGATGTCGAGTATGATGGGTGACAGCACGTCTAACATCCCAATGATCACCCCAGGTCCTGCATACCCCGTAAGCGGGATGCTTGTGAATGCAGGGGCTCCAACGATGTACTCGACATATGTTTCAAATGGCACCACTTTCTCAACTGGCACGGTATATTCAACCTCCTACACCAGCGGCAACTCCTGGTTCGTGTCCTACTACACCTCGTCCAGCTTGGCATGGGCCGCTGCTACCACCGAGTACGCAATTTCCGCGCAGGAAACACAGGTCAGCAGCTCAAGTAGCAGTTCCTCATCCATGTCGAGCGGCGCGAACGGTGAGAGCTATGAGATCACGGTCACAAACAGCACAGTATACTACCCCGAAGGCTACAACGTCACGGAAGTCATCAGCAACCAGACTTACGCTGCTAATGGTTCTTTGATCACGTCCTCGGCCACGACACTGTTCTTCAGCTATCAAACAGCGTCTGGTGCGAGTGGCGGAGCATCTTCTGGAGCAATGGCGAGCGTGAGCGCAACTGTCACGGCAGCATCCTCCGCAGCTAGTGCCTTTACTTCCACCTCATACTACAGTACGCAGACCGTCATTGTCAACAATGGAAGCGCTGAGGGAGCGTCTGCTTTTGCGGCAAGCGGCGCTGTGGCCAGCAGCGCCTTTGCAAGCACATCAGCAAATACCATTGTGGAAAGTTTTGCCATTGGAGGCAGCTCTGGCTTCGCGCTATCAGGAGTATTCACCCAAACGGCGAACGTGACGAGTAACGCTGTCACTGCTACGGCTGCAATAGCCAACAGTAACGGTGTCGGCGGCGCATCTTCTTTCGCGGCGTCTGGCAACATTGGCAACCTCACCAGCATGGTCACCACCTCTACCACGGTGATAGTCGGCTCCGCAGGCATAGGGGGTGAGTCCATTTTTGCTGCCTCCGGCCTTATCACCAGCGCGCCAGCGTCGGCTTCTGTCACCGTTATAGTAAACAGCGGCAACTCAGCGGGCGTGTCGGAGTTCATGGCCAATGGGAGCATCGGCGGCATCGCAGGCTCTAGCGGTACAGCCTTGTCTGGTGCCCTCGCGACATTGAGCAGCCCGCCGTTCAGCGACTCTGGAGCTCCTCGCGCTGGCACGTACAGCACCACGACCATGCCGATGTATACTGGTCCTGCTTACACTCCGTTGTCACCTGAGTCGCTGTCCGAGAACACCAGCACCTTCACCGACAGCGGATTACCGCGGCAAGGCACCTACTCCCTACCTGCCTCTCCTACCGACACAAATACGTTCACCGACAGTGGGCTACCACGGCAAGGCACGTACGCTCCGCCACTGGCTACTGGGCCAGCACCCTACCCATCTTTTGGAAACGCTCCTCGGAACGGATCGTATTCCGTGGGTACCGCGCCTCTCGGTACGGCACCTATCGGTCCAGGCACAGGACTGCCATTGCCTCTCCCGCCGCACGCTGGTGGTCCATTCATCCCAGCCTCTTCCCCGTCGGCATCGGTGGACTTCACAGGAGCGCCACGGAACGGCACCTACTCCACCGGCACGGCGCCGCCAGGTCATGGGACAGGACTGCCCCTTGGGCCGTTCCAGAACGGACCTCCATTGTTCCCACCGTTTATTCCTGCTTCAGCTCCTTCTAGTGGGTACGTAGCGCCTACAACGGCAAACGGCAGTGCGCCGGCACCCACAAGTCCAGCCGAGTCGCCATTCTCCAACAGCGAGCTGCCGAGAAACGGTTCGTATTCGACGTCGCCTCCATCAGGCACTGGTATTCTACTATACACCGCACCGCCAAGCCCGACGGCATGCGCAAACGCGACGATGGCCACAATGACGATCTTCTCGACCACAACCGTCTACGGTTGCGCCGCAACGTGTCCGCCGTCAGGATATGGTTACGGTGGCAGCCCGCAAGCATTCGGTCCTCCATGGGCTCCTAACCCTTCGCGTTCGGCGTCGACGGGCTGGGGCAGTCACAATGAGGGTAGACGGCGAGAGGAGGATTGACCGGTAGCGATGCGTGTGACTATTGGCATGCGGCATCGGCGCATTTGAGTGGGCGCCTTATTTGTGGAGAGGTCTGTGTATGGTACAAGCTCTGTGAGCATCAGTAATTATGATGGAGTATCCAAAGCATTGAGTGGCATCGTCTCAAACAAGGCGTCGTCAAGCGCAACGAAGCGTCGCTTGTCGACGTCCTTCGTTGTTTGCGCCCCTATGAGGAACTGTATTCGACTATATCGGGTGCGCATTCACTCCTCAATGGTACAGGATCGATGTGATCGTTGTTTGACATCTGCATAGCCGTTGAAACGGTTGCCGAAGCACACTCACAACGGTGGATTTACCGCCGGGCGTTCAACGTCGTTGCTTCGGATTGGTGGAGTAAACAACCGCGTGCAACGTCAAACATGGCTTGAGCATTTACGTCAAGCATTCTGTAGCAGATGCGAAGTGGAACTCAAAGTATTCATCGTTTCCTAAAGACTATGTGAAACCGGAGAAGAATAGCACCGTCAATGCACAGCGAAAGTCAAAGGCCGTAAACGTCAAAGCATCAAACCGTCGTCGAAAACAAGCCGGAAACGACTGGTGAACATCCTCCAATCCCTTCTAGCGATGACCATTGCGCCGAGTGTTGCCGATGTTGACGTATCTGGCGTTCTTCTCGTTCACAATGCTGGCTATCTCCTGCGCAAGCGTGCTCATGTCTGTCATCGCCTTCTCGATGGAGCAGCGGTACTTCTGCGGCTCGCATTGCCAGCGCTTAACATCGCTGGCGGCCTTCTCGTAGCGTCGCTGCTTGCGTTCAATCCTCTCGCAGAATTGGCACTTTTCTGGCTGGTTTATGGTCTGAAAGACAAGCTTCGTGCCGCAAGTTTCACCAGTCCGGTATTCGCGCTGACAATGTTGACGGAAGTTGCCCCATTTCCAATCGCCGCAGCTGAACTTGTACATATCAAAGAAGCACATGGTGATGATGACCGAGGTGTCTGATTTTGTTACAATCGTGCTTTGAGAGTAATAGCAGTACACCTACCCTGCGTGAACAGTCTCAGAGTGTTTTGCGGTCGTCGACCCTACCAGGTTAGTCTGGCCAGGGATGTCAGTAGGCGTCAATGAGATGCGTAGCGTCCGAGGGTGCTTCCACAGCACCAGTCATTCTGATGATCGTGCCAAGAGACATTGACCTGAGACAAGACATACCGATCAAAGGTTGCTGAAGCAGATCTTGCGTTGTCAGGGCTAGTGACCTTGAGTGGCAGGAGAGGATTGTTGGGAAGAGAGTCTCAGGGCGGCCATTCCAGCCTGCTATTTATGCCCTTGTCGAGGACGGCGTTCACCTGGATCGCTCTGTTGGCTTCGATGTCACCCTCCTCGCTTCTGCTGCGCTGGCCCACCTTCAGCATGCATGGCGTTGGTCTGGCTTCGCCTGGATCGGCCAACAGTGTTTGCCGGGGACGGCGGGAGTATCGCTCGTCGGGGCAGGTCACCGGAAACGGCAAGTACACTACCCTCATAGCGTCTTGGACCGTCGAGGTCCTGCGACCCGACATGGTTCTGCCGGGGTCCCATTGTTGTCGTGGCCTTCTGCGAGCCTACTGTTGCTGGTTGGTGGTGTGCAGCTCATCTCCTCTGCAGTTCCTAAGACGGTCATGGCAGGGATGGGCCCCTTAGTACATTCTCTAACCTGCTAACAACGACGCAGTCTTGCGACGTAGGTGAATAATGCTCCAGGTCACGTGTCTGCTTTGCAAGACACGAGTCAGGCCGTGTGCAGTCACAGCATCTTATTGGTTCTGCTGCGTCCTGTACGATTCTACCAGACATGCTTCTCATGTTGCACAAGCTCCTTGGTTACCTGGCTTGGACTGAGGCATCCTTGCGTGACATGGTCTGAAGTGACCAGAGCACGTGAGCGTGCTTGCTTAGGAACAGCCTTCAACTGTACCAAGGCGAAGCACCGCCATGAACCGGGTCGCCCGTGGTATCAGTTCATGCAGTTGCGCACGGCTCTCGGGCTTGAAGCGTCATAGGCTCGATTGGGTGCAGATACCATGCCGTGACGGAAGCACGGCTGCAGGCCAGCTACCATCGGGCTCACTGTTGCAGGCCGCATATGCTTCATGACCAAGGAGGAACGTCAAGGAGGGAGCAGTCCGCCAGTCACAATCATGCCTCAGCTGCAGCAGCGGCATCCCGGCATTCGTTGGTGATCAGATGAGGTATCATTGGTACGAAGGCCTCGCCTCTATGCATGACACTATGCGAGGACCAGCCCGCTCATCTTTGCTCAGCTGATCACTTCCCGCTCTTGCTTGCTGCAGAATGCCGCTTTAGCACCAGTTGGCTTGGTGGGTTGCGCACTATGCAGGCATGTTAGCGAAGATTTTAGGCCAGCCTTGAGTTAATGCGTTCGTGTCCCTCCGATCTTACAAGAGAAGTCCCTCCGGCTCGGTCATGGACACGCTAGGTTCAACCAAGCTGTCTCCGCTCTTGTGACGTGGCATACGGAGTATGGTGGGTCATGAAAGTCTATCCGTAGCTCCAATTTGGCTATTGTCAGTGCAGAGTTTGCAGGTACATGCGCTGTAGCAAGCAGGACTACAACGTCGGCTCCAGCTTTCTAGACACTCGGAATAACTCACTGTTCAATCGATCTACGCACAATCGCTTGCTTTCCGCAACGATCCACGGCTGCCTCGCACAGACATGCCCTGCGTACGTGCTGGCAGCGGCAGTGAGACTGCACGGGAAGCTATGGTACCATCACAGCCATGCATGCGCTCGATCCACTCACGTCTCGTGTGCTATGGATGCTGCGCGCACAATTGCCTTCCTGGTAGCCACGGCGTGAAGTTCGCCTGTTGGCCCGCCAGTAGAAGCTTGTCTGCAAATTGCTTTGCAGATACTGACGAAGGAGGTTGGGAGCCCGCATTGACATCGGCTCGCGTAGCCAAATGCTTCCCTCCAGCCTGATTGATACTAGCCCTTAGGTCTTCCAAGCATCTGTTGAGCCGATACCACTGTGGCGAACATCGCTGGAACGCTGTTTCATAATGTTACAGAAATGATTCGCCATAGACGGCGAGGACATTGATGATCAATGCCAGAGAAGACAAGATGCGGGAAGGCAGCTGACGTCGGAATTGACTTGTGCTGCACTTCCGAGCCGAGCACACGTGTCCGGTCACGGGAAGAGAGATTGACGCCGCCAAGCGGGACTTGACGGCGAAGTCTCTGTACTGTTTGATGTATCGTTTGCGTAGTAACTCCTCCACCTGACGTCTTCCACAATACGCGCCTTGACGCTTGCGCCATTCCGCCGCGTTCGATAAATAAGGCGGGAATAGTGCAGGCTTCAACAGCCAATAGGCGACAAAGAGGATGATGGACACGTCGCTATGAGTCGTGGGGGATCGTTCCTGCGCGAACGCCCGATTCCGCACCACTGGGAGGTCCCGCACTGCTTTGCTGGCAGTCTCCCATATGCCCACAACGCCATTACAACGCCGGGAATTGCAAGACAATGCTGCCTGCTTTGAGCGGCAAGTCAATTTCGGCAGCACAAATGGATGGACGTGACCTTTTGTCAAATTGGTTCCGGCGCCTCTGAGAATATCTCTCCAGATTTTTAAGGATAGGACATCCCCTAGCCCTTTCGATTGGGTCAGGTTGTCGGAGAATGGGAAGGCTGTTGAATCGGCTCGTTGTCTGCACGGTGCTCAAATTCTGCACAATGAGATAAACCCTCGAAACGGCCTTGCGTTAATCGTCGCCGCGTCGGCGCCTAGCATTGGAAACAGTCGGCCACAGCAGTATTGCGATGTTCTGGTGTCTGACCTTTCAAACACGCACTAAGTTACTGAGGTGTTGTTGCAGCGGCAATGTGAGACATGGAATTGGGCACGAGCCATCATGCCAAGCATCACGACAGCGCTCCCCATCGTCACGAACATGAACACCACCAATGCTACGCTTGCTAACCTCATCCTGCAATGCTACCCATCTATGCCCATGAATTCAGAAGAGCTCAGCTCATAACATAGGTAAACACTGCTGGCATCAAGATGGATATCATTGGCCCGTACTCGCGGCAAAATGCCACTCCAGATACACCTCACTCGCTGCTATGCCTGCCAGACGAGCTGCTATTGAGGCTGCTTTATTTTTTTGACATACCTGATCTACTCGTTACCTCTCGGGTAAGCAGCACGATCCGAATAGCCTGCTTCGCGAGTAGTCTTTGACTTCCCGCAGACATCGCGCCGGTTGAGATGGCTGTCGTTCGACCCACTGCTCCATCGCATCCGGTTGCGGTACTCACAAGCAAGGGTCAACTACTTATTGGTAAGGAGGCCGCCTCTGCACAGTCTGCAGCCTCCGAACTCAACGATATATCTCAATAGAACAGTACGTTTCGCGCGAAGTATGTGTCAGGTGGGTCCCCCAGGACATACTAACTATACATCTACCTAAACAGCATGTCGCTGCAAGGCGACTACACTGGTCCCTAGTATGCATACGCTTGAGTCGCTCACTGGCACGACGTCCAAAGCTATCAACACTAATCTCGGCCAACATCCTGCCAAAAGAATGTTGCAAGTACGATCGACGCTCCGGTGAGGTTATTTGGGGCCAAGGCGTAGCAGGTGGTCTGGTTGAACGTAGAAGGCGTGTTGAGAGAGAGCATCTACGCGAGGGGTTGCGCGTGTGGCTCGAGCGAAAGGCTCAGGAAATCCGGGCGCGGCAGAAGGACGCCGTTGGCGGAGTCGGCGTCTTAATATGGAGATTCTCGCGCAAGATGAAGCTTGGCGAAAGCCGGAGAGGCTGTGAAACATGCTTGGAGGGCCCGAAGAAGGACAAAGTTTCGGGTCTAAAACGATTCTTCGAGACAATGGGTGGAAGCAACTCGGCCCCTTTGAGCATCTACACACCTGCAGACAATCGCCACGCGAGAAGATCACGAGTCTAGGCCATGGTTCACAACTAACCGATGAAGGTCGCAGTACCGCTGCCGCAGTAGCGAGCTGGTAGAGTCGTTCGGTCCCAGGCGATCATTGACGGATAACATAAGTGATAGAGCTCGCAAAGGAGTAGAATCACGCTCGCAGCGTGTTGCTCCACGCGTTATATCTTGTACGCCTCAATAGCTGCAGTCGCGACCCTGGCTCACTGGTGTCTTCCTCCCACTGCTCTTTGGTAAGAAGCACTGTATAAGCGACCCCGACTTCGTGTGAACTGAACAGCCACGAGTGCCTCGGAGAAGGTTGCTTCTGCAGGTCAAGGATCAAACGGGCTAGGGCTTGCGTCTCCACTTCCAACGGCTGCCGCTCGGCTTCGCAGACAGTCGCTAAGAGCCGTTTGACAATGGCAAGGCACTCCATCGCGGAGCCGAAGAGCTCCCTACGCCAGGCCAACTCCGACTGCGGCAGTTGGGCAAGTGACAGCCGGACACAGTGGGCTTTGTATTGCTCGAGCCAGTGAAGTAGGTCTGCGTGCAACTTTCGGCAGCGACTTTCCAAGGTGTATAGTGGTGGGAAGAGGAAGCCGTCACTGTTGACAGCTTCGCCAATGTCGTGCCACAAGCCCGGAAGCGCAATCATGGCAAGGCGCAACTTCACGGTAAGTGTGCTGCACTGCGTCAAGAATTTTGTCTCGGTGCTTAACGACAGATAGAGTTCCAACCATTCGGGCTGTTCGAGATAGCAATGTGTGTTGTTGAGCAGACATTCCGACACGACTCCGCCAACATGCGCTTTGAACAGGGCTTGCTCAAACTCCGTCTTGAAGCGTGCGACTGACCTGTGACGCACGAGTCGCGCAGATCCTTGTACATGGTGAGACCAGGCAGTATCTCTCGAGGGGTCAAGAAGCTGGGCTGCAGATCAGTATCTGCAATAAGAAGAAGGATCGAAAGACCGACCTCGTGGAGACTCAGCAGCTGTGTGGCGCATAGTACATCGGCACTTACAGCCAAGGAATCGGAGTTAAGGGCATCCTGCAGACTGCGAAGTGCCTTGCCATACAGCCAATTGCACACCGCTTGGCACTCTTCTTTCGGTGCCAGAAACGTGTGTACCCTGGCAAGCAAACAGTCTGTGGCAGCCGTAAGACACTCGCTCGAGCCATAATACGCAGGAACGTAGTCCAGATATGAGCACTTCTTGTGGCCGAGAAGAGACGCTAAGCGGCTAGGGTCGGAAGAGAGCATAGCGATTGTGCTCTTGCCCACGTTGAAATTGGTCAGTATCGCCAAGCTTGTGAGCTCCAGCCCGAATTTTGCGCAGGCACGCTCGTAATTTGGATAAGGCGCCATGGAACGCAGGACAACATCGCACGCCACATCTTTGTCAGCCAGGTAGGGCGACACACTTTGCTCGTCACATTCATTAAGTACCAGTGTTCTTGAGGGTTTAGTTGACGCAGTGCGCGCATGGGTCGAGCCTGATAGGGCAGATTTCCGAGCCCTTGATCTGGCCTGGCTGCTGTCAACCGTTGGCGATTCACTGCTTGGCATTAAGACTGCTGCCCTGATTTGGGCGGTGGAAGCTTCCGCATTTTCGTACACCGGCAACTGGCGCATATTGACTCGACCATAGCTTCCTCTTTTCTTTCGAGCGATGCCCACGTCTTTCATGGCTTGCTTTCGTATGGTCGTCCTAGCCTCCTTAGGCACCTTTGGCCCGTTTGAGACAATGAAAGGGAAGCTGATTTCTGTCATTGTGAGAGACATGATAGCCAACAACCAGGTCCACGATGGCTGCAAAGGTCACTTGCTGTAGAGCCAAGCGGCTTAGGAAGTTCTTTCATGGAATATGGTAGAAGACAGTTTCTGGGAATACTATAGCGGAGATACCCTTCACCACTTACTCAGCTTGTCGTGTGAGAGTTGTCAGTTCGATCAGCCGTTCCACGCAACAGTGAGCCAAGTGGTTGTTCGCCGTTGTTGCGTACGAAAGGAAGAGCTTCTAGCGAGCTACTTGAAACGGAGAAAACGTGGACCCGGGGTACTGGTACCTGTTCTCGGCATGGTCGCTTCTGCATTTGCTTTAGGCACAGTCTCACCTGCCGGTATTTCGGCCCTAGCGTTAGGTAGCTCTTAGTAAGCGCTCGTATTTTTGGTTGCGGTAAGAAGACCGGCGCTATCTACACTCCGCAAATTGCACGATTTGGGGTTGCCGAGACATATTGTCCAGGCTTCTTCGACGATATCGCAATAGAGCGCCGAATGGAAGAAGGGGGCCGGTCCTCACCGCACATACGGTCAGAGGCTTCCGCAAGATCAGGCATCGTCCAGCCCTAGGCCCGTCACAGCTCCCAGAAAATCCGCGCCTCTTCCACCAGCATCCTGCTCCTGTAGCAAAGCGTTCACATCGATGCCGCCAGAGGTTAAGTATCGCTCACTGACACCAATGTTGACTCTCTGGCTTAGGAGCCCCTTCAGTTCACTCCTCGTTGCGCCAACCTCAGATTTTGACAGCTCACGAAGCTTGCGCTCCTTGGCTTTGCGGCCGCTGCCTCTCCCCCTCCGACCACTGCCCTGCTTCTCCATTTCCTCGCTATCGTACTCAACCCCCAACTCGTCCGCAGCGGCTTTAAAGAAGTCGTCAGCACGGTGTTCTTTCTCCTTCGCGAGGACCGCATCAGCCAACTTCTTTGCAAGGGCGGCTCGAGGTTTAAGACGTGACACCACCCGCCGGTCAATGTCAAGGGTCCGTATGAAGTAACCTTGCTTTGCCACCTCCATACCACTTTGACCGGTTGCTGCGGCTGATTGGGCGTGCACTTTAGCGATCAATCGGCGAACACCAGCAACCTCCTCGGGGCCGCAGATGATGATGCTCGACCCAGGTTGGCCGGCGCGAGCAGTGCGCCCAGACCGGTGAACGTATCCATCTGCAGCTCGAGGAAGATGATAATGAACAACAAGTTGTACGTTGGGAATGTCGAGTCCTCGGGCAGCAACGTCGGTGGCAACCAGCACGGACGCGGAAGGCTTGTGGCTGTTCGAACTTTGGGTAAACCGTTCTACGGACCGCAAGCGTGCCTTTTGCGGCATGCCTGAATGCAGACCCAGGGCCTGAATGTTCAGATTCTGCAGAAACGGTGTGATGCGCCGAACTGCGTCGATCGAATTGGTGAACACAAGTGTGCGCGCATTTGGGTGTAGTAGAAGTAGCGCGTACAGATAGAGATCTTTCTCCGTGCCGCTGCAGGAGACGAGCCCTTCTTTCAAGCCAGTAGCCAGCTGCTTGAGTGGATCGACGTCAATGAACTTCGGCTTGTCCTCCCGAAACTTTAGTTTCGCGAGTAGGTAGGCTAGGGACTCCTTGTTGCCAAGGAGGTTGCCGGTACTTTGACCTTTGCCTCCCAACTTTTTCTGCAGCCCACGATCGAACGTCGCGGAAAAGACAAGAGTCTGCCGAGCCGGACGAGAGTCGCCAGCATCCGCTTGCACAGCCGCCTCGTCGTCTTCTGAGTCGTGCCGCCTATATAGAGCATCCAGAATCTCCTCGACCTCCTTATAGTGGCCCTCACTGAGCAAACGATCGGCCTCATCCACGATGAGAAACTGTATGCGACTGAGTGCATCCAAGGTGCCCTGGCCAGAGCTCATAACCTCCCATAAACGACCAGGCGTACCAATAACAATGTCGGCAGTCTTCAGTAGCCGTTGTTGTTTAAGAATCGACAGACCTCCGGTTACAGTGGCGATCGATGGTCCGTCAAAGTAGTCGCTCGAGCAAAGCGCCCGGAGATGTTTGTCCAATTGGTGGGCAAGCTCTCGTGTGGGAGAGAGCAGCAGTGCAAGAGGGTGTCTGCCCTTCGATGGCACATTGTTCCTCTTCGAGCGCAGTTCCAGGAAGCGCTCTAGTATCGGAATTCCGAAAGCAAGCGTTTTCCCAGAGCCTGTAGATGCTTTCCCAACAACATCGTGACCACCCAGGGCTTCAGGAATTGCAGCGCGCTGTATTGGTGTAGGGTTGCTAAATCCGAGCCGTGCAAGGGAGGCGAGCGTATCCGGTGATAGTTTCAGAGGTCGCCAAGCAGATACGTCTATCATGCTGTTTTCAAGAACGTCCGGCAGCACTTGTAAGGCGGCGGTTGAGGTCTCATTTGGCTTGAAGCGTTTCGCAGAAGGTGTTGCCTTCGACGCTGTCTTGCGGCCATTTCCAAGGTGATGTGGCGTATCGTCCCAGCCTTCCCAAGCGTCTTCATCATCGCCGTTGGAGCGGGCATCTTGCACGCTGGACTTTCGCACGTCGTTGGGCACATATGAAAGCTTGCCGCTGGACGGGTCACGAACTACCTCGACATCGTCCACTTCCTCGAGGCCGAAAAAGCCTTCGTAATTCTCCAAACGATCTGGAAGCTTGACCTCCTTCCAGACAAGCCCGTCAGCGGCAGTCTCACGCTTACGCTTGATCACTCGGGCCATATATCTTTCGCGTTGATATTACATGAACTTCGCAGCGTTGTGACTTCTTCTTTGAATCACGTCCTGCAAAGCGGCATCAAATTCGAGATGTGGCGTTCAATTTGCTCCAGCCACCGTCGAATGCCGCACCAGACCCGAACGCCACCAACACGGGCGCGGTTACCATTAAATGACATGCACAAAACCCTCATCTTAAGATTTGCACAACATGGTAGGTCAGATCGAAGTCGCCCTGTCGCTAGTCTATACATGAAACGATATGTAGCAAATCGAACAGACTCAACAGGCAGCATGCTTGGCCTCATGTTTAAACAGAGCTCCTACAATGGCTACGGCAAGTTCGAGAGACATTTCGAACATCCAGCATCTCTTGTCACAGTATGTCACGCAGTTGGTGGATGGCTGCGGCAGTCCCTCCTGTCGCGAGTCCCAATGTCATACTGGACGACGGAATCTAACACCTGCTCATCAACCCATACGCAAGTACACAGTTCGCTCCGCTCGAGCAATTGCCCTAGCTTTGGTCGGCGGACCACATTCGCAAACACATTTGTGCCAGTATTGTACTCGGTCGCGCTTAGATACGAATGCCGAAGTGCAATCGAAGACGAATGAGCGACGTTATGACACAGGCTCCTTCACACAGCTGATCTCACAGACACCTAGTGTACGAAAATCATGCAGCCGGACCAACCATTTTGACATACCCGCAGGCGACAATGATCTCGAGCACTATCTCAGCACGCTTCAGCCACTCCTTGATCATGTTGACCCGAACACATCCCATCCGAACATTCGTAGTGCCTCGGATGCATCACGCCGCATATCTGCTTGCATCTTGAAGTGTCTTGCGGATGTACCGATAGATATCACAGCTAGCGGTGGAGCGGTGCATGCGTGTATTGCTTATGGATATGCCTACCCGCCCCCAGGAGCTCCTGTACCGGGAGCATTCGCAAATCCTAGCGATCCCAAGATCTCCCGCTTCCTGGATTACCTTCACCACGGACCCGCAAATGCTCTCCTTGCTGCTGCTTTGAAGGCTCTAGCAATGAGAGTACACCTTGAAGAGAAGCTTGCATTTCTTGATCATCCTCTCTATGTTAACGAGAGCGAACACTCGACTTTGAACAGTGAGCAGCCCCCGCGGGATGTGCGTGGCACGCTAGACATGTTGATATGGACGTTGTCTCATACGTTGGACACGGAACGATCGCCTACGCTGATGATGTGGACCAAAAAGTTGTTCTTATCGCATTGGGACGGCTCCTCCCTGATAAGAAGAGACACGACCGCTTATGGCGCCCTGGTCTGGATGCAACGATGCTCGCTGGAAACTTGTTGTGAAGAGAGTGTAAGGTTGTGTACACTTGCAACCGCGCTTGACGAGGTCCACGTAGCGGAGACTTGGCTCCATCGCCCGCGCACCGCGTCTGAGGCCCAGCATCTGCTCTCGTTCCCAGTAAGCCAGCTGCACAAACTGTCTGTGACTGGATCCGCTAACCAGCACTTCTCAGGCAGTGTTCGACGTCACAGAGCGCTTGGGTTATTTTAGAACTATTAACCACTTGAGAATGCGTAAAGCACATTCGTTGGCAGTGAAAGCCGTAATGCTCCGTCGCCAATTCGTCTCTGATGTTGACGATGGTGAACTCGGTGATCAACTCGAACACAAAGAAACACCATACCTCCTTCTGCAGGTTAGTCGCACTAATATATTGCAAGACACTTTCGATCAGCTTTGGCAGCGTAGAGCCAGTGAGCTCAAACGGCCACTCAGAGTACGCCTTGGCGAAGTCGACGCTTTGGATATTGGGCAAGATCTTGGAGGGGTGCAAATCGAGTTCTTCAACCTCTTGTGCAGAGAACTGTTCGCAGAAGCGGCGCAGATCTTCACCACAAACGTCGCGACAGGGTTGAGCTACTTCCGCCCTGGGAGTTTGCAGCCTTTGTACATGTTCGAGACGGTTGGCCTACTCCTGGCGCTGGCAATCTACAACGGCATCACCATTCCGGTCAGCTTCCCACGCGCATTCTACAATATCCTCATCAATGGCCAATCCTCAAACATACCCTTGGCTCCACGAAATCACATACGCCTCGCATCACGAAGCAACCCAATGGACGCCATCAAGGACGGTATCGACGACGGCTGGCCACAGGAGCACAGCTCGCTTATTTACATCTTGCAACAGCAAGATACGGATCTGGGCCTGGAGTGGAGCTTTCCAATGGAAGCAAATGGCTACCGTCTGTACGTAACCCGGTTACAAGGTGATCGGCTCGATCATGACGACGAAGTGGTTGGTGTTGACCACTCTGGCCCTACGGATGGTGCACGAGAGGTTCATGGTGGTGTGGAAACCCTAGACTGGCCTGGTTGGCGGTTTGCGGACGCTCCATCCAGGCCAGTTGGGCGCGATCAGTTGGGCGACTACGTAAACACTTATGCTTGGTGGTTAGCGTATGGCTGCGTCAGGCCACAGTGGCAGGCATTCATGCGAGGTTTCTATCGCGGTATCGATCGCGAAGACCTCGCACTGTTCACGCCAGCGGAATTGAAGTCGGTTGTCGAAGGCTCGACGCATCTGGACATTGACGAGCTGCGGAGAGCAGCACGGCATGAAGGGTTTGACGATGATCTGACCTACATTGATACGTTTTGGGACATTGCCAGCAGGTGGCCGGAGGAGACGCAGAAGCACTTGCTCAAGTTCGTCACCGCTGCCGAGCGGGTTCCGGTTGGCGGCGCAAGCAGTATCACCTTCATAGTACGTCCTGGTGTCGCAGAAGACCCGGAGGCGCTACCGACGAGTTCAACATGCTTTGGTACGTTGACCTTACCCATATACCCGAGCGCAGAGGTGTTGGAAAGGAAGTTGCTGTTGGCGATTGAGTACGGTATGGAAGGGTTCGGGACCGGATGAACGCTCAAGTGGTGGGATTGTCGTCCTTTTCGTGTACACTTCTCTGCTGGGCTTTCGTAACTCCATGGACTTCGTCTAAGTCGAATGAAGGCCATCCGCTTGTATCTCTATTAAAATGCGATCGCGCCGCCATCGATGACCATATCAGCGCCATTGATATAGCTCCCGGCTCTGCTCGCTAACAGCACACACATGCCGTCCAGCTCACCCACAGCACCCATTCTGCCCATCGGGTTTCGGCTCGCCCAGACATCTCTCGCTTCTTTGATTGAGCCTTCGCCGGCATTAAGAATGGTGTCCATATAGCCTGGCGAGATACTGTTCACGCGGATGCCATGAACAGCCCATTCAGCCGCTAAGCTTGACTTTAGAGCCACAACGGCGGCCTTGCTCACGTTGTACGCTACCTGGGGCTGCGGGTAATTGACTCGATGAGCGGAGATGGAAGCTGTCAGCGTGATGCTGCACCCGCCCTTCTTCTGCGCAGCCATTTGCCGTGCTGCCGCTTGAGCACACAGGAAGGAGCCCGTGGCGTTGACATCCAAGGTCTTGCGCCACTGAACGTCGGTCATGTCCATGGCGTGAACGCACCCGACGATGCCGGCGAAACAGAATAGGTGATCAACGCCGCCGACCGTTTGCACGACGGCATCAATGCCTTCCTTGACGGCTTCCGCATCGGTCACGTCGACCACTACGCCGAAGACACGGGCTTTCGGAAAGTCTTTTGCTAGAGTGGCGAGTTGATTTTGTGATGAGCGAAGTGTCGACTCCAGATCCCAGAGACAGCAGCCAGAGGCACCATGTTCAAGGAGTGCTCGTGCGGCTGAGAGACCGAGAGTGCCGGCGCCGCCTGTGACTGTTGTCCTGTTAGCTCGAGTATCGTTCCGGCTGATGGTCGTTTGAGCATACCAACAACGTTACCCTCTACGGCAAATCTTGCTTTAGCTCTATCGTCGGTGCTTAGAGTGGCGGGTAGTGGTGGAGGTGGAGACGTGAGCGATGTAGGGGAAGAGGCATCAGACAATGTCATGAAAGGAAGCGTTCTCGAAGCAAGAGAGTCTCTGTCGGACATCTTACGTTGTGTCTCGCAAGATAAAGAGATGAGGATGCCACCAAACAAGGCTTGTTGAATACTATCCCAAGAGGATATGTATGTGTAAATCAAGACGTGTAAGGTACACAACGAATTCTGCTGGACACGGCAACTAGGCATGGCTCCATCGCCGGCGTAAAATAGTACACTCACGTTCCAGTAAATGCCGTACAGATCAGATCGACTTCGAGGATCAAGCTGCTGGTCAGAAGTGGTCTCGAGGCCTCATAACGCACCAAAAAGATGGTTCGTACGCAAGGACTCTAACCTGGTCGAAGCTATGCTCCTGCAACTTGTTCCGTTGCGGGGAATCGAACCCCGGCCTTGTCGGCACTTAGGGACGTTTCGTCCGATGAGAGCGACAAACTGTGAAGGTGTTAGATGCTGACGGTTGCGTTGTTGTGGTGGGGTCGCTTACTCCTAGCCACTAGACCACAACGGATTGCTTGATGATTACAGTGTGCCCGTGTTTAAATATATTAACTATCAAAGATAGAGCCGAGTAGCGCCCGGCCTGAACAAACATATACTACATCATGGATTCAGCATTCTATATTGACGCACATTGACAGCAAGATCAAGACAGCCTTGTTCGGCAAAGAGGAGATAGAGGGCACGTATCTGCCCCTGCATGTCACCATGTGTCCCTTCCCTCTATAGAGGTTGTAACCGTTTTCTACTGGTATCAAGGCAGGCATGGGCTCATGCCACAAACCGTCGCGGACAATCACAACCCCGAATAAGCAGCCATGTGAGACATCAGTCCGCCTTCACTCGCATTACTACTCAGTTGCGGTCCGCTTTATCTCGACTAAACCCATGGACACGACCTGAACTGGAAACGTTCGATACGAAGTATTCGCCACACTCAGCTCTGGTAAAAGCCCCGCAGACGTTCTTTGACTATACGAACAAGCAGACGATGCGTCCGACATTGCACCCTGCGGCGGCACAGGGAATCAAAGCTGTCCAGCAAATGCTCGGTCTCCGGCAAGATGTATCGCAAAAGACCAAAGCTACTCCTGCCGATCCAGTCCTCGTCTGCATCGACTGTGAAGCATTCGAGCACGCCCAACAAAAGATCACCGAACTCGGCGTCGCAGTGCTAGACACGAGAGACATTGACCTCCACAACGTGGACGCGAGCAGCAGCACCTCCAACTCATGGGTCGCGAAGATGAAGTACGCCCACTACCGACCCATCGAGTACGCGAATCTACGCAACAAGAACTTCATCAAAGGCTGCGCGGAATCCTTCAATTTCGGCACAACCACGTGGATACGAGTAAACGATGGCAAACAACTACTCAAACGTCTATTCGCACATCCAACCCATCTGCCACAGCTAGCGGACTTTGCCGTCACTCCTCCAACGAGCGAGCCTCGCAACGTCGTCTTCGTCGCCCATGGCGCGAGCAACGACACGGCCTACCTAAAGCAACTCGGCTTTGATATGACGGCGGACGCTGAGGTAATTCGAACGGTCGACACGCAACTACTCGCTGGCGGCTCGAAGAAGCACGGCGTGAGCTTGCACCGGCTGATGCTAGCGTTGGAAGTCGAGGCGGTTAATCTGCATAATGCCGGTAACGACGCTGCGTATACGCTGCAAGCGATGGTGTTGATGGCCGTGAAGGAGTTCCAGGCGCCTGGCAGCGTTGCGGCGGGCATGGCGAGGGTTGCTGGGAAGTTACCGCCTCTGCGGTATAACCCAGTCGTTGCGCCGCAAGTCTGGGCTGGCACCGCGATGGGCCCCGGTTATGACACCGATGCTGGGAGGAAAGCTGCAGCAGTTGTCCGCGCAACGACTTCCATTAGTGGCAAGAGGGAGCGTACGCAGCGCAAGCATGCTACAAGAGCCGCCCGTGGCGGACAGGCAACCGTCGAGGGCATGAGTGCCCAGCTGCCCTTGCCTTCCATGCCAGGTCATTCCATCTCGCGCTGAAAGGTCTCAACATCAGAGTCCAACGGACTATACTTCCATCGTCATCAATGAAGCATCTCCACGACCTTCGCAGCCATTCCAACCCCTTCGCTTCGCAAGACCACTCATCGTCAAAGCGCCCCGTCGATGCAGAAACATGCAGCGGCGACGGCAACCAGAGCAAGCGAGCAAGCCTGCCCAACGTGCAAGACGCCGATCGGAACGTCCTCGCGTCAACTGTAACATTCGCTTGGAGTATTGCAACCAAGCTCGCGCTATGGGATGGGCTAGCCGCAGACCGCGCTGGTGTGTAGAGCGTGCGCGTGGGAGCCAAAACAGGCCAGTGTAAGCCCATCTTGCCACAATGCCAAGTGCAGTGGAGTCCACTAGGCCATGCGATCTTCTTGCTGATATTTGCGCAGATGCGAAGCGTTTACGGTTCGGTCTCGGCTAATGATAATCGTCTCGATAGGACAGTCCGGATGAGAAGTGCTGAAGGTGTTGACGGGAGCTCTCTAATCCGAGCCTTTAACCGGGAGGAGGGCGTTTATATGGTTCCGACCACTTCACCGACCGCGCAAAACCTCAACCAGATTATCCCAACCCCCGAGATCATAAACATTCTCCACGTCCCCCAAACTCCACACCCTCGTCCACAGCCCCTCCTGACCAACTGGGGGCTCGCCATCGTTCGTCCTTACGACAACCTGATCACTCTCCACCGGCCAGCGCACCGCGCCTACCGCGTCGCCATCCTCATCATCCTCCGAACCTAAACTCAAAGCCGGATTCCCCACCTCAGGGACCCGCCCAACCTCTCCCTCACCTCTGCGAGCGCGATTGTGCGCCTTCAAAGCCTTTCGTGAGGCTTTAAACACACAACCCTCCCCCATATCATCCCGCCAATCCGCCCACTTCTGGGACTCATTCGTCGTCATCCCGGCCCAGATAAGATAGCAATGATACCCCAGCAGCGCCAGCGGCATGGCAGCAGTAGAAGCGGCTAGTAAACCCACTCCCGCAATTGGTAGCCCGCCGCGGTGGATGGCGTAAGCCATTGCTTCACCTAGCTCGCTCCAGTAGCCGCGTTTGAACAGAACGTTCCGGTTCCGATGGGCGAGGAAGTAAGGGTAGAGGAGGTAGTAGCTCAGATACGCGCCGTAAAGTTGTAGTAGGCCCAGGCTAAGGAGCAAAGCGAGGAAATACCGGTAGTTGCCTCGTCCCAGACAGTTGTTCACCCAGGGACAGTGGTGGTCGCATTTTGCCACGCAGTGGCCGCAGAGGGAGCAGTGTTTGCTTCGGGCCGGTTTGGGCAAGGCACAAGTCCGACATTGCGGGCCGGGATGGTAGAGGATATGATCAAAAGGGTAACCCTGGAGGCGGTAGTTGAGGTTCAGCGTGGTAATGTAGTGGGAAGTATGGGTTGCGCAAAGGTAGGTGAAGTAGTATGGCAGACCGAGCAGAAGCGGGATGGGGAGAAGAAGGCTCGTTGGCAGAAGGTGGATGGCGTGCCAGAGGAAGAGGCCGGAGCTGCCCGTTAAGAGAATGAGGAAGATGATCTGACTGGGTCAGGACAGAAGAGGAAAGAGCGAGTTACGAGACTGGCTTACCAGCACGATCGGGTTCCGCTCGTAGAAGAGGTAGTGACCGAGTCGTTTACTCTTGACGATGATGCGTCCGCCAGTCACTTTCTGATCGACGCGCTTGAGAGCATTAGGGATGTGGACGAAGAGTGCTTGTTGCAGCCAGCCAATTGGGGTCTTCCTCAGCGCTGGAAGCTGGCCGAAGAGCGCAACGAAGGTGAGCAGCGAGAGGACGAAGATGGCGATTACGATGTTCTTGAGGGCGCCCATGGTTCAGGTAGGCACGCGGCCATCTGATATTACTTCAGTAAGAAGCATACATGTAATCGAGCAGCGTAAAGTCGGAAGTGGGCCTTCGCTGCATGGGCGGGACGGAGAGGGTGCGGTCTTGTGGGAAAACCTTTGATAATCTGGCAAGCAGCCTGGTCTGCCTTCTCTGGCACTACCGTATCAGACAAGACGGCCGGGTCATAGTACGCCTGCAAGAGGAGTATTTCAAGACGCGGCAAGGTCATGTCGAGGCTCAGACAAGTGGCAGATATAAATTCGTGCGATTATTCGACATGCAAGAGCGAGCAGCCAATCAGAAGCGGGCGCACTTGCCCCGCCAAAGGCGATCGAACGCGCCTTCCCACGCGTCAAGCAACTCACCTCATTGCACCTCGAGACGTCAGTCGGCGTGATGGCGACAACGACACCTCTGGTCATGTCGCAGACCAACGGGCATGGCCCTGCGATCGGCGGCCTCTTCGCCGGCATCGCTTTCTTCCTCGTCCAACGCCTGCCATTGCGAAGCACATACATCGACAAGATCCAAGCCAACGGCGGTCGCGTAGTGAAACTCGAACAGCAAGCAGACCACATAGTCGCCGACCATGTGCGCAAGGACTGTCCGCCTGGCAGCATTAGCTACACCTTCATCGACGCCGCCATCACCAACGCGCAACTGCCTGACCCGGACCAGCACCGTGCGGGCCCGATAGTGGGAGCGGTGCGGGAGGTGGGAAGCGGGTTTCCAGGCAAGCAGACCAAGACTCCCTTCACCGGAGAGGACGATCGTGTCCTGTGGCAGTGGGTGGAGCGGGCAAAAGCGCAGGGTGGCAGGGTGAAGGGGAATGAGATCTACAAGCAGCTGGAGGAGGTCAATTCGCGGCATACCTTTCAGGCGTGGAGGGACCGATATATCAAGAAGCTCATGGACCGCCCGCCGCCTGCTATGCAGGTCCGCGTACCCGCGAACCCGCCGCCTAGCCCTCCTACTGCGCCGGATGAGGAGCCAATCGCACAAACGCCACGAGCAAAGAAAGGAAAGAAGCGGAAGGCGAAAGCAATCGAAACGGTGGAGGACCAGCTGGACTTCGATATGCTCATGCACAACGCTGAAGACATTGTGCTGATTGGGGAAGATGTTGAAGACAAGGCGTGGAACGCGTGGGCTGAGGCATATCCGAGCCGCTCGGCGGAACAGTGGCGCTCCTTCTGGGAGCAGAATGTACTGCCTGTCTATCGCGAGGAACAGAGGGTGAAGCGGCGGGCGGCAAGGCAGTCCAAAGAGATTGGGGAGATGGCTGTAGAGGCCGAGCCGTTGCAAGGCGCGAGTAGAGCATCGCCGCGGAAACAGGAGGTCGCGAGAACAGAAGCAGAGAATGCTGTACTGGAAGACGCGGAGCCCGAGCCATCCTCACTCAACAACATGCCAGACACTCAACAGCAGGCACGCGAGCCAAGTGCAGCTATGCTTGCTCGCAAGCCTACCGAATCGGACCAAGGAGAAGTTTCAACATCCACGCTAGAGCTCCAAGCCGCAGTCGGCATTGCTCTGCAACAGCAAGTCGACGCCACCTCGGCACCCCCTACCACCTATAGAGATCTCGAGTATCTAGTCCTGCAAACTTCGGAAGCCAACAAAGAAGCGCAGCATCAGGTGTTGGATGAGCTGCGAGACGGAGACACAGCGACTTTGGGCCGCAGAATGCTGCGCACATGGTCGTCGGATTTGCCGACTCCGGTTGCGAACCGGGCGCCCGAGGACCAGCTTATGCAGGAGGCGGTACGGGAAGCCTTCGAGTTCCCCGGGGCGGCTCCGCAAATGCCTTCCGATCTGCCTACATCTGAAGCGAACCGCGGCGCTGAGCAACAGTTACGACGCGAGTCGCTAAATCCAGTTGTGACTGATGACGAACCGCTAGTGCCTCAAGACAAGCCCGTGGTAATCCATGAAGATTCGTACGAAGACGAGTCGCAGCAACATAGTCAGCGCAACGTCACCTCGGTCATCACAACACAACGAACCCGGTCCAACCCGCCTACGTCGGAGGCGAATCGCGACGCTGACGAGCAGTTGCGGCGTGAGTCGCTAGAGCCGGTACTGAGCGATGATGAGTCGGAAGACGAAGACGGGTCTGAGGACGACGAGGATCAAGACATAACCATCTCAGAGCATCTGATCGAAGATGGCGAGGTGGAAGACGGTCTGCCTGGCGAAGACGTCATTCGACCTGATGACAACGGCGGTACCGCGCTTACACAGGCGAATTTGGAAAGCCAGCAAGCTGGACTTAAGCCTAAGCCGCTGCGTGCCATTGATTTGCCTGAGGACGAGGAGATGCATGATCAAACAGACTTTGCGGAGTATCTCGAACGACTTGTTGGGCAGCAGAGGTCGGACGAGGGTGGTGCAACGCTTGAGAAGACGGACGAGCGCGAGGTTGAGAGGCGAGAAGAGGCTCTTCAACTTGTCGCACAACCGGAAGTCTCCGCGATGCAGTCGCGATCCGACCCACTGCTTGAGCTGACACAGTATACCGACAACGAAGGCGAAATCGTGTCCCCTGAAGACGTCGTCGGTCCTGCCTTTCCCTCCTACAATCCCGATCCCGCTCAGACGCGACCTGCGCACGATACCGGCTTCAAATTCTCACAAAGTAAGGAAACGGACGCGTTCGGCAACATACCTCTATCTTCGCCACAGGAAGTCGACGAAGTCTTCATTGTGAATGCGCGGTGGCCTCATTCTCCCCCGCGGCTGCAGGCTGAGCAGAGTCTACCGGAAGCGCTATCGAGGCCTGCAGGTCAGGGTGTGCAGTTCGAGGAGTTTGAGACGCATGTCGTGTATCGGAGTTTCAATGCCGGTCTCGGCGAGGGGTATGCGGTAAGGCCTGAAGTGCAGGAGGTGGAGGCGAGGTATCCGGCTCTTCCGCTAGATTTGACTGCTAGGCCTGGTGCGGATGTGGGCGATGTGGTTGAGGTGCAGTCGCAGGTAGATGCTTTGGGTGAGCGTAGTGCGCGGGAAGTCGTGCAGTCGGAAATCGATGCTCTGCTTGAGAAGGATGAGCAGGGCGCAGGCTTACATTCGCAGCCGGGTCCTCTACTGGAGCGAGAGGAGCTAACTGATAACTCTGCTACGGTGAATGCGGAGACTGGAGGTAGGCTTGGCGTGCAAGAACGGATCAAGTCGGATTTTGCAGTCGCACAAACGAGAGAGGAGCGGGATGCTATGGTGGAGCATGACCACGAGGCGGATACCCGCGGTGACGACGACGAGAAAGATGAAGGGGAGGAGATGGCGGCGGATTTAGCGGTTTCGGGGGCTGAGTGTGACGAAGGCGAAGATGAGGAGGAATCGATTGACCTCGACCTCAGCGTACCACAACCCGATGACTTCTTTGGTGATGAGCCCAACGAGGACAATGGCCATGACGAAGAGGAGCTGGATCTTGGCGTACCTGAGCCTGACGATGGCTTCGACTTTCACTCGTCGTCCGCCGATCGCCTACTTGCAACGGAGGCCGTGCAAGACTCCGTTCCAAACCGGCCATCTCCTATAAAGGCTAGCCTGCGAGACGATACTGCCGCACGAAACAAGCACGAAGCACTCTTCGGTTATACTATTCAGAAGCAAGCAGAGGCACAAGTAGTGGAGATCTCTTCCGCAGAACTCTCGAGTTCACCATACCTGAGCCCTGAGCCTGCGCCTTCCGAGGCTGAGGACGAAGAGCTAGTCAACGGCAACATCAACGCACTGGAAACCCAAGACATACTCAACACCGAGACACAAATACCCGATCTGGGTGTGCCTCTGCCACCTGACACAGACTCAGAATCAGATGACAGCCTACACGAGCTACAAGCCAGCCTTCTGCGCCAGTCTCAAACTGCAGGCCGGCAACAGCCCAGCGCGCCTCGGTCAGAGCAGCAGCCCTCACCATTACCAAAGCAACCCAACCACCCGACCACCGCGGCGGCGAAACCTCACCCCCAACCTCCATTCCAACAACCACCACAAGCCCACCCGCACCAACCCACCAACTCGAACGAGACTCACGCCATCACCACCCCCACCTCCCTAGACGACTTCATAACCACCCTCCGCCTCCGCCACTCCGTCCCGGAATCCACCGTCATCTCCGCCCTCAAAGCGACGTGTCTCCGCCCGGAGCTCGCCGAACTCGTCGTCCTCGAGCAGAAAGCCGGACGCGGACTCCCGGACGACGTACCCGGTGTTTGGTCCGCGGAGGACGATAGGATGGTTGAGGGCGGGAATGCGCTACTCATGAAGCGGTTGCTGGTGAAGCATCGCGAGTGGGCGGAGTTGGAGCGGCGGTTGGAGTTTTTGGGGGAGTGGAGGGGTGGGGCGTGATCGTCATGGTCATCGTGGGACTCGCGACTGAACGGGGGCTTGGGTAGAAGAAGCGAGGGGAGAGGGGGAGGAGAGTGTACGTGTAGTTTGTGGTTTATTTCATGACATACATCTTACTCATGGTTCCTGCCTAAACTCACGTCTATCTGATCGGAGATGCGGCACGCTGCGATAGCCAGACTTGTAACCCCTCCGGTTGGTTTTCCCCATACTCGAACCTGAACGCCGGTGATCCCCGCAGCCGTGGCGATATACGCCCGGAAAAACGAGTCGGATGCATCCGTAATCATTCATACATCCCCTTCCCACACCCACACTCCTCCATCCATCACACACACCCCATCCCCCCCTGCTCCCCTCTACTGCCCCCCACCACCACCCCCACCAAGCTTCCTCAAAACTTTATCCCAGCTCTCCTGCTCGAACATCAGGCTCGGCGCCTCCACCACCCCTCCCGTGCCGGCATCCATGTTCGGCATGAACCGCCCACTACTCTCATCCTTCTTGCCCAGCTTCTTCAGCGCCGCGTCGACGTGGTCTTGCGATACCATGACCCCGGACTCGGAACAGCGGGCTTTGGCGCGGAGTTCGGAGCACAGGCTGTCGAGGTCGAAGGTGCCGTTTTGGAAGGAGGGGTTGGATTGCAGTTGGTTCCTATGGTTACATTAGTTAGCATGTGTGAGAGGGGTGGTGAGCGGATATTGGGGAGGATGGCTTACCAGATATTGTTGCAACTGATCAGCTTCGTCTTCTGCTGCTGCTGCTGGGCTTGCGGTTGCATCCCACTACCAGGCAAACCATAATCGTCATCCCCGCCATCCCTCGCCTTATCCATCTGCGCCATGAGATTGGCACTGGACATCGGTGCATTGTTCGCATTATTCACACTCGGAGTCACAGTACTGCCAAGCGTGGCGCTGCTCTGCTGCGGGCTCTGCAAGATCCCGAAGAGGTTGCTGGGGGAGCCGTAATCGAAGGGCGCGGTGGTGTTGAAAGTATCGTCGAAGAAGCCGCCATTGGAGAAGTCGGTGCCGCCGAAGGTGGGGTCGAGGGTGGGATCGCGGTAGTCGTTGAAGAGGACGGGGTCGAAGGTGGTGTTTGAGGGGATGCTGAAGTCGAGGTTGCTGTTCGTGAGGTTGATGTTGGATAGGCTGGTGGATGCGTGCGGGTCTTCTGAGGTGTATGTGGGGAGGGAGTTGGATGAGTGGCGCGAGGTGTCGTTCTTGTCGTTGTACGTCTCTACTCCACTATTGTTGGCTTTGTGGCCGGGACTCTCGTGGGATGGTTCCGGTGATGTGCCGCAGGAGCTATTGGCTTGAGCGTTCCACTGGCTGGTGCTGCTACCACTTGGCGAGGCGCTGTCGCTTGCACTACTGCCGCTGTTGAACTGGAAGACGCGGTTCAAGCCGGCTGTGCTTTCGCCGCCGTTTGTGGCGTCGAAGTTGCTCACGCCATTGCTGGCAGAAGACTGCCGCTGCTGTTGATTACCGTTGAAGTAACCATTGCCGCTAGCGAAACTGGCGCTCTTGATCAGACCAGGGCTGAACAGATCGCCAAACGGGTTATCGCCGCCCATTTGAGGGAGTGTGCTGGCGAAGCCATGCATGTTGCTGTTGGTACTGTATCCGACCGAGGGGAAGGCATTGCCACTCGTCTGCGGCGTGCTTGTTTGGGAGTTGTTGCGTGTTGGGGTCGCATTACGTGGGCTCATGCTGCGAGCACTGTTTTGGCTGTCTTGACGCTGCACCTGGGTTGGGATGAGACCTGGCAAGCCGCTTACACCACCGGACGTGTTTGGGTCACACGGAATCGCTGGTGGTGGTGGTGTTGTTGTTGTGTTGCTCTGCTGCGTTGGCTCGGTATTGCCGAAGATCTGGCTGCCAGGCAGAGCACCAAACTTGGGAAAGTCGAACTGGAACCCGCCTCCGTATGACGGACCGCCGCTGTTGCTGCGGACGGGTCCGGTATAAGCATTGAGTGGCGGAGAGCCGCGGAGACCGCCCGGGCCGTTATTCAGAGACAGTCGCTTGCGATAATCGCGCAGCTCGGACTGAAGGCGCTCGACTTGGGCTTTGAGCAGGCCATTCTCGTGCTTGTCCGCTTCTTGCGTCTTGGTGAGCTCAGTCACCTTCGTTTCGAGATCCTTCAAATGCTTCTCCTTGCGCTCGCGGAAGGCGCGCTGGGCTGCACGGTTCTGCGCTTTCCGCTTCTAAACCTAATCGTCAGCGAGTGTAGATACGAACGCACCCCATCGATAATGTTTGCGTGCATACCGTCGTCGGCTCGTTCGTCAACGGCTTCCTGCCCGGCTTCTTGGCGCTCTTCTCACCATCTTGCGTCTCTTGTCGCTTCGAATCACCTTCTTCATCGTCGTCCTTCTCGTCCGGACTCTTGCGCTTCTCATGCGAGTCCCCATGGCCATTGAGGTCATCCTGGCTGTCACCGGGAAGGGCGCCGATCATCTCGCCGCCAAGATCCGCGTTGTCGAAATCGAAACTGTTATCGCCGTCCAGATAGTCGAGATCTGGCTCGTAGTCGGCGTCGAAGTTGTTGAGCTCCGCGTCCTGCGGGCTCATGAACAGCGCGCTACCGCTCATACTGCCTGGTTGTGAGTCGGAAGTAGTGCGCTTGTTAACTCCGGTACTGCCAGGTCGGGAGATGGCGGCGTTCTGCCTGTCCTTGGCTTGCGAGCTGAGTGCTGCCAAGAGCAGATCCTGCTGGTTGTCGGTGAGGTATGGTACGTTGGGTAGTCCTCCTTGCGCGTGTGGTGCTTGCCTTTGCTGCTGACCAGCCATGCGCTGCGGAGCGAACCCCGTGATGCTGTTGGACGTCACGGAATGGGATTTGATGGGTTGTTGTGCGCGCTGTCGCAGCTCGTCAGCAGTGGGATACAATACCATTGCGCACGCCGTGATGCAATGCACTCGAGCGCGTAGTGTGGTGACGGTTGTTCGAAGCCCACGTGAAAGGCCTTGAAGCGATTCTTCGTAATCCGGAACGACTACGGCGGGGTCGGCAGAGCTGGCTATTCAAGCCGAGATGGTGACGGCTACATGCGGGAGGGCTTACCTTGCCAACAGCAATCTCTCTATCCAAGCAGCCGGGAGAGGTGTGAAGTGGTGCTCGTCGCGCCACCAATGCAGTGACAAAGACGTGTGTAAGGAAAAGGACAGCACGTCAGTCGCAGGACGAAAGCAAAGAGGCTTCGACGGGCTCGGAATGGTGTAGGAGCGCTATGCCGGTAACGGTAGGGCTGCCACGCCCAAGACCCTGGAAATCCTGCGGTGAGAGCGGAGCGGGTGGTGCGTGAAGGACGGAGTCCAGCTCGACTTGGCGCGACTAGAGTCACGACGGCGAAGGCACGAGAAAGCAAGATGGCCGGTAGAGGAGGGAAGATGATTGGAGCAGGGAGCGGGCAAATGGGCGGGATGTACCAGGTTGGGAATGGCAGGAACTGGAAATGGGCAGCGTCGACTGCACGAGTGAGCCAGGTGCATCAGGTGCATGCTGCATGCACCCTTCTTGGCAGCTGCTGATAAATCAACTCTTCCCGCCTAGAACTTGCCTCTCCACCTCAGTCTCGAGAAGCATCTAACGCGGACACGGAGTTGGTCGGTGCTTGTCAGCTCCGATAAGGCAGCGCTGTCATGATTTGTGTGTGTGTGTGCGAGAGAGAGATGGAGTTATATGTGATGGTGTCTATTGCTGTGCTATGCACGAGATCGAAGTTCATAGGCTTCTGTCCACGACTAGTCAATCGAGCACCGGAGCCAGTTCCTGTCGGCCACGTTGTGCCTAAGGTGACCATGCATGCCAAGCCTTGAACAGACGTGAGTCACGTGTGTTGGATGTTATCGAGCTCGCAGATTGCACCTTCCCTCACACATAATAGACGACAGATGCCATTGTCGCGCCACGCTAGCAATCTTCCTTCCTGCGCTCTGTTCAGCCTGAGTATACGTCTACAAGCGCTATAACGACCCGTCAACACCCACTCCCAACAACGCCATTCTCGCCGCATCCATAGCGGTCATAGCCCACTGAGTAACCACACCTTTCCTGCTCCACTTGCCGTGAACGGCTGCTGAGTCCAACATGAGCAAGCTTGCGGCGCTCCGAGAGGAGCTCGCGGGGTATGAAGATGACCTCAACACGTGCATCGAGTACCTCGCCCTCGAGCCGGACGACGCAGATTCGAAAGACACCAAGACGTTGCTGGAGGAGCAGATAGTCGACGTCAAAGCGCGCATTGCCGAGGAGGAGTCGAGGCAACAGGCAACCGCACCACCGCCACCGCCACCGCCACCCACTGGCAGCGACATCCCGCCCCCGCCGCCAAAGTATGACATGACGCGCCACCCCAAGTTCCTCGAGCAATCTCACGACGCGCCCCCACCCCTGCCCCCGGACGAGCAGCAAAGCTTCCACGTGAAAGATGTCGTCATGGCGAAGTGGTCCGAAGACAAGCAATGGTACCAAGCCACCGTCGTCAGCAAAACCGGCAGCTCCGCCGACCCCGTCTACACCGTCACCTTCAAGGGCTACAACAACACCGAGACCAAGCGCAAACACGAGATCAAGCCCGTGCACGTGACCGAAAGCAAGAAGCGGAAGGCTGACGGCTCCCCAGCAGTCTCTTCCACCAATACCAACGCCGCGACTGCCTCTCCTGCGGCACCGACCAACACGATTGCGGTAGGCCACGTGATCAGCGCGGCGCCAGCAGTCAATACTTCCCTCATGCCGCCCAAGCGCGAGCCGAGTAAAGTCAGCGACGGGCCTACGCGGATGGCGCCCGAGCCGAAGAAGTTGAAGGGGCAGAAGCAGCTGGCGAAGAACCAGGAGGGGTGGAAAGCGTTCCAGGCCGTCGGACCGAAGAAGGCTGCTCTTGGTGGTGGTGGTGGTGGTGGTGGCGGTGCCGTCAAGCAGAAGGACAGTATGTTGCGTACTCCTGATAATCCAAAGGCCAAGGTTGGGTTTACGGGGAGTGGCAAGGCGATGCAGAAGGATCCGGCGATGAAGCGGTGGAATTATAAGGATAGTGTGGAGGATGACTGATCGTCATGCTCTCGCAGAGGGGACTCCGTTTGATGGATGGCGTTCTCTGTGGAGTTGGCACTTACAGACGGTAAGCCAAAGCGTCGTCTTTTAGTTATATGGCACCAGCATGACGGGCAGGGCAAGGCAAGGCAACTGATTGAGCTTTGCAACGGCGTAAACCTCCTGTGGCGGGACGCTCGGCGGGTCAATGGTGGACGACGACACCATTTTCGCCGCGCTTGCATCGCCGGGAAGCACCATCGTCGAACGGCGCCAGAGTGATTGACGAGTTTCTGCCGAGGTTGCCGCGAAGGCCGGCCCAAGCGATGAGAAGTATCCCGCTACCCAAAATTGCGACTGTGTGCATACTAAGCGATTCTATAGACCACAGAAGGCTTTCCAAAGACAGCTTGACTCACTGACAGTCCTTACTCTGCCGCTCACGCATTCTATACTGGGCTGTGCATGGCGTCGTCAACCGCTGCCATGATGTGAACGACTTCGTTCACACCTCATCTTCGCGCCAAGGATTTTCAACAAATCTCACCACTCACACCTCCCCTCCCTTAACCGCCACCCGCCGCATCTCCCGCCCCTTCTCCTCCGCACTAGCAGCCCCTCGCGCGTCCAAATCGCCCGCTCCGGCGCCTTATCATGCACGTCAGTACACAGATCGTGGCGCGGGGAACAGGAAAAATGGGCTTACCCTTCACCTTCGCCCGCTCCTCACGCTGCTCAACCGAGCTTCCGTCAGCTGCCGTCTCCTTCTCACTTTTGCTGCCGAACGCGCCGGAGAGGGCGCCGAAGATGTTCAGATTCAGGCCTGCCTATACGAAAGGGATGATCGTCAACTCTTCTGCGTGTGTTGGAAGGTTGGGCACAGGTTGGTTGTTGGAGTTTCTTACGCTTGCGTCCGCTTTGGCGCTGTGTTCTTGCACTTCTGTTGCGCTTTGCTGGGGAGGAGATGATTTGTCTACTTCTTGCGAGCCCCCTTTCTTAGTCATGGCGGAGGAGGAGGACATGGTGGAACTTGGATTGGGAGTCACGTGTGGTAAGTATGAGTTTTGATCTCTTGTTTCGTTCCTGCGTTACACGCTCCTTCCTCTGCGCTTCGACACGCTTTTGTAGTGCAGGACTGTGTTCATTTTTTATCACAAGAATCGGCTCGCCTTCGAAGCAGGTCGAGTGCATTGGAGCAACCAAAACTTGGTCAGCTGGGCTTTTCTTGGGACGCTTGCGTCATCACCTCACACGCCCCTCGAAGCTGAAGCGCTGTCCGCTATACCACATGTATGTGCTTTCTCTTATTCTGTCCCGTTTCCTTCCACATCTCTGCATCAGAAGCACGTAGTTGTGTTGCGCGATGGTCCGCTGACGCCGCTGCTGCTGCTGCTGCTCCACAAAGACGGGCATTTGCCAAGATCTGGACATGTTTCAACGCCAAACGCCACTCCATAGCCCGATAACATTGATGATGCGCTTGCTGATGTGGAAGACGTCGATTACTAGGCGCTCTCTATCTCGTCCTTCGAGACTAGGCCTCTGGTGTGCAACGAGACACCACTACCAGATCTTCCGCAATCTGCTCGAATTGGGGTTGGCAGGCTTGTTGTTGTCCTCTCGAGTGACAGTCGGTAATACCATCCTACGGCAACGTAGATAGACTAACTCGCGCCACTATGTACGCCTTATGTAGTTTCCACCTCTGTGTCTGGACCGAAGATGATTGGCAGAACATGCACGAATCATGCGAAATCTATACCCATGACTACACGCACATACGACGAGTTGTGACTGAAGGAGAATTGGCTGACCTTCCAAACCAAAGACAGGTGGTCGTCATTGCGTTCATCCCTCGCTGTGCCTACCCCAGCTGAGCTGGTACCCAAGACTAACAAGGGTACATGAATGTTGACGTTCTCCATAACATACTGGCGATGCTCAGGCCGCTTACTCTGCCGGCTGTTATCGCCAGAAGGACCACCCGTTGGTACTTTTCGGTCGTCACGATGCGGGCGTAGCGCAGTTACAGTCAAGTCAACATGGCAAGCTACTCCGACTATCTTCTCTCCACCCGCACACCAACTCCACTCACATTCGCAAAACTTCCGCTTTCGAACCTCCACTGCCTCTCTGGTTCTGCAAGAGTCCATCTGAACGACCTCAACAAACTCGGCACAACCTTATACATCTCCAACAAACTAATGTTCTTGCCAATACAACTGAACCTTCCGTGTCCAAACTGTGTCAACAGTCGATTCATCTCCGCCACTTGCGCCTCGTCGCGCTCTAGCCACCGCTCAGGCCTGTACGTTTCCACGTCTTCGCCATAGACGTCTGTGCGGCGATGCATGTTCCATGCATTGACGGCTACGGTTGTCCCGCCAGGTATCTTATGGCCGGCAATGACGGCGCCAGTGGGTGGAACGACTCGCTCGCCGCCGAAGCGAGCGGCGGGGTGGGCGCGGAAGGCTTCTTTGATGCAGGCGTCGAGGTAGGGTAGCTTTTGCGCTTCGGCAAGGGAAACGGCTGTACCGGGCTCATGGTCGGGGAAGGCGGTGTCGATCTCGGCTTGCAGTTTCTGGTAAATGGGAGGAGACTTGAGAACATAGTAGAGGAGCGCTGTTAACGTCACCCCCGTTGACTCCGAGCCAGCAAGAACCATGCTGATGCCCATACCCAGCACCATACGATCGGAAACGGTCTCCGGATGCGACTCCTTCGCCTGGAGGAACTTATCGATCAGATCCACCTGGTCATCATCGTGCGAGCCTCGGTCACCGTTTGCACGGCCTTCCTGCCGCTTGCCGGCGAACGCTACAACGGGGTTCGGTCGTGCGTTGAAGTAGCCTTGCCTGTTGAACCACAGTAACACCGGGTTCTTGAGTAGCCAGCCGTCCAACCACGGCCATTGACCGACGCAGTGCGCGTAGCAGAGGTACCAGTGCGCCTTGGCGATGATACCGTCAACGTCCGAAGCAGTTTCGAGAAACCCGATGGGTGCGCCGTACGTAATTTCACCGACGACATCAAAGGCGTACCAATGCATCCAGCGCGCCAGATCCACAATGCCGTCTTTCCCAGGTTTATCTGCGAAGCGCGTGTTCAGTTGGCTGAACAAGCTCGCGATAGTGTTGTTGACGAAAGGCTCGTATTGCCTCAGAGCGCTCAAGGTGAAGGCAGGGTTGACGGCTCGCCGAAGGTTGTCATGCCAGGTCGCATCGAGCGAAGAGAACAGGGAGGGACTCGGTACGCCTTTCTGCACAGCAGCCGCCGCCCAGTAGTAGCCGGATTTGGGGAAAGGTTTGTCGACGCCATAGATGTCTCGAATTGCATCCGGGTGGCTGAAGCTCAGGTTTGTGGGTCCGAGACGGACGACGTCGCCGTATTGCTTGTGGAGCTCTATCTGCGTCGTGGCGCGATGGGCTCCGGTCACGGCATCGAGGAAACGCCAGGCATCTGTCCAGACCGTAATGGATGGGCCGGGAAACTTGCGGAGAGGGTTGGTATACCACCGCCACACGACCCATGTGAGGAACGTCGCGAGGGCGGCGTAATTGTAGGTATGAAGCATCGTGAGAACGTTCATGTGGCCTTACGGAGGCTCCGACGAGGTACGCCTTTGTACGCCTCTGTGGCAAGGTGTACGATCAAAGGTCTGTCTCCACCCACCGAAGACACCATGAGTTTCGCAGGTATCGCAGGGTGAGCAAGGTCGCGAGTTTGAGGTACACTTGTGTGGACAGAAGAGCTTGAGGGAGGCTTCACAATTGGTATGGGGCCAACAGAGTCCGGTTCAAAATACAACAATTTACCCACCTTTGTTATCCACTACGGCGGTATGATGAAGAGGCTCAGGTCGTCATCGAGCGAGCGAGTTGCTCCGACTCCGTGCGAGCAACGACTTCATGCTGTCGCGAACAATGGCCTCACGGGCGTCGTTCCACTGCTTCCACTAGCGTGACTGTCTACATTGCATACCGGCATCGTGCAATGTCAGTACTCGCACTGCAGGTAACACATAAGCCAGTGCCGCATCGATAGAGACCATGAGAGAAGAGATGCTGGAGGATGGGTGTCCACGTAAGTTGTGGGGGCCAAAACTCTAGGCCCCACGCGGTTCAATTACGGCCTGTCCTTCACATCACCTCCATCGACTTCTCCTCCTCCCGCCTCCTGCTGTACTGCCACCTGCAGCCCACTCTGGGGGGTATACCCACTCCTGCGTCATCTGCTCAGGCGCCTGGCACCTCGTTATCCTTCTGCATGGTGCACAAGCATACCGCCGACGGTAAGTCCGATTGTGACGGCACGTGTCGTATTCGAACGGTAAGTACGGCTGCGTGGCTGTTGTGCTGTGCCAGTATGGATCGTTAATGCGTAGGATTTGATCGTAGAAGCAGGTGCATTCGCGGCCCATGATCTGCCGGCTGTGACCGCAGGTGTAGGTTATGGTGTGGAGCGGCATATGTGGTGGTGGCGGTGGTGCACGACGCGCGTGTCCGGTATTGCTGGAAGCTTTTTGCCTTGGTTGATCTTGATTAGAAGCTTGATGAGCCTTTCGACTTGTTTGGCTTGGCGTAAGTGGTTCAGTAAGTTGGCCGATGGCTCTGGTTTTCTTTGGAGCGGATGTATGGAGATGTGCACAGTCATGGCTGCTGCATGTCTCGCGATGGTATGTTAGTATAAGAGAACAGCGAACTGAAGCAGAACCTAAGGATGAAGCAAGTGGTGCAGTAGAGTTCGCTTTGAGCGTGCCGCTCGCATGCTGTTTGCGCATTGTCAAACACTGCGATCCTTTCTGGCAGTGGCAAGCGGTTGGCGTATGGAGCAAGCAACATCGTCAAAGTAGCGATGCCTGTACTCCGTATGCTACGAGGTCACCGTTTGAGATTCTCAGTTGTGGCATTCGTTGTCCAGATGGTTGCAAAAGTGCGAAGCCGCTTGCATCTGAGCATTCTGATGCTCGACTACATCTGGTACTCGCGGAGAAGGACCATCCACTCACTTCTCAGAGTGTAGGCCTTGCAGATGTTGTTGGTCCTGGGATAGCTGCCCGGAGCAGTAACACCAAGTGCGCCTGTATGCCATCCAACATGCCGTGTCTCGCACAACTTTAGGATTGGTCAACCTGGAGCATTATTGGCAGCCATGCCTGCCTCCACACATAGTCAGCGCAACACATATCTCTCAATCATTGGGCGAAGGCTTACAAGCAGAGAAGTGGTGGTTTGTGGGAGGTCACCGCGAGAACTGTGGCGTCTCGACCGACGCCCAGGAAGTTCACGTACAAGCAGAGGCTAAGTACGGGATGCTGAACAGTAAGCCGCTTCGCCGTGCCACATGCTCTGTCATCACTAGAACTCGGTCGTACAATCTCTTAGTGATCGTCTGAGAGCTCCAGTTGCTCCCCAAAGCTGTGGCGACTCTGTTGCACCGTCCAATGAGGTCATTGCGGCTTAATTAGACAAACGTTGTCGAACCCGCCATCAGCGCTATACTCAGCGCTCGCCTCGCCCGCTTGCATTCTTCCCACCCGTACCCATCACATCCGTCTCCGCCGCCTCTGCCATCTCGTCATCCCCATACGTCTCCTCCATGGTCGGCACCACTACATCCCACTTCTCAGCCATAGACTCACCAGCAAGCATACCGCTAACCAGCTTCTCATCCTCCTCAATGTCGATGCCCTCGTCCATGTTCAAATTCGAAGCATCTGCATCCAACCGGAACCTGAAGGCCACCACCCCGCCGTCCTTCAATCCCACGCCCTGCGGACAGTCCGTTCCTGCATCTTTACTGAGCTTGCCTCGACCAGCACTTGCGGTAGCCTTGCCCTTGCCCTTCTTGTCCTCGAGCATTCCATCCTCACTGTGGCCTGTGTCGATTGCTTCCCAGCCTAGAGTGAGGTCGTTGATGTCCACTGGTCTTGCTAGCAAGATGTCTGATGCATGGTCTGGTATAGCATGCCCATTGAGCTTGCCGTCCGGGCTGGTCTGTTGGATGGCCTTCAGTAGCTCAGCGCGGATTGACGAGAGCTTCTGCAGTGGGTCACAGTGGAGGAAGAGGGTGGTGCGGTTGTGCTTGAAGCGGAGCACCCACGTTGAGGCGGTGGGAACGACGGCCGGCGTCATCGTGCTTTGTCTTGCCTCACATTGAAGTGCGTGCGTTTCAACGTGCAGCGAATGTAGAATGCAGAGGCTGTGTTGACCATGTACAATTGAGGAAGGGAACCGTAAGGCACCAGCATTGGAGCCTTAGGCGCATCTTCACTGACGGGGCAAACGTCTGACGTGGATGGAGGTGTCCTCGGTCTGTCCACTGTGACGCCTGCCCATCAAGCACAACACATACATGTAACGCTCACTGTATCGCATGTTGTTCGCCTCTATGGCGCGTGTTTCGCATAACGCGTGGCAAGACGTATACGTATGTAAGGCTTTGGTTGAGGGCGCAGCCACTCTTGACGCGCAAAGGAGCTGCCTGGACCTGAATATCGCTGCCTCGACACTGTTATGTAGGCGCATTGAGTCGCGTAGCCATGGGTATCGATCGCGTCTCTGTCTCATCGTACTGCTTGGCACCACACGTTTGAACACTCTGCTGTCCCTATTTTCCTCGTACTAATTCATCTCCAATCGCCTGGCATCAATCGAGGCGCCCTTTGCCAAGTCACATCATGGCCACCAAGCCTCCCTCAGGACAATTGCGACCCACCTCGGAGGCGGACGTACGGCAATCTATCCTTGATCAAGCACAAGCTGCTGCTGCCGCTCAGGATGATCCCGCACAACCAAGAAGACCGGAGGCCCTACTGCAAGAAGCCGATCTTGTCACCCCCGATGCGGTGGAGGACGACGAGGCCCCTCCTGCCTACTACGGCGGCGTCTACGGCGAGATTCACAATGAGAAGGACGGCTGGGGCACGAGTGCCCGTGTCACGGACGATGGCCGTGTCAACATCCGCATTAATCAATTTAACCGGCGTTTGTCCCAGGTGTTCACCCCGGTTCTGCGTCAACAGGCACAGCAGACCACCCAAGAGACTGGCGATCACCGCCCTTCCACGCATGGTTTGGAGGAGGCGACTGACACTTCTCCACCTCCGGCCTTGAACATCGTCATCCAGGTCGTGGGCTCGCGTGGAGACGTTCAGCCCTTTGTCGCTTTGGGAAAGGTCTTGAGGGAGACCTACGGCCATCGTGTGCGGCTGGCGACACATCCTGTGTTCAAGGACTTTGTGGAGGAGAATGGTCTGGAGTTCTTCAGTATCGGCGGCGACCCTTCCCGATTAATGGCCTTCATGGTCAACAACCCTGGCCTGATACCGAGTTTCCGCAGCTTATCAAATGGAGACGTACGTGCGCGAAGACGGGATGTCGGCGAGTATCTTCAAGGCTGCTGGCGATCATGTTACGAAGCCGGTGACGGAACGAGAATCCATGCCACCGGCGATGACATCTCCGAGGTTTCTGGTTACGACTCCGGCTCTGAATCCACAGCAAGACCCTTTGTTGCTGACTGCATCATTGCCAACCCTCCAAGCTTTGCTCACATCCATTGCGCAGAGAAGCTGGGTGCGTGTGTTCGAGGGCACGCAGTGCTTTTCTTGCTGCATGTGAGACATCGCTGACTGTTACACTACTCGTGTGTAGGTATCCCGCTCCATATCATGTTTACCATGCCATACTCTCCCACCCAGGCTTTTCCTCATCCGCTAGCGAACATTCAGTCCTCGAATGCCGACCCCCAACTCACTAACTTCATCAGCTATGCTATGATCGAACTCCTCACATGGCAAGGTCTAGGTGATGTTATTAACCGTTTTCGCAACAAATGCCTCCGTCTGGATCCCGTGAGTGTCTTTTCCGGCCCTGGGATGCTTCAGCGGCTTAGGGTTCCTCATACTTACTGCTGGTCTCCAGCCCTGATACCTAAACCGAATGATTGGGGTGCCCATGTCTCCATCTCTGGGTATTACAAGCTGGCCTCTGATGAATATACTCCAGCCCCTGAACTTCAGGCTTTCCTCAATAATGGCCCACCGCCTGTGTATATAGGGTTCGGGAGCATCGTCTTGGAAAATCCCAATGCGCTGACGGAGCTTATCTTCCAGGCTGTGCGGAAGACCGGACAACGTGTACTGCTTTCCCAGGGATGGGGCGGCCTAGGCGCAGATGAACTCTCACGAACTGCACCTGACGGCGTCTTCATGCTTGGCAACGTGCCGCATGACTGGCTTTTCAAACATGTGTCTTGCGTGGTACATCACGGGTAAGTGTTCTTGGCGCAAGCCGTTGCGCCCGCCGACGAGCCAGATAACTTCGCTGACCTCTCTACTCATTGCTCGTTCAGAGGCGCAGGAACTACAGCAGCAGGCATAACCGCCGGCCGGCCGACTGTGATCGTCCCGTTCTTCGGGGACCAGCCGTTCTGGGGCGGCGTAATTGCAAGAGCAGGCGCGGGCCCTCAGCCGATCCCACACAAACGACTCACTTCGGACAAGCTAGCCGATGCTATTACCTTCTGCTTGAGGCCCGAAAGCCTGGCACGCGCTCAAGAACTTGCAAGCAAGATCGCCGCAGAGCGAGGTAGCGAGACCGGTGCTCAGCTATTCCATCAACACCTCAACGTGGACCGACTCCGTTGCACCCTTGCACCGTCTCGGCCCGCTGTGTGGCGTATCAAGAGAACCAAGGTGAGGTTGAGCGCTTTTGCGGCTTGTACCCTGGCGAATGCGAATTTGTTGGACTTTCACGACCTGAAGCTCTTTAGAGCACGAGAATGGAGTATCGACGAAGGTCCGGTTGATCCGATATCTGGAGGCTTCACCGCGGCTCTCGGAGCATTCGGGGGTATGGCGATGGGGTTGGCGGAGGTGCCTTCGGAGACGTTCAAAGCTCTGCAGACTCCATCGACCTCTCGATCTGTTCCTGACCAGTCCCAGACATCAGTTCCAGCAGCTACCATGTCGAAGGAAACCTTGTCCATAGATGTACCGGAAGGATCGACTGCTCCGACTTCGTCTGGACGAGGTCGGCCGAGCTTGGATAGGCAAGAATCGACTGCGAGTGGATTGAGCCTTTCCGACCTCTCCGTTCTGTCTTCGCCCACCTCGAATACCCCACCAGGCTCTCAGGTCAACACGTTGCAACATGAGTTGAGTCGTAGACCCCGCGGCGTCGCCCGAGATGGCGTCCGCAGTCGAGTCGAGTCCGCCGCCGGCCTGGACCGCGACATGCTGCGCCACACAGGCGTCCATACGAGCAAAGGCGTTGGCCGTTTCGCCAAAGCGCTCGTGCAGTCACCTATGGATCTCTCGGTAAGCTTCACCAAAGGCTTCCACAACGTTCCCAAGCTCTGGGGAGACGATACCGTACGCCCTCAAGAGCGGGTCACCGGTTTGAAGTCAGGCCTTGTCGCAGTAGGACGAGAATTTGGCTTTGGCTTTTACGATGGCATAACTGGATTGGTTACACAGCCCATGAACGGTATGCAGAAGGAAGGTGTCAGCGGCTTGTTGAAAGGAGTCGGAAAGGGAATCGGAGGACTCGTTGCGAAGCCTGGCGCAGCGATGTTTGGAGTTCTAGGGCATACGATGAAAGGGATTCATAAGGAGGTGCAGAAGTCGTTTGGGAAGAGTGTGCAGAGCTACGTTGCTGCGTCCAGGGCGGCGCAGGGGTATGAGGAGTGGTTGCAAAGCGGAGAAAGGGAAAGGGAAGATGTCATTGAGAGGTGGAGGCTGATTCAAAAGTATCTGAAGAAAAGCCACAATAACGAGAAGATGATGGTGGATGCGCTGGAAGCACAGCGAAGGAGGAACCTTGCAAACGATGCGACCCGCCAGCAAGACGGACGACCTGCGAGTGCCACTCAGCCACCCAACAGTACCGATGCTGTGGCCGGAGGCTACGGAAATGCTATGCCCACCACGGACTTCTCTGGATCCTCCTTGCGCCCTGCCGCTACAGCAGCCCAGGGTTCATTGGGAGCATTCGAAGCCAACGAGCCCATCCGCTCTTCATTCCAGGGCATGTCACCTGATGGCGCAGAAGAGGCGGAGGACGCCAATGTGTTCAGAGCGATCCGGGAAAACGTGTCTCAGCTTCAACGCCAACGGCAGGCAGCGTCAGATCCTGAAGCCGCTCAAGGGACTGTGCGCGAAACGATGGCTCCCAGCCATGCGGAAAATCAGAGATCCTCAAGCGAAGCCTTGGACTCCAGTGAATGGGAGTCGCAGATCAGTCTTACAAATGAGGAAGGTGAGGACTCAGAATACGAGCACGCGGTCGAACGACCCGGCACAGCGGCGGCTACGGCCAGTGGGTCAACAGGCGTCCAGCGACCGCCCGCGTACGATTCAGGACATCTTGCGGGTACCACGCAAAGTGAGTTCGAGGCGCAACGACAGGGACAGGAAGGTGAGAAGACGGCACAGGAGAAGATGGAAGAAGATATCGTGATGGAGTATGTCAAGAAGCAAAGCCTCCTGGAAGCGTCTCATCAACACAAACGCAAAAGCCGTGCCACAACAACAGAGCCTACCGAGGATGAGGACTTGCAGAAGGCGTTGGAGTTGAGCATGCAAGGACATGGACAGGATGCGGAGGTTCATGGTGGGGAGGCTTCGAGGATGTGATTTCATGATTGATAGAAATAGACTCTCTAGATCAGCAGTAGACTCTACGAAGATCTCACACGATGCTTATTACTCCCGCCCGCGGTTGGCGTCTAGCAACCTCGCTCGCACCGCGCGGACCAGAACCGGAGGCATGAGCCTAAGGCATCAAGGTGTTGCGCGACCTTGAATCCTTCAACTCCAGCTGGCCAACTTCAAGCGCCCGTCGATCCCAAGCCAAATCTCTTCGGCGGTATCTAACTTTGACGAGCACCACGCGCCATCTAGCCTTCGTATAGGATCCGGCTGGCCTTTTGAAACGGCCTGAGACCGAGGGGTCAACGACTGAACGCCTCAACGACAACATCCGCCGTGTTCGCGAAAGCGTATAGCTGCCAAAGTCGCCTTCGAGGCGCTAGGAATGATTTAAGGTGTGCGCGCTCTGTCTCGTTGATACCTTCCAACAATACTATGATGTTTACCAACATAGCATGTATTACCCGAAAGCAATCGCTTCTGTGGAAACAAACTCTGTTTACACTCTGAAAAACTACCACCCGAACATCATACTCAAGCCCCTGCATATGCCCTTCGAAAAGCTAACAGAAGACAAGCGGTCGCGATGTCCATTCCAAGAGCGCCACAAGGCCACTTCACGCTTCTCTACTTCGCCGCTGCCACCTCATTTACCCGGAAACAGTACGACTTCTTCCCAGCACCAGTCAAGGTCGCTCAGCTCTACGACATGTTGGAGACCAAGTACTCCGGAATCAAGGCTAAAGTGCTCGACTCCAGCGCGCTGACCGTCAACCTTGACTATGTTGACGTTGGCGAGGAGGCCGGGAAGGGTGAGGCTGGAATGCTTATCCATGACGGTGACGAGGTGGCCATCATTCCGCCCGTGAGCTCTGGATGAGCACCAATTTACACGCCATCGCTTGATCAGAGTGCTCTTCCATTCAGTATTCTGGACTTAAGGCGAGCGATGGAGCGTTGCACGCCGACAACTGTTCGGCGCAAGGCCCGGTGGCATCGAAACAAACAGCGGCTCTTGCTTTACTGCACATCTGCGCTCCTCAGCCCTACTGCAACAATTCGTTCCGTCCAATTATCAGAGCAGCCATACATACTGCGACTGTTCTAATTCGAGCTTCGTCTGCGAGATGACGTCACACATTGGCCGGTATCGCTCCAACAGCCATCGGATGCGAGCTGGCAATACGACCGGCAACAAAGCAGCGCCAAGTCGTATCACCGCACTGTGAGGTACACTTACGCTCGAACTCGTAGCCTTGAGAATCGGCTTGCCAAACTTCTTCGGTGAAGACCTGGTCAGCTTCCAACCCGAAGAACCTTCAGTTACCATGGCATCTTCGCTACCCAAAGGCCAGACGATCGTATACAAGACCATCAATGAATTGACTGTCCCGCTAGAAATTTATCTGCCCGATAATGCCAAGAATGTCCCGTGCCTCCTCTGGTTTCACGGTGGCGGCCTGCTCCAAGGCATCCGCACATCGGTATCCCCTCACATGCTCCGGGCGGTCAACAAATACAACATCGCCGTCATCTCCGCTGATTATCGCCTAGCACCTCAAGTCGGAATCGCCGAGATCTACGAGGACGTCCGTGACTGCGTCCACTTCATCCGCAACAACTTGGCTAAACAAATCGGAGACGGAGTCGTCAACCCAGATCGTCTCGCAGTCAGCGGAAGTTCGGCAGGTGGCTATCTCGCTCTACTGGCAGGCTTGTACCTGGAACCCAAGCCACAGGTACTTCTGCCTATCTACCCTATCACGGATCCTTTAGGCCTGTTCTTTACCGTTCCTCAGCCACCGGCCATGGGTGGAAAGGGGCCGGACATGGAACAGCTGAAGCCATATATCGATCCTAACGGCCCGGTTGTAGCAAATAATCCCCCGGACAGTGCCAGGTCTCAAGCTTATCAGCATATGCTCATGTCCGCAAACTTGGCAAAGTTGTTACGCTTTCCATCTGGCAAGGAGGGCGACAAATGGAGGGTCGCGAAGAACATCCAAGCGCACGGCTTGCCGCCGACATACGTTGTGCATGGTGACTCGGATTCGGCTGTTGGTACTGAGCAGGCAGACGAGGTCGTCGGTGTGATGGTCGGGACCGGAGCGGAAGTAAAGTACGAGAGGTTACACGGTATTGAGCATCTATTTGACAAGGAGGAGAGCGTGGAGCTTGAGGATATGTACGCTTTCATGTTGGCTCACTTGAAGTGATAGTACGTCAATTTCATGCACGTCACCTACCACACCCTTCATCGACTGAGGCGCCGGCGACAACACTGTACTTAGGAATTAAGGTGTTATCGTTCACAATGTGAAGAAAATAGACTCAAGTCTGTGCGGTAGTGAGCGGAGCATCGTACTGCACAGGTCGAAGAGCATCTCGGCCACGTTTCGGCTAAATGAATAGTTTCTGATACTCTCACTCATCCCTCGCCTGATGCTTCTCATATTTCTAGACACACCAAGGCTGCACCTATCCAGACCAATCGTCAGGCACTCTTAGAATGCACTCATCGCTAGGCACTTTACCTTACCGCTCTCTTCTGGGCAACGTGCTAATATAGTTCATGGCTGCGGCCTAGTATCCTACAACACTGTATCTCGTCTCCACTCCGCCTGTAGCAATCACCGGCTTATAAGCCCATGCTCATCAGTTCTCCGGCCTCTCGACCACCCTCACAGGCCTCAACTTGGTTACCCTCCGGAAGACATCCACCTCTTCAATCTCCGCCTCCCACACATCCCCCAACTTCATCTCCAACCCCCTCTCCCTCCTCAATACTCCATGCACATTCAACTCCACGATCACACAGCTCACATATTGAAACCAGCTTGCATCATTCGCGGCGCTCAGCCACACGTGTATCTTCTCAAAGGGCAATCTTACCTCGCCGAAGTGATGCGCACGGAACAGTAATTGGCAGAGCCAAAAGGCTTCGGCGTAGTGTTTCGCTTTGGATATGATGGACTCGCGAGGTTGGAGGCCGACCAGGATGGTGCTGAGGACGTTGTTGGAGAAGGGGAGGAAGCCGCGGGACTCGGGGTCGACTGGGGTGGGGGAGGGTGTGATGAGAGACCGTCCTAGCCGCGCTTCTTCGCGAAGAGCCGCTTCGATCTGCCAGTGCGCAATCATGTCTCCGTATCTGCGTAGCGGACTGGTGACTTTGCCGTAATGGTTCATGCCGAGAATGCGATGCTTGAAAGGCGTCGTACTCAGCACTGTCGACCCGAACGTCTCAAGATACTTGACACCCAAGTGCATTGGATACTCTCCTCCGTGCTTTGCCGCCGCAGGAGCGAGCACAGAGCGGAAGAACACGTCACTGTCCATCTTGCCAGGCCGTTTCACGCTACCGCGGAAGATACCAGGGATCTGCCGCTCCGCACACCATTGCGCCGAGACTTCGCAGGCGAGCAGCATCATCTCCCGCACAAGCGTATCGATCGCGTTATTGGCGGGCGCGAACCAGTTGGTCAACCCTCTTGTACGCATCTGGATAACCGGATCGCCTTCCACCCTTCGCCAACCCTTCCGGAAGGGGTGGTCCCAAGCCAGACCGGGTTGTGCGCTCTGCCACACGTTGATCTCGGGCCCGTGCAAGTCGAAGAAAAGTCCCCCGGCCTTCTTGCGTATCTCCTGCCGTTTTTCCGCCAACCTCAACAACGTCTCCAGCTCCTTTACCTGCTTCGCCTTGACCTCACCCACCTGGCTTCTCCGCGGTCGTTCAGGCGGCGGCTCACCCCCCACGGTCAATAAAACATCTTCCCCAGTCTTGCCTCGCTTCCCTTCAACATCCAGTAACTCCGCTACCTCGTCCGGCGTCAGTCGCATGACGTTCCGAATCACTCCGGACCGAATATCTCGCTCCAGCGTCCGCCCGTCTGCGTCCATCCTCGCGGAGAAAGTAAGACAAGGCCTATTTTTGGCCAGAGAGAAGTGCCCCTGTGTCGTCCACCGCGGCAACATCATGTATGCGCGCTCGGGCATATAAATACTCTCGCCCATATGCCTCGCCATCTTCGCCAACGGGTGGTCTCTCGCAAAGAAGGCCGTCGGGTTGGCAATGTGAATGCGAACCCACCACTCAGTAACCTCTCCACCAAAGCCTCTATTAGAGAGAGCGGCAGGCTCAATACTGATTCCATCATCGATTTCGTGCGCACTCGCCGCATCAATACAGTATACCGGCAAATCTCCCCAGTCGTGTCTCAACCCTTCCATCGCATCCCTGAACTCCACCTTCTTCTTACTCATATCCATCAGACTCTGCATCAGATTCTGCAGCGGCTTGCTATGCTGACTGGATGGCAGCAACAAGTGCGGGTCAAATCTCACGCGGTTCTCATACGGCAAGATCGTGCCGATTTCTTGCAAAAAGGTAGTTCCCGTGCTGTGGTTGAGGGCATAATCCGGATACAGTCCCAATGCCTGCAGTAGCAGCGGCGGAAGCGCTTCCAGCCGTGGCAGACCGAGGAACATATTACTCATGCACCACGCCTCCACGAACCGTACCAACTCTGTCTCCGCTTCCGTGAAGACTTGCTCGCTCCTCACTTTCACACAATCCTGCTCCGGCGTAATGGGCAAGCGAATTTGACTCGGTCCCACATTTCCGTATGGCGTAGGCTGCCTATCCTTCCTACTCTCCTGCACAATATCCCTCGCTTTTGCAAGGAAGGAATAGACGTAACTGGCGCCCCGTCTAGTTCTGTGAGCACGCTTCTGACGCTCGGTCATGGTGGACGTGGTGGCGAGGTCGTCTTGCCATTCATGCAACCAACTCCTCACGCTCTCCACCATGCGGAACTGCTCCTTCGATCGGATTTGCAAATAGCCAGTGATACGGTGGGAGCGGCGATCGATATTGAACGCGAAACCTGCACGACTAAGGGCTTGGCGGACGGCGAAGAGGGCCGTAACGGGCAGCTGGTCCGCTGACGTGCGAAGAAGTGTTGTCGCGGCTGAGACTAGACTGCCGTAACGCAGGTCGGTTTCGTGAGCTAAGATGTTGTGGGCATTGTCAAGCGTACTCGCGTGCTTGCGGTAGATTTCTTTGGCTTCTGTATCGAACTGCACCATCTTGCTTACCAGCGGCGCGGAGACGTGTCTCGGCACACTCATGTCCTTCATGCCCGCCTCCTCGATCAGAGCTTCTATATCCGCCTGAACCTCTTCCGGTTTAGGAAGATAGGGTATAATTGGCTTCACCATATCTTCAGATACCCATCCAGGAATGCTGTACTGCACCTGCTTCTCCAGCATATGTATCCACTTGCCATGCATGGTTATGAACTGGGCTACTTGCCCGATTAAGCGGACGTAAACAGCCAATGTCCCCGGACTGTCCGAATGCACCCGCTCAAGCTCAACGAGGTCTCCCATCCGCAAGAACTTGACGTGGGTCTCGGGCGCACCTTGCTCATCGGGCGGTGTGGATTGCATGAAGTGCGCCATGGCCTCGCGCTCGTCTTCTTCCTGCTCCGCCTGACTCCGTCTGAGCGCCTTCGCCGGATCCGGAAGGCGGGTGAGATTGTTAGCTGTTTCGCCCGTATCTGGATCGTCTGGAAGATCGGCTTGATCCTGCAGGAGTAATTCGTGGCCATGTTCTTCTTGCCAGCGGTGGAGTTGCGCACGGATTCCGCGGGGGCTCTCACGCTTTTTAGGTGAGAGAGAAGTTTGTTGTTGCGAGCGCTTGCCGTTGAAAGTTGTTAGTAATGGTGATGGTGGCTCGCTGGAACCAGCCAGTGCAGCCTGTTGTTGCAATTGACAAGCACGAGTATGGTACGTACGCCTTCGCGTGGCTCGATTGAAGTCTTCTTGTTTGTGAATGTACTTGCTGATCAATGGGCGGCTACTCGCTTTCTGCTCCCATATAGAAACTTGGTGGCGGCTTTCGGAGGCACTCGATGTGTTGTCAGTTAGATTGGCGAAGGTCCCTGGGGGCAGTAGTGTTTCCGCGTGTCTTTCGCGCACATTCATCCGACGGCGTACATCACTCGCAAAGGCGGAAAGGGCAGCGTGATGTCGTCCATCTACCGCCGTCACCGATATATCTGACTCTGCCAACCTCGTCGCCGCATCAGCGGCAGCAGCAGAGACAGACCTAGCAATCACACCATTGAACCCCTCCTCCACCTCGTCGGTAGACATCAGCTTCACCCTGTCCCACTCATTGCTGGGCTTACCACCGCCGTCGGTGACCTTCACCGTCACACCCTCATTTGTCGACGCCTCGACGCCCAGCTCGTCGCTGCCGACATACAAAACCCGCTGATGTGGGTTATTGAGCGTGTTGGCCGTAGGCAACGTTTCCGCGTCGGATTCAAGGCCTAGAGGGTCCCTGACCCTTTGCTTGCGTATGTTGATAACCGGACGATGACTCTTGATTTTCCTCGCGACGGGCAGGATACCGGTCTGAACCTCTGGAACAGCGTCGCCAGCCTGTCGACTTGCACTTGTCTGTGAGCGTGCAGAGTCCAAATGCACGTGCTCGGAAGAATGTGTTCTGACGGTCGCATCCAACGCAGTATGCGCTCTATCCCACCGGTACCGGATCCGCGGCCGGCCAACGCCGTCGCCCACCCCCCTTCCCGCATCAGAGCCATTCTCCCTGCCGCCAGACTCCGCTGCAGAAATCACGTGCCCGTCAAAGTCCACGCTGCCGTCGCTATGCCCCCATACCTTCTCTCCCTCCACTCCGGACCGGTCTTTCTGTCCCGCTCTGACTTCTTCTAGTTCATTCCAGCTGCTCTGATCCGTAAATATGTGTGGGCCGATGGTATGCTCGGTGTCGAAGGCGGTGGGTCCGTGGCGGTGGCGGCGTTGGGTGCGCAGACGGCAGTGAAGGCATACGTACGAAGGGGAAGCGGTAGTGTGGCGGACGAAACGGGCGGGAAGCATTGCAGTATGCGGTACACCTCGAAGCATGAGCTCATGTCAGAAGACGTTGCTATTGTACTGTACATGTAGGCGAATAGAAGTGCTTGAGACGTTTTGATGGAGGTTCTGATGGAAGCTCAATGAATATTGATGCGCATGCATTGGACACGGTAGTGACACCTCCGAAGTTCGCCGCACCTCCATCGCTAAAACCAATGCAGTGCTGCTGGCACGCCCATGACCTCCAGGCCGCGTAGGAAGCCAGAATGGGCACAGTGGAGATGCCACAACCCTCCACACCCCCTTCCTCTGCCACTGACACCCCAACTTTGGACGAACGTTATGGCTTAACACCACTCACCCCCGAACAGTACGCCGCCTACAAATCCTCCTCCCGCCTCTCCATCCCCTTCCCTCTTCGCCTCCCCGCCACAACGGCCCTCGCATTCACCACCGGCTTCTTCCTCGGCATCTCTCAGGGCAGTCTGACCTCCGGCCTCCGCTTCCGCGCGGAGAATGCGCACCGTTTTCCTACCAATCAGGCGGGATGGTACCTATACCACAAGAGTAAGAACTACAACATGGCGCTGGGAGGTATTGTGGAAGGGTGCAAAATGGGAGGGAAGACGGGGCTCTGGGTGGGGGTCTTTGTGGGCATGGAGGAGTGTGTTGATTGGGGACGCAATGCGGTTAGAGGCTTGGTGGTCGGTAAGGATGGAGGGATGAGCAGGGATGTCTTGAGTACGATCCTGGCAGGCGTGGGGACGGCGGGAATGTTCAGTGCCTGGCATCGATTCCCGGTGGCTACGACTGTAAGGACGGCGAAGATGGGCGCAAAGTACGGGTTGGCGTTGGGTGTGGTGGAAGACGCGGTCAGTTTTGCAAGGGGGAGGAAGCTGGGGTATGTGGAGTTCCTGAGGAGGCATGTTTTTGGTGGGGAGGACAAGGAGGGCGAGGCAGACGCTGCGGTGGGGTGACGACAATCCACTTGCAGTATAGAGGTTGTTTCAAAGCATCGTTCACCGCTTGTCGCCACCGGTCCTTGGGCGACAGAGAGCTGTGCCGATGGAGTCTCGGCAAGCCCATTTTCCGCGACAACGTGGTTGGCACGTCTTGACCACGCAGATAATGATCGGATCACCTACACCGACAGAGCAGAGCCTCCAGCTTGGCTTCACCGACCCTTGCCGAACTGGGGCCCGGCCATTGTTGAGCGTGAGTTTACGTCAACCCAGCATCTGCTGCATTGCTTGAAAGCTGCCAACTTGGGCTCGCAAGCCAATCTCAACGCTTGCTTTCCAGGCCTGGACTTCTATCGAAAGCCGGACGTAGTTCCTACTGAGGAGCATCTAGACCTCCAGGGCATGTTGCGGACACAGGGCACGCTGATCCAGCGCCTTCGACTCCGCTACTCTGACTACAAAGACTCCCCACATATCACCGCGGGACCATGAACGGACTTACTCCAGGCTGTGGTGCAAACAGGCGGCGTGTGGAACCAACACACTTGCGATGTCCTTCAGGATCCAGCAGAGATCGCAGAGGCTGTCGCAGCCCGTGCGCCTGGGCTGAAGATTGAGGATCTGCAAGTCGACTCAACAATGCAGTTCGAGTGCGCCGTATTTAGTGTGGTAGTAGGCGTGGAAACGGTCTTGGCGGTGGGAGAGGGTGACGAGATCACAGTAGGGATGGATGAGATTATGGGCCCGCTAGGCGTTATTGACTCCGTGACCGGTAAATTGACGCTTATACGCAAGGTGTACTTCGAAGATATAGAGTACGGTGCAGCCTGGGCTGAATGCGTTGATCGAATACGCAAAACTGCATATGCCAGGGTCGAGGACCTGATGGATGCAAATGGGGTCTCATGTGCAACGAACCCTTTTCCAGCGATGGTTGAGACGTGGGCGGCATGCACGTCAGAAGGAGACGAAGGGAAAAATGCATAAAGGCCACTGGAAGCTTTGCCGGTACTTCTATTGCTTGTGCTATGATGGCTATCAGGGGTTCCTTACTGCTTATTCCTCAACCATTGCTCGAGGTTTCGGTGCTACAGCGAGTCTGTGTCCATTAGGGGGATTGACATTGCCACTGAATATGGAGTAGCCGAATCTTCATACCTGAGACCATACGGTGAGCTGCGCAAGGTTGGAGTCCATCAATGGACACCTCGGCTTCCTAAAGCGGGGCGAAGTCACTCCAGAGTCAACATCGATTCGGACCTGTCCAACACGCAAGCATCCATCTTTCCTCCATAGCATACCGTGATTCTCTGACTGGTCTTAGAAGTGGAGAGTGTTGGAATAAGCGTTTGTTCAGTTCACACGCAAGATCGGGAAGTTGTAGCATCGACCACTGTGTTACTTCGGCGCAACTGTCCCGTATTAACAGGGGTGGCCCATCATGGCACCTAGACAAAGGACAGACGCGTACGTGCTCGGCGTTGGACTTACGCCGTTCATCAAGCCCAGGCGGATGCGAGAGTACCCAGAGCTCGGGTTCGAAGCTGGTGTTAAGGCCATGCTTGACGCTCAGATCAACTACGACGACGTCGAGATGGGCGTTGCTTGCTATTGTTACGGCGACACTACGGCAGGGCAGAGGATATTCTACCAATTTGGCATGAACGTATGTGATCGAGAACGTTAACGTCCAACTCATCGAGCAAGTTGCTGATGTGCATGCTCAGGGCATTCCGTGAGTTACGATACCATGACCATAAGTCGACGTTGGGCGATGTCGCTGATCGTCAGCTTCCAGCATCTACAACACCAACAACGCCTGTGCAACGGGCAGTACAGGCTTGCATATGGCGAGAACGCTCGTCCGCAACGGAGCTGCAGACTGCGTGCTTGTCATCGGCTTCGAGCAAATGAGTGCAGGGAGCATCAAATCCATCTGGAGCGATAGACCGAGCCCGATGGGCTTGAGCACTAAGATGATGGAGGTCCGCAAGGCTCCATCGGCGCTGTCACTTTCCATCTCCTGCTGACAGGCGCCCTTCTAGGACACAAGAGGAAAGTTCGACAGCCCACGGAATGCACAGTACTTCGCGAATGCAGGCCGGGAATACATGGAGAAGTGAGCTCGTTCCCGTCACTGTTTCGTCTCATTGCTGATGGACGTCAGGTATGGCGCCCGTGCAGAAGACTTCGCCGAGATCGCCCGCATCAGCCATGAACACTCCCAACGCAACCCATACGCACAGTTCCGCCAGAACTACAGTCTTCAGGACATCATTAAATCACCCATGATCCACGCACCCCTGACGAAGCTACAATGTTCACCCACGTCTGACGGCGCAGGAGCGGCAGTCATCGTGTCCCAAAGCTTCCTTGACTCGCGACCGCACCTACGCAGCCAGGCTGTCCTCATAGCGGGCCAAGCGCTTATGACTGACACTCCGGCTTTGTTCTCCAAGAGCGCTATGGACCTCGTCGGCTTTGACATGACCAAGCGAGCTGTGCAGACCGCCTACAAAGAAGCCGGCGTCAGCCCGAAGGATGTCGGAGTTTGCGAGCTACATGATTGCTTTTCCGCCAACGAACTCATCCTGCTTGAAGGCCTTGGTTTCTGTGAGCAGGGCAAGGCCCATGAGATGGTGCGCCGAGGCGATATCACGTACGGTGGCAAAGGTCCCATCATTAACCCAAGCGGCGGCTTGATCTCGAAGGGTCACCCACTTGGTGCCACTGGGCTGGCGCAGTGTGCTGAGCTTTGCTGGCAGTTACGCGGATGGTCAGTCAATCTACGCTACAGAACTCCTTCTCATCACGCTGATCACGCGACACAGGGCGAACAACCGTCTAGTTGATGCCAAAGTGGCCCTGCAACATAACCTAGGTCTCGGAGGTGCCGTCGTGGTCAATGTGTATAAGCGTGCCGATGGTCAAAGCAACCGCAAGTTGTCCGATGAAGAGATCATCAAAGCCTCACAGTTCGACTACAACCCTGCGACTGAGGCCAGGCATCCCATCGTCCAGGACGCGGACAAGGTGCGGAGTCGGACAAACAGGAATGATTACGCGCTTGGTGATACTCAGGAGAAGATCCAGGCTAGGCTATAGCTTTATCGCTACCATGAGTCCTTCCACGTGTCAGAGAATTATTGTAACGAGGCTGGCGTGAGGCCGTGAAAACTTGACAGCAGCCATATACTGCTACAGTACGTCTGACCTCGAGGTAGTTGCGAAGCGTCAGCGCGGATGTATCGACATCCAGCTCTTGCACCGTCTGTCGACATCCAGATACCCATCGACCCTATCGTCGTTTAAGGTGACTAATATGTGGGCTTTTTGCCTCTACTCAATAGCCTGCCTAACAGGAGTTAGCTCTTTGTGCGAAGACAGTAGGCAATGGGCAAACAGAAGACATGCACATAACAAGGAGTCTATCTGCTTCTGTTAAGCATCCATAAGTTCCAATATGCCTTAGTTCATTTCACCTTCACTCGTTCAGAAGAGCCATATAGTAACATATTATGGCTGCCACCAACCTCATGGAACTACACCCAACGTCAGTGCATCAGCTCCGCTCAACGTAAAAGCGCCCACTGGCGCCACGGCTTCCCTTATCGTCCTCGTGATTGGCAATGCCGGCGTCGGTGATCGTGCGCTCTGCGGAGAACTCGCAGTGGACACTGGCGGTACCGCCTTAGCTGGCAATATATCTTCCACTTCTGGTATTTAGTAAGATCAGTCGTCACTGCCAAAATGACACTGGGACACTCGACGGTGAGATAAGCCACTGGACTCCATTGCGAAGAGCTAGAAAAATTATGTCTTCGTAAACAGATGACGACCCTGCTAGCACACGCAATTATGTCACTCCACCAATCTCGACGCGCTCATAGTTTCCTGTACGCAGGTTTCCCGGCACGGCAGATCAGGCTGAAGCATCCGAGCGCAAGGTAAGATGTTTATGAATCTTCTTTCTGCCCAACCATTAGCTCTGCCGAAGCAGACTGTGGTACAAATGGACCACATGTGCAGCCAGTGGATCTTGGGCAATGTTGCGACCCTGCAGAAGGTGTTCAGCAGAGTCCTAATGGCATAGGAGCGTTGCCGCCGACCGCAAGTTCCAATGCAGCTAATCAGCACAAGGAAGTTAAGATGGAGGACAATGATACTGCTGACTCGACCATTGAGCAGGTAAGGCTTGTCGACCACCCCAGTTTCGACCAGCTCCCGGGACGCGTGGCTTTTGTGGAGGGTGAGTTACAGACCGCGAGGTTGATCTGATACGAGGTCAGAAACGCCATGTGGGTAGTCTTGGTGAAGTGTCCGGGTGGGCTTCTTGGATACTGAACGCCACTCGCTTGACGCTTGTATCACAATCTGCAGCTACAAGAGTCTGCACCCGCCAACGTTGCATTCGTTGCTCTACACACCATACAAGACTTTTCTAGCATATTTTACATACCTGCATCAAGCCATCCAACATAGCGCATTTCAAGCATGGCAGTTGGCCAATGACCCACATCCCCAGCCATCGCACGTGACAAGAGTTCGTTCAATATCCACCGCACACACTCCATCGTATCTCCACCACCACATCACCACTGTCCAACCCCCATTCCACCGCCACCATCACCCCCATTGAACCCAAACGGCGCCATCCCATCACCTAGGAACCAGCCATCCAAACTATTCCCCTGCAGCCCATCAACTCCTCCCAACGCAATATCCATGGCTTGCTCGAAGCCGGAACCCCATCCATAATCCTGGTTCATCGGATCGATGAGGCCACCCATACCACCCAGGCCTCCCATGCCACCGCCTGGAGGTTGCATGCCGCTACCACCCATCTGGTCAGCCCTGCCCACCTGAAGTTGTTGCTGGTACATGTCGGCATTCTGCTGTTGCTGCTGCTGCTGTTGCTGCTGCCACTTCGGGAATTTGGTATCCGGATGTTGCGGATGTGGAGTCCGGCCGTAGTCGAATGCGCCCGGATGGTTGAAAGACCAGTCTTTCGAATCACCGCCCGCTTCATCCGGTCGGCCATGTTGTTGCTGCTGTGCTTGCTGCTGCTGCTGCTGCTGCGTGCCTGTAGTAGCAACCTGACTTAGCATCTGCAATGGCGTCTGTTGATAAGCACTACCACTTCCACCATCAATCTTCGCCCTTGCCTTGCCCGGATGACCGTTAGCCCCGCCTTCCGTATTCTTCTTATGCTGATCGAACCACTCTTTTAGGAGTCCGAGAATCCTCAACACCTTCGGATGACCTTTGCCCATCCCACTCGGCGCCCTGATTCCTCCATCGTCATCTCCGGTCTCTCCCTGCCCACTGAACTCCATGCCGGGGCGCGACGCAGACCCAAAAGTCGCCAGCAACTGGTCGATATAGTACTCAACCTTCAGATCCCCCGGCTTCATCATCTTCCCCATCTCGCTACCTGGCGTGCAGACTGCCACGTGCATCTTGATGAGGATGACGAGGGCGTAAACGCAGCGCACGAAAAATAGAAAGACGGGCAGAGACTTGATCTTCGTGGTGGAGTAGGAAAGCATCGTCTCCAGAATGCCATGAGCGGATTGCAGGCAGGCTTCGAGCGCAGCGACTTGATTAGAGGTTAGCGGCGTGTCAGAGACGCTGTTCACGGACTTCAAGCTCTCTTCTGTAAATGGAATCCGAAAGTCTTCGACATTGTGATTCAGGTGCAGCGCAATCTCGTGCAAGTAAAGGGAAGTCACGTGCTCGAAGAAGCGCAACCCCGGGTCATCGCGGTACTCCGGTGGGATATTCTCTTTCCACGTTTTCAGATCATTCTCCAGCACTTTCAAAGCATAAGTGACTTTCGGGTCCGTGAGAGATATGTTGGCCGTGTAGTCATCCATCAAGAACTGCAGGCCGATTTCTTCGCAGATGTGCTGGATTTTGACGTGTTGGCAGAAGAGACGGTCGCTCGGCAACGCATCTGGGTGCGATTCCAGCACATCGAGGCTCTCCCTCATATAGTTTGTCCAGCGCACCAAGTTCGGCCGACGAAGGACCATAGAAGCGCTGGCACAGAGGTAATAGCATGTTAGCCACGCTCGGCGAGCCTCCAAAGTGTCGCTGTCCTGCGGCTCGCGCTTGCCAGGCCCAGGCGCGAAATGCGCGTTCGGACCGCCGAAGCCACGGCGTGCTTTGGCGGGCTTGTAGCGCTTGCCCAGACCAATGTCAAGAGCCATGACGGCGGCCATGTGGATGATCTGGTAGAAGTTGGTTTGTTCGGCACGCTCTGGTGGCTTATAGTACAATGCCACGACTTGCATGCCTTGAATGAGCTCCAGGCTTTTGGCGCCATTGCGCACGACACAGTCTGCGATGGCGCCTACAGCCTCTCGCACCAACTGGCGTGTAGTCTCCGGGTTGAGCGTGCCGAAAGCGGCAGCGGACAGAATGCAGACGTACAGAATGGGCTTGTCCTTGAATACTTGGTCCGCAGTCATGGTTGGCGGGAAGACGACGGCAGGCAAGTGCGGTGCTAGCTCTTCTGTGTATCGCTTGAAGAGCACCGCGGCTTGCTCGGGCGAGATTAAAGCGTTAATCCGGTCAGTAAACTCTTCAGGTGTGGTGTGGTAGAGAAACTGCTTCGCGTTCGTAGTCGGCGCCCAAGCACTAACGATATCAACGAAGCGTCGACCCATCGCATCGTCCGGGTTTACTGAAGTGCGACCTGAGGTTGTTGGCTGGCCATTGTATAATCCATCTGGCTCCTGCGTGGGATAACCAGCATCCTCCAACCGCTGCCGCTTCCTCGACGGCATATCCGGCCCAGCAGCGAGTCCGTACTGCGGCGTCGGTTGCGCCAAGCTCCCGTGAGCTTGCATCATCTCTGCCGTTGGCGTGTTGTACGACGGCGCATGATGCTGCTGCTGCTGCAGCGCTGCACTCAGCGCATCAATCTTCTTCTCCAGCTCTGCCACGCGGCTGTCCGCTTTCTTCTGCCTCTTCCGGCTCGGTTGCGTAATGACGCATGGTCGGCCTGCCTTGGCACAGCGCTTACAGGGAATCTCAGGATGTGCAGGATCCTGATCGCAGCGTACCTTCAATCCGCGGCATGATTCGCAAGCACGTGGACGCTTGGGGTCGTCCGCGTTGGGGTCATTGGGGTCCGCAGCAGCGTTACTTGGGCTGGCACTGTTGCAGCCGTCGCCCACCTGGTAAGCGCCATGCTGCTGTTGCTGCTCAGGACTGGCTTGATTGCTGGCAGTGCCGATGCTCAGCGCTCGAGGCTGCTGTGGCGTGCCGGTATTCGGTGTTGGGAATTGGTAGTATGGCTGCGGGCTGTTCGTGTATTGCGGCGCGTCTGAACGTAGACTGTCCGCTCGGCTGGCGGTGGGGATGGAGTAAGGAGGTTGCGGATGTGGCGTCGGTGCTCCTCCCTTTTGCGGATGTTGCTGGCGGTATGGTGTCGGTGGTGGTGGTGCTGGCCCTCCAAACGAGCCCGTACTGAGTCGTGGGTCGATCTGCGACATGGCGATGCTACCCAGCGGTCGGTGATGTCGGTCTGGTCGGGTAGTCGGTCGCTGTATGTGCCGTCGCGCGGTGGCGGCGTTGAAGACTCCGATAGCAGATTTCACCTCAGGCTTGAGTCGCAACGTGACTTCACGCGGGTGCACTCATTGACGTTCGTCACTCACTGCGAGGACACCACACACAAAGGGCCAGAGACCATATTTCATCTTTCGCGAGTTTGGAAGGAACGGGTGTGCCCTGTTAAGACTGCGCCCGCGATCCCACACGCGGCTTAGTCGAGCAGCCCCGCCACACAAACATCGGCAATCCCTTTTCCACAAGCGAGCTGGCCTGTCATCCACCTCCCCTTCTTAGCACATCTGCCTTACTTGGGACACGTCGCCTCCGGTCTACTGCTTAAGACATGACTGCGCTATGACTACGGACGCCATTCTCGGCACGTTGAAGAGCAACGAAGCGATCCTGCCTACCTCGCTCGTCGACATCAACATACTAGATGATGTAGGGAGTGTTCGTGCTTGGTGCGTCTGTTCGCCTGCGTTGCAACTATTTCGTCTCCACGCAACCAGCGAGCCTTGAACCCTCCGTTGCAAGGCGAGTTCGTGAACTAGACGATGTCACAACGTGGACGAGCCTTCGCCGGCGGCTCATTATTTTCCGAGGCCGAGTGCTCCACAGATATATCATATGTTGCCGACTCTTGCTTTCGATGGGTGGTTCGCGAAAAGCTGGCATTTTGACAATAAGGGGCGTGGTTCAGGCGGCTCACTGAAATGCCCACTGACTCTACAATGGTTTCTGTCTGGGATATTTTATCTTTTGGTTACGATGCCATGGTAGCAGCTTTTGTTTTAGGCTACACTGATACAGTAACATAGGTGCAGGGTGTCGCCGCCCATTCTACTAGGTCTCGTCAATCAATCGAGAGCTATTCGGCGACCTCGCCATTCCTAATCCATCTCTCGGCTTTCCTCCACACCAGAACGCAAGAGCTCTTTGATTCAAAGCACTGATTACATAATTAAGACACACTTGACAAGTCAGCGCATTGCCACAGAAGACTGCTCCACGGAAGCGGCTCAATCTACTACAGGCCACCTTGGGGTCAGAGTTCTTCGCATGACGCCAAAGGGCAACGCAGCGGACGGCTGCAGGCGAAGAACCTTCATGTGTGCATCTTTGCGCCGAACAAATCTTGAATCAATACAACACGCAAGCCTAAGCTCTTCGGGCGAGCATGAGATTCTTCACGAGCTTCCTCACCTGTACTATACTCGCAGCGGCCATCGCCACCGCAGCCCCAGCCCCCGACGATTGCGCCATTGTCTTCAAACGAGACGACTCCTGCAGCAACGGGCATCAAAGTCTCTTGCAGCGCAAGCGCAGTATGACTTGCTCAGACTCGATAGGTATTGCGTGCTTTGGCAGCTGTTGCGCAACGTATCGGGGTCTGTTCATCTTTAGGATCGCCCTGCTATCGGTATGCTGACCCAACAATGTACAGAACCAGAAGACACGGACTGTAAGTCCGCTGTGCCGATGGTGAATCCTTGCGCGGATGGTGCTAGCTCGTCGACGGCGACCACAGGTGCGATAGCGGTGACGACAGTCACGAAGAGGGCCAGTTGTAGAGGTTCTCGCAGAGTGTTCAGGCTCTGTTGAGCTTAAGCACACAGAGGCTCGACTCGTCTTGTTGGCCCGATCAAGTAAGTGAGCTTGCAGGGAGGCGACTATTCAGCTACGTCTCGAAACGCAAGCGTTAGTAGGTATACTGGCGACTACGTGTTCTACAGGTCGGGCATTGTCTTCCATACAAGCAGTTGAGCCTCGAGTCAGAAATGGCTTCTGCTCTTGTCCTTGTCCTTCTCATTCGCGCTCTCGGCTTGAATAATTCTATGAAGGCGGAGTTTGCGAGCAAAGTGTACGAGACGAACGCGTTGATTTGGTCAAACGACGTGCCGGAACACGATGCAACCGCGAAGCATATATCATAGCGACAGACTACATACAAGGCGACACCGTGACGACCAGCAAATGTGCGCCTTCACCTTTCCTTCAAAGTAGGTTGAACTGGTCCGCAATAGTCTTAGGTTCGATGTGACGAGCCGCCGCTTGACTCTGTGGGAAGCGTTGTAGAAGCGGAGGATTTCCGCGTCGGGGAAAAGTGGGCTTTAAGCTTCGCGACATCAACAGAGCGTAAACAAACGGGACGGGCCTATACGACAAGGTCACGCTGCGCTCACCACCGCTTCCGTTTCTTCTGTACAGATACCGGATCGTGTCATGGAGTCATCAGAGATGCTAGATTGATGCCCGGAGGTTTCCCGTCGCAGGAATGAGCAGGAAGTGAACTGGACGTGGACGCGCCTTCTCGCTGCTACCCTGTACCTACCAGCTCTGCGTCTAACGGCGCGATCTGCGCCTACCGTCTGTACAGAATGCCTACCTACCCGACTGGATACAGGTCGCCGACCTCACCACCGCACAATCGCTACCGAGATACCAGCCCAAGCAAGCCATCGCCGCTGCGACATACGCTCTCTACCATCTCCAATGACAGCGACGCGGAGAACACCGCGATACTCAGTCGACACCCTACCGTCAATAGCAACTCGAGCTCCAACTACAGCCAAAGTAGCTATACGGGCTATGACGCGACAAGCGACCCTTTCGTGAGCCGTGCGAGCGCAAAGCGGGAGCGTAGTGCGAGCCCGGTGAAGCAAAGCGCAGCGTTTGCCAAGTGGGAACAGCGTGAGCAGCAACAACAGACTCAATCGCCGTCAAAGGTCGCTCGCAAGATGGATGTCGGCCCAAAGAAGGTTCATGACGAGGACTGGCGGATGGGCATTGGGCGGGGTGAGAGCAGGAGCGCGCTACGACCGGTCGAGCTTAACACGCGGACCGACAGTGTGCAGAGTCGATCGCAGACGGCAAGTATGGAGTTCACATCCCCCAAGAAAGAGAATTACCATCTTCCTCGGCCGCCGTCTCAGTATGAAAGCATGCATCCGCCGCCAAGACCTACCTCACATACTCGCGGTGGTAGCACAGACAGCCGCTTGCTGTCCTCCCCTGAGCCGACGTTGACGACAAGCCCACCTTCAGTCGCAAGTCGGAACAGCCTCGCGACGATCACAAGGTCAGACTCGATACGCGCCAGCACGCGTCCCCGAGACCGCGGCCATATGCGCTTCTCGTCCACAGACAATGCGCTTCCACTGCTCGACGGCGAAGACCTGGCAACCTTGCAGAAATCTTCCACGCCACAACTTCGCCATCTTAGCAAGATGGCGTCTGCGAATGGTGGTGGCGAGGACCTGAGTGTCCATTCACCCGAGGAGCAAGTGGTTGGCTTGACCGGAAGAAGAAAGCTTCAGCGGTCAGGCTCGGTCACGCCTGCGAAGTCTCAGTCGCACTTTGCCTCCCAGTTCTCCAGTACGCGGTGGATGGATTCTCAGCGCAAGCATTTGCAAGCGTACGAGTACCTCTGCCATATTGGCGAAGCACGAGCATGGCTGGAAGACGTTCTGGATCCGACGGAGTTGCCGCCTATCGTTCAGCTGGAGGAGGCTCTGCGAGATGGTGTGATTTTGGCAGAGGTGGTCATACGTCTCGCACCGTCGCTCGCTCCCAACTCACAGCGCGCACTTGGATCGATGCGCATCTTCCGAAGCCTACGGCTACAGTTTCGACACTCGGACAACATCGCACTCTTCTTCCGCTTCTTGTCGGAAGTCGATCTACCAGAACTGTTTCGTTTCGAGCTGGTCGATCTTTACGAGAAGAAGAACATTCCTAAGGTGATCTACTGTATTCATGCGCTCTCCTGGCTGCTTTTTCGGAAAGGTATCGTCGACTTCCGGATAGGCAACCTGGTTGGTCAGCTTCACTTCGAGGAGCACGAGCTTGAGGAGACACAGAAGGGAATTGACAGGTCTGGAGTCGCCATGCCCAACTTCGGCGGGATGAGAGAAGCCATGCAGGTCGAGCCGGAACCGGAACTAACATCTGATGAGCTTCTCGCAGAGCAGGAAGACGTGCTTGTAGACCTGCAATCACAAGCGCGTGGTGCACTTGTTCGACTACGACTTGGCGCAGTTATGCAAGACCTCTGGGACTCCGAAGACAGCATCGCCGCCTTCCAATCTCTCGCTCGCGGAGGTTTCGCTCGAGAGGTGTTCGACTTCAAATATATGATGGACCGATCGAACCGTCATTTCCAAGCCGCAGCCAAGGCGTTCCTGGTTCGAAGAAGTATACACAGGAAACAGCGCGCTTGGCGGGATAATAAGCAGGCCGTTGTCAAGGTGCAGAGTCTGTGGCGGGGACGACAGCAACGCGGTGAAACGAAGCAACTTCGAACGCAGCTGCAAAGGCAACGGCATGGGCTTAAGGAACTGCAAGCGGCCATCCGTGGAGCGCTCGGGAGATGGAGAGCTGGCGACATGTGGCATGAGTCGAGGGAAGTAGAGGGTGAGGTTTTCGCCTTTCAAACCCAAGCTAGAGGCGCGCTTGAGCGGATGCGCATTGCTGCAATCATGAACAGATTGTGGGATGTCGAGGACACCGTGTGCGCTCTCCAGTCTGCTATGCGAGGCGCTCAGTTGCGAAGGCATGTACAGAGCCAGAAGACAGCCGCACGACAAGCAGCTGCAAACATTGTGCGCTTCCAAACCGCAGCTCGTGGGCTGCTGCAACGCAACGAAGTACAGAGGCATCACGGCCTCCTCCAGACACACGAGCCTTCCATCACCGATGTGCAAGCTGCGGGCCGCGGACTACTGACAAGGCTGCGGGAAGCTAGGGTGAAAGGCGCGCTGCAGGGACGTGAGGCTGGCTTCCTGAAGGTGCAATCCTTGCTGCGAGCGCACCAGGCCAGGAAGAACGTCAAGATCCAGAAAGCCGAGCTGCTGGTCACGGATGACAGTATTACTGCCTACCAAGCGGCTGCGCGTGCATCCATCTCCAGGCAACAGACGAAGCAATTGCGCCGAGAGATCCAGCAACATGACGGGGAGGTACTGCAGCTTCAGTCTTTTGTGAGAGGGATGCTTGAGCGAGGAAGAATCGGACTCGACCTTGCCGCGCTGGAGGAGCAAGAAGAACAAATCGCGGCGCTTCAGTCCCTAGGCCGAGCGTATATCGAGCGCCAAAGGATCTTTAACATTCTCGTTGCCATGGAGCGCGAAGATAAAGGCATTACGCAACTTCAGGCGCTCGCTCGTGCCATGCTGCTGCGGAGCCACATCGGTGGACAACTTGCCGAGCTCGAGGATCACGAGAATACCGTTCTGCAGCTCCAGTCGGCGGCCAGAGCATTCGTGGTCCGAGGACGCTTCACGGCAAAGCGTCAGCACTACCGCGAGAACATGCAGAAAGTCATCAAACTGCAGTCTTTTGTCCGCGCCAAGCAGCAAGGAGAGAGCTACAAGAGTCTTGTGAATGGCAAGAACCCTCCTTTACCTGTCGTGCGACGCCATCTGCACCTTCTGACCGACAACAATCTGGACTTTGAGAGCGAGCTCGAAGCCGAGCGTCTGCGCCGGCAAGTCGTCGAAAGCGTCCGCCGGAACGAGCTGGTTGAGGGGTATGTGGAAGGGCTGGACGTCAAGATCGCACTACTAGTCAAGAACAAGATCACGCTTGACGAAGTGGTGAAGCATCAGAAGCACTTCGGTGGCTCAGCCTCCCAGCTCCTGCGCCAGGGTAGTACTTTGGCGAGTGGCAGTGGCTTCGATCTCAAGGCTTTGAATAAGTCGAGTAAGAAGAAGCTGTCGGGATATGAGGAGCTGTTGTTCTTGCTGCAGACTCAGCCGGTGTATCTCGCGCGGCTGTTCTACCATTTGACAGGGAGAGGCATCACGGAGAAGGATGGCAAGAACTATGAGCGGCTGTTCATGACGCTGTTCGGGTATGCGCAGAAAAGTCGAGAAGAGTATTTGCTGCTGCGTGTACTGGCGGCGAGTATGCAGCTTACCGTCGAGCGGTCGACCCAAGTTGAGGAGACTGTACGACAGCAAAATGGGGCGTTCCACCAGCGGCTTCTGCTGGGCTATGTGCGCAGTCCGCATTGCAGGGCTTACCTGAAGTCCCTGTTCGGGAATTTGGTGAGAAACGAGATTGTAGGGCAAGAGCATCTGGATTTGGAGAGCGATCCGCTGCACATATACCGCGCCTTACTGGGTAATGAGGAGCTGTCGACCGGCCAGACATCGACCCGCCCTCGCGACTTGCCGCGAGAGGTCGCGATCCGCGAGCCTGATGTTCGCCAGACTTACGTTCAGCATCTGCAGGATCTGCGAGACATCTGCGATGGATTCTTTCTGTCGCTCGAGGAGTCGATGCATCGAATGCCGTACGCCGTGCGGTATCTGGCGGCTGAGCAGTACCGCGTTTTGTCGCAGCATTTCCCTCACGACGATCCAGCGCAATCGGCCCTGCTTGCTGGCAACTGGCTGTGGAAGTCGTACCTCCTACCTGCTTTGCGAGAGCCAGAGATGTGGGGTGTCGTGGACCATGGGTTGGGTCCGATCAACAAGCGTAACCTGAGCCAGGTGACTGCTGTGCTGGGTCAAGTCGCGTCGGGAAGATTGTTCGGTGCCGACCATCTCTACCTCCAACCGCTCAACAACTGGGTGACGGAGTCACTGGAGAGATGGCACGAGGCTCTGCATCATGTCTTCGCCATCCCGACTGCGGAGGAGCACTTCGATGCGGATCAATTCAGCGACCTTTATGCGAGGACGAAGCCGACGTTATACATCAAGCTCGCAGACGTCTTTACGCTGCATAGCCTTGTCGCGGATAACGCGGCATCCATTGCACCGAGCCGAGACGACCACATCAAGGAGGTTCTTACCGATCTGGGCTCAGCGAAGAGCAACGAGAGCGACCTCAGCGGTGCTGCGACTGGTGGAGAGATCACACTGACGCTCAAGTCCCGGTTCACTGTGCAGGAAGATCCCAACGCTGAAGCAAGGGCGCTCTTCATGGCGACGAAGCGCTTGGTGCTGTACATTATAAAGGTTCAGACTGGCTCGAATCTTTTGGAAATCATGTGCCGGCCGATTACGCACGCCGACGCGGACCGGTGGATTGAGGTTCTCACCGAGGAGCGGGCAGAGAAAGATCGCGAACGGCGGCATCCAAAACGCGCCAACTCGGCCTTCGATCCGAGGGCCTCATTGCGAGGCTCAAGAGCACAATCAGTATACTCTGAAGCGCACTCTGCCTTCTCTGATGACACCCGCCGTGACCTGCTCGACCTGGAAAGCATGACATTCGTCGAGCTGAAGCACCAAGCACTTGAGAACATCATCGCGCTCGAACAACCGCACGTCCCCACACAATTCCGAGTCAGCCGGCACAACAACTACCAGGACCTCCTCAACGCCCTAGCAGCAGACATTCGCCAGAAGCACCGTCGTCGAATGGAACGCCAGCGCGAGATCGAAGGGACGCGAGCCACGCTCTCACAGCTCAACATCAAAGCCGCCGACCTCGAGGATCAGCTGAAGAAGTACAATGACTACATCGAGCAGTGCATGCACACGCTGGCCAACAAAAAGGGAGGGAAGCATAAGTTCATGCTGCCCTTTACCAAGCAATGGTCCCACCAGCGCGAGCTGGAGAAAGCGGGTCGACAGCCTCGCTTCGGATCTTACAAGTACTCTGCCCGTCAACTCGCAGACAAAGGCGTTCTGTTGAGCTGGGCAGGGTATCCGCCCGAGCATTGGACTCAGCTGAATGTTGTCATCAGTTCGGATGAGGTAGGCGTATTCCACCTGGAAGCGAGCTCTGGAAGTATGATGCTACCCGGTGCGAGCACGAATGTGCTATTGGACAATTTGTTCGAGGCGCAGTTCGAGAATCGCCATGCGATTACGGTATTTGATGATGGGAAGGGAGCAAGCGGAGGAGCGAAGTTGGATGTAAATATGCTGTTGCATCAGCTGTTTAAAAAGTTCTATCCGGAGTGATGAAGGTAGAGGAGTATGGGCATAGTGGGTAGCATGGGGGTAGCGATGCGTCAATACATACTTCGGTGCTGTCTGATGTGCATTAACGAATACATAGAGCTTGCTTGCTGCCACCGACAGATTGCTCGGTACCCGTGCACGCACGCTAATGCAGCTCGCATTTGGGAGATTCTGCGAGTTCCAGCTGGACCTTACGATCCCAACGACATGCTTACTCCTGCAAGCTCGTAGGTGTCTTCTCGCATATGAATGGTTTCAATTCGAGTGTTATCAGACCGCCTACATGAAATGGAGAACACCATCTATACAGTCTCTTTGAAGGATGGTCAGCTTCGTCTCCTACACCTCTCCCCGGGTTGCGACAGCGAACCCCTAACCTGTATGACGAGCATCGAAGATGCGGATGCGCCGCAACACTATGAAGCAGTAAGCTATCTATGGGGCAGTATGGACTACAAAGAAGTCGTCCACTGCGCAAGTCGTGATGTTGAAGTTACCCGCAATGGTGCCCAAGCCTTACGACGTCTTCGGCTGAAAGATAATGCTAGGGTGTTATGGATGGACCAGATCTGCATCAACCAAGCTGACCTCCAGGAACGATCACAATAGGTCAGCCACATGTGGAAGATTTTCAGCCTCGCAAGAAGGGTGATTATGTGGCTTGGTCCTGATGTTGAGGGTTTTGCCTTGAGTGCCAAAGATTTCGTGGTCGACATCGTAAGCAGAAACAAAGCTCCAATAACAATCGATCGGGTGCACGGGAAGCGTCTGCCTGAAATCATAAGCGACGAGCATTTGCCGGCTCAGAATTCGGTAAAGTGGAGAGCTTACAGAGCGCTCATGGCTTTACCATATTTCACACGAGTATGGATGCTCCAGGAAGTAATGCTTGCGCCAGATGCGATCGCTATGTGGGGCGACGTTGATATGCCTTGGTTGACTATCGCAAAGGCGGCGATTTAGGGCGAACAGAGCACAGTATTGGATGGCTTACCTCCCATGCATCGGGACCCCCAGCATCAAGCCTACGTGGTTGAAGAGGACTGCCATATGGTGCAACAGCTGCTTGACGACGTCTCTCACGATGGATATCCAGGCAGAAGGGACTTCGCTTGGTTGATTGGACTGTTATCTTACAGGAAAGCAACCGACCCACGTGATAAGATCTATGCGGTGATGAACCTGGTGGCTGCAGAACAGCGGCCGTCGTTCCTCGTCGACTACCAGATGCCGGTTGTCGATGTGTATAAAATGGATACCGAGCATGTCCTCTTCCAAGCCGAGCAAAGGCTCAACATTCTTCAGAACTGTACATGGACGGAAAATCATCCAATTCGGTTCGCTGAACGGTGGCCATCTTGGGTGCCGATCTGGGGCAATATCAAGCATGCGTACATCTGCGGCGTGCACCCTGAGCAGTTTCTCCCCGCTGATGGCATTCCACTTCAAGCGTGGAAAGCGTCAACTGACGTATTGTGTATCAAGGGCGTAGCAGTCGGGCCTATCAGCGCGCAGGCGGACTGCCCATGGGACCAGCCAATTCCGCCTTCAAAAAGATTCAACGATGCTTGGAGCCTGACTCGGGAGCATGCCGACCCTAGTCCGGACTGCGAACCTTTAGCACTTCAACTCATTTGGACTCTCTTATGCGTTGAAGCTGACGACCACCGTGCTGACGAGCAAGCGTATTTGCACAGGAAATACGGATTCGGCTTCATCGAATACTACTGTTTCTTGCTCGCCGAAGAGAAAGTAGCTCAGATCGAATCGGACCTCATGGATGCTGTAGTTATGGCCATGGGTGGGCTCCTTACCGAGCCTTTCAACCGTGCGAATCCTCGACATGCAGCACTAGCAGCGCAATGGAAAGCGAAGGTCGAGGAGAAGGGCTTCGATCCAGACCTTATGCTCTACTGTCAGGACATGAGTGCTCGGAACCAAAGTACGGATGCCAAGCTTCTAGCATCGTTCCTTACGCATGCTTGGTTCAACGAAGAGGGAATAGATAGCTATCCTGCATACTTCCAAGAGGCCTGGCTAGCGTGCGGAGACGATCATCGCTTTTTTGTGACAAACAATGGGCGCATTGGCATGTCCCCTCGGGAAGCTCAGAGCGGCGATATCGTCGCCGTCTTGTTCGGTTCCAGCGTTCCATTCATACTTCGTCCTTCCGGGAGTGAATATTTGATCGTGGGGAGCTGTTATTGCTACGGTTTAATGCACGGGGAGTACGTCCGCACGCTGAAGGAGAGCAGCAAGCTCGAAGAAAGTATTCGTACGTTCGCGCTCCGATAGCCCAACCCTACTTGCATCTGCCTTCTACAGATTGCGACCGATAACGATCTAAACGCGCGCCTCACGTCCGATTTAGCTTAAGCTTTAGCTACAAGATAAACAAGCTCCGCCGCAGCTCACTGGGGGGTTCCCCAGTCGAAAGCAAGGGATGTAAGAACGGGCGGCAAATTTGAGATGATGCTAGATCGGAGTCATGTCGTTCCAGCCAGCAGGATTTCTCCAGGCATATCAAGCAAGGGCAGAGCAGCACGTGGTCACCGCGTCGAAAGCCACACGGAGTTGTATTGTCGTGCAGCACGATCGTGCGGAATGTATCCGGAACTTCGGCATAGGTTGTACCAAGCATTGACTAGCGCTGACCAAGCTTTGCATTAGAAGCTTGATCATAAAGGGGTCGCCACGCCTCGCAGTCCCTTGCACTTCTTGCGCAACCCGTAATAGCGACTGCTGCGACGACGGCGACGCGCGTCCAGTCAGCCAACCACAACCTACGCAACGGGATGATGCATGCTAGATGAAGGCTAGAGGCTTCTAGCCACTTGCACTTTATCCATCTCTACTTGGTCGATCATGCCTCCAGGGCAAACACGACACCGCTGCTCACTGGGCTTTCCACACGAATGGTGATGAGGATTGCAGCGTGAATCTCACATCCCCGCTCTGTGTTGCCGCCACTGCGCCTATTTCGTTCATGGTATTCGCTCACCTCAGGTCGTAATGACCCCGATCATGTTCGCCGTTGTCGGTCTCCTCCTAGTCTGCTATGTCCTCGGTGATGCTCCGTTCGAGCAGGTTCGCACGCATGTGGAGTGGAGCCGCCAGAATGTAGACGAAGATCAACCCGGAAAGTACTTCCACGAGTCGAGCTTTTCAGGACACCACGACGGCCGCTTTGCAGATCGCCAGCTTGGGTACGAGGAGCGGAACGACCATCTCACTGCGTTGTGCCATACTTATTTGAGCACGATGAACGATCTTGGTATTGAGACTTGGCTTATGCATGGTACTCTACTCGGCTGGTATTGGAATCGGAAAGTGCTGCCTTGGGACAATGACCTAGATGTGATGATCACGGAGAAGTCGCTCTATCATTTGGCGAACTATTACAACATGACGGTCTACCACCACCACCTCCCAGAGCTTGCTGCGCATGGACGCGACTACCTACTGGAGGTCAACCCTCACTACGCGGAAGGCGGTGAAGACAGCGTCAACCGGATAGACGCCCGCTGGGTCGACATGGATACCGGCTTGTTCATCGACGTTACAACTCTGCGTCGGAACAGAACTGCTAAGGAGGGCGGGGAGGATGCGTTGATGGTTAAAGACCTGCACAGCTACAAGTTCGATGACGTCTTCCCGCTCCGCATCAGCGTGTTTGAGGATTTTCCAGTGAGGATCCCATACGCCTACGCCGACCTGTTAGTTAACGAGTACGGAGAGAATGCGCTGGTAGATATGAAGTACGGGAATCACCGATTTGATGCTGAGAGGGGGGTTTGGGTCAAGCAAGAGTATGCTGGCGTCGTGCATCCGCTGGACTGAGGTCGCCTTGTCACTTGCCGCATTTGCAGGAGTACAAGCAGTGTCTCTGCTGCAACACATTCTGGGCTTGGCACAATTCTGAGGGGCTTGTTGCAGAATCCGCAAGAGCACTAAACCTCAGGAGCAAGTCGACGGCATCAATCTCGATGGGAGTATGGAAGACGACCGTGATGCCGCGGATCATGCGCAGCAGTCAACGAGAGTGCGGCGTATCCTCGTCGAGCTAGAGCAGCGGCTGCGAAAAGTACAAAGCCACCGCCTCCTCAGTTGTCCGGCATGGGGGCAAGCACGCTGACCGCGGCGCAGTGAGGACTGGTAGGACTGCCGATGCTTTGGGATGCGGGATAATGTGCGTGTCGACTGAAAGGGTGCAACAAACATTAGGAGTGCTGTCTTTAGCGCTGTCGGAAGCATGGCGCTATGATTCAGCTCGTCGCTGCTTTCCCGATCTAACTGTCTATTCTTGCTCCGAACATATGCGGAATGAAGAAAAGTACCGCCGTCATGAGGGTCGTGCACATTGCGTCAGCCATAAGTAAGATCACATTTCCGGCACCTCCAAGAGCTTATACCTGTCCCCCTTCGCCTCCAGAGCATCCTCGAGCCTTTGCATGCAGGACAACACTTTCTCCTCCTCCAGTCTTCGTCCCACGACTTGTACGGCGACGGGTAGGCCGGACATATCGATAGCAGAGTATTGCTTGTAAGCGCCTTGAGCGACACCGTTCAGCTTCCGTATATTGAAGTCGATCGGAAGGGCATCGATGATAGGATCAACGTGCGTGACTGGGACGATGCCAGCGGCGTAGTCGAGAATGTTGAAAAGGAAAGTATAGCCGCAAGCGGACGCCGCGCTGCTCATCCCACCATGCGGCACAGCAGGTGTAGCATTCGGAGGTGTCAGTATAACGTCCAGACCATCTCCGAAAGTGCCGTGAGAATTCCACCATTCGTGCCACTTGACCTTGTAGAGCTCACGTTTTGCCACCCACTGCCACTGCTCGTAAGCGGACTTTGCGTGCCAGTGCCAAGGGTTAATGAGGGCGGCCCAAATGTTATCGTGTTTGATGTAGCGGTAGTAAGCCCAGTAGAACCATTTGACCAGCCGGGGCAAGCGCATGTACCGTCCAAACTGCCTCGCTCCAGCGTCGTCGGTTTCGCCCGTGCGGAAGAAGGAGCGGAAGGTTTTGGTGCCGTCTGCGTTAAGAAGATTGCTGGCGATAACTAGGGCTTCCGTTGGGTCAGGGGGCGATATATCGAAGACGGCGTGGCCGGCGTCGCGAAGCGCAGAAGCGGCCATGTCAAGGGCACGAGCACAGGCTGGAGATGGGTCGACTACGGTGTCTGTACGCATGATTCCTACCTTCAACTGCTTACGGTCTCTGTATTCAGATTCGATCTCGCTGCGCCAGGCAAGTGGGTGCACGCTGGGATCGTACTTCCAGGGCTGCATCTGAATGAGGGAGCGTGTGAAGTAGGTCAAGTCGGAAAGTGTGCGTGCCATAGGTGAGAAGACGGAGGCGATGCCCTCTTGGCCGGGCATAGATGTGCTTACACCGAGCTTCGGCCATCGTCCGGTACTGCACCGCAAGCTGTAGCAGCCAGAGTAATGGGCTGGTGCTCGTACGGAGCCGGCGACGTCGCTGCCGATCCCTATGCGGCTTCCGCCGAAAGCAAGAAGTGCACCCTCGCCGCCTGTGCTGCCGCCCGGAGAGTATTTAGGGTTGTGTGGATTGAGAGCTCGTCCCCAGACGTCGTTGAAGCTCTCGAAGCTTAATAACGTTACAGGCAGTGCGGTCTTAACGAACGGGACTGCGCCGGCGTCTTTGAGCATGCGGACAATGGCGCCATCGGTCTTGACAGGCTTGCCGGTGTTGCAGGAGTAGCCAACGCTGCTGTCAAAGCCTGCGACGCCGATGCTGTCTTTTAGACTGACGGGTATGCCGGCCAGCGGTCCTTTGAGATTGATGTCGCCTCGCTCGAGCCAGGTCTCCGCTGAGGAGAGCATGACCTCGGTCACGCAATTTGTGGATTCTTGAGCCTTGATAGCCACTTTGCCGTACGCTCGGAGTACGTCAACAGCCTTTTTCTCGCCATTCTGGACATCATTCACCAAGTCTTCGATGTCCTCGTTGAGTATGTCTCGCTCGGACGGGCCGAGAGGATAGAGGTAAGGTCGGGGAAGCGTTGCGATTCGAGAGGCTCGTTCATTCTGCTTGCGCTTACTGCGGCGATGCGGAATATGTCAGCCCGCTGCACTGTTGCCAATGGTTCGTGGACGGAGCGGTTACAGCGTGACGCGGAACGTGGGGTGACGGGTGGGGTTAAAGGGATGGCTCACCACGCGCGGATGTGATCGAAGTAGTCGAAGGGTGGGATCATCTCGGCGACGTGGAGTGTGCCGCGCCCCTCTGTTTTCTGTTTTGGTAGACTTCACGTCAACTTTTACTTGAACACATATCTTTACGAAAGCAGACAAGGTAGCAATAGTTGTACCTATACCGCGGAAGCGATAACCGTAGCGGGGCTAAATAGCCGGCAATAGAGAGCTCTAAGATAGCGCTACTAGCTATGTCCTAACCGAGCGTTTACTCTAGTAACCGCTATATAGAACATTAATACTAGAGGAGATTCTCGGGAGCATGCGGAGAGATTCACTTTTCGAGCTCACTGTTTGATTGTGCTGGCCAGCATAGAGAGCCAACATAGGCGATGCAACAAGCTCCACCTGACATGAGGCGGCAAAGCAATCAGCAGTCAAGGATGCTAATGAAACTGGAATAGACTGACTGCGGCAATGACGGCCTTGACGTATCGTAAGCCTACGGCATCGCCTTACAAGGTAAGCTTGCAGTTAGAAGCAAAGGGCTGTTCGCAGTTCAGCACCTATGTGCGCGGTTGCTATAACGACTTTCCCGCAGTCTGATGGGATCTGATATGGGATGTGTTGTGTAAGAGGGCCGCGCAAAGTGTACCCAGCAAGCGAGCGTGAGAGAAGGCGTTTCCTTACTATGCCGCAGCCAACCATTCCACCAGCACAAAGGACCCCTTCGCGCCCCAAGATCTCTGGACGTAGTAGCAACAACAACTTTTACATATCCAGAGAGGTTCCATGAACTCTTGTTTTGTGCTACGCGGGCCGATGAAGGCGTCAAGCGAAGGTGCTCCCGGCTTGTGTGGTAGTCAGCCACTCAACCAGTATGGAAGCCATTCGTACCCCAGCACCTCCGTGCGCAGTGCCTACAACAACCTTCGCGTGTCCAGCCAGGTCTCGAGAATGCCTCTCCTATGCCACGAAGCCGCGCAGCGTGTCAAGCAAAGTTGCTCTCGGCTTGTGTGGTAGCCAACCACTGCAACACGAGAGCCGTTCGCATCCCAGCACCTTCGTGCGCGGTGGTTATAACCACTTTCGCGCATCGAGGTAGTTCTCAGAAATGTCCATCTTGTGTCCGAAGCTGCGCAAGGTGTAGCCAGCATGCGAAGGTGTTCCCATTGAGATCGTAGCGGACCGGGTACAGTGCACAAGCAAGATGAGGTCGGTCACCTCCCTGACCCTCGCGGGCGGCTGCTCTTTACGAACTTTCTTGATTCAGATCCGCGGTAGAATCGTTTTCCATGCCTCCCAACGCTGCGAGATCTTTTCCGAGTGAGCGAAAGCGTCACCAGTCGTGTCGTATCCTATAAGCACGAAAAAGCATATCGTACTTTCGGACCTTCTGCGCAGCTGCAGTGACGACTATCGCGAACTCGGAAGGGTAGTGAAACTCTTCTCTATTGGCTGTTATGCTGCGAGGGAGGTCTGCAGTAAGCGAAGGTTTTTTCAAGCGAATGCTCCGCAAACAAGCGGACCTCTTGCGGGCGACTTTTGCGTCATAAGATCTGTGTGCGCGGCCTATGACTTCGTTCGCATGCTCAACTAGTCTTATAAAGTCTTCGACGGAAGTATTGAGGCCCCGAGATGTGTATTGAGCTTGCGAAAGTGTCGGAAAGAAGTTCTTCAGGCAAATTTGCTGGCGAAATCAATCGAATCTCTGATGTCGCTTCTTTAACTGCTCGGATCACACAACGTCTGTTTATAAGGATGTCTCGAAGCTAGCAAGGGACCATGTACAGGAGATCAGGTTTTCTGCTAGGGTTCACATCTTGCTTCGTCAGATGCTCTCATGCGGAGTGTCGCTAGACGTACAGCGGGCAACATTCGATCGTAGTTCCGAAGCCTTATCTTGCCTCATGCCTTCGCTGCTGAGGTGCTGCTGCAATCTTCCAAGGTTTGGTCCGAGTCTAAGTCGCTTGTGCCGTAGAACCTGCGTTTTCAGAGAGTCGTTGATGAAATGGAGAACGGAGACCTTCCACGGGCACAGCTCGTCAAAATCGCGTACTGTTAGTATACAAAACGCTGTCCAGATTGGGCTACTACAGACCACTGCTATATCGACGCCGTAAGTATCCTCCCATACCGGAAGGCACCCTTATCGTCTACCGCTAACGCAGGCAGAAATTACGAGGCAGGAGAAAGTCTGGCGCTCGGTCATTTCCAGCCGTCGCGCAGTCACTTCAGCGCTGTACCCATAGGTCGGATCGTCGTACTTACTTGTCACCGCCACCGGTATGCCATTTGGGGCTCCCGTCTCCGGGGTGATTGGTCGACGGAGTACAATGGCAGCCGGCATATTTCTGTTCCTGTTCGGCCTTGTCATCGCGGCCGTACCGATCGACATGCCAATGTCAATCGCTGGCCGCGCGGTGCAAGGTCTTAGAGCGGGCGCTGTTGTGGTGCTCACAAACATCTACCTTGCGGACATGTTCGTGCTAGCGAGCGCGGTTTCTACATGTCAGTCTATGCAGGCGTTAGCCGCATTGCTGCTGCAGTGGGCCCCGTTCTGCGTGTTGTGTTGACGCAGCACGCTGGGTGGCCGTACATTTTCTGGATCAATGTACCGATCGTAACGGTTGCGCTGGTCGTTATCGCGATGTTTCTGGACATTCCTGTGCATCGAGACAAAGCAGGCTGTACGATACTGTGGACGATTGACTGGCTGAGAGCTGTGCTTGTGTCGAGCGCGACTGCTCTGCTGCTTGGAGGCGTGCAGTATCCGACAAGCCAAAGCGTCTCTCGTATGCCGTGTTGCTCCAGCGCTCAAGTAAGAAGCAGCGACCGCCTCCCTTTCGTCGCAGTACGGACTGCGCTTACGGGTTTGCGTAGCGTACCCGTACGACAGTTCAGGTAGTTGTTACGACACGATCAGCACGGGCGCAGCCGCGCTCCAGTGCTCGATCCTTGGCAAGTCGAGCCAGGGATGCCTAAGGCATCGGCTCGACTGCTCGCCGTCGAGCACCGCTCGACAACGAGCAGAAGGCGACTGTCGAGCACCGCTCGACAACGAGCAGAAGGCGACTGTCGAGCGTAGCTCGATACGAGCTATAACGAGACACGAATCTCCTTTATATATAATAGTAATAGATTTTGTAGTTAAGAGTTTGTATTTAACTTATATTATAAACCGACTAATTAGAATTAATTTATTACTTTATTCTAATCTCTTATATTAATTATACTTTAATTAAGTAATACTTTACTATTAACTACTAGACTACCCGACGAGTACTAACTCTACTTATAATAATAGAATTACCTAACTTCTATTATATAAATATAATAGTATATAATACTTTAAATACTCTTAAGAATATTTAGTACTAAAAGACTTAAAAGGGATATATTACTATTATATACTATTATACTTATATAATAGAAGTTAAGTAATTTCGTTATTATAAGTAAAGTTAGTACTTATCGAGTAGTCTAGTAGTTAATAGTAAAATATTACTTAGTTAAAGTATAATTAATATAAAAGATTAAAATAAAATAATAAGTTAATTCTAATTAGTCGGTTTATAATATAAGTTAAATATAAACTCTTAACTATAAAATCTATTACTATTATATATAAAGGAGATTTATATCTTATTATAGCTTATATCGAGTTATACTCGATAGTTACTTTCTACTTACTATCGAGCTATACTTAATAGTAAGTAGTCGAGCCGATATTTTAAGTATCCTTAGCTTAACTCGCTAAGGATTAAGTACTAGAATATAACTATATCTATACTAATTATATTATAATATTATTCTCTTTTTACTTAGAATTATTTTAATTCTAAATTATTCGATTATATTATAAGATATTATATACTAGCTAAAATAGACTTTAACTAGTATAAGAAATTCTTAAATATAGTTATCTTTTCTTTATTTCTTATAATTAGTATTTTTTATCTAGAAAAGAGTATATTATAATAAAGTCCTTATTATAGCTAAAGTACTTAGAATATATATATATAGATAAGCTATATATTAATCTCTTATAGAAATCTCTAAATAAGACTTAAGTCTAGCTTTATAAGAAGATTAATAAAGATAAGAAAGAGCTTACTTATATTATAGTATAGTATTATATACTATTATATTTATATAATAGAAGTTAAGTAATTTCGTCGTTATAAGTAGAGTTAGTACTTATTAGATAGTCTAGTAGTCGATAGTAAAATATTACTTAGTTAAAGTATAATCGATATAAGAGATCGGAATAAGATAATAAGTTAATTCTAATTAGTTAGTTTATAATATAAGTTAAATATAAACTCCTAACTATAAAATCTATTATAGCTATATATAAAGGAGATTTATATCTACTATCCTTAGATTAGTATAATTAATATAATTAGTATTCTTAATTAAGCTAATTAACTAATTAAAGTTCTAATTAATACTACGGCTTACTCCGCTATCTAATTATTCTATATTATTCGTCTAGCTAAGTATTCTAGATACTAGTAGGCTATAATACTATCCCTTCTTTAACTTACGTTATCTCGATATAAGAATTTTTTATTTTATAGCTCTTTATTATATCTAAGATCTATTCTAAATCTAATACTATTTACTATTACTATCTTATAGAATATATTAAATATTCTAGAGATACTATAGTTAAGCCTTATACTACTTATATAAAGTATAAGAGAGTTTACTATATCTATATTTACTCTAGTTAATATAGCGAATATATATATCGAGGTTAATACTATAACTTATATATAATATAATCGGAATAGAAGTAGTTAAAGAAAAAGCGAATTCGTCTTTATAAAGATATTAAGAAGATATATAAGGCTTAAGAAAAAGCTCGTAAGATTTTAAATATTAATTTTATAAAGAAGATATATTTATAGTAGTAGCTTAACTTACTAGAAATATATAAAGCGAATATAATTACTATAGAGAATATAAGTATTTAGAATTAAGAAGTACTAAAGTTATTAGATTTTCTTTATAACCTAGTTCTATCTAAAACTAGTTTATTTCTTTATTTAAGTTCTAAAACTTAGAATATCTTTAATAGTAGTTTTAATCTTAAGAGTAATTTCTAGGACTTTTCTTCTAATTCTAGTAGAATCGATATAGAAGTATCTAGTAGTTCTTAAGATTAGTAAGTAGTTCCTATATATTATTTAAGTCTAAGTAATCTTTCTATTTAATAAAGTAATTCTAATCTTCTTATTTTAGGATCTTCTCGACTTCCTATTTAGTTTCTTTTTAGTCTTTATAATAGAATATAGTTTAGTAGAGTATTTTAAGATCTACTAGTTCTAGAAGAGAGATATAGAATATAGGATATATTCTAGTATCTTTTAGGAGTTCGAGTTAGTAATTAACTAGTAACTATTTCTTAGAGATTATAAAAAATCTAATCTTAACTTTATTAAGCTTTTTACTATTTCTTTTAGTCTTAAGGTTCTTTATAAGGAGATAGACCTTATCCCCCTTTTTAAGCTAAGAATCTATAATCGATTTCGATCTTACTATAGTCTTAAAGGAAGATATATAAATATTTTTATAATAGAGCTATTATAAGTTTTTTATATATTATTTTATAGCTTCTATATTCGGTCCTAGAACTAGTATTATATCTAGTCTTAGTAGATATATAAAGTTCGCTTTATAAGGCGAAACTTTTATTATTTCTAATATATAGCTATTTAGTACTATTTACGCTATTAGAAGTAGTATTAACTAGTTATCTTATATATAGTTAATATAAGCTTATAGATAGATTTCTAGAGTCTAGTTTATATACTCTATCTATTTATCTATTTATAGTCGGAAGGCTATTAAGAGCTTATAGCTAATCCCGAAGTTAGAAATAAATATTTATTAATAGTTAAAATAAAATATTAGTCCTCTATTCGAGATAATAACTTTTAGATATCTATAGTAGCGAAATAGCCTATCTATAACAAGATAGGCTTACTATTCGGCTATAATTATAGTATTATATATAATAAAGTATATATACTTAGTAAGCCTATTAACTATAATAAGTATCGAGTTATATATCGATTTTATTACTAGATCTTATAATTTTAGTAATAGTCTAATAAAGTCTATTATAACTTCTTTCTATAGTTTAGTTAGTAGTTATTATACTATTAGTTCTCTATAAGTCGTATATTATATTAACTTATTTATTTAGTATTCGATATATTTCTTAATATAGTTTACTATATATTTCTTTATATATAGGAATACGAAGCGTTATTATATTAGCTTTATTTATTTTAGTAACTCTTAAGTATCCTCTTTCTAGCGGGTTATAGTAGTATATAATTATTTTACTAATTTACTTATTAGATATAACGAACTTTTTCTATTTATTAACTAGAAATTCTTCGTTATAGTCGTCTAGTATATATATTATAGTATTAAATTCCTATATATTAGTAGATAGTATCTTATTTTTATTTATCTTTAGAATTCGCTATTACTATATAATATATTCTTCTATATAGTCTAATCTTTAATTAAGAGTATTTACTCTAATATTATCTTTTCTTAAAGTATACTAGATAGTAAATTTATACTATCTTAAGAGTTCCGACTATTAGGCTTACTATCGAATTAACTCTTTAGTAGTAGTAAAGTATATTAAGTTTTTATAGTTAAAGAAGATAGTAACTTTTAGTATTTCTTCTATATAGATTCTCTAGTACCTTAAGCTTATAATAATAGCTAAGAGTTCTTTATTATAGATATTATAGTTTACTTCTACTAGACTTAATTAGGGGTTAGGGTTAGGGTTAGGGTTAGGGTTAGGGTTAGGGTTAGGGTTAGGGTTAGGGTTAGGGTTAGGGTTAGGGTTAGGGTTAGGGTTAGGGTTAGGGTTAGGGTTAGGG